AGCGATGGATTCGTCTCAATCGGAGGCTGGATGTCAGCATGAGAAGGTTGGATAAGTCGACAGGCTCCACCGAGGACTTGAGCGAGGTGGGAAAGCTGGTCAAGGAAATCTTGGTTAGACTAGAGGCACAGGCACTCAGCAAGGCGCTCCATAAGAGGACGATAGATGAACGAACTACCTGGTCGGAAAGCGTCTAGCCGTTGCGTCTATGCATACCAATCCGAGTGGGAGACTATTGAACAGAACGGCCGGCTCGCCAGTCGATTCGTCCGAAGAGGATGCCTCCGTTCCTGCATCGTCACTGAGTCCCCTTTCGTCTATATCGGCTTCATCGACATCACCTTCACGCTCTTCTGCCAGCCGTGGCTTTGCCTCTTTGCTCAACTCGGATGAGGTTGTATCGAAGCTCACGGAGAGGCTCGACAGATACAATGAAGATATGACAACTGCTACTGATTGCTTCAAGGCAGGCATTGGTCAGCTTCGAGTCTCAATCCAACAGTTGGTGGACGACCAAAAGGAGACAATAGCAAAGCAGGAAGCCTGGATGAAGCACCTGACTGAAATGAACCTTACCTTTGCCAATATCATCTCGAACAAACACAAACAACAATAATATTACTTTTTTTTTCCAATAGCACTACTTACTTTTCTTATTATATGCTTTAGCCAAGGAACGTGTCAATCACTATATACATTGGGGTTGAGGTATTCTTCAAGACTCGGAGGGTCAACACCAAATCGAACGGATATGTCATTCCCGCCATGAAGAATGGTATAAATGTTTGCAAAAAGAACCCCAAGTCGAAAGTAACGTCCTACTCGTCCGTTGAGGATTCTGAGAGATCGGTACCAGGTGACTTGCTGGCATTGAGTGGTAACGTTTTTGATTGCTTGCTCCACGGTACAACGGACTGAGTGCAGACGGGTATTATGTCGTCGTATAGCAACGGGCATGTTGGGACGCGTTACAAATGGGCGAGCAATACGCACGCCTGCCCCATAAGCCGAGTCACCGAGAACCTTGATCGGGCGCCCATAAGAAGCCCATGCACATCGCTCGAGCCATGTGGGAGGAGTGGAGTCGGCAAAGACCGTTGGATCGTTGCAGGTGCCAGCCTGCGGCTGACTAACATGAACGATAATACCATCAGGAGTGACGAGAACATGGTATCGCAGAACATGGGTCTTGCCATAGCCGTTGTACATGGCCCTCTGCTCATAGGTTGGCCTGCACACTTGACGCGACATGCCATCGATGAAGCCAAACACATCAAGGCTTGCCATGTCACCGCCATGTCCTTGCAATGACCGTGCATCAATTGCATGGACAAAGGCTTGCAGCCTGCTGGGTGTAAGTTGATCCTGATCCCAGTCGAGAATCCGTGACCAGTGATCGTCCAACCACTCGAGCATGCAGGAAAAGATCCTTGTCATGGCTCCTCTGTCCTGGTGAAAAGTGTTTGCATCCGGCGATAAACGACGGACTGGTGGAGCGATAGAGCAGGATGCAAAGACCCTCAATCCCTGTGAAAAGGTCGTCACCGTAGGTTTGCATCATGTCGGGGATCCGCAGCAGTGTCTGTATCCTCCTCAACTCGGTTTTTGTAAACCGTGTCTCTTCCTTGCATTGCCGTTCTGACCACTGATCGAGGGTAAACCGATTCCCTTGCCGAGGTCGCCCCATCGTCCGAGTTGCCGTTGTTCGTATAGTGTCAAATCCAGCAGGATTCGAGTCACTAAATACGCCTGCGATGAAGTTCAAGTGGATACATGGTACATAAAGTAGATGCAATAAGAATAGGGGTGAGCAGGAAAGAAGTAAGTGGAATGTGGAATGGGTACGAAGAAAGTGGAGAGAGGAACGGGTGCACCAAGCTGGCTCCAAGAGATGTTTGTTGGAGCATTTCAGTCGCTAGCGAGAGATGGCTTAGATGAACGTTCGTCCGCTGACACTGGCCAAAATTTTGGCGGTCAGTTGACCATCTTTGACCGATTAACCTACAGTGCTCCAAATAAGGAGAAGGCTCATCCCCTCACACCTTTATTATTTTTCGCTCCCATCGTCGTTGACGTCGGGATAAAAAGAGCTTTGAACATGCTGACGTCTGATGAATCGATTATTTGGAGAATAGCATCATTGACCTCATCTGTTCTTTCATCCGCCTTTTGCTTCAATATCATCTATACTTTCATTCGCTCTTCCTACCACCAGACACAATGCCACAAGCACCAAAGCAAAACATTAAAAAACAAACACGAGTTGCTCCTACAAAAAAAACGCGGATGCTCTCCAACAACTAATTCAAGGGCATTTTGTCAGAGAGGTGGCGAACTCACTCGGGATCTCTATCTCAATAGCAATCAGGATCAGAAAGGACCACCAAAAACATCCCACCTTCCAAAGCCGGTCGACCTAACAAGATCCTCCCGAGGACAAGGGAGGTTCTTGCTCTCCAATTTAAGACTGGCCTGCTAGGCCAACTCCACGATGACCAAAGATTCGTTCAAGTCAAGGATGGAGTGCAGATCCACGTGGAGACAGTCCGGCTGAATCTACGAAAGGAAGGAATCCGGGCATACGATCAACAAGAAAGCCTGATCTCAAACCGAATCATGTGCGGGATCGGCTTGCGTTCGCCCAGGCGGACATGATTCGGTTTGAGATCAGGCTTTCTTTGTTGAACGTAAGCCCGGATTCCTTCCTTTCGTAGATTCAGCCGGACTGTCTCGACATGGACCTGCACTCCATCCTTGGCTTGAATGAACCGTTGGCCATCGTGGGGTGTGTCCAGCAGGCCAGTCTTGAATTGGCGAGCAAGAACTTCCCTTATCCTCGGGAAGATCTTGTTAGGTCGACCGGCTTTGGGAGGTGAGATGTTCTTGGTGGTCCTTCCTGATTCTGATTGCTATTGAGATAGAGATCCCGAGTGAGTCCGCCACCTCTCTGATAGAATGTCCTTGAATTAGTTGTTGAAGAGCATTCGCCTTTTTTGTAGGTGTAACTCGTGTGTTTTTTAATGTTTTGCTCTGCTGCTTGTGGCATTGTGTGTAGTGGTAGGAAGAGCGAATGAAAGTATAGATGATAATGAAGGGAGCGCGATGAAAGAACAGATGAGGTCAATGATGCTACTCTCCAAATAGTCGATTCATCATGTTCAAAGCGCTTTTTCTCGCGTTCACCTCGACGTCAACGACGATGAGGAAGCGAAATATGAGTAACAAAATAAAGGCGTGAGAGAGATGGAGAGAGAGAGATCCGGGGGATCAATGCAAAGATGGGGGGATGAGCAATTCAAAATGTAAGTCAAAACCGTCTTTTCAAGCACTGTAACTAACTTGTCACCTTGACAGTAATGCCCAAACCTGCGCCCCATCATTGACCATACTCGCCTTTTTTTTGTCCTCACGGCACCTGTGCAAGTGTCCTTCTCCACTTTCTTTCATGTGCGTTTTTATACTGCAGTCAAAAAGACACTGCAAGGGCTTGGGTACCGTGTGTCCGAATACAAACGACAAGGACATATTCAAGGTTTGATTTGGAGTCGTCCTATGATTTATGCCGCATCTTTACATTAGAGCAAACAAAGAAGGTGGGGGTGTCTTTCGCACTTTTACCGGACGTTAGCGCATGCAAAGAACCAAGAGGCGCAAAACAGGGAGATGCCGAACTGGTATAGACTAAGCTAGCTCATTGTTCAAGCGGCACGCGTGGGACAAACTATCACGGCATGCCAAGTGTGATACTGCATCCCCTCTCTGACTGACTTGTCCTTACGGACAAAAATATCGAGTGTCGTGTCAGCAAAGGTGCCGAGTTTTTTTTTTTTCTTTCGTCGAGATAAGAAAGGCGTTGCTGGGTAGCATATTCATCAATGTCAGGCTTTTTGCCCAGAGGGTATCACCCTTGGTGTCTTGATGTCGGAGACGGTTCTTTTTCTTGGTCAAGGGAATCTCCAACAGACAAACCTCATCTTCCAGCAGTACAAGTTCTCTTTATAGGTGTGCTATCCGCCGGGCCGGAAGCCTGCGTCATTCAATCTTCAAGACCTGGATTCGATTTTTTTTTTGGTTTTCTTACATCTCCAGAATGAGCTCCGTAAGGTCGATAAAAGCCGCGACGTTGGACTGAATGATGGCGACAATAAGATTATCCTTGGCAACGAGCTATTCGACAAGTCGAGTGTGTCAGCTGATGTGCTCAAAGTTGTAGATATGTCTGTTGGCGGCGTATGGGCCACGAGCATCGACTGTGCCGTAGCCATGCAGAAAGAGTCCAGCTCTGACGGTGCAGGAGGTGAGGGTGCTGCGGGCTAGATATTTGTTTTTGAGAAAGTATTCCGGGTGTTGGATCACTTCGGACATATGTCCACCGGTTCGTGAATTCACCAAATTGCCGCTCAGCCTCAGATCTCGCTCCTCACCGCCACAAAATCTTGAGTGAGTCTCGACCACGACATATATCATGAAGGAAAAAAATGGGTATGCGTCGATATTGAACTTGAGAGCACCACCACACACGGAGACGGGTATTGCATGACCACAATGGCATCGAGACCAACGAAAAGGTAGCCAAGTAGGATAATCCGGGAGCCAATTCGCGGAGGGAATGGCAACTATAAAAAAGGAGACATAAGGAAGGTAGCAGTGAAGAGAAGGAGGTGTATGAGTATGTAAAGACGGGCTCTTGGTCATATCGTAACAACTGACCTCCTGGAAGTCGCAGAGAGCTCTTGTGGAGAAGGACGGGGACACTTTACGGTCCTTGCATCCAGTCACTTGTTTTTCTTCACTTTTTCTTATTTCTCGTTCACTATTTTCTCACCTTTCTTTGTTTTCACTCACCCCACGCCTCTTTTCCTGTTAGCACCATCGTTGCTTCTCCTTGCTTCCCCCTTTCACACAAACATATTGCGTCCATCCATCCATCCATTCGTCTTCATTCTTCCTTCTAGCCTTCTTCTCCCACTTCTCACCAAAAGCATACAAGCAGAAAAGAAATGAAGTTCATCTCTTTCACCTCTGCCATCGCCTTGGCATTGACCGCAGCCGCTACAGCTGAGGCTGCTCTGTCCGTTGGATGCAATACCTACCTAAACATCCTTGCAGCCCCCAGTCACCCTCTTGCTAAATGCAGGGTTTACACTGCGCTGGGATTCCCCGCCATTACTGGGGCTCACGACCACGACACCACCAAGCTGGAAAAGATCTTGACAACATACTGCGCGACCCCGGCATGCACAGCAGACCAATATGCCGGAGTCTACAAAGACCTCCAGACAAACTGTGGTACTGACATGGTTCCAGAGAACCAAGAGACACTCGGAACTGTACTGTACATGTGGTAAGGCCAACCGACACGATACACCTGTTAGAAAGAATGAGAGGAAGCACATTCTAATAATGTCATTTGCTCTCTTCCCTATAGGTACTTGTCACCAGCACAGAGGGAGGCCGTATGCTACCAGGATACGACCAAGAACACCCATTGTGTTATCACGTCCATGAACGAGATGATTGAGCGCGGTCAATTGCCCGATGCCAACGTCAACGAGGACGACCTCTACGGATACCTACAATATGTGACCCCGCTGGCCAACCCCACCAACATCACCGCCACTGCGCTCTGTACCTCCTGCAACCAGCAGGTCGCAAACATCTTTGCCAACTACTACAACAAAAATCCTGCTCCCTTCTCGCTCCAGTTCACCCAGAACCTCACCAGTTCATACCTTAACACTGTTCTGTCAGATCAGTACAGAGGCCAGTGCGGTGTGACAACACTGGGTACACCTACTGCTACTGGAAACAATACCCCGGGAGCATTCCAGCCCACCAATGTGACTGAGGCTGCCAGTGTCAGGCCTCCAGGTCTGGACAATGGTGGTACTGTTGTGAGACAGTCTGTTGATATGGGCAGTTTTGTTGGAGCATTGACTCTTGTAGCGAGTGTCTTTGCTTTGCTTTGATGAAATGATGGAACACAGCAGAAGGAAGGGAGAGAAGACGAGGAACTCGCTGCATACCTTACCCTCATAGCATTTGATTTACCCTTGCATTCATTAGTAACACGCATTTATATTTGCGACCATGGAGACAATGGTAATGCTCCTGTATTTTTGGTTCATGTGTGCATTTTGTCTGCCAGAGGAATTGAAGGAAATTGATGGAAATGAGACACACAAACCTTGAGCAAGCAAGAGCGGTTCTTTTTTAGACGCAAGCAAGAAAAGTGTAAGCAGACAGAGGGACAGCACGTAAGTGGTCCGAAGGGGACATGACAAAACGCGAGAGAGGGAATAGAGAGGTGCTCTCATCGCGAAAATCGAGAGAGAAATAGGATTCTATTTTCCCCACCTTCACTCACTGTTCACTCTGTCACTTCGTCAGTCGCTCTGGTCACTCCAACGGTCGTTGTTTCTTTCCTCTTATCTCTTCGTCTTTTCATTTCTCTTTTCTCTTTTCTCCTTTCTTTTCTCCTCAGCAAACCCCATTTACTCCCATTCCCCCCACCCCTTCCCTGTTTGTCACTACAATCGACACTCCCTTCCTTACCCTTTCCCTAGCCCTTTCCCTCTCCCCTTCCGCGCCACCCAACCCTCCCTCGACAACACTTCCCTCTTACACCACACACGCATACCACATTCCACATTCACCACCATGCGCATCCTCTCCATCACTCTCGCTGTCTCCCTCGCCTTGGTTGCAATCACCAAGGCTGCCCCCATGCCCATGCCTGCTCTGGATGAGAACTCCAGCTTTGACGAGAGTATGTGACCCTTCACTTTCCCTTTCCTTTTGCATCTCTCTTTTTTTTTTTTTTTTTTTTTGGGCCACTTTGTCTCTGTCTGTCCTACCATGGCGAAACATACGTACCCTTCCTTGCTCGCTCTCCAGCCTCCACCCTACAGCCAGCCTTCCTTCCCTCGCACACATTTCCTGTTCATGTCCCTCCCTCGTTGTTAGCTGTTCAACTGGTTGTACCTGATTTTTCTTCCATCATTTCTCTGTGCCTGGACTCTCTCTCTCTCCCCTCCTCTGGAACATGTGGAGATTCACCAATGAGAGCGAGAGATTACCCGGCAATAAATGATTTCAATTACACAAGCGACAGCATCCCTAGATACACACACAACTCACACACATTCCTGACTGGCCTAGGCTTCTTTTTTTTTGTACAAAATTGCTCACATACCTTACCCTGCCTACTTGTGCAAAAACCTCAACGGCAGCTCAATCAATTCTCCCTATAATTATCCGCATTATCCTGTATACAATTATCTAACCTCCGCTCGCTTCACTGCTCCCCTGCGCACACTTCTGACATCCACTCTTTTCATCTCTTGACAATCAAAATCGACCGATAAATAGAAGAATTCGCATGCGTCGAACAGTGCATTCAGACCGAGAATGACTGCCTCATCGCCACCACCAACGGCATGGCCTCCTGTTTCGTTGCCTTTGACAACTGCCACGCCATCTGCGTCCCCGAACTTGATCAGCCCAAACCCGAGGAGCCCCCAGTCATCCAAATTAACTCGCCCGGTCTCGATAACCCCACCATTGACGATGCTCAGGTGACTCCCCCTGGTGAGGGCGCCCCCGAGGTGACCGACGATACTACTGACGGTGCCGATGACACTACCGGTGGTGCTGACACTACCGATGGTGCTGACACTACCGATGGTGCTGACACTACCGATGGTGCTGACGAGACCGATGGTGCCGACGAGACCGACGACACGACAGATGGTGCCGACGATACCGATGGTGCTGACGAGACCGATGGTGCCGACGAGACCGACGACACGACAGATGGTGCCGACGATACTGATGGTGCTGACGAGACCGATGGTGCCGACGAGACCGATGGTGCCGACGAGACCGATGGTGCTGACGAGACCGATGGTGCTGACGAGACCGATGGTGCTGACGAGACCGATGGTGCTGACGAGACCGATGGTGCTGACACTACCGATGGTGCTGACGAGACCGATGGTGCCGACGAGACCGACGACACGACAGATGGTGCCGACGATACCGATGGTGCTGACGAGACCGATGGTGCTGACGAGACCGATGGCACTACCGATGGTGCCGACGAGACTGACGACACTACTGATGGTGCTGACGATACCACTGACGGTGCTGACGATACCACGGACGGTGCTGACGATACCACGGACGGTGCTGACGATACCACGGACGGTGCCGACGATACCACTGACGGTGCTGACGATACCACGGACGGTGCTGACGATACCACGGACGGTGCCGACGATACCACTGACGGTGCTGACGATACCACGGACGGTGCTGACGATACCACGGACGGTGCTGACGATACCACGGACGGTGCCGACGATACCACGGACGGTGCCGACGATACCACAGACGGTGCCGACGATACCACAGACGGTGCCGACGAGACTGACGACACTACTGATGGTGCCGACGATACCACAGACGGTGCCGACGAGATTGACGACGCTACTGATGGTGCTGACGAGATTGACGACGCTACCGATGGTGCCGACGAGACTGACGACACTACCGATGGTGCCGACGTGACTGACGACACTACCGATGGTACCGACGATGCCACTGACGGTGCCGACGAGACTGACGACACTACCGATGGTGCTGACGAGACTGACGACACTACCGATGGTGCCGACGATGCCACTGACGGTGCCGACGAGACTGACGACACTACCGATGGTGCCGACGATACCACGGACGGTGCCGATGATGCCGACGAGACTACCGATGGTGCCGACGATACCACAGACGGTGCCGACGAGATTGACGACGCTACCGATGGTGCCGACGAGACTGACGGCACTACAGATGGTGCCGGCGAGACCGATGACACCACCGATGGTACTGACGAGACTGACGATGGCACTGAGGAAGGTGGCGATCTCACCGAGGAGGGCGACGATGCTACTGACGATGGCGAGGCTGAGGATTCAGACTTGATCGAGGAGGAGGAGGAGAACGACGATAGCCTCCACAACGTTCCCATTGGCGGCGAGGACTATGGCTTTTAAAGAAGCTGTCTTGCGATTGAAACGATACTCCCCTCTCTACTCTCCCTTTCCCATTTCCGACGTACATTATACCTTCCCTTTCCAAAAGCGCTAGTAAAATAACGGCCATTTAGAGGTCGATAATATCACTGATCAAATTAATTTTGTGATTTTTCAATTGACTCTTCTGTGCTGTGTAACAAGTTTCCAATTTCAGGAACCATCGGCTATTAAGTGTGGCTTTGCACCTTTTTCTGATCCCCCTTGATTTAAAGGCGAACTGGAAGGAAGGCCTTTTCTCTTTTCACACACACACGCCACTGCCATGCCGCCCTTGACGTTCAACATCATCCGCCAGTCAACACAACGGAGAGCCGCACGGAGGGGGACGCTAGTCATAACCCAGGCTGCTACTGCTACTGGCAACACACCCACCACCACTACCATCACTGCGACCACCACTTCGACTACATCGTCAACGACAAACGTGAATGGAAGTGGACAAAACCATGGTCATGTCGCGGCCAACAAGGAGCTGATCAAGAGAGTCATCGAGACCCCTGGTTGCTTCATGCATACCGTCAAAGGCACCGTCCCTCATCTCACGCCAGACACCATGCGGTTACAAGGATTTGGAGGCGTTCACGTTAGCATCGAGCAGTTACTGTACGAGTGACGAAGCCCTTTTTTTTTTGGTGTACTGCTAATATACTTTTGCGTGCCGCCAGCCGTTGCAGTTAGTTGACACCCACAATTTTTTTTTTTTTGTATCGACAGACAGGACCATCAACCAGGAGGATTCGACAAATGGCCCCTCACGCTCTCGAAGTTTCTTAACCTTCAGGATATGATCCTATTATGTGACCTTCGGGACCCCTCACGATACTTCAAAGTCCCCGTCAAGTCGGATCGCCATATCGCGATCAAGACCCATAAGGGTGTGCGGCAGTTGACATTGGAGGAGTACTTGAAAGTCGTTCGTGCGTACCAACCGGATATTGTTGCGGCTATGGCGGATCAAATCGCGGACGCGGACGTTCCGCCTGCAGGAACTGGACAAGGATCGTTGGATGCGGAAGGAGAAACGCAGGGATCGCCGTGTTCGGGGCCAGGACTGAAGCGGGTCAAGAGGAGTATTGACAGGAGTTTGAAGTGGTTGGATCAAATCCTGCTGGATCGGCAGGGTATGGATGCATTGGCGGCAGATCGGGCGGCAGATGAGGCCAAGCGGCAAAAAATGCAAAAGGCAGCTACTGGTCATTCTCACGACAGCACGAGAGGAGTGGAGTCTTTAGCGCTGGAGTTACAAAATCCGGATCTGATCACAACAAAGACAACTACGGCAATGACGCGGATACCATGGTCCGGCGTGAGCGTGTTTGCGCATGTTCTTGGATCGCATGTGGAACAGGAGCGGATCCGGAGTGCAGAGGAGACTGCGCGACGTGAGGCTGTGGATGGGTTTATTGTGGATACCAATCCGTTACATGGATCTTCCAAGGAGACTATCTTGAACCTGCTCAAGGTGTCACTGGATCATTTGCCGGTCGAGAAGCCCAGGATGGTTTATGGCCTCCAGACCCCAGGTATTTTTTTTACCTCACTCTAATCAAGGCGTGTTTGGTAGTTTAATTGCCATGGTTTGCTGATTCATCATTCTTTGTTGACATATTTGAATAGAGGATGTTTTGAAATCGATTGCAATGGGAGCAGACTTATTCGATACTTCATACCCATACCACTTGACCGAAGACGGGAAGGCGTCACTATACTCATTTGGTTCTGACAGCAACTCCATCAACACTGTCATTAAAAACAACAACAACACTACTTCTGGAGAAGTAACGACAAACAGATGGATCAACCTATGGGACGACGAGCACGCCAACAAATTTACTCCACTCTTGGAGGGCTGTGGATGCTATGCCTGTAAGGGTGGACGCCATACCCGAGCCTACATCAACCACCTTCTCAAGGCCCATGAAATGCTCGCTACCGTTCTCTTGATGAGGTAAGTAAATTGGCGCTTCTTGGACGTCGTATGGGGCTGGTTTAATTTCTGGTTCGGTGGTGCCCATCCCACTAACTACTCCCATGTATTTTTTTTGTGTCTTGTTCAAACGCGTATAGCCACAACATGTACCAGTACTCAAAATTCTTCGCAAACGTCCGTCAATCAATTGAAGACGGAACCTTCGAACAGGACTCTGCCTCATTCATACAGCAATTCGGATCAGAGCCAGAGCGGACAGGGAAGATCCACGCCGCACAGGCGATTGTTGAAATGGCACTATCAAAACGGAACCGCCTAGATGGCAGTAACAGCGCCAGCGCTAGCAGTTGTAGGAGTAGCAGGAATGGCAATAATAGCTCAGAGTCTGAAGGAGAGCAGGGTGCGATGTCGAAGGAGGAAAAGGCAGAGGCGAGGAGGAAACTGAAGGAGCAGGAGAGATTTGAGCGGGGGGAGAAGAATCGGATGGAGGGGTTGAAACGGAAGAAAGAGAAACAGCAGCAGTTGGTCGCGGATGAACGAGATGCGGAGAGGACTCGCGAACCGTGATGTGCACTTTTAGAGTTGTAAGATTCGATAGCAACTCACTAAGAAGGAAGGGAGGGGCACGATAGAATTAGACAACCCCTTTTCCCCTTGACTCGGCACCCCATCTCATAAACAATGGGCACAGCATCATGTCGATTGCGATGGCTTGGAAAGATGGAGAGGAGGTTGGTTGACTTTATTCATTCAGCAACGTTGTTACGAACTAAAACGGAGACAATAAAAGGTGAACCTTTAAAAGAGTCCAAGTAAAAAAAAAAAAGGAAAGCGTAGAAGAGAATGACCAGCGACGCTTGATACAATCTTCCCGACTTCAACGTAATCCGAACACCGGGGCTGCGATCAAAATTTGGAAATTTCTTTGACCGCTTGACAAGGGCGACGTTTGGCCAACTTATCAGCTTCTCACAGTAGGGACCCATACATTTGCGTCCTTCGTTAGGCCGGTATCGATCTTGCGATTGTTATCGAAGACGCCGTTGTAATTCTTGACATGTTGTTCGGCAAAGGGTTCGTTTCGGGTTTGTTGTACCAGGTGATTGAGTCTGCCTTTCTAGCACCAGTGCCGCGCTAACTCGGCCAAAAGGTTTAGTGTAGAAACAAAAATAGGAGACCTTCACCAAAAAGAAACTGAATATTCAGCGTTATATGAATCTCATTGCTTTGGTCTTTCGACCAATAAGCTTAGGAAGGAGCGTCAAAGGAAGGAATATACGACATGAAGATCTGCTTTAACAGACACTCTTCAGCGAGAAAAGGAAATAGAGACAGTGAAAGAAAAACATATCACCTACACCGACATAGGTGAGGAGAAGAAGGTGATAGTTTAGGTTGAGAAAGTGGGTGGTTGGTAGAAAGTCAGCAGATATGAGAAAAGAGCCACAGTTTATCCTAGCTGAGGACGTGTATGACGAAGGTGCATGAGATGAAAGGAAGAAGAGAGTGCAGAGTCGTACGAACGAAATTCTTTTTTAGCATGCATCACTGCATGGGAGATGATTTTCGCTCGTTCATTTTACCGTTGCAAACTACATGGACACATACTTGGCTACGTTTTGAAAACGTTGAGTGCATGCTCAATGATGGGGAAACGCCTCCTTTTATTCTCATGCTTGGCGAGACGCCATGAGCAATCTGACATTCGCTCATGATCCCTCTTTTCACACCTTTTTTTTTGTCTGCCTCTGTCTATGTCTCGGTCTCCTTTTTTTGACCTTCTTGTCGCTTGTCTCCTGATCCTGGCTTGAACACAAAGTAGATTGTTCTCCATGGTGAGAAAAAAATAATAGGCTATGAGTGGGTATATCCGTTATTGTGCTTGGAAACAGAAGAGCACTCTCAGTTTTTCTACTTGGTGCAAGATATCGATTGATGTTTTGAAGGACAAATATGCAATTAATGTGGTGGAAGTGCGAGTTGGCGGTATCCCCTGTGAGGGCGTGAGGGCGTTGATGATGTTGGCAGGGGCAGAGAGTTTGGAGTGGGAAGCAAAGATGGAGTAACAATCAAGGAAAGAATCCAAACGGGAGAAAGAGAAAGAGGAACAAAGAGATGCGATCTCTCCATGCTTTTGTTCAGATTTGTCAGGCTGTTTATTTCCTTTGATGTTTTAGCTTTGTCTGTGCAATTCAACAGACGGATGCGTCGGGCATAAAGATATGTCGTACTATCATGTCAAGAGAATGAGCCAGAGAAACAGGAGAGAGACAGGGAGAAAGATATTCGCCAACGTAGCAACAGTCGATATTCCTTCATCGTGTTTTGTACTAGTGAACCTCCTCCTTCCTATCCTTTTAGGCACGGGCCTGAAATTAAGTTTCTCCCTATGAGGTTCTCCACCACAGGTTCCATCGGTCGTCATGTTTCTCATCAGTGATTACGAGCGTTCCTGAACGTCTCATTCTCACTCATCACTGCAAGCATGTCCTTTTCGTTGTCCTTTATGCGGCATTGTGTCTGTAATTCAGCACCTTCACCTGCGCTGTGTCCCGACTCGACTATAAATCGGCTCTCCCTCTCGGTTCGTCGTCAACCATACTCCCTGTACCGCAGACTAAGACTCAATGCCATATAACAGGCTGTGAAAGAGATACAAAATCTTTTTGTTTGTGACAAGAGGGAGACAACCTCTTCGAGAAGAGGGACAAATACCTCTTTACAAGGGGGACAAATCTCTCATAACAAGAGGGTGCCTGTCAACAGGTTCACACAAACAGTACCTCTTTCACAGCCTATATATGGCACTGGCCCGCAGTAGATGATTGTATGGTCTCCTGCACTACCTGCACTTTGAAACCCATTTAGTATAAGGACAACATTGGTCGCGGATGAACAGGAAAGACGACTGGAACATCGTGCTGCCCTTGTCGCTCAGAATCTGTACCTCGTCGACAACCAGCCGCAACTTGGTCTCTCTTGAGAAATTCGGATAGCTATGGGCAGCAAGACTCTCTCGGACTGAAAGGAACTCATCTCGGACTACGGTCATCAGCGCCAACTCGAAATGTACACGTCGTGCAGCTTCTCAAAAGAGCACCCTGAAAGGCTCCGAGAAGACGTCCTGGAACATGTGAGGACAGACTTGAAGTATGGCCCAGGATGCACTTGAAAACGTCTGGAGGTAACCAAGGACCTGCAAGCAATATTTGAGGGCCAAGAGTCGTGATAGGAAGAGCACAAAGGTCATATTCTTTGCAAAGACGGTGTTGAGACTACAATCATGTTCTCCCGATAGTTTCGCCTCAATGAACTCGGCAGTCAAGATCCTCTCTGTTTCTTCCGACGAAAGTTTCGTCACTGTTTTGAAAGACAACGGCGACACCCTTGTCTGCGATATCGTGGTGGGAGCCGGCGGCACCTATAGCACAGTTCGCCAGAGCATCTTTGACCAGATGCGAAGGGACAAAGTTATGGACTCCAAGGACATGGAACCTATGAAGTGCTCGACCATCTGTCTTATCGGGCAAACGAGACCCCTGAACGATGTCGAGTTCCCATCGTGGCTCTGCAGGACTCTCAGTTTGTTCGTGTATTCGGAAATAGCAGGTCCTACTCGGTATGAGTTCGCTTTTGCTATTTTGATCTTCTACTGTCCTGTCTTTGCATCCAGCTTACCTACCTTACCAGTTGACAGAACACCGTGATGTGATCTGTCACAGAGTATTTGAATAACGACAGTCATGACGAGAACAACCCGTTTAGGACTTCAGATTGGGGACAGGCTACCGTGGACCTCATGTGCGAGAAGGTCAAGGATATCACCATCATTGCTGGTGGATACCGTCGTGCCACTGTTGACCATTTGATTGATCTCAGTGGCTGGACCGAAATCAAAAAGGTAGTCGTGGAGGAGAAGGTCTTCAGCAAGTGGCACTACTGACGCGCCCTGTTGATTGGCAATGATAAGTGAGCTCGTAGAAATGTTTCTGTCAATGACTAGGGCGATTAACGAATGACCCTGCGAGTTTTTGTACCAGACTAACATATGTCTTCTTGAACTTTCCATCTTTAGCTTGCCATAGGGTACATTCGATTGGTAATACAGCTGCCATGATGGTCCACATGAGAGCGTCGCGTCAACAGACCCAAACTGTGTTTTCTCTAACCCGTCCTCTTTTTTTTTTACATCTAAATAGCTGTCGCCGTCAGCAGGCTCAGGAGCAATCAACTCCATCTTGGATGCTGTCACGCTTGCAAACTGGATTGTTTGCCTGCGTCCATTCTCGGCACTGGATGAGGCCAGTCGCGAACTGGAGGCCTTTCAGAGCGAGCGCTTGCCATGGGTCAAGGCTTCATTCGAGCTGTCCAAGGTCTTGAAAAATATGCTAGCTAGAGTAAGACCCACTCTCTATCTCTTTGGCAGTCGTTGATCAACACTCCTGTGGGGATAGTTCATCCGCTATTGTGGGTGAGAGACCCATTCGTATACCTTCACTTTCATATCAATTAGAATTTGAAGGCAAAGATCATCAGGACCGTGTCCAAGATTGGATCCCAGTCCCTGACGCAAAGGAACCTGATCAAAATGACTCAAAACCAACCCTAGCTCTTCTTCCTGGGCCTTATCAACGACAGGGGGATGATGAAGTCGGCCTACCAGAAGAGTCTGTACGAGTGTCCGGCCATCATTGAGGAGAGGAACAAGGAAGCCCAAGAGAATGCGCAGAACACGCCTCTGGGTGGTAGTACAGCAACCATTGTGTAGCATTGTACTCATTGTAACTTAACGAGATGACATCTCTGTTTCCATTCCCGTTTTTTTCTCTGCCGGCTGCAATGTTTCGAAAGTGGATACTGTATCTGCGAAGTATCTACGTACCTTTGCTTGCCATGGCGTCGTAATCTAGTCGTCTTCCACTTCCTCTTGTTTGCTAGTACCGTTTTTTCTAATTGCGAACAACGAGGCTTTTTTTTTTTTTTTTTTTTGGATGAATGCATTAAGGTAACCCAGTCTGGGAAGATTCCAGTGGCCGGATTAGAGAGAGGACTTGCTTGAAAGGGTCGGTATGAGAGCAAGAACAAATAGAGGAAGAGGTGGGCGATAATGATATTGCGCTCACATTTTCTTTTATGAAAGAGCAAGAACTAATGAAGAAAAGAAGAGTTGGGAGGAATACGAATCTGTCCCGCCATTGGTTCCCATAAATGCGTATTGAGGGTCTAGATCCCTCGATCATCATTCCTCTTTTCCCATCTCTTACTCACGTTCCTTTGAGCTGCTACTGATCGTCAGTGATGACAGGGTGGAGCCATGTTTCGGTTAGCGTCCGTGGTACCTGAGAAATACCGACCATTCAATGTGTATCAGACCTGAATATTTCTTGTCTTGTCATCCTCTTTCTCCTAATCACAGAGGGTAGTTATTTTGACCGATGCGAGTTTGTTCCGAAGTATGTTCGTCAATAACGAGGCAAGTACGCCCAAGGTTCGCACTTCCCCCTTTCTGCAATCTTCTCCGATGATATATCTATTCCGCTCGCACGTTCTCCACACTCTGTTCTTTCTACTTTTTCTCTTCCATCCTTTTTTCGCTCATTCTCTCTTGTATTCCTGCCCCATCCTTTTTGCCGATCGCCTTCTTTTGCCTTACATTCACAATCGTCAAAAGCACCACCCTTCACTCTTTCACCTCTGCATCGTCCCTCCTCCATCTTTCCACCGTGTCATTCACTTTCCTTTATAGTCCCCACCATGTCGCAATCACTACCCTTTACGGCGACATATGTACATAGCACAAACACTGACGCCCCTACCCGTGTCCGAGTGAGTTGGGGCCAAGCACCCGTCAAGGACACTACGCAAGAAGCGCGACCCAGGACCATTGGACCCCAGTACATTGAGACACAGCGACCTAAAGTCATCATTGTGGGGGCTGGCATCGCCGGACTTTCTCTGGGGGTGTTGCTCCAAATGGCTGGCATTGAGTTCCGTATCCTCGAACGGGGCACAGAATTCGACCACGCAGGTACAATACATACCTAACCGACCTCCTTCCCTCATTCCCCATAACTATCTGCAATCCTGTTGTCCTAATTTGTTTGACAATTTTCGAACCACGCTCGCATTTTCTTTTGCTGACATACCTTTCTTGTCGTACCATGTCTCCACGCTGTACTACCCCCGTTTGTCATCGTTCCCGAAGAAACGGCCATCTTTTTGAACGCGACGACACAAAAGTTCTTCCAACAGATTGGCGCCCTAGAAGAGATCATGAGCCACGCAAAGTCGACGACCAGCATGGTCGTCGCCAACGAGGACCGGAAGGTCGAGTACACTCTGGAGTTCGGTGAACAAGCTAAACTGTATGTCCCTCTCACGTCTTGAAATATTTTTTTTTTGTTTCGTTATAAGTGTGTATCTAACCGTCAATCACAAACACCCTGCCTTCTTTCTCCTTTTTTCTAGTTTCGGTTCAGTTGGATACATCGTCCCACGGAGGGTCCTCCACAATATCCTGGTTTCACGAATTGAGCGACAAAACATCGTCATGGGAAAGAGAGTCCTCACCTACATCCCTGGTAACCGCTACGTCACAGTCAAGTGTTCCACCGGCGACCTCATTACTTGCGATATCTTAGTTGGAGCAGATGGCGTATTCAGTGCGGTCCGCCAAAACCTTTATGATGAACTCAGCGCCAAGGGCCTCCTGCCACCCAAGGACTCGGAAGATATCGTCCTCTCCACAGTCAGGCTAGTTGGACAAACCATTCCTCTGGACCCAGAAGAGTTCCCTGCTATCAATGACGAGAACTGCCATTTTGTGCAAGTCATTGGCGATGACAAGCCTTATTCGGTAAGCGTAACTTGCATTATTTCAGTAGTGTCTTTTTTTTGGGTTTGTCGTAAAATGCGAACTAGCAAGTTTTTGACTACTTCTCTTACTCATCCCTGACTAAAATAGTGGACATATTTTACTACAGCGAGCAACTGTGTCGCATGGAGTGTAACCCAATACCTCACGACCGCTGAACAGGACAGCAACAAAGTCTTTGCTAACACGACCTTTGACTACTCACATGCATTGAGCATGGCGCGGGAAGTCATGAACTTTCCTATCATCACTGGAGGACCGGGAGCACCCACCATAAAGGACTTTTTGAAATACACCACAACAAGTCTGAAGAAGATTGTGCTCGAGGAAAAGCTGTTCAAGACATGGTATCATGGTCGTGTTGTTCTTATCGGCAATGGTAACGTTCTTTGTCATTTATCAACGCATTGTTCGTCTTTGTGATTGTCCAATATTTACCATTTCTAATGTAACCTCGTCTATATGTTTGTCACTTCGACCACTCGTTTCCTTTTTAGCATGTCACAAGGTTAGTCGAACCTACTTCTAGATGCGTATTGTTTTTTTTTATCTTCCGCAATTCGTGTACACATACTTGAGATGATGCTGACATGTTGTATCTCCACGACTTACAATGGTTATAGATGAATCCTTCAGGAGGATCGGGAGCAACCAATTCTATCCACGACGCCATCTCGCTCGCAAACTACATTGTCAGTCTTCCTCACTGGTGCGAACAAAGGGACATCGACCACCGGTTCAAGGCCTACCAAGATGAGCGTATGCCATGGGTCAAGGCGTCATTTGAAAACAACAAACTATTTAAAGGCATGGTAGAAAAGGTGCGGACACCTACACAAAAAAAAAAAAAATGTCAGGTTGAATTAATGTATCCTGCATGCATGCTCCATCTCAACTGGTTTTGTATTAATTTTTTCCTCACTCTTTTTGTTGCTGTATTAGAACCTCAAGGCGATAATGATTAGGCTATATGCAAAAACCTTGACTGGAGCCGTGGCGCGCAGCGCCATGATGAAAATGAACGCCAACAGACCGCAGGTGGCGTTTCTCGAGTATGTGCCAGACACCGGGACTGTTCCCTCGGAGTACCAATCCAGTTACCATTTCACCTTGGAAATTCTCAAAAACCGAGCTGCGGAGGAAGAAGAGGCGGAGGCTAGAGCTAAGGAAATGAAAGATAATGTCGCAAGAGAGGCGTCTCATGCTTCAACCTCGAGTCCAGTGTTGATTTCAAAGGCTCCTCTCACCCCTGCCTTGGCTGCCATTGCTGAAGCATCCGCCATCGCCACTGCACGCTCAGCTGCCGATGCTGTTGCTGCTGCTGCTTCTCTACCCAAGAGCGCCCTGGAGATCTTCCAGACCACTCCTTCAAAAGCAAAGAAGCCGGTTGCTACCATCATTTAGATGTGTCTGGACGTGATGATGACGACGAATACAGAGTGTCTGTAGACAATGTCATAATGAAAACTATACCCTTTCTTAATCGGATCTCGTCTGGATATAGCATACATAATATCTTGCCTGGTGTTTGTTGAACTCGCTCGCGACAATCCATAGAATTATGAAGAACACCGATATCACACCGATAAAAGAACATGTCCACAGAAAAGAGGAAGGAAAAAGAATGAGAATCGCCTTTTGGCAGTCGAATTGGGATGCTTCTCGTTATTTTTCCACATACACCAACAATTGATTTTTCTTTTTTGAGCTTTGTGTCGAGTGGATGGCCAGGGCCAATACGTTTCTGAGAAGTGTCAACACTTGTGCGAGCGAAACCCCCCGCCCTCCATCCGGCTAGATTTCTTTGGGCGTTGAGGGGCATTGCAAAAACAAGCAAACAAACTATTGATTTTGAGGTTAAGACATTTCGTTCCCTCTCTTCATACTTTCACTCTCATATCTTTTGGCTCTCTTTTTGTACACTCTGGATCACACCTTGCAATGTATCTTTTCTTCCTCATTCCTTCCTTTTTCGTACTGTCTCTTCCTTTCTCTTTCAACTTAACCCATCTTTCGTTTTTTTTCTCTCTCATTCTTGCGACCCCATCTTTTGCAATGCCGTTTGGCCATAGGCAGGGTAATCGTGAGAACGAGATAATGAGAGAGAAACAGAGAGAGAGAGAGAGGAAGAAAAAGAAAGAGAGAGAGTAGATAAAAGAGGGGAGTGGCTTAGGCACCTCCTTTCCTTTCCTTGTTATTTTGGTCTGTGCCTCTCTAGAATAAACACTTCACTCAGCAGTCAAAACAACAAAGACGGAACAAACAAATTCAGAGGTGCGCACAACGGGAATGTAGGACATGTTTGTTTTGGTGATCTCGACTCCTCTCTTGCACCAATCGGCCGTTTTTCTTCCTTGTTGTTTGTTTATCTAAAAATTGATTTTGAGATGAATTCCACACACCAACAGAGAGTGTGGAGTGTGTGAGCAAAATCGACAATGGCGCAAGAAAAGTACAACTGTGAGAAATATTGAAAGAAAGAGGATAGGGACGAGAGGGATAAGGGCGAGAGGGAAATGAAAAAGGTGTGGGAGAGCTGAATTGAACACTTACACACACTGCTCCTGGATTTTATCCCACAACGGCACATACAAAAAAGGTGACAGAAAGAGAAGGGCACTAGGAAAGGCTGCCCTGAATATCGTACAACGTGATATAGGGGAGAGGATAGAGAGAAAGGGCATCGGCAACGGCCCAGTTCCCCACTTCTATTGTCAATGCCAACCCCGACCATCATCTCCTTCGCGTCCATGTCTTTTCTATCATGACGTCCACTACCATATCAATTCTCTCTCTCCATTGTCGTTATTTCGTTTTTTGCCCCTCGGAGTTCACTCCGATGTGGCGCTCTGCTTCTTTAACTTTCTTCATGCTTCTTTCTTCACGCCTCTTTCTTCTTTGTTTCACTCGGTCTACATGTATATGTACGCCATCGAGTCTAAAACCAAGTGCGTAATAACTAGGTGCAGTTCGATCTAGCCGATTGAAGTGCTCTGCAGAAAGTCCTTTCCTTCCCCATCTATTATCTCTCAGAAAAGTGCCAGAGCGGCTTTTTGTTCTCCAAAGTCACGCAGCCATGCCCCTTCTTTTTCTCGTCTTTTGATTCGACGAGCCATAGTTTAGTTTACTCTTTTTGAGTTCAGTTCAATTTTTTTTTAATTCGAGCAACAGCAAGGGTGGTCCTACCATCATTTCAGCACCCATTCTGGGAGCCGTTTGTTATCTTTTGTTAGTGTCGTACTGTGCGAATGTTAATCTTCTTGGGGGAGGGGGATTCGTTTTGTTCGTTTGTTTGTTTGTTTGTTTGTTTGTTTGTGTTCTGTGTTCACGAAGCACACATACGGATGACACAAAAACAAACAAAGACATCCTTAATTTCCACAAAACGCGGGCACAACAGGCGCTCTGCAATGAACGGATAGAGAAAAAGAGGGTAGACATTGGGGGAGGAGGAAGATTCAAAGTGAGTTTGAGTTGGTGTTGGTATTTGGTATGAAAAGAAAATGGGGTGAGGGTGGTTTGGTTCTGTAGGCAGATTGGTCAAATGAAGGCATTCGCAAATTGAGCCGGTTCCTGTCTCGCTCTCCCTCACACAATTCAAGGGCACCGAGCGAGCCACAGCCTCGTTCCCCTAAAATCCGACCAGTCCTTTTGCGAGGAAGCAGGAGCACGCGACAAGGCATCCAGGTGCGTCATGGTACAGGATTGGCTAGAACTCTTTCGTCCACCTTGGATCTAAGGCCATAATAGATCAGGCCAGAGAGAGGGAAGAGACGAAAGACAGTTTCTAGACCAGTTTGTCGAGCATTGAAAAGAGAAAATGGTACCTGCCGTTGATACGATGCGGAGAGCGAGAAGGAAGAAGGGCGACAAACGGCCCTTTATTTCTTGCTAAGGTTTGCAAAAAATGAAGATTGGCGCTCTACAGTCGAATGTAACGATTTTTTGGACAAGGCAAAAGGCCAAGGGGCAAAAGTGTAATAGGCTCTGTTGGACTCACCCTCTTTCCTCCCTTCTTTTTTTTTTCTCTCTATCTCTTCATACTAAGAATTCTTTTTCTTAATGCCTATTGGGTTTATTTTAGGCGAAGACGAGTCATCACACGGGGACACAAAAGTTGACTGTCCACATTCGGCAAGGAGTCGCAGTACCTACTCTGCCGCCGGCTATTCATCATCATTAATTCGCGCTGTGATAGAGACTGATCCCTCCGTTGCAAGGCGTACATATCTGTTGATCGTCCCTCCTTCAACGACAATTCATATAAAGCAAGGCGCCCTGCTCCTCTTTCCCCTCTTTCCGCTCTTTCCTTCCCCCCTCCCCTCTCTCTTTCCCTCGACTCTGTCCTAATCACTCTTCACCCCCCTACCTTCTCTTCACCTCTCACTCTCTCACTCTCTCACTCTCTCACTCTCTCACTCTCTCACTCTCTCACTCTCTCACTCTCTCACTCTCTCACTCTCTCACTCTCTCACTCTCTCACTCTCTCACTCTCTCACTCTCTCTCTCACTCTCTCACTCTCTCACTCTCTCTCTCACTCTCTCTCTCACTCTCTCCTCACTTACGACTTTACTTCTCTTCACAACACTCCCTCCCTCTCCAACCTCCAACCTCCAACCTTCACAACTATCTCAACATGTCCAAGTACGAGGACGAATACGACATGTCTGATAGGTACGAGATGGACCAGCATATGCTGGCCGCCGGTCGCCACGAGAATTTGGCTCCCGAGCAAGAGGGTCTCAAGCGTGACCTCCGTCTCCGCCACATGATCATGATCGCCATCTCTGGTACCATCGGTACCGGTCTCTTCTTGACCTCCGGTGCAACCATTGCCACTGCCGGTCCCGGTGGTGCTCTTCTCGCCTATGTCATCATCGGTCTCTGGCTAGTCTTTGTCTGTCAGGCTATCGGTGAAGTCGCTACCCTCTTGCCCCTCCCTGGTGCCTTCAACGCCTGGGGTGGTCGTGTCTTTGATGAGGCCCTCTCCTTCCAAATGACTGTAAGTTTCCCACACAAGTCACATGCCCTATTTTTTTTATGTCTCAAACCATCTCCCGAAAACTCACACAGCGCTCTGTCTCTTTCTGCTTCTTCTAATGCATAAAAAAAGTACATGTATTTCATCTACTGGGCTTTGACCATCCCTGCTGAGTTGTCTGCTTCTGCTGTTATTATCGAGTTCTGGATTGGCAAGGATTCGTCTTTCCCTTCCTGGGTCGTCCCCCTTATCATTATCGTCTTGATGGTCTTCATCAACATGGCCGGTGTCAAGACCTACGGAGAGCTCGAGTACTGGTTCTCTATCCTCAAGGTTCTCACCATTATCATCTTCATCATCTGCGGTATCCTTGTTGATGCTGGCGCCATCGGTGGCACCACCTACGGTTTCTCCAACTGGCACATCGAGGGGGCTCCCTTCAAGGGCGGTTTCATGGGCTTCATTGCTACCTTGGTCACTGTCGGATATTCCTATGGTGGATCCGAGATGACTGGTGTCACTGCTGCCGAGTCCCGCAACCCCCACAAGCACGTCCCTAAGGCCGTCAACACCGTCTTGATTCGTATTGCCTTTTTTTACCTTATTTCGATCTTCTTGCTCGGCTCGATCGTCGCCAACAACGACCCCCTGTTGATCAACGCTGACGGATCTGCTGCCCATGCTCCTTTCACCATTGTCTTTGTCAAGGCCGGTTTGAAAGGCGCTGCCAACTACATGAATGCCGTCGTTTTCACTTCTGTCTTCTCGGCCATCAACTCTGACTACTACGTCGCCACCCGCATGCTGTTGTCCCTCTCCCGTAACGGTTGGGCCCACAAGAGAATCGGTTACACCAACTCGCGCGGTGTCCCAGTCGTCGCTCTCGGCATCGTCACTTTCTGCTCGTGCTTGTCGTTGATCACCATCTTCGTCGGCTCCGGTGTCGTCTTCCAGTGGTTCGTCTCCATCATCGGCTCCATCATCTTCCAGTCCTGGATCTTGATCTTGTTCCTCCACTTCCGCTTCCGTTACTGCTGGAAGGCTCAGGGCCGTGCTGTCGGCGAACTCCCTTACGTCTCCTGGGGCTACCCTTACGGTAACATCTTGGCCACCATTATCGGCTGCTGCTGCATTATTGCCACTTGGTACTTGTCGATCATCAACCCCCCTCATCACCCCGGTGCTGATGCCTCGGAGGACATGTTGGCCACCTACCATGAGGAGCGCGATGCGTATATCCAGGGTCTTTTGGGCGCCTGGTTCCCCTGGGTCATGTCCGCCATCTTGTTCTTCTCATACAAGTTCACGCGTGGTACCAAGTTGATCAAGGCTGAGGATGCCGATCTCGACACTGGTCGCTTTGTCCCCTCCGAGTCTGACAAGGAGGACTTGAAGCCCCACGGCCCTGCCTGGAAGCGTGTCCTCAAGATGTTTGTCTAAAAGGACAAAAAATGTCCGGGGAAGCGAACCAATAGCAACCATCCCATCATCATACCATTTACATTTGCATCCATGTACCATAGAATAAAAAATAGCCCCCTTCTCGCCTCTTTTTTATCTCTTGACACATTTGCTTCTGAGTGTCTGTTTCTCTTTTTTCAATGTGTTGGTTAACAAGAAGTGAAGCGAAATGCTTCGTCTACCAAGGCCTGAAGTGTAGACGACTTGATTCGCAGTCACAATGTAAACAACTTACTCACTCGGAGGCTCAAACCTACATTCCTCTTGACCTTCTTCTCTCCTCTCCGCACCCTCACACATACAACAATGGCCTCCCTCCTCAAAGTCATCCGCCCCGGGTTCATCGCCCAGCCTTCGGTAAAATAACAACTTATTGTAGAGCTGGATTCACACACAACAGCCAGGCGACACAATCAACCACTCGGAGATGCAGCAGTAATCAGACACGGCCTGTTCCTGAGCAACAGCCGGCAACAAAACGGCGGCCAGACGCAGCAAAGCGATGAACTACAGCATCAGCCGACGAGACGCAGTTTGTCCAGGCACACTCTCAACTTGGTGCAAGGAAGCATGGGGACACCAACATCAAATCCTTCTTGTGCTGTCTCCGCTCCCTTCTCATGCACATTCCCGACTCGCGTGTATGCTGATCACCTCTTTTTCTCACACTCCTTTCGCATTTACTTTCTACTTCTCGTCAACTCATCTAGGCTGCATTGAAGGCATTCGGTAAGCTACTCAATTATGTCGGAACACACCTCACGGTGACCATAGGCGTCAATAAGGAACACACGACCATGGAAGACTGTATCCAAACAGGAGAGACATGATACAACATAGACATCCAAATGGTTTCAATTGCTAACCAACACCTTGAATTGCTTTGTACCTACTAGCCACTTCCCGGTTCTCAACATTCACAGCACCCCGCGCCGAGGCGATCGACACACCATCAACATCCACACCCACATCACCCACCACATCAGTATCATCACAACACGAGGAGGAGCCTCTCAGCAGCTTCCATACACCTCTTCAAGCCTGGATCCGGGACTTCAAGACCAACGAGCCCAAGGATTTGATTCAGTTGCAGCGCAAGGTTTTTGGCGCACCCCTCCGCAAGGATATCTTGCACCGTGTTGTTGTCTGGCAGAGAGATGCTGAGCGTCAGGGAACTCAGTCGACGAAGTCTCGTGGAGAGGTTAGTGGAACTACCAGGAAGGCTGCCCCCCAGAAGGGTCGTGGTGCTGCCCGTGTCGGTTCCCTCCGCACCCCCCAGCGTCGTGGAGGTACGCTTTTTCTGCCACTTTTTCTTGATTGTGTGATCTAAGGACGCTCGTTGCACCAAGGCCACCGCTTTTGTTTGTTTGTTTGCCTGTGTTAATTCATACCTTCAATTCTCATACGATGTGTTGAATAGGTGGATTGGCGTTTGGACCCAAGCCTAGGGACCACTCGAGCGAGTTGCCCCGCAAGGTTCAGGATATGGGTCTCCGCATTGCGCTCTCGACCAAGTTTGCACAGGACCAGCTCGTGATTGTTGACGACTTGTCGTTGGATTCGCATAAGACTCGACAGTTTGAGGCGATCCAGCGTCGTCATGGATGGGATTCTGTTTTAGTCGTTGCCCATGCCGAGAACCAGAACTTGTGGCGTGCAACGTCCAACCTGCAGCAGGTTGATGTCGCAGTCATGCAGGAGGCTGATGTTTTGAGGCTGTTGAAGCGTCAGATGGTTGTTATTGACCGTCAGTCCGTCCGCTACCTCGAGAAGAAGTTGAAGGTCTAAAAGTTGTGAGGGCGAAATTGCAAGCAGGTGCAGGATTAGTTCCGAGAGAGAGAGAGAGAGAGAGAGAGAGAGGGTAATTGACGAGAGCTAAAAGTATGCGACGAGGGAGGACTAGCAGGAGAACAACTGCAGGACATTATTATCGATTCATTTTCATAGATTTTATCATCATTTCATGTGCAAAGAACACACTTTTACCATTCAACATACATGTGCAAGCAGGGCTGTACAATACAAGGGGCACACGCATTAACGTGGATCGGTCGTTGATGGAGAAAAAAGAAGCATTTATTCTTCGTCATGAAGGAAAAAAAGAAACAAAGAAGAGGTATAATAGGTGTTACTGTTGAAGACTATGCGTCTGGTTGTTGTTGAAAGCAGGCCGAGATTAGAGGTAGGGAGGAAGGAAGGCAATCCAAATAGACTGCAAGAAAGAAAGTGCTACCAAATTAGACGATGAAGGGGATGAACCTCCAGCGCTGGCTAGCATAAGTCTTCCATTCAGACCCAAAATGCTGCGACAGCATCTTTTCCTCTCCCTGGACTCTATAAAACGTCAACCCGTAGCAGATCAATAGCCCTCCAAGGGTGAGCAAGAGTCCGGGGACGGGGAGGGGCATCAAGGGCTTGATGATGTCAGTCCAGTAACCCTCGTAGGCGATCGAGAAAATGTACGGGATCCCGGTGAGCATGAGGCCGGTGTACGAGGGATGGAGGAGGTACTTGTAGGGTCCGTCTTGGACCAGGCGGTGGTTTGAGCGGATTGTCAATGAGAACTATGGTTGTTGTTTTTTTGAAGGGTGAGTGAGAGAGTGGGTTAAGAAGAAAGAAATTGAGATAAGGGGTCCTTTGTATTTGCATGCAGGAGGGTCGCCTGTTCATTTCTGAATGAGTTTTGTGCTCCCTTATTCCAATGGAGTCGTCCATGGTGTTCCTGTTGCTGCTAGCTCGTTCTTCATTGTCCACCCTTGTTTTCACAATGCCCACGCCTTCTTGATCCTTTGCAGCCTTTTGTCGTCCCTCGGTTCGTTGAATTTGTCTCGTGCTTTTTTTTTTGTATATCGGCTGGGAGAGAAGTCGGGGTCGTCGTCCTTACGCCTGTTACTTCTGTTCATGCTCGCGTGCTCCTTGTAATCACAGACAATAAAAAGGAAGAGACTTACGGTAAAGAAGCGATCCAGAGTCCTGAAGCTCCAAGTCCTCAACAAATACCCCAGCACTCCCGCAAACGTCGTCAAGACCTGCCAAGTCTTCAATTGTCCCGAGATGGTCCCCTTTGACATCAACAAGATATGTAACGCCGCCGCAATGATGGCAGCAGATTCTCCGAAACGGGGCATGATTTTGATCATGAGGAGGGAGAACCATCCTTCGTCCTTGACTTTGTCGGCCTTTTCTTTTGTGGTGGATGAGGCTGGGGGACGGATGGAGAGGATTGTGAAGAGGGTGTGGAGGGTGATGCAGGTTGCTTTTGCCAACATTTTTTTTGTCTTGTCTGTTGTTGTTGTTGTTGTTGTTGTTGTTGTTGTTGTTGTTGTTGTTGTTGTTGTTGTTGTTGTGTGGGCTGTTGTTGGTGGTTGGTGGATGGTTGTTATTGTGTCTGTGTGAGCTGACTTTTCTTGTTGCCGTCGGTGTTATTTGTTTGCTTGCTTGCTTGGTTGTTTGTTTGAGTTGCTGATGAACGAATGTAGAGAAGTTGAATGAGGAATGAGAGAAAGAAAGAAAAAAAAAGAAAAGGGGTGTCTCATCTCGCTTTTATAGCGTTTGTTTCTTGGCAGCCATGAAAGAAACACCCACTACTCAATTGGTCGCCCACCCATTCACGCGCAAGAATAAAGAAGCCCTTTCCAAAGGAACCGAATCGGGTGGTCGATGCTCTCAATCCATGACCATGTCACCCAACAGCAATGGTCACAACGTCGTCTTTTTTCTTTTCGTCCTTCCGTCCCTCCTCCTCAACAATCAACAAACAGCTTTACCCACTTGTTGTTGTCATACACCCTTGTTTCCATTCTCCGCTCATTCTTTTCCCTCTCGCTCCACTTCGTTCTTCCACACCCCACGAAATAGACTCTCGGCTCAGCCGAGCCTTTTGTTCAAAAATGGGGGGATGACGCACATGAGGGAGAAGGCACTGACAACAACTTGAGCCCGCTGTGAGTGCTATGATCCAAGTCCCAGCCGCTTGGTCTTCGTTTTTTATTTCTTTCTTCTGTGCGTCCATCCAATCCGAGCAAGGCTCTCTCGTATGTTCTTGTTGCCATGAAAAAGGCGTGGAGGGGACAGATGAACGCACACCCCTCGTGCGAAAAAATGTGAGGTGCATATGCCTCAACCGAACGTAGAAGATCAACAACCTAATTACATGGTATTACTCAGCCAAGAAAAAAAATGGAACACAACAGTCAAATCGCCATGCATCTGTTTGGAACAGGCACCCTAACAGAGAATGAAGCCGTTCACTTTTGTAAGGATTGTTCCGTCCCTTTGTCCCTCGTTCATTGTCCGATCAAGTCGTTCTGGTTTTTTTTCGCTTGTTCTGTATTTCTGCGCGGATGTTTGGGCATGTGCTCGCACATCACTCCCACTGACACACCTTTCTTGTTTCACCTCGGTTGGCAACCACCCCTTGCTTTTGCACACTGATAATCCACACTTCCAACTCCCCTTTGGTGCCTGCCGATCAAAACCAGATCAGCTAGTGATATTGATCAGTCGCTTCAAGGTAATCTTATTTTGGTATGCCATTTCATTGCTGGTGCGGGCGTGCGACGTCGTTCGTCGTCCGAAGCGAGATGTACCTCTGGGCATGCGTGATAGGGAAAGATGTATCACAGAGCCTGGGCACAAGCAAGACATCCAAGGTGTCTGCTGTTCCGGGAGACCCATTTTCGTCTTCATGTCTAAAGCATGACTATCGTGTTTGGGTGGAGTCCTGCTAGTTGACACAGTGTATATTCATCATTATGCTAGAGTATTGATGAATCGTAACTGCGAAAAAACACACAATAAGCAGAAGCCCAGGTCGAGTTTCCATTGTTGGTGAGACTGACTTCTTAATGCCAGTCAGCCAACTTGACAGCGTTGGTGGACAGGGCAGCACCTTGTTCTAACGACCTCTTCCTTCCTTCCAAGGGCATGGTCTAAAATCTAGTAAATGCAACGAGATATACTTCCTGCCAACTCAATTCCAGGCTGCAGCTGTTGGAACAGAGAGAGATAGAGAGTTCTTTTGTTCGAGTCGTCGAAAGGGTGAAGGTGAAAACCAAGGACGAGTGAAGGAGATGGAAGAGTAGATGTCATACCTTTGAATCTTGCCAAATAACCGAAGGCTCTGAATCGGGATGAGACGATGATTGGAGTGAGATTCATCCACTAGTGAATCGCCTCTTGGTTTTTGCTATGAATGTGGAATGTTTGGGTAGGTGGTCTAGAGACATTTTGATTTCCAACAGGGTACTCACACACGCCCACCATAGGGAGCCCCATGTGTTTCTTTGGCCCATATCTACCGATATTGTCAAGACCTTTGACGAGTAGAAGAACGGTGCGACATCCTTGCTGTCATGGATTTCTCTCCACTCTTCTAGGTGGATTAACAAGATGACTGCCAATGGGATCCTCGCAGTCATTTACACTCTTCATGGCACAAACATATCTACGTGGCGCTGGAAGAAAGTGGTATGTATCCATGGACATGTGTGGGATGGGAGGTTGTTTGGTACATGAGAAAGAGGATCCTTTTAATTCATTCTTTATTTTTGTGTGTGTACTTTCTTGTAAGTGTCTGAGACTGATCTTCTAGCACGGTGGGCGAAGTTGGCCCAACAACGATCAGTGAAACGAAGAAGGTTGTGTGTTTCGGTGATCTGATCAATATATCAATTCACGCTGGCTGGGTTGCAAAATATTGTGCTTGTGAAATCGAGCTGCCTTTTGGGTTCTCTGTGGCTGAGTAGATAGCTGTCACCCGTTAAACGCGCTTTTTTTTAGCGAGGTACTGATGAAGAGACTAGGCGTAGAGAACTGACAAACAATCAGCAGTACGCATTCTATATTCTTGAATAAAGCCGAGGTACGAAGGAGGGCTTGGATCTTCGGTGCGCCAACCCAACCGTACTTATATACCTTTTTGTCTAGAGAAACGATCTTTCATCTACTCGTAGCCTTTATCGGTAGGTAGCCTTTGTGCGCTGCAAGGAGAGTTTGTTTCTTGCGCAAAGAATCGGACATGGCCCTTCAGAGCGCAATATATGTGGTGGGTGTCACTTCTTGGATGAGGCGTTTTCCTATTCACAAATCGATTGTGTTGGGCAGGGTGGGCTGGAGCAAATGGTGAAAAAGAAAAGTAGCATGCCCTTGGTCGCACAACATCCTGGAGGAGACTGAAAGGCAAGAGCGACAAATTGTCGGGGAAGGAAAATCTAATTTTCGTCTTCATGTTCCTCTTCCCATCTACTTTTTTTTTTTTCTTCATCCGATTCCGACATTCATCTCTCTTTTCTTTTCTTTTCTTTCTTTTTCACCTTTCACCTCCTCCTCATCCTCACTTCACACAAGGAGAAACCTATACCCTCACTATGTCCACCACCGCCACCAACGATAAACCTACAGTGCTGATTGTTGGGGCAGGCCTAGGAGGCCTTATGCTCGGCGCCCTCCTCGAAAAGGCAGGTGTCCCGTACATGATCTTTGAGCGTGCTACCACCGTGAAGCTATTAGGTATGTGTCCAGTGATGTCAAAAGCTACCAAAGATGCCACTTTTTTTGTCATCGTCTCTAATACATTAGTTCAATGTTCTTTGCCTAGGCTCGGCCATGTCAATCGGTCCCACGCTGCTTCCCATCTTCCAGCAACTGGGTATCTACGACGACATCGTTGCCACGAGCAAGTACATGACCCACATTGATACATACAATGAGGACCTGGAGAGTTTGCAGCGCTCCGACTACAGACCCATCGAGGAGTTGTAAGTTCCCTACCGACAAACATGCGTTGATTTTGTTCTAGCAGTGAACCTTCCGAGACTAACAGCCACTTTCTCGTTTGTAGTACCGGCTATGGACATTACATTATTGCGCGACCCAAGTACTACGAAATCATGTTGAAGCAGGTCCCTCCCCACAAGGTGCACTTCGGTAAGCGCGTCCTCGACATTTCCGAAAAGGACGACAAGGTCACCGTTCACCTCGTCAACAATGAGACTGTCGAGGGCGACATTGTTGTGGGAGCCGATGGTGCCTACAGCGTCATCCGCGAGCGCTTGTATGGGCAGTTGAAGGCCAAGGGAGAGTTGCCAGAGGAGGATCAGGAGGATCTTCCGTTCAGCTGCTATTGTCTGGTCGGGCAGACCAAGGTCCTTGATCCGGAAGAGTTCCCTATCGTCAAGGAGCCAATTTCTCAGTTCCGTGCTATTATTGGACGAGAAAAGCCATTCTCTGTAAGTCCATGATACATGTTTGCGGTATGCATGATTGTTTCGACAAAGACGATGGTTGGTTACCGACATGCGATGTTAATGTGCAGGTCTCGCTTCTTTATTTTGCGATATGTAGTGGGTTTTTATGACGACCTCCGAGCGCACGATTTGCTATTCAAATATTCAATATTTACCGCAAACATCGAGCAAGTCGGCAAAACAGAAGAAGGCTCAAGATAATGAAACCGCTGAATGGGGCACGGATTCGACGCAGGCCATGTGCGAGGAAACTCGGGACTTTCCTCTCCAGCTCGACGACGGGAAGAAACGGACCATGGGAGATCTCTATGATGTTACACCCAAGGAATTGATCTCCAAGGTCGCGCTAGAGGAGAAGGTCTTCAAGACTTGGTACCATGGGCGTGTTGCTCTGATGGGTGATGGTATGTTCTGGCACAATTTTCTCGGCGACCCTTTAGATCCACTGCGTGTTTGACACCAAAGACTAATGATCTACCTCCATATCTCTCCACTATAGCTTGCCATAAGTTGAACCCTTCCGGTGGCCATGGTAGGTGCTTTGTTTGCCAATTTCGCCATAGACAATGAACATTTATTTATGTACTAATACATTTTCATGTTACAGGTGCGGTGACGGCTATGCACGATGGGATTGCCCTTGCCAATCTGATCTACGCCATGCCAACAAAAACATCAACCGACATTAACAATATCTTTAAGGAATACCAGGAGGAGAGATACCCTGCTGTGATGGTGTCGTTCGAAAACAGTCAACTCATGAGCAAGATCACGGCTCGTGGAATCATTGGCGCCATTATTTTCTTTATGGTCACCTACATGCCCTTCTGGCTGTGGAAAAAGGCGGTACGTCCTCTTGCATTGTCTTTTCTTTCTTGTTAAGTTGACCAGCAAGACGAAGCTAACAATTCCATACTCCTGTTCTTTTATTGTTGACCAAAAGTTGACAAAAACAGTTCGGTACCGCCCTCAAATTGGATTCCTTCCAGCTATTCCATACATGGGTAGTGTTATGCCTTTTGTGTCGCCCAGTGAACGGAAGGCAAGGGCTATCTTTGAAAAACAACAGGATGCTGCTACTTCTGTCTAATATGATGGAGGATGGGCCGTGTTCAGGAGACATATTCACATTGAGCGAATTAAAAAGAACATGTGCCATCTGTACTGTATCCTTTACACTGACAGTAAATGCTGCAAGATAATCAAGCAGAAATCTTATGGAGGTTGATGAAGGTATGCACAGGTGTCAATGCTGCATGCGATAATAACACTGAAACCAAAGGGAAGGGGTACGGCGTTTACATGAAGGGACGCACAGTGGCTGGAAGGGGAGGAGGAAGCGGTTTCTATTGTTGTTCGAAAACATGGAAACAGATGAAGGGAAAAGTGTGTCTAACACGCCAAAAATAATTGTAGTATAGTGAAGAAACACAGATATAGGTTGAGGAAATACGGTGGTAGAGTGAAGAAACACGGCTGTATGGACAAGACACCATTTTTTTTCATCCAAGCACCTCTCTCCTGCATAGACAGTCCCCATACGTCTCCACTTGCTCCAACAAACTCCATTCCTCCCGGAGAGGGCTATATATCTCGCACCTTCCATCTTGAATGTAGTGCTTCTGTGCCTTGCCCCTCCCTATCCGCAGTTCAAGACGCAGAGAAGTATGGGTAATGAGTAAACCAGTGAGAGGGTAAGCGAATGGCCAATGCAAGGGTTCATATCCTACCGGTTGTAAGACGAAACACAAAAAGTCAAACGAAAATTTGGTGCAAAAAAGGGCTGGGTAAGTGTTCTTCCCAGAATCCTGAACCAAAAAAAATGAGATGGAGTTCGAAAAGGAGGGTGCAGAGTGAAACGTGACGTACGAGAGCCGTGTAAAATAAAATTGGTCCAAAGAACTCCAGTCCCATCCTTCGCCCGCAGTCGACTACGAATGAGAATCTTCATTTTTTCATAGTTTCCACACGTACATTTGTCAGACAAAGATGAAGAGAATAATACTCCGATCTCCAAAGCCATCCCCGATCTCTCGCTTTTTGTTGCTACATATAAAAGGACGTCCCTACCCCTATTCTTTTTCTTCATTCTTCACTCTTCATCCCTCTTTATACCCCTGTACAAGAATACACTCCAAGGAACTACCACCATGGAGGCCACACCAACAACAACGATAGCAACCATAACAGCAACATCAACTTCTTCACCACCACCGTACGACGCTGGTGGTGCACTCGACATCCCTCCTTCGACCACCGCCTCGACTATCGAGGCTAGCATCCATGGTTTTGACTCCAACGAAAAGTCCATTAGTGACAACAAGCTAGAGAGCGACCTTGAACAGCAGGATAAGCCTTCCAACCACACACCAACTGGCATCCGTCGCTTTCTTTTGCTCCTTGGGTATGTTTCCTCAATTGTATGCATTGGTTGCCTCAGAGCAAAAAAAAAAAAAAAAAAAAAGAAAGCTAGCCACCTAACATCTCCTCTTTCCGTTTTATTTATTACTTCAGTCTCTTCTTAGGATGCATCTTGGCAGCACTGGACAACACGATCGTCGCCACCGCCTTGCCCCAAATCTCCTCCGACTTCAACGCCCAATCCCAGATGGCATGGATCGCAACCGCATACCTTCTCGCATACACCGCCTTCCAATCCCTCTACGGTCGCTTCTCCGATATCTTTGGCCTCAAGACCATGTACCTCGGCGCCAGCGTCATCTTTCTTATCGGATCTATCGGCTGTGGTGCCGCTTCGTCTATGATCATGCTGATTATTTTCAGAGCCGTCCAGGGAATTGGTGGAGCAGGATTGTTGTCGATCATGATGATCATGGTCTCAGTCATGTTTGGCGACATCAATGAGCGCGCCCGGTACCAGACTCTGGGGTATTTGGCGTTTGGTATTTCGGGCATCTGTGGGCCCTTGCTCGGGGGCGTCTTTGTTGAGCATTCGACTTGGAGATGGTGTTTCTACATGAACATCCCTATCGGCGTCTTTGCCGTGCTCCTCGTCTTCAAGTTCTATCAGATCCCCTTTGAGCGCACCGAGACCTTGCAGAAGAAGCTGAGAAGAGTCGACTACTTTGGAGTGTTAATCACTATCGGTGCCGTCTTGTGTCTACTCCTGCCACTGAACTGGGGTGGTACCGCCTACGACTGGAACTCTGCCGTCATTATTTCGCTCTTCTGCATCATGGGCGTTTTGATCATCGTCCTCGTCTTTGTCGAACAGCGTGCTGCAGAGCCTATTATCCCCATGTACCTCTTCCTCAACCGCGAGGTCGCCCTCCTCGTCACCGTCAACTTCCTCACCGGACTCATCTTTAACGGCTGTGGCTTCTACATACCCCTCTACTTCCAAGTCGTCCAAGGCACATCTGTCACCGACTCGGGTCTCCGTCTCATGCCTGCTGTCCTTGGCGCCGTCTTCTCGACCGGCTCATCCGGCTTCCTTCTCGCAAAAGTCAAAGACTACCGCCGTTTCATCACCCTTGGCGCTGCAACCCTCACCCTCTCCGTCGGTCTCTTCATCCTCCTCGACGAACATACCTCGCTCGCAAAGCAACTCATCTTTGTCCTCATCATGGGACTTGGCCAGGGATTCATCTACCAGAACTGTGTCCTCGCCTGCCAGGACTGCACCGAAGCCAAGGACATGGCCGTCGCTACTGGATTTGTCGTCTTCATCAACAGTATCGGAAACGCCGTCGGTGTCGCCGTCTGTGCCTCTGTCATCAACAACTCGCTTACCACCAACCTTGCAAAACTCCCAGAGTCCAGTCAAGCCGTGTTCCGCGAGTTGAACGTGATTGAGAACATTAATGTGATCTTTACGTTGCCTGAAGAGTTGAAGGCAGAGGTTGTGCATGCGTATGCGTTGGCGTTCAGGACACTGTTTACTATACTGACGCCGATGATTGGACTTGGGTTCGTGTTGTCGCTTTTTGTTAGACGCAGAGGATCCCTTGCCAGGAAGGAGTAATCTATTTCGTTCATGGTCATTTGCATTAGCGTTTTTTTTTTATACCCCAACCTACTCTCACCATCGCATTTTTTTCATGCTTAATACCTTTCTCAAAAGGGAGCTTAACCCACAGGTTTGGCTCGAAATAAATCATTGAAAAAGAAAGTTGTAGTCTGCAACATGTTGGTCCTAGTTATGAAGATAGAGCAGGGGCAGAGGTGACCAAGACAAAAAAAGACAACAGCTGTACTGCAAGTTATTCGTTGTATTATTATTTTTCCTCATAGAACAGACTGGGTGTTCTCATCAGCAGAAATTGACTAGCTGATGGCACCGCGCTGCGCCAGCAGTCGTCGGTTGACCGTACTGAGACTGATGGTATCGGCCAAGGCGAGACCTCAAGCTTCAAGCATGCCTCCTCCGTAACCCCACACCAACTGTACTAACACCTTATCCAATCCCTCAACCGCCCTCCACATTCGAATGGACTCATCAACACCTGTAGTAGCAAGCTCCAACGTATTGGGCAATGTCCGTGGACACACTACTGTAATGCACGCTTCAAAGGCCGTCACAATTCTGCCTTCAGGAGCAACATCCAAGGGGCTCTTTAAGATAACAACCTTAAAAATCCCCATGCTCGCTATCCATTGTCCACAGGACGAAATCGTGATCCGCTGGACAAAACGTTGTTTTCTCAGGATGGTTCGGTACTCTTCGCTCTCACCCCCCGCCTTGCTCATAACCAAAGGTACTCTCTCCCCATACGGTGGCACGAAATGATCTGGAAGCTCGTCGTTAAGAACGCAAAGGTCATCCAAAAGGATCGCCAGTTTCGATGCGGGCCTTCTCAATTCCAGTGCTCGTCTCTCAGACAATTATATCTCTATCTCCGCATGCTACCATAGTATCGTAACCGTTAGGAGAAAATGCCAGGCTCAAAACATATAGCCATCGCCAAGAACGTGTTTTCTTGCGCCCCAAAGTCGAACTGTAGAATCGCTGCTACCGGAAGCAATCTAATCGCGGCATGGTAAGTGAGCCAGAGCCTCCACCTAGCCCGCAATCGGCAACGGTATGTATTTGAACGTCGCACAGACATGCCTTGTGTGTGGTCGGAGCAGAAAAGGAGCCAAATGCTCACACATCTCTAAAATTCGATATGTACTGTACATGAACTTGGGGAATAAAACATAGGGCACACATTTCTTCGTCGTTGTAGCCCATTTTCTACAGGAGTCGACAGAGAATGAACAGGATATAAGGAAAAAGAGAGTCTACTCTTTTACCTTGATCCTAATGGTACCCTTCCTTGGAGGAATCTTTCAGCATGCTGCTCTATGTACCGCTATGGCTCCTCCGACACATGCGTCAAACTTATTGAGAAATAGCGCAAGGGACCCATGAAAAGAAAAAATGAAGAAAATGCTCAATCACAGAAGACAACGGAAGGTACTGTTGCACAAACAAATGAAGGCAGGAAAACTATCGGCCTAATGGCGCTTGCCATCGACGACAGAGAGAAGAAAAAAACGAACACCCTCCTCTTCATCTCGCATCTCTTCTCATCCGAATCTCATCGTCATCTCAATTCGACTTCGCATTCCTTCGTCAACACTCCCCATTTCCACTCACCCACCATGTCCAGCAATGACAAACCAACGGTCCTTATTGTCGGAGCAGGCCTAGGACCTATGCTCGGTGCCCTTCTCGAGAAATCGAATGTTCCATACACCATCTTTGAGCGCGCTGCCATGGTCAAGCCCCTGGGTAGGTGACTTTTCTGTCTCCATCAACAACTAACATACATTTATAAGCGCTGCTATTAACCAACCACTTTTACATTAGATTCTCTCAGGATCGGCAATGTCCATCGGTCCCACGCTCCTTCCTATCTTCCAACAGATGGGAATCTATGATGAGATCGTCGCCACGGGCAAATACGGATGTCATATATACAGCCACAGGGAGTCACTGGAGCCTTACAGACCCCAGGACTACAGCATCATGAAAGAATAGTAAGTTCATATATTTCTTGGTTGATCCCATTCGATCTCTTCTGTTCTGAGCAATGGTCAAACTTTAACGCTGTTCTTTCACTTTTTTTTCTTAGCACTGGCTATGTACATTATTACTCGCCCCGATTACTACAGCATCATGCTGAAGCAGGTTCCAGCCCACAAGGTCCTTTTCGGTCATCGCGTGTTGAACATCACCGAGGAAGGCGACAAGGTCACCGTTCACCTCTCCAATAACCGAACCTACAAGGGTGACATCATTGTTGGCGCGGACGGATCCTACAGCGCGGTCCGTCAGCGTATGTACGAGCAACTGAAGGCTAAGGACCTTCTTCCAAAAGAGGATCAGGAAGATCTTCCCTTCGGCTCGACCTCTCTCGTCGGCCAGACCAAGGCTCTCGACCCCGAGGAGTTTCCTATCGTCAACAAGCCCCATTGCCAGTTTCTCGGTTTCCTTGGAGACGACAAGCCGTATACTGTAAGTTGACGTTTGTCATACTTTTTGAATGACAATACTGGGACGATAACAACGATTATATTAACTTGCGATACTGTCTCTACATTGACATGTAGTGGTGTGTGATGAGTACCACCCAGAAAACGCTCTGTTGGATGGTTATTCACCACCTATCGAAAAAAAACCGAGTAAGGAGGCAATGGAGCAGCGTTTCCGCAACAGCGAAAACTCTGGCGAGTGGGGAGCTGCTCCAGCCCGATGCATGATGCGATTACACTCGCTAACTTGATTTACGTCATGCCAACAAAAGACGTCGGACGATATTACCAGGATATTTGAAGAGTACAAGAAGGAACGTTACCCAGCTGTGATGGCATCATACAAGAGCAGCCAGATCATGGGAAAGGCTATAGAAGAGTATCATTGGCAAGCTCATCCTTTTCCTCATGACTCATATGCCCATTTGGTTGTGGAAACTATCGGTACGCCTTTCGGCTTCTGTTTAGAATTTTCGTTGGCTTCGCTTGTTAATTTTGGCAATTGAGACAGCTAACCTAACATCTCCCTCCTCCTTTCTTTGTTTTTTGCTATCAACAGAAAAAGTTGAAGACGCTTCTGTACAGACCTCAGGTTGGGTTCCTGCCAAACATTCCATTACAAGGCAGTGTGGTTCCGATCGTGTCACCCAGTGAACAAAAGGCCAGGGCTCTCTTTGAGAAGCAACAACAACAGGACCAGCAGCAACCTCGATCTAGAGATTTGAGCGAAGAATCACAATTGCAACACCAGGTAACAAGGGTTCTACCATAATTCGCCCGCTCTATGGTCTCATATATCCTTTGTGCGTGGCCTGGCAAAGCCTGGTGAGCAGCGGCAAGTGCAGTTAAGATTTTAGGTTCCAGTAGAAGGGTGAATAAGAAGTAAATGGATTGCTCCTCAGCACACATGCATGTCATACCAAACACAGACTGAAATTGGGGCAAAGGGAAAGTTCGACAGGGACCAGATGGCAACTGTACAGAGTCACACCATGTAGTGCCATTACCCGTCTTCTTTGTCTCCCTTTTCTGGAGACATGCGGTGTTTGTTGCCCCACTCACTTCTTTACGACGGTTTGAGGTATGTCATTTGGTGCTCAACTGTCAAATGAGGGTACCCAGAGTTCATGGTCCCACTGCACGGACAGAAAACGGCTGTTGAGATGCAGAAGGGGAACAGCAGAGGGTAAAGTATGCTCTCATAGAGAAAGTGAAATTGATGTAGCACAAACGAAATGGAAGACGGGCATCCACCAAACAGACACAGTTGGCGTAAAAACAACACTCGCACCTCTCCTGACCTCTTCCTCGTCAGATTCATTCATCTCGCTCCATCTCTCCTCTCATCCGAATCCCATTTTTCTCCATCCCTCCTTCCCGATTCCTCTTCAACCCACTCATTACGCCGCTGCTCTCATCCACCATGACCACCAACGAAAAACCAACGGTTCTTATTGTCGGAGCGGGCCTGGGAGGTCTTTTGCTCGGAGTTCTCCTCGAAAAGTCGGGTGTTCCTTACACCATTTTTGAGCGAGCCGCCACCGTCAAGCCATTGGGTATATGCATCACTCGATTTTCACTATACCCAGTGCATAAACAGTTGCGACCGTCTTTTGCTAACCGCTATTGTTCTTGGTTGCTGTTTTCTTCTAGGTTCTGCTTTGGCCGTCGGCCCTACTCTTCTCCCTGTCTTCCAGCAAATCGGGATCTATGATGACATCGTCGCCGCTGGCAAGTATCTGACCCACACGACGGGCTACAAGGAGTCACTGGAAGTCATGAAAGCGACCGACTACAGGCCAGTCAAGGAGTTGTAAGTTCCTGTCGAAAAAAACATGCATTGTTTTGTATTCACGTAGCTAGATTGTGTACGTCTAATACATTCTTCATTTGTGTTTTAGCACCGGCTATGGAAACTACATTATTGCTCGTCCTGCGTTCTATGACATCATGCTCAGGCAGGTCCCAGCCCACAAGATCCATTTTGGTCATCGCGTTCTGAACATCTCTGAGGAGGATGGCAAGGTTACCGTTCACCTCTCCAACAACCAAACCTACGAGGGCGATATCATTGTTGGCGCAGACGGAGCCTACAGCGCAGTTCGTCAGCGCATGTACGAACAATTGAGAGCTAAGAACCTTCTTCCAAAAGAGGATCAGGAGGACCTTCCCTTCAGCTGCACTTGTTTGGTCGGACAGACCAAAGTCCTCGATCCGGAAGAGTTCCCTATTGTCAAGGAAGTACACTGTCAGTTCCGCGCATTTCTTGGAGAAGACAAGCCATACACTGTAAGTATACGTCGATCTCTCAAAAATGATGACTTTGACAAGGGCGACTGTAGTGCAGTACCAACAGAAGATGTTTACAATTATTTACTATTCCTTTGTTGTTATTAGTGGGGGTTCATGACGACAGCCAGTGGAACATTGACCTGGAGCGTCATCCATCATTTGAACGAAACAACAAGCAAAGCGGCCATGGAACAACGGTTTATGAACAACGACAACGCAGAATGGGGCAACCACGCCGCTGCGGCCATGTGTGATGAGACTCGGGATTTCCCTCTCCAACTCGACGATGGGAAGAAACGCACAATGGGTGACCTCTACGACTTGACCAACAAAGATTATATCTCCAAGGTCATGCTGGAGGATAAGGTCTTCACGACTTGGCACCATGGCCGATATGTCCTGATGGGAGATGGTATGTGTTGGTATGCTTTTTCTACTGACCTTTTGGACGAATTTCTGCCTTGACCTCCATGGACTAACGATCAACTGCACATTTACCTTTTATTGCAATTAGCCTGCCACAAATTGAACCCTTCTGGTGGTCATGGTAAGGGCGTTGTTTTGCCAACTTCTCGCCATAAACAGCTATCATCCTACTATTTGCTCATACATATTTTCCATTCTCCCTTCATTATGCAGGTGCAGTGACAGCGATGCACGATGCTATCGCGCTCGCCAACTTACTCTACGCCATGCCTACTGCTACATCGAGCGACATTACCAGGATCTTTGAAGAGTACCAGGAGGAGCGATACCCTGCTGTCATGGTATCCTACAAGAACAGCCAGCTCATGGGAAAGAGACTGGACAAAGGAATCACAGGGGCCATTTTCCTGTTCCTCCTCACACATTTACCTATGTGGCTCTGGAGGATCGTGGTATGTTCTTTTCTTGTTATTTTTTTTTTGAGTCTTGTTGTATGGTAGTTGTGAAATTGATGGTGGGCGATGAAACTAACATCTCGTTTCTCTTGTTGTTTGTTCGCTGACAAAAAGCTATCAAAGACAGTTCAACACCGACCTCAAATTGGGTTCTTGGAGGCTGTTCCTTATATGGGTACAGTAGCCCCCACCGTGTCCCCCAGCGAACAAAAGGCCAGAGCGGCTTTTGAGAAGCAACAGCCGGCCGCCTCCGTCTAAAGTCTATGTAGACAACCCAGTTATTAAACACAAGCATCATCTAATACAGCGTGGTTGGATAGGAGAAAGACGAGATGTGTCACTGACAAGCGGTGTGGTAGACCAAACAACCATTTCTCAGATAGAAGAGCCCAAAACAAAGTGAATGGAGAAAAGAATTTGAAGGTGTGTGAGCGTGAATGTGTCCACTGTGCGTGCAATTGAGCGGAAGGGAAGGGAGAGTGATAATCCAACTCTAATGGTTTCGGACCGTTGCAATTTCTTTTCTTTTGGTTGTTTAGTGGTGAGGACCGTTGGTGAAGGAATCACAATCAAAGAGAACGATCGTTCATATCACCATTAGTGATTGAAAAAAGGAAAGTGTGAAAGAAACCGCTTGATCAAGGATGGGTACACCTTTTTCCGAATTGATATTCACTTCGAAGGACGAGCAGGGCAATGCATGTCGGGCAAAAGAAGAAATCAGTTCAAACACCGCACACAGGCATGCATGCAAACAGGCGGATGCTTGAAAAAAGAACGCTAGCCTTTCTCTCACTCGCACGAAAAATGTGCTCACCCGTTCGAAAAGTCTAACAGGATGGGGAGCAAGCGAGGAATTATTAGACGCATCGGGGCACCCATCCCTCATTTCACCTTGGTAAAAGAGACGGTCCGACATCCCTTTACGACATGACTCTGCTCATTCTTTTCTTTTCCAGCCAAATCGAACTTACCCTTCTGTCACGGCCTCGAGAACAATTGATGTGCAATATCAGGCGTAGGGAAGCCATTGGGAGCAAGGACAGACAAACCAAAAAAAAAAAAAAGAGAAATTGCTCACTCACAAAGGGAGAGGAGACATGGTCGCACAGAATATCAAGCAACTTCAAATGTCCGACGATGTAATTCAACCAGTGGGGAGTCAGGCAATGGGTCTTCCCTTCTTGTCCCTGCCTTACTTCCCATCTCTTCTTTTTCTCCCATCTCAATCAGATTCACTCATCTGTTTTTCTTCATTCCTTAACACGATTACTCCTCATTCGACCCCCAACCCACCCCTCACCCCTTAGCTATACTATGTCCACCAACGATAAACCAACAGTCCTTATTGTAGGCGCAGGACTGGGAGGCCTTATGATGGGCGCCCTTTTCGAAAAGTCGGGTGTGCCCTACACCATCTTTGAGCGCGCTGTCGCGGTGAAACCCTTAGGTATTTTAACTACATGCCACATCAACCAACACGCTAACGAGACAAGGTATAACGCTCGTTACTGACGAAGTGTGGTCTGCGTTCTCTTTCTGTAGGCTCTGTCATGTCGATCGGGCCTACGTTGCTCCCTATCTTCCAGCAGATGGGTATCTATGATGACATCCTGGCCGCGGGCAAGTACATCACGCATACCGAGACTTATAAAGAGAACCTGGAGAGGTACCGAGCTGCTGACTACAGGCCCATCGAGGAGTTGTAAGTTCCCTTCTTTCATCCGTCGAAGATCCTTGCGTCCTTTTGTTTCTTTTGTCTGCTCAGGCAACGGTCTAATTCTGTCGACGAATGGGGTGTTTTTCTTGCATAGCACGGGCTATGGACAGTACATTATCGACCGTCCTACGTACTACAATATCATGCTCAAGCAAGTCCCAGCCCACAAGATCCACTTTGGCAAGCGTGTCACCGACATCATCGAAACGGACGACAAGGTGACCATTCACCTCTCTGACGGAGAGACGCACGAGGGCGATATTGTTGTGGGTGCCGACGGTGCTTACAGTTCAGTCCGCGAACGCATCTACGAACAACTAAAGGCCAAAGGCAAGTTGCCAATGGCGGATCAAGAAGAACTCCCTTTCAGTTTCATTTGCTTAGTTGGCCAGACCGAGATCCTCGATCCCGAGGAGTTCCCAATCATCAAGGAGCCTACTTGCAAGTTCCGTGGATTCCTTGGAAAAGACATTCCCTTCACGGTAGGTTGAGAGATGAATATCTTTTACTCCACACACACACCTTTCATCAATCGATAAAAACGGACACTAACAGGCAGAAACACCTCCTCTTCGACTCATAGTGGGCGACGTTCACGACAAACAAGAATAATTTATGCTGGATGACCTTTAACCACCTCCCAGAAAAAACCAGCAAGGCCGCCATGGAAAAGAAGGCACAGAGTGGCGAGACCGCAGAGTGGGGTGCCTACCCGACCCAAACCATGATTGACGAGACCAGGCATTTTCCTATCCAGCTCGACGACGGGAAGAAGCGCACTATGGGCGATCTGTACGACTTGACGCCCAAGGATCTTATTTCCAAGATCATGCTGGAGGAGAAGGTCTTTAAGACTTGGCATCATGGGCGTGTCGTCCTGATGGGCGATGGTATGTTACGGCACACTTCTCTCTTTCGACGACGCTTGGACGACCTTCTTTAGGAGCAGTAGACTAATGATCTGCTGTTTGTCCTTTCCTTTTCCTAATAGCTTGTCACAAATTGAACCCTGCCGGTGGTCATGGTACGTTTCCGTCTACATCGTCACTGTTCATCGACTAATTTAAAGGATGAGCCAAAGGAGGTGCGCCCAATTATTTACTCGTCCATTTCCCTTCACCTCTTCCCTTTATAGGCGCGGTGACAGCGATGCATGATGCGATCGCACTCGCAAACTTGATCTACGCCCAGCCGACAAAGACTTTAGGAGACATCACCAAGATCTTTGAAGAATACCAGGAGGAACGATTCCCCGCCGTTATGGAGTCATTCGAGAACAGCAAGGTTATGAGCAAGGCCGCGGCACGTGGTATCGCTGGCGCCATTCTCCTCTTCGTCATGACCCACATGCCTTTCTGGCTGTGGAGACTCGCCGTACGTTCTTTTGTATTTTTTTGTGTTTCGTTGGCAGTAGTTGTTGTGTTGTTTTAGGTATGCAGCTAACATTTCCCTCCTCCACTTGTCTCTTTGCCGTTGACAAAAAAGTTAAAGAAGACGGTTAGGTTCAGACCCCAAGTGGGTTTCCTACCAAACATTCCCTTGATGGGCAGTGTGATCCCTGTCATCTCGCCCAGTGAGCAAAAGGCCAGGGCTCTCTTTGAGAAGCAACAGCAAGTAGCTTCGATTTAATACAGTACAGGGACCTTCGACTGCGCTGTTAGTTCGGCCAATTCATATTCCGGATAAGTAAATATAAACAGAGGGCCGTCGCGTTGAGAGACAATTCAATTTGTGCATCATGCCTTCTAGGAATTGAGGCGGAGGAGGTGTGTGTTTGGTGGTGCAGATTTGATTTTCTTCCTTCCCAACTGACAGAACTTTAATTGGTGATCTGGGTCGATTTCACAGAGGGGGCGAAAGAAGACTGAAATAGAAAAGAAGAAAAGAAGTGAGGATGCCATGGTTGTGTGCGCGTGATACTTGCATTTTCTTTCTTGTTTGTCATTTGTTTATCCATGGCAGTGCTAGTAATATACAAAAGAAACTAAGATCTAATTTATCGAGGTTTTATACCGAAATAGGCAGGCATGGTGGCCCGTTTCCCGCTTTAAGGCTGGGGTTCATGGTGCCCATGAGGCGATGGGTAATGTGGTTCGTGTTGTGTCGCCAAGTGACCAAATGGGCTAGATCAGTCTTTGAAAGAAGCAGGAGAAACAGCAGCAGTGAGTGTCCCTGTTTCTGAGAGGCTACTTTTGTCACATAGGCAAGAAGTGGGCTGTTCCGAAGTGCTATGTAAGGTGCGCCATGGTGGCCAATGTGCGTAGGATATAGTGTGCACTTGCTGGGATCTGGAGGGTACCCTTATTCGCATTTGAGTTCAGTCCTCAGACCAAGTAGAAGACCTTAATACATTCAACGTTCAATGTGTCTGCGTGTGAAAACCAAACAGAAAGACCTGTTCGTGCGTCTGGAGTTTCCTTGGTTTGTACGTCGTGGGAGGTACATTTGGTTTGGTTTCGATTGGCCAACCTTGTTTACAAACAGAGAACAGACAGGATGGGAAGTAGCAAGATGGACAAAGAGGGCTCATCCATAGCACCCCGATATGCATTACAGAAGCCGGACAGAGGGAAGACGGGAGATGAGGAGGTGGAAGAAAAGTGGGATAGATAGATGAAAACAATAAACCGCGGAGAAGGAAAACTGGTCGTCTGTCGGCACCTTCTTGCCCTCACTTCCACTTCCTCATCTCACCTCATCTCGATTCATCTTGTTCTCTTCCTCTCACTCATCTCACTCATCTCATTCCACTTCCACTTTTTGCACTCTCTCTCTTTCGCCCTCTTTATAGCCACACTGTATCACAATGTCGACAACCACCAACGAGAAGCCAACAGTCCTTATTGTGGGAGCAGGACTGGGAGGTCTGTTGCTCGGTGCACTCCTCGAAAAATCCGGAGTGCCTTACAACATCTTTGAGCGTGCCGCTGCTGTCAAGCCCCTGGGTATGTCCATCGTGAACAGCAAAAATAACGACGAGGACAACAATATCAACGACAACAAGGATACTCAAGGACACTTGTCGAATGATGGATACAAAGATGACCGTCGTGGCTCAAAAAGCAACCCAGCTTGAACTCCCTCTCACAGAACTGTGTTCTTTGCATTTGTGTTTAGGTTCTGCCATGTCCGTCGGTCCTACCCTGCTCCCCATCTTCCAGCAGTTAGGGATCTACGACGACATCATCTCCATTGGAAAGTACATAACCCATACTGAGATCTTCAAGGAATCTTTGGAACCTTACAGACCCACCGACCATCGACCCGTGGAGGAGTTGTAAGTACCCCTGCTCCTTCAGCTGCGTCTGCTGCTGCTGCTGACCTGTCGAAAAATACATTATGTTTCGATCTTGCGCTCTCACAAACCGAGCATTTTTTTTGACAATGCATGGCACCTTTTCCAATATCCCCCCTCCCCCTTCATATCATAGCACTGGATACGGTCAATATATCGTCGCTCGTCCCAAATTCTACGACATCATACTCAGGCAGGTGCCTCCCGAGAAGATCCATTTCGGCAAACGTGTTCTGAACATCTCCGAGGACGAAAACAAGGCCACGATTCACCTCTCCAACAATGAAATGTATGAGGGTGATATCGTCGTCGGAGCTGACGGAGCTTACAGCGCCGTTCGTCAGAGGATGTATGAGCAGCTGAAGGCAAAGGGAAGACTGCCCAAGGAAGATCAAGAAGACCTCCCCTTCAGCTGTACTTGTTTGGTGGGTCAGACCGAGGTCTTGGATCCCGAAGAGTTCCCGTGTATCAAGGATCCAATCTGCCAGTTCCGTGTCATCCTTGGCGAGGACAGGCCCTTCACTGTAAGTCGCTGCGTACGTTGCCTGTAAATAATAATAATTTGCCATTCCAAAGATAACACTAACAAAACGTCCGTCTTGCTTCCCCTTACGCCGAAACCAGTGGATCACGTTCACAACTGCACAGAAAACGCTCTGTTGGATGGTCATTCACCACCTATCGAAAAAAACGAGCAAGGAGGCAATGGAGCAGCGTTTCCGCAACAGCGAAAACTCGGGCGAGTGGGGAGCAGCTCCAGCCCAGACCATGTGCGACGAGACCAGGAACTATAGTGTGCAATTAGGCGACGGAAAGAAACGCACCCTTGGTGACCTGTACGACTTGACCCCCAAGGAATTGATCTCCAAGGTCATGCTGGAGGAGAAGGTTTTCAAAACTTGGCATTACGGCCGCACCGTCTTGATGGGCGATGGTACGTTTTTCATTTTGTTCCTCGGGCATTACTCAGCCATTTCTTGTTGCTTGTCATGTTTTCGTTCTCACACTTTGGGCTAACTACTGCCTTGTTCTTGTTCATCTTGAATTTCGTAGCTTGCCACAAGTTGAACCCCTCTGGAGGTCATGGTAGGTGACTTCCTTATATCTCGGTAATCAAGGAAACAGTTGTTACCAAGTCGATAATCACTCACACAAACTTTCCCCTCTTTCATTCCCTCTCACGCAATCGTCTACAGGTGCTGTCACAGCGATGCACGATGCAATCGCCCTCGCCAACCTTATCTACGCCGTCCCCACCACAAACTCTGCGGACCTCATTAAGATCTTTGAGGAGTACCAAAAGGAGCGACTGCCAGCAGTGAACGAATCCTTCAATAACAGTCAGCTCATGAGCAAAATCATGGATCGCGGGATCGAGGGCGCTATCATCCTTTGGCTCTACACTAATATTCCCTTCTGGCTCTGGAGATTGATGGTACGTCCTTCACAACCTACTTCATTTTGTTTTCACTTGTTGTTGTTTGTTGATATTGAAGTCGGCACAGATAGACATGTGCCATGCATGAAGAGACGTCGAGATATGAAAAGTGGAACTCACTAACGACAACCGTTTTTTTCTTTGCGCATCATTTTCATTCCAAAAGTTGGCCAAGACAGTTCGGTACAGACCGCAGGTTGGGTTCCTGCCAAATATTCCCCTGAAGGGCTCCGTTACTCCTTTCAAGTCGCCCAGTGAATTCAAGGCAAGAGCTCTCTTTGAGCAAAACCTGAAGTCTGTGACTTCTGTCTAAGAAAACCTTAGACCCCAAAAGGTACAGCGTGCCCCTCTTAACGTCGCAACTCCCGCTGTGGGAAGCAAACACTAATAAAAAATCGTGCCGTTTGCAAACAACAGTCGCTAGGCTCGCTTTTCTGGGATAATGCATGGTTGTCGTTTGTTACCTGCGTCATCTCTCTTGCATGCATTTTAACAACAAAGATCGAACGAAAGCGACGCGGTCACCACCGTCTGGGTGTGGTCAGTGGAGTTACCGAGGCGGTAAGACTGACAGTAGGGTCCAGACGGGAGGGGGCGACATAAACAACAGGGGCGACAGTTGACGAAGCCGACGAGTCATCTTGCATGATGGAGTTCCTGCAAGAGGACTGAGTCTTGGTGGTTAGGGTGGTGGTTATTGTCATCGGGAAGAGTGAGAGTAAACTAAAACCTCTGTACAGGTCAGATATTAACTTAACAGCATAGGTTTTTATTAATTTTGCGATTTAATATCTTCTGCTCATTGTCTTGTTTCCTTGCACCCATTGTCCTTTTCCCATTCATCGTTCTCTAATCATCCATTTCATCCTTCAAAACGTAGCTTTATTTTTCTTGTAGGGTAAGGTGCAATCAGCACTGTGGACTGCGGTGATATTCTTTTCGTTTTCATACGACTGGCCTTGTAGGGCGTGGGGAATTGTTTCTCATGTTTGCCTTGCTATGAGCTATTTGACAGGAGGTTGTCTACTCTTTTGGGTTGATGGCAGGTGTACCCATGCGATTTGCTGGTGCATCCAATTTTGTTAATGACTTCATTCGTTGTATTTCATATTGGATGGACTTGATGAGGGTGTCATGGAGGCTTTCATCTTTATATCTCTCGTCCGGGCTGATTGGCAGGAAGAGAGATGGACCTTCAAGTGATTACAACACAGCATGAAGGTTTATAATAAAGGTGTTTTGCACTATCTCCTATCCCCATACTCTTCTGGACTGCTGGCAGGAAGAGATGTCCATCCGGGTACACTGGGCTGCTGACAGGTGAACCCAAGGTAGGTCGGATGCACTGGGCGAATTGCAGGTGCATCCAATTTTTATGGCCTAGCTCAAGGTTGCTCGTGATTGGCAAGTGAATCCAATGCTTATGACTAAATGTATTGCTATTTCCTTCTCATCAGAGCAACATGGCTACCCTCCCATCATACGTTGGAACCACTGCAGTCCTTCCTGTGGACGTTATCGCCTTTACCTATTTCAAGATCACCAAGATATCGGAATGGGGTTTGGAAGGTTTCTTCACCTCCACTGGACTCACTGAGCTAGAGTTTGTGTCAAGCCTGAAGGATATCTCACGGATTATACAGTTGCCATCAGATATTTCGGATTTTCGCGAAGAGGCTGAACGATTACTATGGTGGCATCTTCCAAGATGAGTTCACTGACCTCGCGAAAAACAATGCCCGCAAAAATCTCAACTGCCAGCTTTTAAGTGGCAAAGAACATCTATTGGTCCAGAGCAAAGTGAACGAGACTATTGAAAGAGACATGGTAATTTTTTTAGATGGACTCAACTGAACACTTCAATTCGCCCACTATGTTAGCGAGTCTATTGCTTTGTTTCCCTCTGTATTTTGCTTGTGCTATTAGAACAACTTGCCTGATCCGTTCGCCACGTCGAGCCCGTCTATATGGAGCTTCTCATCAAGGTCGACCGGAAAGCAAACCGCTGCTCGAACGCCGCAGACTTCAAACAAGAAGAGGAGTGGAATCACCAAGGCTAGGGACGAGTATGTCGGCCTCGAGGAGGGTCTGGACAGCGATGAACACGATGATACAAGCGATGAGACTGTTGTGGCCGGACTGAAAGTTACTAAGAGTATGAGAGCTGGCAATGAGGGTAAGACAGTCGCGAGTGACAACGACAATGGCAATGATCAAGATGATGATGAAGACGACGAGGATGGCAACGGTGAAGAGACCGTTGAAGACTTGATTCAAGAGCTCCAATCATTGCAGGAGGAGTCTGAACCAGGTTTTCACCCGCTCATGCGGCTCATCAGAGCACTCTACCATGCAGTAAGCTTGTTTCGTCTCTACATTTGCTCTCCAGCGGTTTAAGAAGCCACAGCACAAACCCCGGTTGAGTATCTGCCAGTCGCTCCTATACAATTATGTCTGGAACCGATTGGATATGTTCCTTGAGTTGCCGACGGTCGAAAAGAAGGATGTGTTGTAAGGCGACTGTTTTTTGCATCTGTTCTCTATCTGTTATTTGCTGCGATGTATGTATTACCTTTGTTCTCATCATCCGACTTTTCATTATTCCTATCAATAGTGTTGCTATCAGCGGCATCGTGGATCTGGATGTTCATAAGGATTTCCCCCAACATGCCGATTTGCTGTCAGAGTGTCGAGCAGCCATCGAGTTGCAGTATCCAAAAATTCATGATCACCTTCAAACCTATCGTCAGTTTATGGACGACGACGACGGTCTCATGGAAGCCAGGTTGGGAGAACTCATGAATCAACTCAAGAAGGATATGTCTCGTTTTGAAGACGACAGCGATGAGATGGTCACCGCCGAGATTCTGCAGATTCTGTAGGTCATCTTGTCATAGTGATGATTGCCTTCCGGGGTATTGTTTTTGTTTTGGAAACTAATTCATTTGACATCATTTTCTTTTGCCTTTAGCGTGAAGCAGTAGATGCCTGATAAGTACGAGAGAGTCGAACCAACGGAGACCTCGACCCTTTATGTTTTTGTTCACCATCTGGAAACACCTTTTTTCTTCGACAGCCGTGGATGTTCAAATGTAAGAACATCGATTTCGTTGTCTTCAAAGTACTATTGTTTTTGTGTGCTCGATCTTACATACCGACTGTAATTCCCTTGTCCTGTCAAAATGCACAGTGAGGAAACGGTCTTGAAGGAGGCGCAACAGGATCAGCTTGCTGTGAGAAAAGTTGTTGGAGCTCGTGCTGCCAAGGGAGCGGCTGGAGCATCTGGCCGAGGACTTGATTTCCGTCTTGTTGCAAGCATCAGAAAGGCGCGCAAGTTCATTCCCTTCACACTTTGCAACAATGAACACAAGGCACCGGACACAACGCCTCAATTCATCAAGATCCAGTACAGAAAAAATATGCGTCTGAACAAGAGTATCGCCATGAATGGCTGGATCCCACGGGAGACTTCAACCATGTTTCTATATGTTGTTGGTGAGTTTACGTCATGTTTACTTGCTTTTGGTATCAACAATAGCTCTTTGCTTGTTCGAGTTGCATTTCATTTCATATTCGTTTAACTTCGTTTTGTTCTCATTCTTCGCTAGGGTTCGTGGGTGACTGGAATATCATCACACACCACGGCGATGTTATTTTATCATGTCAGGTACAGGACGAGCCTCTGATCTTGACAGCCAACGCTTTTGAGATGTGAACCTTCCTCTGCGGGGATGGCTGTAGCGCCTCCTGGGCTATCGGGTAAGTAAACATAAACGATTCACTTGTTTCCCAGTGTTGTTTTGAATGCGCTCGGAACTAATCACAAGCCCTGACCTGACGGGTATTACATACTTTTAGGAGCATATCTTATCTGTGACGAAGAAAAGCTAGAGATACATTTCTAACCCGCCAACACCCAGTACCCCTCCACGTCCTACCCAATTTCTATCACGGACCCCGCCGGCTTTTTACACTCCCACAACACCAAGAACAATGAATGCTCTGAATGAAAAAACCTTGCCAGCAAATAAAAAATAAGTCGGCGCGCTTGACTCGCATCTTCATTTTTCGATCTTTTTTTTTTGTTATTTGCGAAGGGCACCAGAAGAGATAATCGGAAAGTCAGAAGGTCAGGGCAGGAATCCGTGGACACGATCAGAGCGGATAGGAGCTATGACGGTAAAGACAACCAGACCCTGGAGATTCGACAAGCATCCAACCCAGTCTAGCAATCTTCTTATATACATAGTCACAACTCGCAAATAAAAAGAAAAGAACATGAACTCCTCAGTCCTTCAATAACTTGAGCAAAGAAGACCTTGTTTTATCCAAAGGACCGACATATCGGAGGACATCATGCAGGACATTGTTGAAGGACATGGTGCTTTACTTTTGCGTTTTAGTTGGCTAATGTACATGATACACCCCAGCAAGTTCGCGTCTATCTCCATCGTTTTTTTTCTCTCTAATAACCGACACGACATCTAATGCCAGGGCTCCCTCAGAGGATGGAATCGAGTAGAGAAACGGCATAGCCAACCACACACATTTGTAAACCAATAAATACCACTACATCTATACATGTGTTCTGTTCAATCCCAAACACCCCAGAACTGTTGTGCTTTGGTGTTGAGTCGTACTGTTACATCCTAACGGCGTGTTGGATTCAACCAACATATTCATTTTTAGTTCAAAGCATAGTAGACAGGTACAATAGCCACGCACGTTCTTCTATAACAGAAAAAAGAAAGCAACCTCCTGATCTCAACGGCTCACCGTTATTCTTGCCGTTGAAAAAGCAATGTCGTTCGTGCTTTTTACTTGACCTCCTGGCCTTTTGACCTCCATTTCACCTGTCACAAAGCGGCCTCTCCATGTTCAAAGGATATAGAAAAGCATATAAAAATATCCAAAGTTCAAGGAATGCATTGTAAACTTCTGTAGTTATGACATTTCTCCAAAGTTCACAACAGAACATAGGATAAAGTAGTAACAGACAGCACAAGATTTTTTAAAATGTAATCTCCCCTGTATTTCACAGCACGATACAGTTGAGAATGCAAGTGCCTTGGATGATCACGTACCAGAACTACTCCCCTTGACCTTGCGGTGAGGGGTACAGTTTAATAGTAGATGGACGCATTCAAGAGATTGGCGTGCGAAAAATAAGAAGACTTTGTTGTTTGAGGGATAGCATGGTGTTTGTTAGGATAGTCACCAAAGGAATGTTGCAGTGGTTGTTTTACATGGTTGATATCATACATACACGCATACACTCTTCAGAGATGTAACAAATACCATATTACAATTTGGAGTTGAAAGGCCTCCAAATATGCCTTCCACTCGCCACAACCCCGATGCCTCTAATTTAAATACCTCCACGTCTGCAGGATACAAACGGGCCAAAGCAACCAACTCAATAAAACAAGTCGTCTCTACCCCTTCTTTCACGGGAAGCGAACAAGTTCAATAATCGTCGCTCTCTACGACAAGGGCAAGCAAACGACAAGTGCAAGGATTGGCACTCCTCATAGGAATGACCTCTCTAATAGGAACTATCAGAAAACCATCGTTAACACCATATCAGACGAGAATACATTCGCCGCATTTGTTGAAGTCGACCAGGTTTTACAGACTACTGGCCAGGCTAGTGAGCATATTAGAGTGCACAGTGGTAAGCACATGAACTTAAACAATTGAATGTAAAAAAAGGCGCACTCCAGGCTAAAAGCTGACAGATACGAATGAAGGGGATTCTTCCCATCCTCTCCACCATTGACAACCTTCTCCTTACTAACAAACTCTCCAACAACCGCTCGTCAGCAGCGCGTGGGTCCTTGGTCGCTCCAGGGCACCATCCTTCATCATGTGTGGCTAGCGAAGCGCCACATGGACAGAAACCATCGTGCGTGATGTAACCGTATCCTTGACTCCAGTCATCTCGGGGGCCTGTGTACTTGGATGTCTTGTTCTTGGCAGAGATACCCTGGGTCTGCTCCCACGCGATCGTCGAGATTTCCAGATATACACACGTGCGCCTGAGAATACAACAGGTAAACTCTGTCCCACGTGATTTTACAATACAATTGTTGATATTGGAGCTAAAATCAGCTTTCATCAAGTTCTTCCTAGTTGGTCCAGTGGTCAGGATTTGTCGCTCTCACCGACAAGGCCCGGGTTCGATCCCCGGACTGGGAATATTTTGCTCTTTAAGCGCCTACCTTTTTGTGACCCCAGACATCACTAGCTGGCTGCCAAGGGGCGACGCCCCGGGCTTTGTTTTTGTTTTCATTCTTTTTGGCCAGGCTGCAGCCCGAGGCGAAGCCCCGGGCTTCATTCCTCTCTTTTTGTTTTCCATTGTACCCCATTCTATCCGCTTTTAAATTTGACATTCTTACGAAAGCCCGTGGCAGAGCCAAGAATCATTTATGGGTGGCAATCAACCACTCTTATCCGTGACTGAGTTCACAAGAAGTCAAAATTATTTATGGCTAAAAAAACCCTGGGAGAAGAAAATGCTCACCCATGGAACGATTGATTGTTGCACAAGCAATTCACTCAAAGGAAGGAGATAGAGGAAGAAGGAAGAGTAATCGAGAGGAGAGAAGGATGAGACACCTTTTTACTTTTTTCTTGGGGGGGGGGGATGCTCATCATCTTCACACTCATCATCTCTCTTTCCTTTGGTTCATTCACATTCCATTCCTCATCATAATTACTTGACACCAATACCCAATACTCCCTCCTTTTTTCCCATTCGCCTTTCGAACAGCAACACACCATGTCAACAAATGATAAACCGACAGTGCTTATTGTAGGAGCAGGGTTGGGAGGACTCATGCTTGGCGCCCTCCTCGAACAGTCAGGCGTGCCATACATCATTTTCGAGCGATCCTCTTCCCTCAAACCGTTGGGTATTGGTCCAAGCGAGGACACACACACTAGTAACATTAGAGACCTCCTCACCGCGATATTATCTTTTGTCGTGCGGACTTAACACATATTCCTCTTTTTGTTCTATGGATACTTAGGTTCTGCAATGGCAGTGGGGCCAACTCTTCTGCCAATTTTCCAGCAACTGGGCATCTACGAAGAGTTCATCTCGATCGGAAAGTACCTCACTCACATCCCAAGCTTCAAGGAATCCAACGAGATCTTGTGCCCTCTGGGGGCCACCGACTTTCGACCCATCGAGGAATTGTAAGTGAATTCTTCTTGGTTCCTTCTCCCGCATGTCGTTCACATTTCATTGTTTGTAAGCTGGGCCAAGTACTAATTTACCACCATTGATAACGCAGCACGGGATATGGGCAATACATCGTTGCACGACCACAGCTCCACGAACTCCTCTTCAAACAAGTCCCAGCGCACAAGATCCATCTCGGCAAACGCGTGCTCAACATATCGGAGGAGGACGATAAGGTGACCGTTCACCTGTCCAACAACAAAACCTTTGAGGGCGATATCATTGTTGGCGCTGATGGAGCCTACAGCGCAGTCCGGCAGCGCATGTATGAGCAGTTGAAAGTCGAGGGCAAGTTGCCAAAGAGTGACCAGGAAGAGTTACCGTTCAGTTGTACCTGCCTAGTAGGGCAGACGAGGGTGTTGGAACCGAAGGAGTTTCCGATTGTGGAGGAAGAGAAGTGCCAGGTTGTTTCTATCCTCAGCGACAACAAGCCCTTCACGGTAAAAAATCTTATTCACTCACCTTTCATGACATGAGCATTTGAGTACGAGAACATCCGCGAGGTCCTAACTTGTGTTACCTTTCTTTCGGACAAATCATAGTGGTCTTTCTTCACAACATCAAACAAAACTCTGGTATTTTCGGTTGTCCACCAGCTCGACAAAACCACCAGCAAAGCCGGCCTCGAACAGCGCTTCAGAAACAGTGAGAACTCTGGAGAATGGGGAGCCATCCCAGCTTTGACGATGTGCGATGAAACGAAAGCGTTTCCGATCCTATTGAATGGCGAGATGAAGACCATGGGCGATATATATGACCTGACACCCAAAGACATGATTTCAAAGGTCATGTTGGAAGAGAAGATGTTCAAGACATGGTACTACGGTCGGACTGTTCTCCTAGGCGATGGTAGGCAAACCTATATGGCATTCTTCGTCATCCATTGTTCAATCTCTTTTCTTAAACGTTCTTCTTTCAATAGCATGCCATAAGCTGAACCCTTCAGGAGGCCATGGTACGAGATTCTAAGTTTTGCCTTCGAGCGAATTTTTTTTTGGCAGACCAACAACGAACACAGAATCCCTACTGATCTGACCCTCTTTTTATGCCACGTTTCTAATCAACAGGCGCGGTGACAGCACTACACGACGCAATCGCACTCGCCAACCTCCTGTACGCAATGCCTACATCCACATCCTCCGACCTCACAGGAATCTTTGAAGAGTACCAGAAGGAGCGATACCCGGCCGTCATGGAATCCTACAACAATAGTCGGTTTGTTGCAAAAGTGTCTGACCGCGGGATCATTGGCAGGATTGTCCTTTACCTCATCACAGAAATGCCCATGTGGTTGTGGCGACTCGCCGTAAGTTCATTGTTGTTATTGCTAATGTTGTTTTTGTTTGCTTTTGTTCTTGTTCTTGTTGTTTTTTGTTGTTGTCTTTTTGTTTTTGCTTTTTGCTGTTGTTGTTATTGTTTATTCGATCGTAGCATGCATTGAAATAGAGGTTTAAGAAACCAAAAGTGGATGTAACTAACCTCCTTATCCCTCGGGGGGGTTTATTTTTTGCTTGAAAAAGTTGAAGAAGACAGTTACGCACCGTCCGCAAGTAGGGTTCCTGAAGGCTGTGGGTTTGAGGGGTAGTGTAGCGCCTATTGTCTCCCCTAGTGAACAACTGGCGAGAGCAGAGTTTGAGAGACGGCAACGAGCCGTTCCTCTCTGAGGCGCAATAGATAATAAAAGCGTAGATATGCAGTGGTGTCATTGGGGCAAGTCTCCCCTCTAATCTCTCTTAATGTCTCCAGAAGCACAGACCTCACTGTCCTGTGGAATGCATGTACCGACTGTTGAGGAATAAGGCTAGATCAAGCAAAAACGAAACGACAAGGAGACAGTAAACGAGAAGGCAGTAAAAAAGGGTTCAGAAAAAGGAGAGTGGCGAGGCTGAAGTCGACAATATTGACCCTCGTCTCCCGGTTCTCCTTCTTTCCCTTTGCTTCTTACCTCCGTATGTGAGGAAGGAAAGGACATACCGGGATGGAGACAGCAATTTGGGGTTGGCTCTACCTTGTCTACACTCGCTTCTGGACTTTTCCCCCACTGTTTGCCTACTGTCGCTACCCGCACCATGACCAAGTCGCCTATGGCATCCTTCTTCTTCCAACATGCCCGTGACCCTCGAGCATACAAAAAGTGCTCTCCTTTATGTGTTTTTATTCACTCGCTCCTTTTATTTGTTTCCAGCACAGGAATTCTTCTTGTTTCTTTTGTTCTCCCGTTCCCCATGGGCCCATGGGCCGGGGCTGAGTCTCTTGGTTGCAGTTGGAATTAGTGCTATTGTTTTCAAAATCTAAAACACGGAGTGAACAAAAAAGGGAAAGGGAAGATAAATGGGGAAAGTGTAATCCATGCGAAATACTTTTCTCTTCATCCCTCCTTCTCTCTCACTTTCTTCTCCCTTCCCTCTCTCTCCCTCTTCTTTCTTTCATTCTTTATCCCCCCTCCCTCCAAAACTCCTCACCAAAAAATAAACTATCATCCGGCTCCCATAACAGTCGCCTCTCGTCTCTCCAAACCTCTCAACGTCTTTCTACACATCCCCACTTCCTGTATCTTCTCCACTCTCCTTCTCCAATTGACCTCCCTTCTTCTCAATACCCAAGATGCGCTCCTCTTCATCACAAAGCCTCCTCCTCCTCCTCCTCTTCACCCTCACCCTTCTCCTCCTCATCACCTTCACCACCACCGCAGCCCCCACGACCGCACCACCATCCTCCTCCAAACCGCTCGCCCGCCGAGAGGACATGAAGACAAAGAAAAATCGAAAATGCCTCGAAACGTGCAAGGCCAAGAACATGCGAAAATACAACAGATGCGTCGCCCAGAACAAAAACAACAGCTCTCCCTGCGGGGGTATCAAACGTACTGATGACGACGATTGCAACAAAACATGTTGATTAGGAGCTTCAGAGTGGGAGGTTGGGGTGCGGGGGGTGCACATATGTTCAAAGTCAACAAAACAAAACACCCTGGTGCACGTCCTTTACGCTTGCCCCCCACCGCCAAAATAAAGGACAAAATAATACATTCTTCGCTTAATATGTTTTTTTTTTTTATTCTATTAGCAAAACGAGGGGGAAGGGGGGAATATAGGGGAATTCATCTTTTTGGATTTGAGTATAAGAGAGAGGGGTGGGGGAGGGGATGTTCAATGCTTGAATGGGAGGAATGAGGAAGGGATAAAGATACATGGTGATGGTGGATGATAAATTGAAAGGAAAGAAAAGAAAAGAGTGCAAATGACTTTGGTATGTGCATAAAAAGGAGAAAGAGAAAGAAAAACGAAAACACCAAGCACCTTACAACTCAGCGTGGAACTTGGTGTAGGTCTTCAAGGCGTTCTGGAGGACCTTCTTCTCACCAAGGACGCAGAGAGCTCCATAGTAAAGAGTGCCAGTGAGACCAGCCTTGTTCAACAACTCCAAATCTTCCTCGGCGGTGGTCTTGTCAGAGACATCGTAGGCATCAGCACGGAGACGGATGACCTGGAGAGCGGCCTCGAGGACGTTCTTGCGGACACGGCGACCGGCGTCATCGAGGGGCTTGAGCTCGGGCTTGGGCTGCTCGTCATCAGAGTCCTCCTCGTCATCGGCAGCGAGGTCCTCCTCAATGGCGCGGCGGAGGAAGATGTCGTTAAAGTAGTCAGTGGCGGCATCGACGCTCTCCTCGACCTTGGCAAACTGCTCCTTCTCCATAAACAGAACGTTCAACAACATGAGGAGACGGTCATCGATCGAACCATCGTGCATGATCTCCATGATGTCACGGGGGAAGTCCTCCTCCTCATCCTCATCGTCAGAGTCCTCATCCTCAGACTCGGACTCCTCAGCCTCAACCTCAACCTCACCAGCCTCAATATCCTTCTTCTCATGCTTGTGAGTGTGGGCGTGAGCGTGGTCGTGGTCATGGTCGCCATCACAGCATCCCTCCTCCTCGAGCTCATCCTCATCGTCCTCACCGATAAAGATATCCTCAGTGTCCAAGAACCACTTGGTGCGCTCCTCGACCAAGGCAGGGTCACCCAAGATCGACTCGGCAGCCTTCTTGACCATCTCCAGCTGAACGGTGACGGTGTCGTGCTCGTTGTCAACCTCGGCGAATCCATACTTGGAGAGGAAGATCTTGTTGGGGAAGGGACCGTAGTGACGGGTGATCTCCTCGCCCTTCTTGACGTCGTCGTCGAGGACAATGTCGCAGGTGTCGTTGATGTCGTCCTCCCAGTCCTCATCGTCCTCGTCGTCGTCGTCGACATCGGCACCATCGGCTGCCTCGGCCTTCTTGGCGGCGGTGCGCTTCTTCTTATCCTCGTCGGCGGCGAGCTCAGGGGCCTCGTCGTCCTCATCCTCATCATCTTCGTCCTCGTCCATGTGCTCGCAGGAGATGGCGCCGCAGACCTCGCAGACCTCTTCGTGGGTCAAGTAGTCCGAGTTGGGCTCTGAGTTGTGGTTGACACTGTCGAGTAGAAAACAAGGCACAAATGTATGGTTAGTTGGTATTCTTGTCTTCTGTAATATGCAATTCAATAAACAAAGGAACAAAAAATATCTCGCACAGGTACAAATGGGAGGAACTTACATGTCAGCGAAGGGGACGAGGGCAGAGATGTGGAAGTTGTCGACATCCATGGCGCGGGAGGAGACGTGCGAGGTCATGGTCTTGAAGTCCTCGAACGAGAAGAACTTGGCCTTGATCTCGGCGGAAAAGACCTCGGGGTGCTTCTCAAGGAAAGGAACAATAACAGTGTCATAATCCTCCTGCATGTCCTTCTATTAACGTTGGAGTTGAAGTGTAGACGAAAGATGACGAAGAGTTAGAAAAGTGCATCAAGAATAACGATGATACGATGATGCGCGTCATGACGCGTTATGGAAACCTAAACCTCGGAGGGGTAAGACCCTTCAAGTGAACAAGCCCGAAAGAAGAAATGTGTAATGTCGTGTGGGCATGCTCTCGCTTTTAGTTCGGTCTCCTCTCCCACAACGTCATTTCACAAAACAACAACATTACCGATGGATAAAAAACGCAGCAACAAGCAAAAAAAGCATCCACCCACTCCCACAAACAAGGGTGTGCTCTCAAAATAAAAGGAAAAAAGTGTCCCCCACAACAACACTACAAAAAACAATAGTGACAACATCAGAACTCATCATCTGTAACATACCAAGTCAGTCTCGATATCGCCAAAGACCTCGGACTTCTTCAAGAGCTCACGAGCATCCGCGGACAAGTCGGAGGGCATCTGGGGGCGGGACTCGGCCAAGAGAGCGAGGTAGGCGGACCAGACAGACTCATCGCCCTTGGAGAACTCGTACATGCAGGCGAGGGTGAGTCCGGCATAGCCTTCAATGTCCTCCTCCTCCAGCAAGTTGGCGATTCCGGTCGACTCGACCGACAAGACGATCGACTTGGGGACCTGAATGGCTATTTTGGTTGTATGAAGGACAAGGTATGAAGGGTGACATGGTTAGGTACAGAGGAGAGTTGTTGTCAGGAACAGCAAAATCAACGAATGATACATGGTTTCAGAGTAAAAGGAGGGAAGAAGTACCTTCATAACCGGCGTCAAGGTTCTTCTTGGCGTAGATGCCGAGGCCGTGCTTGCCCTCGCGAACCTCGATGGCGTCCTTGTCCCAGTGGATGTTGTTCTCCTCGGCCCATGTGAGGAATGCGTTCAAGGTGTGGTGCTTCATGGTGATGTATGTATGTGTGTCGGGAGAAAGGAGGAGAAAGGGGGAGAGAAAGGAGGGATGAGGGATGAAAAGAGAATAGAAGAAAAGAAAGAGAAAAGGAGGAAGGCTGTCCTTTTTATGAGCGACGTGTGATGGTGGCGATCAAAAAGAAAAAAATGAAAAAATGAAAAAAAGAAAGAAAAAGAGAAACCCTCCCCATTTTAGACGTTTGTAAGTTTTGTTGTTGCTGCCAGGGCTCACCTTTTTTTTTTTTTTTTTCGTTGTTGTTTGTTGTTGTTGTTTCTTTCCCTTTCCCGTCCCCTCTTTTCTTTTTTATCCCGCTGCGTCAATCTCCTCTTCTCCACCTTTGATAAGACCTTCTTTTACTCCCCTTGCCATGTGGATTCAATGTCCCCGTATCTATGTACAGTACGTGCACCCACCCACCCACCCACCCACGCTCATGCCATACACGCCCTGGGTTCACCCGACACCCTCAACCAAATGCGACAGAAACCCACCCGCTCCCTCTTGTCTCGTCCCCCCTTCGTCACCACTCCCTATCCCCTCTTCTCACAGTGATCTCAAGGTTACATCTCCGCCTTACCCTTTCTTTTTTTCTCTTCCCTCCCTTCTTGTCCTTCACTCAAACCCCCCTCCTCCGGACGAGACCTACAAAGCTCTTGTCATTTGACAAAACGAGGTCCTTCTCTCACCCTCGCTCATGTTGTTGTCACTTCTATTCCTCCTGGCCCTGGGTGGCTTACCTACATCTCGATCCCAAATCGCCCTTGTCGCGTTCCCTCCCATAGGCTTTATTCCTCGTTCCACGATCAAATGCCTTGAACAAGATCAAGAAATGTAACCCTTTTAAAAGTGATAAAAACTCACAGACGTCGAAGGGCTTACGCCACGTTGTTTTCTTGAACAATAACCTTTTCCTTTTTCCTTTTTCCTTTGTGTCCCTTTTCTTTTCACACACACACACACTCTCTCTCTCTCTTCCCTCTCTCGGACATTGAAAAAAGTTTTTCTCCCTTTGCCTTCTTGCCCTCGGTTTACGTGAACAAGACGACGCGTGCAAAATTAAAAAAAAACAAAAAACAAAGCAAACCATGAATGACATTTGGCGGTTGGAAGAAACATTTGCTTTGTTTTGTTTTGTTTTGTTTTGTTTGTTGTTTGTTTGTTCGCTTTGTCTATTCGATCTCCTCTTTCTCTTTAGTGCGATCCCTTCCTCTGCATCGTAGACAGTCCACACTCCTCCTTCTTCTTCATCGCCTTCACACCCCCTCTCTCCCTCCGACCATGGCTGACTAAAATAGTTTACTTACGGCCCCAAATGGATCCAAACCATCCACCTCCCGAAGACTCACTCTGGCCAGACTTGGGATGACCAGCCCTCTCGGCTAAAGCAGCGTGGTTATAATCCATATGGTTGAACGCAATGTCAAAGAACAATGGTTTGGCGGGAATAGGCTGCAGTGCTGGAGGAAAGTCGACCAGATGAGGTACCGTTGGGTTGGCTTTTGAAGTAATCGATGTTGGGTAAGAATCCAACCGCTTAATCAACGCAGGCTTTACAATGAAAAGTAAAAAGGTAAAAGGTGGTCGTGTTAGTCCGAAGAGCACATTGACTTTCAAACACAGATTTGGGTCAAACGAAATCAGGGTTCTCTTTCCGACATGTGCTCATTCCACTCTCCCTCTCCCCTCCACTTCCCCCTCCGCCTCTCACTGTCCCTCCTTCTCTCCTCTTATACCCATACACTCCATGACATAAACAAACAAATCTTACCTCGTCCAATGACTTCTCGTCCAGACTCATCGACGACAACTTGTTCTCAATACCGTCTCCGCTCTCCTGTCCGTTCTCGAGATACCAGGCCGCATGCACCTGGCATTTCCGTCCACGAATCTTGCTCTCAATTTCCTGCAGTTCCTTCTCAGTTACGCTGAAAGAGTCGGCATCAGCACCGTGCGACGATGCCGATGACCGTCCAAGTCCGCTGCGAATCTGAGTAGCATACGACTGTGCACGGTCAAACAGCGCAATGGCTTCCACATGACGCGACAGCTTGGAGTATGCCGTTGCTGTGAAGAAGCATCTCCAGGCTTTGTAATACAACAACTTGTTCTCGACCTCTGAAGTCAGAATCGTGTCTGCAGCCACACCAGGAAGTTCCTGAATCGCCGTCAAGTTCTACCACAGGCATCATATACAACATTACGGAATCAGCGGTTAATATCACACACCATAAAATATCTGCCCAGTAAATTTGATGACTCCATCGATAAAAGTACCTGGACAACGTTGTCGTAAGCCTTGACGAGGTTCTGGTAATGCACATCCTCGTTCCTGTCTGTGGTTGCCTCATCTCCCTCCAGCTTATTGTAGACATCCTTGGCGAGAAGCAAGTTGCGGTCGATGGTAGTACGGAGGCTGGAGTAGCTGATATATGTAACAATCATGTTCAAGTCTGCAGTGTTCTGCTCCGACTTTGACGACTTGACCTTTGCTGCTGCGATCTACAATCTCATGGAAAAAAAATAAAACGCGTGAGATCTCATGGAAGCTATCATGGGAATGGGCCTGAATTACAACGATTTGATCCGCACGCATTGAGACCTGATACGTACAGCATCCTCCTTGAGAGCCTTCTTGACATGCTTCTCGGCCTCGGCATAGGCCTGCAAGACCTTGTCAAACTGCTCCAGCTTGGCCTCAGAGGTGGTTCCCTGCAAGTTGCTCAACTCGGCTGCTGTCTCCTGAGCAGCCAAGATGGCTGTGGCCAACTTGGGGTTCTTCAAGGGCAAGACATGGGATCTCCACTGAATTGATTCCAGATCCTGTGCCTTCTCCTGACGGGTCTGTGCAATCAAGTGCTCGATCTCGCGCATCAGGACGTCTGATCCAGATGCCTTGTTGGCAGCCGACATCTTGACAAGCTCCTCAACATTGACAACACCATCCTTGGCCAAACGCAGACGGTATCCACAGAAACGAATGTTGGGGTCGATCTCATCCATAGCAGCGTGGCACAATGCCTCCTGATGCGAAGTTCCAGCCAACGACAGTTTGTCGTAGATAGCACTAATGAAGACAAATGTCATGGATAAGGTATCAAAATCAGTCAATTCCGATCCACAGCTCTCCTTTGACTTGAATACCAACATATCAATTCCAATGATGATGTCCATGAATGATTCCTTACCGAGCAGCTGAAAACTTCACCAAGGCGCCCTGCCACTGTTGAGCCTCAAAGAGGACGTATCCCGACATCAATGCAGAGTAGGCCTGGGCGTCGAGCGTAGATCGGACATCGACCTTGCCAGCCTTTGTTGAGCAGAGAGCCTCCAGTTCTCCAGCGATCTTGGCAGCCTTCTTCAATCGGTTCATGTAATGCTGCAGCTTGCGGGTGTCGTCCAATGCCACCGACAATGCCTTGATCTCCATGGCGTATCCCCAGGCACGCTCAGCCTGGAACAGCATTAAGTGCAAGTACCTATTTTTCCACAGATCGCGTCAGAGGCGACATAGATTTCGATTAGGCTTCCAATTGTAATAATATCGTGCTGTGTTGTGACCGAAGAAAAACCGATCGATCGGTCCTGATGCGCGGAAATGGATGCAAGGAGGAGGCCATACTTTTCATCATCGACAGTCTCGGCGGTGATGGGGCGGGAGGCAAACGACTTGTCCTTTCCATGAGTGAATCCAAGGGTCTTTCTGATCCTGTGAAGTCTTTGGGTGCAGTGGTGTCTATAACGTCCATATTCCTGACGACGCAGTCCATATGAGTTTCTAGCCTCGCTCGTCAACGACAAAACTAGATGGAGGATAAGGTGGAGGAGCGACGATGATGATTAACTTGAAGTTGGTCGGCCGAGGTTTGGTATGAAAGCAAAATGCCGATGTTTCCGTGAAATACCCGGGTGGACGTACTGTCGAGAGTGTAGGGGGCGCCCTTGGTGGCGCTTGACTGATCCGCTTGCATTATATTTGTTCGACGTGACCTAGAAAAGAGATGTCGAAAGTAGGAATGATGATGTAAGGATTACCCTTCAGGTCAGTCCCGTCTGTTCTGTATAAGGTGTAGTATTGCTTGGCCCTTGGCTGTATCCTGTAGCTGCTGTTCCTGTGTGTGTACCTTTTAGGTGAGTGTCGATGTGAGAGAATAAAGAACGACGCGAGTGAGTGTGGGATGATGAAAGCTCTCTTCTCTCTTGCTCTCTCTCGCCAACTATTCGTTCTTGGAACGTTGGTTGGAACAATGGGCGCATGAATTACGTCACCGAAGTGAGTAATCGTTGCGCCTTCCGTAACTTGACAGATTGAGTGTTCTCCTCCATTTCCCAAATGTAGACGCCGTTCTTGTCGTACGGTTGCAAGTAGTGAGGGCGCTTGTGGTGAAGTAGGTGCCCCTGGATGATGTTGCACATGTTATGGCCAGCCATAACGTCTCGATGCATCTTGGCGCCACAAGTGGGGCAATACAGCTGACGGATGCCGACTTGGCCAACAAACTCGTGGCAGACTGGACACCGCTTGGATGTATAGTATTCCTTTACACCGACTACAATATAACCCAACGATCGGGCCTAAATAAAGCAAGACCAGGATACGATAACATTAATCGTAGATCCTTGCAAAGTCATTGGGAAGGTGGGTTCAAGAAAAGCTCGGCTGCTTACCAACTGCACAAATTACTCGGAAAATGCTATGTGGAGGGACGACAACCGTGAGTTCGAAGAGAACTCTCCGAGCCCTATACCGATTATGACCTTGTTCTTGCTGTCTCGTTTCGCGCCTGGGGTACCTACCACCAGCTCCAAAAGGGGGTTTCCGACCAGTTTGAACTCATAGTCCCTTGCTCGCTTTGCATCCCACTGATGCTTCTTGAGAGTAACATTGTTGTAAATGTCTCGAGATCTGTCTCCACAACCCTGGACTGCTTGACATATTTGGTGATCGACGCTTCTGGTCCACGGAGCGACGGCAAGTTGGTCTCCTTGTGAGCAATTGACTCCGTACCCTCGACTGCATGTCCCTTCCTCTGTTCGAGCTATCGTCTGCGCTTAAACGTTGGCTGTTAGACGGCCTTCTGGCTGACTGCCAGGTTGTGGAACTGGGTTGGCAAGGGTACATCGATCTCGATGATGGCTCCTTGCTCCTCTCCATCAGTTGGAGTGGCCGACGCGTACGAGGGTAACAGGGCACTGACGCCAACGACAAATGCTTACCCCAAGTCAGTCGCGAGAACCTTGATTTCCTTCGGGTCACAATCCCAGATCCGCTTGACGTCCTCTATTGTCTTGACCACGTTACGGATCTCCGTGAGGTAGTGGTCAGTGCCTCCAAGCGTCGATATTAGTGGGTCTGGTAGCTTGTTCTCGCCCAATTGTAGGTACTTGACACGATTGAGTTCATTCAGTTTGAAGGCGAGTAACTGGATCCGATATCCGTCCGTCTTGATCGATCCTCGGAGAGCATAGACCTTACTCGAATACGAAGCCTTGGGATTAAAACCTTTGTCCCGAATGTTGGATATGTGAACAGTTGAGGAATACGGGTAAGGTCGGTGAAAGATGGGAGAGTTGGATGGGCGAAACTCTGTAGCTGTTTCCGTAGGGTCACGTCTGTCCAGAAGATCCTGACCAGCTCATCCTCTGAGAGAATGACGAACTTTCTTCCACGGGGTGACATTGGTGATAATCGCCAGCTTCTTCCGATCGTCCTGTTCATAATGATGAAGTTCTCCGTTGGAGTCTTGTCTAGATTGGCATGATCTGGAGCGCTCTCGGGCAAGAGTCCCTTCTTCTTCTTCTGCTGAATATGTAGCGGAAAAGAACAGATACAAAAACAAAAATAATGTCAGGCGCGTTTCTTGTAAACAGGGGGTTTGAACCATTCTAATAGTTATTACCTTTTTGAAAGACCGAAGGAGTCTTTCTTGAAATGATTTTTGTACTCAGTCGCAAGTTGTATCGCTGTGGACGGGAGAAAGACTGAGGGGTTTTTGTAAGGTTCTGCAGGCAGTGTATGTAAATAAGAAATGGAGACATTGCTCCCACAATTGCAAGAGGCAAACCTACCACTGCCAGTTTTCGGTGGCAAATAGTCTTTGACTTTGTGTAAGAACAAACCCACAGCCGCAGCTTTACCTGCATTCTTTGTTTTCTTAGGAGCGCTAGCCTTGTAGATGGCAACCAGATGCGAAAAGAAAAAGCTTCTGGAGAGTTCTTGTTGTCGATGCTTGCCTCTGGGTTGTTCTTGTTGTCAGATGGCTCCTCTTCTGAGTTCGGGTTGATGCCCATTTTGGCCTCCTCGATCTCCTGGTCCGAGAAGTAAGGGGTCAAGTAGCTGGTTCTGTCGTCCTCATCAAGGTGATCGACAGAGAGGTTTTCGAGGTATTGACCAACTGCCTGTTGACAACGAAGTTTCGTTCTCGAAGCGAGTTTAGAGATATCCGAGAGACACGTGGTGATCGCATGCTGGAGCTTTTGCTGTAAATCCGCATCGTAAGGAATCTCCTTCTTTAGTGCTCGAGACGTATTCGCCTTCAGGGTTCCAATGTCCAAGGTTCGAAGAGGGTGTTCCCGTTGCATGGCTTTGACGAGCTGAAACTTGGTCATCTTATCCGCTGCAGGTTGATCTTTTTGGGGGTAGACTTTTGTTTCTTTTTCGGTGGGGGCTGGTGGCGCCGACGTTGGTGCTGGGGCCTGCCTCGGTATTGGGTCCTGCTTCGGTACTGGTGCCGGTATTGGTGGTGCTGTTGGGGTTTTTGGCTGACTCGGCATTCTTTTTTGGAGGCTTCCAGACGTACTGCTTGAATATATCGGGCATCTCGTGCGAGATGAGACGTGATCTCGTCTTGACCGCGTAGCGCTCCCGATAATTGTATGGCCGTCCTGAGGTGTGAGGTTGAGGTAGCTGACTTGGAGGACGGTCGACAGTGGGGTATCGAATGAAATTTGTAGTTCGCTCTCCTTCTTGACCACCAGCGGCCGATCTAAGAATGATGGGTATCCACTAACCGAGTTATTAAAAAAGAGTCATGAAGGCACCTAGCTTTGCTCATTATCATTTCCGCCTACACCTTGATGTTTCTCGGCTGATTTTGAGGCGCAAGCGAATGTCTGCCAGCCTTTGGGTCATCTCCTGTAGCTCGCCAACGGGATCCTGAATGTGGGGTAGGGACAGAGGCGTATACTGTTGGAGAGTGAATATCTGAAGTGCCGAGTCAAAAATTCTCTCAGCAGGGTGCTTGCTAGACACAGCAGTGCTCTCCAAGTAAGCATCAACAAGCTCTTGGATATTCGCATTTTTTAACGTGTCTAAGCAAAAAAGTCGTGAGTTGAAAATGAACAAGGAACTAAAACAAAAGAGTATATATATTTCGCCATACCTTCTGTCTCCAGAGCCCGAATGACTTTAAAGTTTCCCTTGACTCCTATCTTGTGGACACCCTTGCCGTAATCGTTCTGGGTGACAATTCCAAGGGTGGTCAGTCCTGTTCTTGAAAGCTCAAGTTGGCGTAACAGATCAGAGACATGGTAGACGAGGTATCGGGCACGACCGAAAGGTCTCCAGATGGTGTTGATGTTGCTGTAAACTAGCGTGTCAATGTCACAGGTGATGACGATGTCGTCCTGTTTGCAATTGGATCCGATGCAGGTGTCGGCTTCTGAGCGGCAGCCACAGACGATCCAGCCACTTGCGTGAAGATGTTGGACAAGAACTTGTCGAAGCTCATGGGTAAGATAGAAAGAATCGACAATCGCTTTGTTGAGGGTCTTGAACTGTTGCTTCCTTAATTTTCCATGGTTGTTGAGGGTCACTTCCATTGTGGTCAAAAGCTGGTTGCCTTTGGTGAGAGCTTTGTCGCGTTTTGATTGTCGGTTTATGTTGGTGGCGTTCATTTCAGCAGGAGAAGGTCCGTCCATGTGAAGGGTTGTTGTTAACTTGAGGAATAGACAAGTGATCAAATGCTGTTCAAACTTGACACATGCGACTGTCGTGTCTAGGTGGAGGAAACAGCGGCGAATGACTGAAAAGAAAGAGCCAAGAATGTCAATGTGATAATGAGTGTTCGGTGGAGGGATGGTAGGAAATGCTTGAGGGGCAATGTATCCTTGTTCTTTGATAAACGGCCAAAGCTTAAGGACCCCCATTGCGAGGGGCGAGAGGAGTGGAAAAAGGATGGTAAGGAAACAACAGCAGAAACAGGGATGACGAACAATGCAGTGTTTATTTGGTTCTTTGCGTTGGGCACTATTAATCATTTCTCTGTCTCACGGTCATCATTCCGCTCCTTTTCTCCTGTTGCCCTTGCTTCCAAACATCCCTTTACACTTTCTAGATTGAATGGACTCAATGTGAAAGACATTTTCATCGATCCCAGTGATTCTTGTTGTGCCCAACCCATTCCTACCTGGGCGGGAGGTATGGATAGATTGTTGAGAAGTATGTTACACCTGAAAGCCCACTGAAGATTGTGCAAAAACGCTCCTCGTTCCAATGTAGGTAGTTTCAGTAGGATTGGTATGTGAGAAGCATGTCAAGAGATGGACGTTGCACGATGGAGTCCTTCAGTACACCTCCAGTCTCTTGTCAGTAGCTTGACAATGAATGCACCAGAAGGCACGAGAGGAAGAAACAGAATGTGTGAGACGCAGCTAGAAGCAAAGAATGAGGATTTATTGTACAAAAGCGAAGCAAGGTTTGAGCGGCGTTTTGAGGGGTGGTGGTGGATGCATGGTTGTGAGTTGGACACGCAGTGTGATATGTGAGTGAATGCAATAGGTGTGCAGTGGGTCCAATTGGTTGCTGCAGTCCGTTGTGTGAGCGCTCACGAGCCGATCTTCCTGACACTGGGTGCTGAAGTTACTTTCCGGGAGTACCTCTCGCTCGCCGGTATTTCATCCCGCATGCGAGACCAAAGCCAAACAAGCCGTTTGAATACAAATTTCGCATCCTCCTGCCACTCGCCGCTGTAGTTTACAGTTCGCTCAAGCTCCTTCATCCTGTACGTCACCGTCTCGTCTTCATGCAGCGTGCATTCAAGCAACAGCCACTGGCTTGCGTCGGTAACAATTCCGTAAGATTTCAGAGACTCTTCCTCCCCGTCAATCTCGTACGTCCCGCGCTTGCGTTTCTTTGTTGTCAGGGCCGCTTCCAGCTGCACAATGTTCTGAGCCACGCCTTGTGGCAAGTTTTCCTTCTTCACCTCCGTCACGCCAAGGGTGCACGAGTGCGTCGTCCGTGGATGGACCGAAAAGTCCAGCGCTCCATTGCCTCGGCGCCCGCTGAGGTCTCGTTGGGATGCAAGATATAAGTCTTCCTCGAATAGCTTTGTCGCTGCGAGCAGGAACGAAGCGACCACCATTGATCGTGTTGCCTCGTTCGCGCCCAGCAGCTTCAAAACGTCCACCCTTAATCCGACCTCGCTGAGGAGATTTTCCAGCACCTTCTTCTCAGGTTCCGAGTTCAGAGATGCAGCTTGGATATCGGTAAATGGCGGAAGAACCTCAATGCCGACCCCGGTTGATTCCGAGAGGTTATACTCAGAAACGACATCCTTGAATGTCCATGCGGAGAAACCCTTGGTTGGGGTAGTCAGTGATATGGTCAGCTGCTTCATGGATTGAGTTTTGGCGACCCTGAGTACTCTGCGCAGGTCCTCGTCATCGCGTATGGGTTCCGGCGGGCTGCTGCCTGTGATATAGAAATGTAATTCCACATAGTTGTCATGATCGTACTGTGGATAAAACTCAACGAGAACCTTCATCAAGTCACTCACAGTCACCGTATCAATGGCGGCAGACCAATTGCACGTGACCATTCTCTCAGGCTTGACGACAATTCCAAAAGCTATTACATATGAAAATGAAGTCAGTATGACTGTTATCATTAAAGCATAGACGGTGCAAGCTGATGCAACATACTGATAAACGAATCAAGGACGTCCGACAACCGTTTCCGTAATGCTGCGACTTCGGGATTGAGGTCACCTATACATTTACAGGTGGCAAAAACAAGGCACAGTTAGTACGTGTATATTTTAAGTCAATTCCTCGGACCAGCAAAGCGCATTAGCACATTACCTGATTGCGGCAGCAGAGGATGTTGAACGATGATATGAATAGTCTCTTCTGGTGGGTCCTCAGGGAACACCTTGGAAAGACGATTTGCTGGACCGAGTTTCTTCTTCTCATCGAAGGAGTTGAGCACGATGAGAACTTCGTCATCCTCGTCGGTGATTGGGATCGAGACACGCCACAAGGTAAGCTGGTCTGCATCGACATCGCTGAAGACGTTGGTCTTCTCGGTCTTGATGAGCTCCTTGAGGTCGCCGATTGTCTTAGTTGACCCAATCTCGACAGGGAACGCGTTGGAGGTAGCCTCTCCTTCAACAAGACAGAACAGGGTGTGGTTGCCGGTCATGGTGCTAGAAGTATCAAAGGAAAAGAAGTGGAGGGAAGAAAGTGAGGATTGTAAAGAGAGAGCGATGTAAAGATAGTGAGAGATGTAGAGAAGGCGAAGGATGAAAGAGAAAAAGATGGAAGGAAAGAGGGATGAAAAGGGAGTGGGAGTGGCGGCAAAGGCAATGAAGGTGTAGAAATGGTGGCTAGAAGTGAAGAAGGTTATGGGAATGGTGGCAAAGAAAATGTGACGGAAAAAAAGGAATGGGCGCATAAATAACGTCACCGAAGTGAGTAAACGCATGGAACGAGTTTTGGTTAGAGAAGGGGATACGAAATCATCGCACCTACTATCAGATCACTTTTTGAATTGATCCAGTGGACTGTAACACCGCAGAAGCATGTAGCGATCAATAGAACTGGGCTGAAGTCGACCGTGCCAAAGATAGCCTAGTACCGGCAGTGGCTATTACTCTCTCCCTCTTGGCGGCATCGTTCCTACTTCATCTTCATCGCATCCACACCCCCGTCATCATCCCCCTCGCTTTCCCTTTTCCCTTACACCCTTCTTCCCTTCCCCTCCTTCTTTCCTGCCCCCCCTTGCTTCTTCTCCTCCACAAGAGGAGTCGAACTTCACGTCCCCTTCCCTTCGTTAACATACAACTCGCTTTCCACCATTCAACGCATCACCAACCTCTTCCAGCCCTCAGGCGGTGAATATGTCCCCCTTGACTCGCTCCAGCGTAAGCAAAGCACCTCCAGCCAATCGCCGGTAGATGACCTCGCCTCCTCCACCTCGGCTTCTGCTTCCGCTGGCGCCGGTGCTCTCACCCCTGGGATACTCACTAGCCGTCTGAGGAGCCCCTCTCGCAACCAAAGCAACAACAACAATGCCTATTCCAGCCTCAACAACAACGACAACCATACCGACGATTCCGATCCCAACCCATTCGTCCTTGTCGACCATCCGACTGACTATTCCGCCCCTGACTTTCCTTCTTCCTCATCTTCCTCTGCAAACAATCGTGAAAGACGATTCGATCCCTTTCAACACCAAGAAGAAATCCGACAACTCTACCGCAACACTACTGTCAACCGACCTCGCAGCATGACCGAATCTACCCTCTTCCGCTCGGAGGAGATGTCACTCATTCAGCTGTACATCCCTGCCGAAGTTGCCCAGCCGACTGTTTCTGAGCTGGGTGAGCTTGGCCTTGTCCAGTTTCGCGACGTATGTTGTCACTTTTTTGTCACACCGCTTTGGCCTCGCGTGTCTTCTTTTCACTGGCTAATGCTGTTCTTCTGTTTTGAATGGATCTACAACAGCTCAACCCTGAGGTGAACGCCTTCCAGCGCGCCTTCGTGAGTGAGATTCGACGTTTCGACGAGATGGAGCGTCAACTCCGTAAGTGGTGCTCCTTCTTCTTGTGTGAATCAGAAAGAGGTCAATTGGGCTGCCTGGCGATCGGATCGGATGCCAGACTGGAGATATCCACGTTCTTGTGGCACTGACCCATCAATTCTTCCGGTCTCTTGCAATTAGGTTTCTTTACGATGCAGATTGAAAAGGTTGGCATTCATGTCCGCCCCTCGATGCCCTCTTCACACCTGTCCCGTGCTCGCTCACGCCAGGAACTGGATGACCTGGAGGAACGCATCTCTGAACATGAGAACCGCCTGCTCCAGATGAACAACTCGCACGAGACCATGCAGCGTCGGTACCTTGAGCTGAACGAGCTCAAGCATGTCCTCCACGAGACGTCCGACTTTTTCCAAGAGGTAATAAATCCTGCTCAGAAATTGAACCGTGGCAAAATCAAAAACGCGCATTACTCCGATCCGATATATTTCTCAACCGTAGCTGACCCTACTCTTCCTTACTATTCAACCTTAGGCAGCTTCCCAGCAAGAAGACATCCGCAACTCGTTTGACGAACCAGAGGCACCCTTGTTGGACCGCGATCTGGAAACTGGAGGCGCAGGAAACCAGAACGCTGGATTGAACCTGGGCAATGTCACTGGTGTGATCCCTCGCAACAAAATGCAGACCTTTGAACGCATCCTCTGGAGATCACTCCGCGGTAACCTGTACATGAACACCGCACAGATTGACGAGCCCGTGATCGATCCCTCGACAGACACCGTCGTCGAGAAGAACGTCTTCATCATCTTTGCCCATGGACGCGAGATCATGGCCAAGATCAAAAAGATTGCAGAGGCTCTTGGCGCGACCCTCTACCCAATCGATTCAGACGCCGATCGCCGGAGGGATGCTCTGCACGAAGTGGAGCGCCACATTGGCGAGTTCAACTCCGTTCTTGTCAACACCACACAAACGCGTCGCTTGGAGCTGACCAGGATCTCGGAGAACTTGACATCGTGGATGACGATTGTCAAGAAGGAGAAGGCTACCTACCACACTATGAACCACTTCATCTATGACGTCAACCGCAAGTGTCTGATTGCAGAGGGATGGTGCCCGACCAACGAGATCAACACGATTCAGGCAGCTCTTCGGGAAGTCACCCAGCGGTCTGGATCCATGGTCCCTTCGATCTTGAACGAATTGAAGACTCACAAGGAGCCTCCAACCTACCACAAGACCAACAAGTTTACATCTGGTTTCCAGGGCATCGTCGATGCCTATGGTATGGCCAAATATCGCGAGGTCAACCCTGGTCTCTTTACCATCATCTCGTTCCCCTTCCTGTTCGCCGTCATGTTTGGTGACGTTGGTCACGGTATCCTGGTTCTCCTCGCTGGATTGTATCTTTGTCTCAACGAACGCAAGCTCGCCAGCGTCGACGGCGAGGTAAGCACATACAGGCTTTAGTATTGAACTGTGATTGGTCGCGAAATGGAGAATACTTTGTTTGCTAACGTGAAGCCCGCTTGCTTGAAATGATAGATGTTCCAAATGGTGTTTGGGGGTCGATACATTGTGTTGCTGATGGGAGCGTTCTCGATCTTTACAGGAATGATGTACAACGATATCTTTTCGCGCGCGTTACCCTGGTTCACGTCTGGTTGGCACTTTAACGTTCCCGAGGACTATGACGGCAAGACAATCTTGGTTGCCGAGCCCACTGGCCACATCTACCCCTTTGGAATCGACTATGCATGGCATGGAACGGAGAACTATCTGCTGTTCACAAACTCGTACAAGATGAAGATGTCTGTCATCCTTGGAGTCATCCATATGTCGTTTGGTATCTGCATGGTCTTTTTTAACGCCAAATTCTACCGCAAGCCCATTGACATAATTGGAGGATTCATCCCCCAGATGCTGTTCATGCAGTCATTGTTTGGATACTTGGTCAGCATGATCCTGTACAAGTGGACGGTCAATTGGTTCGAGACTGACGCTGCTGGCCACGCCATCCACAACTCGCCCCCTAGTTTGCTCAACACCATGATTTACATGTTCTTGAGCCCTGGTTCTGTCAACGAAGCCGACAAATTGTACCCTGGACAGGTATGTCTTCTAGATATTAGGAGAAAAGGTTGCTGTTTGCATATATTTTTTGTTTGTACCGCAGAGTCCTAACAGCAATTTCTACGTCACGACTCTACAAATAGGGATTTATTCAAGGATTCCTGGTGTTGCTCGCTTTCGTTTGCATCCCATGGATGCTGTTCCTCAAGCCCTACTATCTCAAGTACGAACACGGAAAGGCCCGCGCAATGGGATACCATCAACCCTCAGAACACAATGTCCGCGTCAGTACCGACAGCAACCACACTGACGACGCCGGAGGAGCAGTTGTGGCAGAGGATCATGGGGAATCGTCAGAGCACGAGTTTGAGTTCTCGGAGGAACTGATTCACCAGGTCATTCACACGATTGATTTCTGTCTGGGATGCATCTCCAATACGGCGTCGTACCTGCGTCTGTGGGCACTGTCGTTGGCCCACGCACAGCTGTCGGAGGTGTTGTGGAGCATGACGTTGGGGATGGCGTGGGGCTTTACGGGTGCGGTGGGGGCGTTCATGACGATTGTGATGTTTACCATGTGGTTCTCGTTGACGATCTTTATTCTTGTCGGCATGGAAGGTCTCTCAGCCTTCTTGCACGCCCTCCGTCTCCATTGGGTTGAGTTCAACAACAAATTCTATTTTGTAAGTCAAAACGCCTTGTTTTTGTCTCCTTGTTGTTGCGTTCCTTTGTGTGAGTGTACTGCTTTTGGTCACTAAACATTTTTTTTTTTTTTTGATGTGTGTGCTTTTGCTGTGTGCATAGGGTACTGGATATGCTTTTGAGCCATTCTCATTTGCGACAATGTTGGCCGAGAAGGATCCCTAAGCCTTGGACAAAGGACAAGAGATAGACAGGACAAGAGACAAAACGACTTTTGAATACACTAGCACAACAAGCAGACGTTTACCTTGTTCGGGCTCCGATGAGATTCTGAAAGGAAAAAAAAAAAGTCATTCACGTTCAGCGAGATTCACCTTTTTCATTCATTGATCTGCCTGATCGGACTCCTGTCATTTTTTTCAATTGAACACCTCGCAGCTTTCAAGGCTACTCATCGACCCCTGGATGCATTTGCACCACCTTTTTGCACCATTGTTTTCCTTTTTTTTTTATGTGTTTTTGTTTTTGTAAAAAGAGTATAAGAGATGTTGACGCATCTAATGCAGCACCCTGGATAGACTTCCTAGGGACTGCTCAGAGAGCCTTCAGTTCATTCTCGCTAACTTGAACCGATGGAATCATGTCGGCATGATCAAACAACGGATGATTTGCAGCTGAGGATAATTCGGGTGAATTATACATATTTAATATATGATTCACTGCCGACTAACTTAAGGAACCTCATTTGGCTGCAAGGGCGCCCGAGTATTTATTGCAAAAAGGGACTGTTAAAGAGGTGTGTCGAGGGTGTGTGCAATTGACGTGTAAGAGGGAAATGTGAAAGTAGATTGAAGGGAGCTGAGACGGGAGGTGTGAAGGTGGGAGATGGGGGGTGGAATGGCAAACATGAAGGAAAATAGCACTGGTGTACTTATGGGAGGCAAAGATATTGAGCTGAGAAACAAAGAAATAACGGTTTCAATCACTGGTTCATTGATCAAACTATAAAACGTGACTGTTTTATTAGCCTTTCATTCTCTTCTTCTTCGCTTTCTGTGCGAATAGGTACAAGGTGTGAGGAGTTGAAGAGAAAGAAAGAAAAAAAATCAACCAACCCTCCCGACGATTTTCATTGCTCAATTGCATCTTGGGATACGCAAATCTCCCCATCAAGGGAGGGGGATTTATTAAAAGATCCTTTCTCATGATGTAAACTCATTATTTGTCATAGCTCAGTCTCATTATTTTTTTCTGTTGAACAAACGTCGACAGTTATGTAGCCCCCTCTGCAATCACACCGGTTTCCCTTCCAATCCAGTCTCCTATCACCTCCAACAACAGGTCAATTCAATCACAATTGTTTTTGGAGACGTCCTTCCCCCCCTTTCACTGCAATAGATCAAGTTGTCTCATGTGTTGTGCAACATGGTATGTGCGGCGTATCTCTTCATTCTCAAAAAAAAAAATTGTTATTCACTTTTTTGTCATTCTATGTTTCGATATTTTATTCGTATGTATAACAACGCAGAGCACAGCTCTCATCTATTCAACCAACGTCCTCGCCAGAAGCAATTCAAATGCAAAAAAGAAAAGAGCGGCGCAGAGATAACGACACAGGACAAACCTACACGAGCATACGAGAGGAAAGGGGCAGTAAGTAAAGACTGATAGAGAGAAAAGAAATAGAGAGCGGTATTCTTTTAGTTCGCATAAACAAAACAAAACAAAACAAAAGGCCCAGTTCGGTCGTGGTATTGTTTTGTACCTGCTACTGCAATCATGACGAGAAACAAACGACGCTGTTGCCATCAATCCCATTGACAATCCTAGAGCCACCACTGCAATCGTGATAATAATCCACTTTGCCCAGGCAGCAACAAAATCCCTTGCTGCAGTGCTGAGTTGAGGTGTCGCAGTCACAGTATCAGCGGCAGGGGGGGGGTTGTTTGTGTCGTTCCATTGTTGGCGAACTGGAGTACGCTGGGGTGGTTTTCATTATTTTGAAAGAATGACAAGTCGTCCTTTGATCTCTGGTGTAAACGGTAATAGAGATTGAAAGGGCCGAGGATTTGCCTGCGACGGTAGACAGGGGATGCAAATCAGGTTGGTGGTAACGAATGTTGACAGCCTAAATGTCGACGAGGTGGTGGTGGTGGTGGTGGGGGCGGGGGGCAGGACGAGGGGCATCTAAGGGACTAGGTCAAACAGAGTGAAAGAGCCGGTGATAGCGAGGATAGCATGGCGACGGAAGCCAGGACCACGAGGGCGATAAAAGCATCGCGTCACTGCTTGCGGATTCACGATGGTGAATGTGGATGAACAATATCAGCTCTGTAAAGACGCAGAGGGATACGATGTCGTCGAGAAGGATAGAACAAGAAAAATAAACCAAGTGAGGAGCTGAAGGATCCATGGTTTTCGATGCTGGGACGATGGATATAAAAAAAATCGGCACAACCTCGGCTACTCTGCGAAGAGGCTCAAGGATATGATGCGAATGAAGAAATAGGCGAAAAAAAAAAGTTGGGGCACAACTAGGATGACGATGGGAGCGCTGACCGAAGTGGGGGATCTGGTAGCGATATGGAAATAGTGGTGGTGGACTCGATAAAAGAGTAAACGACTGAGAAGACGAAAAAATAGAAGGGAGTATGCGCGTATAAATCGAGAGGAATCGTCTCCGGGATGGCCTTGTTGTTGAGAAGAAAGGATGAAGTTCCAGCTGGGCACTCCGTCCTCCGCCGCGAAGGGCAAGAGGGCAGCTGGAGGTGGATTAGAAGACAGAACAGTGATGAATGGGTGAAGGTGAGAGAGATGTAAAGTGAATGAAGAAAAAAAAGTAGGAAGGGAGCGAAAGATAGAGCAATATATAAAGAGAATGAGTAAAACAAAAAAAAAACGACTAAGGAAGTGTGGTGTGTGAGCTGGTGGAAACAATAAGAGCCATTGGCATTGGTCCATTGTTCTACCATGGATCGATAATTGTGGACATGGTTGGTCGCACGGCAAAACTGTCACTCCAATTCCACCCTGGAAAAAGAGACACATGTTTTCACAACCATCCATCACAATGGAAAGTTATGAAAAAACGTTGTTTATATATACAATTTTGTTTCCGGGACCTTCTACCTCCTTCACCTTCCTTCTACTACAGATGAAACAAAGCCAAGCCATGTTACTCGAGCTCAGCCTCAAAAGCAGCAGCTTGCGCCTTCAGCGCCTCAACCTGCTCCCTCAAATCACTCAGATCCGATTCCTGTTCCTCAATAACATGTCGCAAATTCTCAATATCATGCTCATAGTTATCTTTCTGTCCCCTGCACTCGGTCAAGTCCTGGTCTTGCTGCCATGTCACAATCTCGAGACGAGACATCTTGTCCCCCTTGTCTTGAGGGCGTGGTGCGACTGGGGGGAAGGACGAGGACAAGGCTTCGAAGGCGGGGTCGAAGGCCTTTTGGATCCTGCTGTTTGTCCATTGGTACTTTGCGTGGATCGGCTCTGGCTGTGGTTGTGGTGCTTTTGGTGAGTTGGTAGTAGGATTGATAGGGAGGGCTTGGTAATCGGGGACTGACTCTTGACCGAGGGCGTCCATAATCACCACCGCTGGCAAAGAGACAATCTCGGCTTCTTGACCCAGTTGCTTGGTCTCTGCGGTAAACACCGCCAGCCCTTCATCGTCCACCATGACTTGCTTCCTGCGCTGTCCTTGCTCAATCACTACCATATCCTCATCTTTAAGGTCTCCATGTCCGATCAGGAGGCTTGCAAATGTCTTCATCCACTCCATCGTCGTCTTCTTCATTCCGCTTATCCGATCATCGTTGTTATTCTCACTGGTCGTAGGAGACGTGACAACATTGGGCTCGGCCAAAGTGGCTGTAACCATCACTGCCGCCTCAATCTCAGTCATGTCCTCTGCTTCTTCCTCGTCAGCTTGCAACAACCTCTCTACTTCCAACAAGCGTTCCTCCTTCTCGTCCTGTAATGGTTCTTGCTGTCTTTGTGGTGGCGACGGTAATGGTGAGGGTTGTTGTTTCTTTTGCTGTTGCTGTTGTCGAAATAATGAATCCTGTGCAATGGCGGTAGTGACGGTCTGGACACGACTGTACCCACCACCCAACTCCCCCAATCCTTCCTTCCTCCCACTTAAAACATCCTCTTCACTCCCCACCACAACCACAGGCGTCACCTTCCCTCCGCCCTCCTTGGATGAAGACAACATAGAATCCTGCAGGAAGATAATTAACGACAATAACCCGACAAGGAAGACAAACTGTCCAAAGTACGAACGACGGAATCGGGTGCGGATGGTTGAAGTAGGTGTGGCAAGGAGACCTTGTAGTCCGCCAAAGGGACCTGAACGTGTGTTGGTCGATGAAGAGTGGTGGTGTTGTTGGTAATGGTGGGATCCATTGTTGGGGTTACGACCGACCATGATGCTTCCTTCGGTGGTGGACGGGTATTCGAGCATGTCGCGGAGTACTCCTGGACCGACAAGTGTGTTGCTCATGAAAGGAGATGTATGTGCTGTTGTAGTTGTTGTTGTTTTCTGTCCGGTTGCTTGTCTTTCTGATAATGTTGAATGAAATAGAGAGTGAGGGAGAGATGAGAGGTGATATAAAATGAGAGAAAGAGAAAGAGAGAGAAAGAGAGAGAAAGAAGAGAGAGAGAGAGAAGACACAAGAGGGTCAAAGAGAGAAAGAGAGTGAGGAATGATAAGGATAGTGGCGAAGAAAGGGCATATGTGCATATGTGTGTGATGAATGGAAGGGCTGGTTGGGATGAATGGACCATTGTTGGGAGGAATGAGAATGGATTTCTCTCTCTCTCCTTCTCTCAACACGTACACACCTACGCAAAAGAAACAACAATCAAAAAGGAGGAATGAAGGAAATGAGGAAAGGGGGAACTATGGAACGTGAAAATACTGCCCTGAGGGGTGGGGAGCAGACCACATTTAAAGGAGAGCAACGGGGGCTCATCTCATTTTCATTTACCATCTTGTGCCCTGTCTCGTTCACGTCGCGTCCTAGATGCTGACTATTAGCAAGACCACCGAGGTTTCCTTGTTCGCGACCAATAGGAGGGAGAAAGAGAGACAGAGAGAGAGAGAGAGAGAGAAAGAGAGAGAGAGAACCGTTCTTCTTTCCTTCAACGACTTTTTTTTTGTTTCTGTGTCCCTCTCAGTGCACAGGCCACTGGCTGATTTCCTCTCTCCTCTCGTCATATTTTATGCAACAATCCTATATCAATTTTTCGAGAATACTTTCACTCTCTCTACACTTACAGCATACAGCCATCAAATGGACTATGCCTTATTTGAGTTTGAACCGAACACCCAACCGTCTAACAACAGCGACTAATGCCTGACTCTTTCTTCCTGAAGCAAAGGAGTGATCAAATTGTTCCTTTTTCTCCTTAGTGCCGAAGCGTAAAAAAAATTGGTGGGAAATAAAGGAAAGAAAAAACCATTTCGCCCAAGAGGTGACACAAGACAAATAACCTTTATTCTTGTGGCGTTAGACCCTGTTCAACAAGACTATGATTAGGCGGCGAAAAGGCATTTTATTTTTTCTCTCCCTACGCCTCCCTCTCCCTTCTTTTTGCATATGGATGCCAAAACATTATAGGAAAGGGAACACCATGACCTAAAAATGGGACAAGGTAGGGGACGTTTCTTGTGGCGTGAGGAGAAAATGATATCATGCAAAAGATGTGGATGATAACTCACGGTAAGAAAGACAAGAACAAAAAGAAGGGTGAAAAAAAAAGAGGTCTAACGGGCGGCAAGAGGGCCAGGGGCGAACAATGGTTGCTTGCTCGGAGAACTTGATATGGTTTGCTTTGCTCAAACAAATATGCAAAGTAGCGAACCAACTAACAAACAAACAAGTAGCTGACATGGTCATAATGAGAGAGGATTTTGAACTTGTGCGTGCGCATATTATTAAGGACATTGAGCGTTAACAACAAGTAGAGTCAGATATAAAGAAAACAAAAAGGACTAGATAGAAAAGTATGTACAGCGTCAATTCGTCTTCGTGTTAATGCATCATTGTCGATTAGACGTGATCAGGTTCGGTCTTCTCGGCAGGGACGTGCTCGAGCTCGGACTTCTCGCCAGGAACCATTTCCATCTTTTGGGGAACAGTCGAATCGTAAGGGCGGAGATGATGGTCCGAATTACTGCCACTGCTGCTGTCATCCAATTGTTTTTGCTGAGGTTGGTCCTGATTCAACTTCAATTCCTCAATATCATGATCCAGACGCGAGGCGGGTTGGGCGGCAGTCTTCCAGGCAGGGATATCCGAGTTGAACAACTCATCCATTTCTTCCAGAGTACGGCCCTTGGTCTCGGGGAACATAAAGAAGACATGGACGGTCATGGCCACACAAAAGGAGGCAAAGATGAAATAAGTCCGGTACTGGATGGACTGGAGCAGTGGGGGGACAGCATAGGCGAGGGCAAAGTTGAAAGCCCAGTTGGAGGCGGTCGAGAGTGAGACAGCCTTGGCACGGATACGCATGGGGTAAATCTCGGCGGGGTAGGTCCAGGAGACGGGACCCCAGGAGATGGCAAAGGAGCAGACAAAGAGGTACGAGCAGGCAATAACGGCATGCGAGGCAGAAGGGTTGTCTTGAATCGCCCAGGTGGTTGTTTGGTTGTCGGAGACAATGGGGGAACCGAACTTGCCCATTAGACCACCGATCAAGAACAGCCAGAGAGCCATGAATGTCGAGCCGATCACGAGGACAGGACGGCGACCCCAGCGGTCGATAAAGAGAATCGCAGGGATGGTCATGATGACATTGAGGACATACTGGATGGCGGAGGCCTGGAGGTTGGCGTTTTGACCAGTGATGCCGGCGCCTTGGAAGATAAAGACGATGTAGTACATGGCGACGTTCATGCCTGTGAGCTGAGACCAGGACTGGAGAGACATTCCAAGGAAGACGCGACGGACAGCGGGCTTGCGGAACAGTTCCATGTAGGATCGGGCAGCGAGTGTGCGGTCAAAGATGACGGCGTCCTCAATCTCCTTATACTCGGCCTGGACAGCAGGGTCGTTCTTGTCACCACGAGCACGGAGGTTTGCCAGGACCTCGAGAGCCTCCTCCCAACGACCCTTGTCGGCCAACCAACGCGGGGAGAAAGGGAAGAAAGAGATGCCAATCAGAAGGATCGCACCGGGGACGACCTGGAGACCCCAAGGGATACGGAAGGCAGCATCGGATTCAATAAACGAACACCCATACTGGATAAAGTACTGGATCAAAATACCCCAAGTAATAGCCCACTGCTGGAGAGAGACAATACGACCACGAATATTCTTGGGCGCAATCTCGGCCTGGTAGACGGGAACGATCATGGAAGCAAGACCGACAGCAACACCGTTGACAACACGACCAACGATAAGCATGGCGACATTGACAGAGGCGCATTGGATGATGGAACCGATGATCCAGATGGACGCAGCGAGCATGATGGTACGTTTGCGAGAGAACTTGTCGCCGAGGGGTCCTGCCAGAAGGGCACCACAGAAGGAGCCTGCGGCCATGGAGGCGACGATGCCGCCCTGGAGGGAGGACGAAGGGTGGTTGAAGAATTCTTGGTAGCGCTGTGTGCCGACCACTCCCGACATTGACGAGATGTCAAATCCGAACAGCATCCTATGTCACACAGGAATAATGGTAGGAAAGAGGGACATGGTTGATGGTTAGGGGATATAGGTGACGTGACAATGAGAGCATGCATGGATGACGAAGAGAAGAGAACTTACCCGCCCATGGTGGCGAACCCACCAAGGAAGTAGACGTTATTTAGAAGTGAGTATTTTTGGACCATGTTGTATGGACGGTGTCCTTGTATGTGCTGTGATGTGAGTGTGTGAAAAGAAAAGGGAAAAAAAAAGGTAAAGGGGGAGAAGGCGGGTAGTAAACTGCAAGGGGTGCGAAGGAGGGAAGAGAGAAGAATGAGAGTGAAGGGTTGAAGAGAAAGAAAAGAAGAGGGGAGCCAAGAGGCCTTTATATCATTTTTTAGGTGATCCGGAGGAGGAGGAGGAGGAGGAGGAGGAGGAGGAGGAGTGATCCTATGGGCGAAGGAGAAGTGGGAAGGCGGTGCTAGAGGTGCTACTGTAGTGGATGATAGATGGTTGTGGGGTGGGATGTGCCATTTTGCCAGTATGGGACTAATTAGGACTGGCTGTCCATCTGTCCATTTGTTCATTTGTTCATCTGTCCTCTCTTTATCCCGTTAGTCTCATTCGCTTGGTCTCATTCGCTTGGTCTCATTCGCTCTCTATCCAGGGCGTCCTCTTATTCTTTTCTATTCAACCCCATCCTAGTAAGAACGGATCTTTCTCTTTGTTTGTTTGTTTGTTTGTTTGTTTGTTTGTTTGGCTGTTGTTGTTGTGTCCGTCGTGCTGGCTTCTTTTAGGAAGGTGCATGCACGACCGAGAGCGTTTGTCAGACGAACGTCATTTTCATCAAAACCCTATTCCTCCTCTCAATGCTCTCATTATTCACATCGCCATCCTTGGTCACCGAGGGAAGGAGTGGAGAGAGAGGAAGTGAAGGACAGGGTAGGGAAACAAACGGACAGGCACAATGAATGCTTCTACTCCACACTCCCTTCCCCATTGAAGCATTGAACCACTGTCCGTTCGTTATTTGTTGGGTCAGACCCCCTCTTCTTCCCTTTCTCTACGGTCCCCCTTTTGACCCCTTGTGAGAACGGACGAATGAACGCATGAAAAAATAAGGGTAAAATCGATCCTTGGGCACGGGTGCCAATTTACCGTTTGTTCACCCACAACGAGGCACTGGTCGTCTGGTTAGCGTCAAGGGAAGAAAAAAAAAGTGGGGAAGAGAAGAGGAAGGCGCTTATCGTCTTTGTTTGTTGTTGTTTCTACGGTTGATGACAATATTTGTCCTATGGCACTGTGCATCAACCTATCATCCTCGTTGTTGATAATGTCGTTGAGGATGATTCGACACCACAAATGATCCGTGTTGTCAGGTGTCGCCTGGATTCATATTGTCTCTTTTTGTTGTGTTGCACCTGTTAGGACGAGTTTTCTTGATAGGCCCCACGTCAACATAAACCGAAACCAACCAACGTCTTCTTGGGCTAATTCATCTTAGTTCTACCACCACAAGATTTGTCCGTTGCACGAAACTAACGAACCCCCTACCCTCGTCTCTTCTGGTTATTTCTTGACCTTCTTTCTTCCCTCCGTTATCTGTCAATTCGCAGGAAGAGTATATAGAAAAGTGTCAACACTGCTATCAGTCTCTATCTTTCAGTGGATCCACACATTATCTTGTTTGTGGTCAGTCAGTAACACTACCCTTCGCAGGAGGGATGAAAAAAACAACAACGCGCCAAAAAGGTGAGGGGGAGATACTATCAGAATAAACATGACCCTTTAGCCTTCTTTACTATCTATCCTTTTGCCTACCTACTCTTCCTCCCCCCCCCCCCCCCCCCCCCCCCCCTCCCCCTTCCTTCACCGCAAAGGTGTAATGAAGGAGAAAACAAAGAGCCGATTGGAGCACATCCTCCTTCTATCTCTGACCTGAGCGCCCTTTTTTCATTTCGCCTTCTCTTTTCATCCTCCCACAGTCCTGGGAAAAAAAAATAAGCATTGTTCTCTTCTTCGGAGTTGTGAGCACCTCTTCTCAGACCCTTACAATCTTACATCAGCACGGCAAAAATAAATTTCATCTCATCTCTCTCTTAAAGTGCCTTCTTCTGAGAGAATGGGGAGACGACAGGTTCGTTTTTGTTGGAGTAGAAGGAATACTGATCAGTTGGATCTCTCAAGTTGCCCTCCTATGGGAGGTGCACCGAGTTTGAATGAACGTGTACAGTGATCACCCCTTATCTCTTTCTTGCTCTGTTCCTCTTGGCAGTGCTCTTCTTTGCCAACTCACTTTTTACTCAACCATGCGAGGAAGTCAATGCTTTCTTGGTTGCTGTCTGGGCGTATTGGGTCCGTTTGTTGCGTTATGCGTATGAGAGCAAAGATACATGCCTCAACTCCACCCCTGTTTCTTGCTTTTTTTTTTTTTTTTTTTTTCTTTTTGTGTGAGAAAAACGTGTTGGGCACATGCAAATGAAGCATGGATTGGTAACATTGGCTTTCTATGCTGCGATTGTAAATAGCGGCACAGGGCACCGATGCTTGCATTGTGTGGACGCTGGTATTCAATTGCCAGCTTAAGGTTTACCAAAGTGGATACAAAACGTTGAGGTAGGTGCATGTTTCCATTTGCATTGACGACACCACCCTTTCTTTCCGCAAATGGCACATAGGAGGTATCATGCATCTCCGCTACCATTGCTGCCCCTTCTTAACTCACACCCCTCTTTTATTATCCTTTGGGCCTCCATATGGCTCAATGCTATATCCTCACCTGTCACCTGTATTTTTCGTATCTCTGTCAAAATGCAATGCATAGCCACTATGCCAGACACCGCTCTCTATTCTTCTGTTGCCTTTTCCCTTTCACTCTCACGCTTGGCCATGGTAATCTCCTGCTGGGAATATCCCTTGCGTCTTCAACCTTTTTTCTTATCAAGGATGGCAGACAAGCACTACGACATCAATGCCGTGCTCGTCTATCTCCCAAAGAACTCGTTGAGTCCAGAACTAGCGCTTTTTAGTTTGAAGTTGCAAATTGACAGAGAAAATAAATGAATTATCTCCGCACTCATGCGTTTCAGAACATAGTTGGGTGGGCTTGCGGATTTGCCATTTGATACATACCATAGTCAACGCCAAAGCTTAGCCTGGCGTAGCCTAGCTTACGGCCAGGGTTTTCTAGGTCCTGTTTCTTTTATTATCAGTTCATAAAAGCGTCATAAGAAGGCTTGCCTAGGGTAAAGAGGCCTATCGGTGGTGAAGATGCATTCGCGACATATAAAAAGACACTTTCGTCCCTAGAGAGAGAGAGAGAGAAAGAAAGAGAAAGAGGTATCAATTGAGTTTTCAGGACGTCGCCGTGGAGGTATTTGAATTATGAGAACAGCCCAGAATACAAAGCCAGATCAAATGGAGGGGAGTAGAAGAAGAGCTTAGTGACACATCCAACCAGCGATCGACTGCCACGATTTTCTTTTTTCGGACAATGCACAAAGAGTGAGCGAGCGAGCGTCCTTACATGTGTCAGAGCCCGCTCTTGGTCCAGGAACGACTAGAGTCGAGTCACAAGTCTTGGCGCTCCTCCTTTCTTCTCTCTCTCTTTCACTTTCTCATTCACAAAACCCTCACTTGCACTCACTCATTCTCTCATACTTACTTATTCACTCTTTGGTTCGCACTCATTACCTCTCTTCTTTTTCCTCTTCTTCCTCTTCCCCACTTCCCCACTTCCCCACTTCCCCTCTTACAACAATGGCCTCGATTCTCTTTGACGACATCACCTTCCCTCGAGAACTCTACGACCCAGACACTTTCGAGTTCGTCGCCCCCGTCTCGACCCTCCTCACCTTCACTCCCCATATCATCTCTCAACTCGCAAAGACCTCAGAGGAACAACAGGAACCAATTCCCCTCCCCAACCTCACCCCTACTACTCCTACCGCTGACAACCCAGAGACGACCCATACCTCCCCGTCTTCCGCAGAACAGACCAGTACTCCACGAGCCACAGAAACCCAATCGACGTCTGGAGGCATCTTTTCGTCCTTCAAGAACTTTGCGAACAGCCAGGGAACGCAACAGATCCTCAATAATGGACTCTACCTTGCGGGACGATACATGGACGGTTCTGCGTCTGCTAGACGGTCGTCTTCATATGAGGACGACCACCGCTACGATACCCGCTCTCGCCAGTCTACCTCTTCTTGGTTTGGATCGTCGTCGTCGTCGAACCGTTATGAATACCGGGACCAGGAACGACAGCGATTGAGGGATATGGAGGATCAGATGAGGCAGATGGAGAGGGATATGCGGCAGCAGTCGGCGATGGCGAGGTCGGAGGTGGATGCTCAACGGCGGCAGAGGGTTCAATTGGAACAGGAGTTGGAGTCTCAGAAGCAGAAGGTTGCCAAGTTAGAGAAGGAGGTGGAGCAACAGCAAAAGGAGCAGGAGGCTAACAAGAAGAAGCAACAGGAGGAGGAGAAGAAAAAGAAGAAGCAGGAGGAGAAGAAAAAGAAGAAGCAGGAGGAGGAGGAAGCAGCAGCAGCGGAGAAGAAGAAGAAGAGTGAGGCAAAGGAGGACAAAAAGGACAAGGAAAAGGAAAAGTCATCGTCTCAGGACGTTACAACGACAGACAGCGGAGCGGATGCGGCGAATGCGGTGCTGATGGCGACTGTGGGCGTAGCTTCGTTGGTGATGTCCCTTTACGCTGCCCACCAGGCGTCGTCAACCTACTCGGTAGTCCGGTTCCACGACCAGCTGGAACTCTTGATCGAACAGTGCGAGGGAGTCATCCAGTCGACAGAAGCCTGGATGAGCGAGCAGTTCTTGGAGGTCCCAGATCAGATTCGACAGGATCTCAAGATGCTCAAGGAGTTGATCGAGACTATCCAGCGACTGGACCCTCGCTCTGAGAAAAAGGTACGTGTGTGAGCGTGAGAACGAGCCAAAACTAGCATTGTGCATTGCTTTGTTATGCGCTTTTTTTTTTTTTTTTTTTTGGTTGTGTGGTCTGCTCTCAAAATGGGTCACATGCCAAAACGAAGCGCATAAACAGAGCATTGCACTTTTTTTTTTTTTCTTATGCTGTCAACTTGACTTGCTAACCTTTCTGTTATTCTTCCTGACAACCTTGATGATAGGCAGAGACGGTGGCATGGTCAATGTCTGCAGTGGGATCAATCGGCGCGGTCGGAGGAGCTGTGCTAGGCAGTATGACGGCAATGGCGAGTGGCGGAACTTTGGTCGTCGGCTGTGCGCTCTACGGAATCATTAATCGAGCACGGTTCACAGGACCCGAGTACAACGCAGCCAAGTCCATGATGGAAGTGAGGGCGATCCAGATCTTAAAATCCTTGGGCGTCAACCCCAACGCCCCAGGAGCAGCACCCAGCAGCAGCAGTCGAGGAGGGCGATCGGTGTCGTTGATCCATGAGAGCAGACTGGAGAGACTGAGGATCGAGTTTGAGAGACGGGAGGGGTTGGAGATGGGCGATGCGAATGAGATTGATGGACTGGCTGTCGAGGAGGCGCTTTTGGAGTCGTCCTTTTCTGCACCCTTTGTGTCCCGAAAGGCAACGGCGGCAGGGTGGTCTCGGCAGCAGAGTGGTGCTAGCGCGGCTGCTGCTGCGGCGGTTCTGGAAGACACGAGACCTATACTGTCGATGAAGAGTGAGTCGAAACGTGTCTCCATTCTCGCTTAACGCAAGAGTATCAGTAACGTATCCATTCCACATCATGACACACCATATACCCATTATTTTCAATGAAGCCCTTCATGCTTTACAATACTATCATTTTTCCTCCGCGCTTTGTTGGTACACTTTCTTACACTAAAGAAGTGGATGAATCTAAGTATTTTTTTATAATTCGTCGCGAGAGTATCGACCATGATGTGTGCGGGTCTAAGAACGGAGTTGCAGGGTGAGGGGAAAGGGGACAAGGAATGCAGATGGAATTGCACCTGCACGACGTTCGTCGGACGATAGGATTATATCGATACCTTTTTTTTTTGTTCCGGTAGCAGATGCCTGTGTCGATGCCACTATTGCGATCAGATAAGATAGTGACGCGAATAAAAGATGGTAATGTCTTTGTCTTGGAAATCAAACGACCAAAGAAGGGGACTGGTAGGATGGCGCTAGGAGGTGGTTTGAGTGGAAAACAGAAAGCTTGAGCGAGGGGCAGCTAGACTTTTATTATCGAAGAAACGAGGTCGGTACTCATTGCCGTTGGGAAGAAAGAAAGGGGGGACGAATGGATTGAAGGGAAAGCAGGCCTGGAAGAGAATGCACTTTTGTTACCATACGTTGGGATATCAGTCAGTCTGGTCAGAAATGCAGCGCTTGTTCATAAAGCAGAACAAACACAAGGCAAGGATAGGGTTGTTGAGCATAGAACGAAAACAAGACAGAGAAAAAGGAAGTCGGTCTATGACTGTTCGCATGTCTCCCCTTGAACGTGTTTTGGTGGTGCCTGGACCGAGATTTGTGACATGGTGTTGACATGTACATTTTGTATTTGTTGTGCGTCTGCGTTGTCTAGACTGGTCATTGCTCTCTGTGCGCCCAAGGCCATGCTGGCCAAAAAGAATGGCGAAGGCATAATGAGTAGCTCTCCTTTCTCCCTTCCTCGGCTCATTCCTTCTTCTTCTGTCATCCTTCTGCACCTCCCCTAACCATCATCTCGCCACCCACTCACACCTTCTCAAGTTTGACATCCACCATCGTGTCCTCCTCTCGCCTCAATCTTCACAGTGCTTTCATCACAACTCGCTCAACTGCCGGAAACAACAACACCCAAAGGTTCACTTTGGTCCTAACAGGTAACACCTACCACCATTCAGGACAAGCAACTGATGTGTGCGTTCTGTGAGATATATTTATTCTCATTGATGCTCACCACCACTTAACTGAAACTTAGATACCATTGAGACTGCACCAAATACACTCCCAGACGTAACAAGAGTCGTCTTTCCTTCCTTCAAGCCTCAAAACACACTAGTAGAGCCTCAAAACACACCAATCGAGATGATCGGCTTTCCTTTCGTGCACGCAGCAACCAGCAGCAGCGAAGAGCCTCCAGGGTCATGCACACCGAAAACACCTTTGTCTCCCGAGGCCAGTTTTCAGCGATATGCGCAACTCCAGGATTCACCCTCAGTCGAAGACATGCTGCACAGGCTGAGACGACTGAGGATCGAGGAGTACACTCAGGCCGTCTTCATTGCTCCAATGGCCAAACCTAACCTACAGGCCCTGGACAACACGCTGTTCTCTCTCATGGACAAGGTCGAGGAGTTTCTGGCAGGCGACGGTCAAGTCATGCTGATTATGGGTGAATCTGGAGCCGGCAAATCGACTTTCAATCGACATCTGGAGCACCGACTCTGGCAAGACTATGAGCCTGGAGGACGTATCCCACTCTTCATCAATTTGCCAGCCCTCGACCGACCGGACAAGGATATGGTTGTAGAGCAGTTGAAGACGACAGACTTTTCAGAGGGTCATATCTGGGATCTAAAACAGAGCCACCAGCTTTTATTAATCTGCGATGGCTATGATGAGAGCCAGCTCACCTCCAACTTGCACACCACCAACCTCTTCAATCGACCTGGTCAGTGGGACGTCAAGCTGATCGTCACTTGCCGCACTCAGTACCTCGGTCCTGACTATCGTGATCGCTTTGCGCCTAAGGCGACCGGTCAGTATCACCGCACTGCCAACAATCTCTTTCAAGAAGCCGTCATCGCCCCCTTCTCCAAGGAGCAGATCGACCTGTACATCGAAAAGTTTGTCCCACTCATTCCTCGGACTTGGGTCAAGAAGGACTACATGGACAAGTTGACAACTATCCCCAACCTCATGGAACTGGTCAGGAACCCCTTTCTGTTGACTCTTGCGCTGGAGGCTCTCCCAAGTGTTGTCGATGGCAGAAGCGATCTCTCGAGGCTCAAGATCACCCGTGTTGAGCTCTATGACACATTTGTTGATCACTGGCTGAAGGTCAACAAGCGCCGCTTACAGGACCAGACGCTGAAGGATAGACACAAAGCATTTGAAGATCACCTCGCGGACGGATTTGTTCAGAGTGGCATTGTGTTTCAGAAGGAATTGGCGGAGGCGATCTTTCAGGAACAGGACGGCCGACCTATCGTCGAATACTCCAACAAACGGGACAAGATGTCGTGGAAAGCGCGCTTCTTTGATTCTGAACCTGAGATATCCCTGCTCAGAGATTCCAGTTTGCTGAGTCGCACTGTCAACCAATATCACTTCATCCATCGATCTGTCTTAGAGTACTTTTTGTCTCGCACCGTTTGGGACACCTCCATGGATGATAACGAGTTTGCTCCGCATGTTTATTCAGAAGCTACTGGGGTATCTCTTCCTATCACCGATCTTCCACTGTCTAAGAGGAGTCTTGTCCCCGAGCCGTCGGTGATCCAGTTTCTCGTCGAGCGTGTCCAAATGCAGCCAATCTTCAAGCAATACCTTCTCGAACTCGTCGAGCTTTCCAAGTCGGATCCTCTGGCTAGTATGGCCGCAGCCAACGCCATCACAATCCTGGTGAGAGCTGGGAGACATTTTAATGGAGCTGACCTTCGAGGCATTCGCATCCCAGGAGCCGACCTCACAGGTGGGCAATTCGACTTGGCGCAGTTTCAGGATTCCGACCTAACAGGAATCACCTTCACCAAGACTTGGATCCGACAGGCGGACTTCACTGGAGCACGGATGGAAGAGACACGGTTTGGAGAGTTGCCGAGTTTGCAGGGAGATAGTTGGGTACTGTCATGTGCATTTACCGCGGATGGGAGGTCTTTTGCGACGGGTCTGCTAAACAACAACGTAAGTACCTAAGACATCACCACCTGGACAAGGATTCGGCTACTTCATGATCATAAAACGACCGTTAAGGGCCTCGCCTATTCAACAACCGGCTTTCAACTTCTCTCCGGCGGTTCTGATGGTACGGTGCGACTGTGGGACGGTGAGAGCGACACAACCGATCGTGTTCTGAAAGGGCATTCCCTGAGTGTGACAGCTGTTGCGTTTTCACCCTCAGGCATGCAGTTCGCCTCAGCCAGCGCAGACATGTCAGTGCGCCTATGGGACACCCGAACAGGAACCGTCACCTTTGTCATAAAAGATATTGGCGATATCATAGGGATCACCTATTCTCCAGACGGGAACAACATTGCATCTTGCTGCATGGATGGACAAGTCCGAGTATTCGACACGCAGACGGGCTTACAGGGGCTGAGTTCTGGAACGAGCTACGAGAGGTACCACTGCCTTGCGTATTCCCCTAACGGACAGTCGATCGTCTCGGGCGATACCGCCGGCGAGATACAATTCTGGGAGGCGACCACCATGATGCCGAGGATCACTTGGAGAGGACATTCTCGACCAGTGACAACTATCGAGTTTTCGCCGAACGGGCGATGGATTGTGTCTGGCAGTGACGACAACACGGTCAAGGTATGGGATGGATATGCAGCCACACTTGTCTCTACATTCACAGGTCACACCAGCTGCATCACCAGTGTTGCATTTTCCCCAGACGGCTCACTCATTGCTTCAGGAGGCTGGGATCGAACTGTGCGACTCTGGGAGGTGAACTCGGTTGGATTCGGTTTCGACCTAGACGGCGCAGTCGACTCCAAGCGAAGTGTAGCCTATTCTCCTGATGGACAGTTTCTCATCTCTGGCAGTCGCGCTGGAGTGATACAGCAACACGACGCGGAGAGTGGCGAGATTGGTCTTGTTATTCGCCGCCAAGAGTTCCGAGCCAATTCTATCGCTTATTCGTCGGACTGTCGTCAGATTGCCATGGGTGGCTCAGGAGGCGATGTCACATTGTGGAGCACTCACACCGGCGCCCTTGAGAACACTCTTCGCGGCCATACTACGAATGTGAGAGTAGTTGCGTACTCACCATGCGGCCAATGGATTGCTTCCAGTGACGACCTGAGGGTGCAACTTTGGGATGCTCGATCAGGCACGTCTATTCAAGTCATCTCTGGTAACGACGCCTGTTTCGTTCGAACTTTGTCGTTTTCGTCTAGCGGTGCTAAGATTGCATTTGGAGGCAAATCTGGAACGGTGCAAGTCTGGGATGTGACGACCGGGAAGTGCGAGATTGAGAAAGGTGGAAGTGACGTTTGGTACTGCTTTGTGAGGTATTTACCGAAGAGTCTTCAGGTTGTTTCCTGTGGCGGGGGAGAAGGTGCTCATTTGTGGGATGAAGAGGTCCGACATTCCCGAGTCATTCTGCAGCACAGTGGTATTCTCATCCAACACTTTGCATTCTCGAGTTGCGGTCAATGGATAGCAAGTGTTGAAGAAAACAGGGCTCACCTGTGGAGAAGCCCTCTGGAGGAGAGACCACAGGACTGGAAGTATGTGCTGGCCGTTGAGGGTTGCTTAGGGTTGATTGATGAGATTGTCTGGAGGCCTAACAAGTTGGAATTTGCCACCGCCGATGTGGGTGGATCCACTCGTGTATGGAGGGTCGTAGAGGAGTCTGCCAGAGTGCGGGTCCAGCTGGTGTGGGGTACTGGAGGAAGTGGTCTTGTTGCCTCGGGATCGGTCCTTGACGGTGCCATTGGTCTTAATACGCTCAATCAGACCCTGCTGGAGCAGCGCGGCGCTTTTCCCTCCGAGAACCTATAGTAACGAGTTTCTATCGCGATACGGTTTCGAATGATGCCATGATGGCTCTTTCTTGTTAATAACAATGAATAGCAAAGACAATACAAATCAGAGAAATGATAACGTACTTGTTCCCACTTTTCGCGTTTGTACCTCCAAGAAAGGGAGTGTCGTTGTTGATGAGATACCTTTACTCGTTTCGCGGAACGGTCCTGCAGAGTGTGCTGATGATAGTGAGATTGCAGTGAAGATCCAAGGTGCGGTTTTCGGCGCCGATGCCAGCTATCCCTGGCCTCGACCGACATCCATCTCTTCCCGCTGCTTCAGATGACCCTGAGTGCTTTTGAGGATAGATTGTGGGTTGGAAAACAAAAGCGGCAATGGCGACCTTGCTGCGGTTGCCTTTCTTTTTATTTTGAATAATTTCGTGTTATGATCTTACCATGATCTGGTACAGACAGGCACGTCCTTGCTACCATGGAGCGTGCACAGAGAGCAATGGCGTTGAACCAAAATAATTGGCGTAGGTGTGGGTTAAGGATGTGGTTCTATTTCTCACTTTTCTTCTCTCTCTTCTCTCTCGGCTCATTCCATCTCTCCTGCCATCACCATCACCCGCCTTTCCCTTGCATCATCTCGCCACCCCATCTCCTTCCACTACCTCTTTCACCTCCTGCACTCCTCTCAGCTGGCCTACCAGAACCATAGCACCCACAAACCAAAAAAACAACTAGCCAAAAACACCACTAAACGACACAACTACCAAAAAAACCAATACACTTGCACTGTCACTCCCTTGAGGTAAGACCGTACAGCAGCGACGAGTGTTCTCTTGACAAGACAACTTCGAACTTCAGATAACTAATCAGCGGTGCTTCCGAAATAGACTGTCTTGCCCACTAAAGCCGTCAGAGAGACAGCTCCAAATACAACAAGTACCCGCTCGCCAAGTAAGTAGATAAGGGTCGGCACAGGAGCTCCATGTTGCGATACTCAACCTCTAATTGGCATCACTCGCTCAAGTCTCATCGAGAAGTCCTACTCCAACTCGCCCACCAGCCTCAGGCCATAGGAATCCCCATCGCCAATCTTCGACGTGTGTGAGCGCTTGCATATGCAAAGTATGCCTTATGGCAATTGCTACTAACTAATCACTTATTTCTCCACTATCCCTTATAGGTTCACCGTCTCGTCTTCATCTCCTCGTAGCAATCAACAGCCGCAACCTGGATCCATCATGTCATCTCCATCGACAGTACAGGAAGTTGCAGACAGCCAGGAGCTCACCAGCGACGGCAAGCGCTGTCTTTCGCAACTGGATCGTCCAGCAAAATTTCGACGTGTCACAGCCGAGACGGACTACGTTCCTGCTTCAATTGAAGATGCGCTCCTCAGGCTGAAGACGAACAGACTTCTCGAATACAACCAACTTGTCTACATCTTCCCAATGGCCAAGCCCAACATACAAGCACCAGACAACACGCTGTTCTCTCTCATGGACAAGGTCGAGGAGTTTCTGGCAGGCGACGGTCAAGTCATGCTGATTATGGGTGAATCTGGAGCCGGCAAATCGACTTTCAATCGACATCTGGAGCACCGACTCTGGCAAGACTATGAGCCTGGAGGACGTATCCCACTCTTCATCAATTTGCCAGCCCTCGACCGACCGGACAAGGATATGGTTGTAGAGCAGTTGAAGACGGCAGACTTTTCAGAGGGTCATATCTGGGATCTAAAACAGAGCCACCAGCTTTTATTAATCTGCGATGGCTATGATGAGAGCCAGCTCACCTCCAACTTGCACACCACCAACCTCTTCAATCGACCTGGTCAGTGGGACGTCAAGCTGATCGTCACTTGCCGCACCCAGTACCTCGGTCCTGACTATCGTGATCGCTTTGCGCCTAAGGCGACCGGTCAGTATCACTGCACTGCCAGCAATCTCTTTCAAGAAGCCGTCATCGCCCCCTTCTCCAAGGAACAGATCGAGCTGTATGTCGAAAAGTTTGTCCCACTCATTCCGCGGACTTGGGTCAAGAAGGACTACATGGACAAGTTGACAACTATCCCCAACCTCATGGAACTGGTCAGGAACCCCTTTCTGTTGACCCTTGCTCTGGAAGCACTCCCATCCGTCGTCAAGAACAATACCACTCTCTCAAATCTCCGCGTCACCCGTGTTGAGCTCTACGACACATTTGTCGATCACTGGCTGAAGGTCAACAAGCGCCGCTTACAGGACCAGACGCTGAAGGATAAACACAAGGCATTTGAAGATCTCCTCGCGGACGGATTTGTTCAGAGTGGCATTGTCTTTCAGAAAGATCTGGCAGAGGCGATTTTTCAGGAACAGGAGGGCCGACCTATCGTCGAATATTCCAACAGGCGGGACAGATCGTCGTGGAAAGCGCGCTTCTTTGATTCTGAACCTGAGAAATTCCTGCTCAGAGATTCCAGTTTGCTGAGTCGCACCGGCAACCAGTACCGCTTCATCCATCGATCTGTCTTGGAGTATTTCTTCTCCTGTTTCATATGGGACGCCTCCAGGGATGATGATGAGTTTGCTCCGCATATTTATTCAGAAGCTACTGGGGTATCTCTTCCTGTCACCGATCATCCACTCTCCAAGAGGAGTCTTGTCCCCGAGCCGTCGGTGATCCAGTTTCTCGTCGAGCGTATCCAAATGCAGCCAATCTTCAAGAAATACCTTCTCGCACTCGTTGAGCTTTCCAAGTCGAATCCTCATGCTATCATGGCTGCAGCCAATGCCATGACTATCCTTGTCAGAGCCGGTGTCCGATTCCATGGAGCTGACCTTCGAGGCATTCGCATCCCAGGAGCCGACCTCACAGGTGGACAATTCGACTCTGCGCAGTTTCAGGATTCCGACCTAACAGGAATCACCTTCACCAAGGCTTGGATCCGACAGGCGGACTTCACTAGAGCACGAATGGACGAGACACGGTTTGGAGAGCTGCCTAGTTTGCATGAAGCGATGGCGGTACTGTCATGTGCATTTTCCCCAGATGGAAAGTCTTTTGCGACGGGTCTGGATAACGGCAACATCAGTATCTACGACACAACCACCTGGACAAGGATTCGGCTACTTCATGGTCACAAAGCGGCCGTTCAGAGCCTCGCCTATTCAACCACCGGCCTTCAGCTTCTCTCCGGCGGTTCTGATGGTACGGTGCGACTGTGGGACTATAAGAGCGACGTGACTGATCGTATTCTGAAAGGACATTCCTGGGAGGTGATAGCTGTTGCGTTTTCACCCTCAGGCATGCAGTTCGCCTCAGCCAGCGCAGACATGTCAGTGAAACTATGGGACACCCGAACAGGAACCGTCACCTTTGCCATAAACCATTCTGGCAGTGTGACAGGGATCGCCTATTCGCCAGACGGGAACAACATTGCATCCTGCTGCCGACATGAAAAAGTCCGAGTATTCGACACGCAGACGGGCTTACAGGTACTGAGTTCTGGAACGAGCTACGAGAGGTACTACTGCCTTGCGTATTCCCCTAACGGACAGTCGATCGTCTCGGGCGACTTCTTCGGCTATCTACAACTCTGCGACGGGACCACCATGATGCCGAGGATCAAATGGAGAGGACATTCTGGAACAGTGACAAGCGTCGAGTTTTCGCCGAACGGCCAATGGATTGTGTCTGGCGGTGACGACAGTACGGTCAAGGTGTGGGGTATAGATGCAGCCACACTTGTCTCTGTATTCACGGGCCACACCAGCTGCATCACCAGTGTTGCATTTTCCCCAGACGGCTCACTCATTGCTTCAGGAGGCTGGGATCGAACTGTACGGCTCTTGGAGGTGAACTCGGCTGGGTTTGGTTTCGACGTAGATGGCGCCTTCGACTCCAAGCCAAGTGTAGCCTATTCTCCTGATGGACAGTTTCTCATCTCTGGCAGTCGCGCTGGAGTGGTACAGCAACACGACGCGGAGAGTGGCGAGATTGGTCTTGTCATTCGCCGCCAAGAGTTCCGAGCCAATTCTATTGCTTATTCATCGGACGGTCGTCAGATTGCGATGGGTGGTTCAGGAGGCGATATCACGTTGTGGAGCGCTCACACCGGCGCCCTAGAGATCATTCTTCGTGGCCATACTGAGGATGTGAGTGCAGTTGCGTTCTCACCATGCGGCCAATGGATTGCTTCCAGTGATAAGCTGACAGTGCGACTTTGGGATGCTCGATCAGGCACGTCTATTCAAGTCATCTCTGGCGACCGCGTCTATGCCGTTCGATCCCTGTCGTTTTCGTACAGCGGTACTAAAATTGCATTTGGAGGCAACTCTGGAACAGTCCAAGTCTGGGATGTGACGACCAGGAAGTGCAAGATGGAAATGGGTGGAGGCAGCTTTGGAAACAGCTTTGTGAGATATTTACCGAGGAGTCTTCAGGTTGTTTCCTGTGACGGTTTGAAAGGTGCTCATTTGTGGGATGAAGAAGATCGACATGCCCGAGTCATTTTGCAGCACAGTCGTATTACCATCCAAGACTTTGCATTCTCGAGTTGCGGTCAATGGATAGCAAGTGTTGAAGGTAACAGGGTTCACCTGTGGAGAAGCTCTCAGGAGGAGAGACCACAGGACTGGGAGTATGTGCTGGCCGTCGAGGGTTGCTTAGGGAAGATTGAGGAGGTTGTCTGGAGGCCTAACAAGTTGGAATTTGCCACCGCCGATGTGGGTGGATCCACTCGTGTGTGGAAGGTCGTGGAGAAGTCCGGCAGAGTGCGGGTCCAATTGGTGTGGGGTAATGGAGGAAGTGCCCTTGTTGCCTCGGGATCGGTCCTTGACGATGTCGTTGGTCTTAACACGTTCAACCGGAACTTGCTGGAGCAGCCCGTTGTCGACAACGAATACCTCTCTTTATCGGATGACGAAAGTTTGCAAGTCGAATACGATGTTGAAAACCTCCAATGTCTCCAGTCCGAATATGAGAGCGATAGTTCGATTTCGTCGACCAGTTCTCGTGGTCACTTTCCATTGCAGGTTCCGATGGAACCTGATGGCCATTATTATTTCTGGGACATCGAGCTATAGAATAAAGAGGACGAGCGTTCAATTTTTTTTTACCGCCGAGATACACTGATCTTTCTACACAGCACTAGTGCGACACTGTCAATTCTTGGTGACCGGGGCACACCTTTGTAGGCGGTGTAGAGTCCAATGTTTTATTAGTCTTCCGATATTTTTATGATGCTGTCTTAGGTACACCAAAGACCAACAGATCCAGTTGTGCCAAGCTTGGCATCAATGAGTATCCCAGACCCTAATTATTTCAATGCAAGAAAAAACAACAACGATGAAATGTCAGCGACTATAAGAAACACAACTAGCACAATTGAATAGGTTGTCTTATACTTTTACTCACCATGCACTCCTCAAGGACCTCGTACACAATACCCGTGTTCAATTGAACTAGCTCCGCTGACAACGTCGTATTTGATGCAGATCCCGCCTTACTCTTGGTGGTAGCAGCTGTGGTCACTCCTGGTCTCCCTCCAGATCATGTTGCTCCTAAAGCTCCTTGCTGGCTGGGAACCAAATACCGCTCCAACGTCGTCATCAGCTGTCCAAGAAACTCAATCGTCCCATGATACGAGGTGTGTAACCCCGCAGCTGTCGAATACGCCAATTCCGGAACCGGACTCTGCCTCTGAATCTCCTGCGAGTCCGATAACGAGCTGCCGCCTGGGCTACCAGGAACACTGCCACCGCGAGACAATGATGGTTGACGTCATCCAGGGAGTGAAAAAGGTATCCGAGTAACAGTCGCAGAAGCGGTAGAAGGGTTGGTGGTAAGGGACAACAAGCGACGAGGACGAGGTCGTGGATTGTTTGGTATATGAAGCAGCAGTCAGTTGAGAAGAGGGGTATCGCGATTGATTGAAGGTCTCCTGTGATAGCTTCTGTTCCTGGTGAGTGTGTTAATGACGGTGATGTTGATAGTGAGTGTCCGAGATGTGGAGAATCGGCGCCGTTACCAGTTCTCCCTGGCCTTCACCGACATCCATCTCTTCCCGCTGCTTCACATGACCATGAGCCTCTAGGCCTGAGTGCTTCTGAGGATGGTTGTGGGGTGGGAAAACAAAAGCTGCAGTGGCGACCTTGCTGCGGTTGCCTTTCTTCTTTTATTTGAATGATGATTAGCGATTTGGGGATCCTCAACATGGTAATATGACGTACGGAACAACGTATAATTTCGAATTAGGGGAATCACACGAGGGGAATCTCTTTCTTCCTTTTTGACTTTTTGATCACCCGATATCAGATTTTAGCGGTGCCTGACTGGATTGATCACGAGCTGGTCTGTGCTCGCGGTCATCATTTGGGTCAACTATCGTCCCAGTGATAAAGAGTGTACGCATGTGCTTTGAAGATTATATGAAGCCAACGCCTTGTGGTATGGCAGGTGCTGCAGTCCCGACCGCCAAGTCCGGGGGAGTGTTTTAGTGGAATGGCCACACTACCAGCGGTCAAATGTTGGTGCCCATCCGTTACAGTGACTCATCTAAGCTACCATGCAGAAAATCAATGTGACACTGTAACCAGCGTGCGAGGGTAGAAGAGGCTAATCACCTTGGACACCCGATGACTATGGGAGAACCGCTCCTACCACTTCAAGTGGACCCTAGAAGGCAGCCTGTTCTGTACTCGCACCTGGATCGAAAGGCCTCTGGGCTATTAGATTGGAAGAGGTTTCATTTCCCTGGACTTTGTGCCAAAAACAAAAAAAAAAAAAAAGGATATATGATCCTATCATGGTCAGGTACAGACAGGTACTTCCTTGCCATTGCTCTTTGTGCATGCCATGGTCACGTTGAACCGAAAATAATTTGGCGAAGGTTCTCTCTCGCTCATTCCATCTCTCCTGCCATCACCCGCCTTTCCCTTGCATCATCTCGCCGCTCCATCTCCTTCTTCTTCGACATCCACCAAAGCACTACCCCTCCCACCTCCTGCACTCCTCTCAGCAGGTCTACCAGAACCATAGCACACACACACACACAAACCAAAACAACAACTAGCCAAAAACACAACTAAACGACACAACTACCAAAAAACCCAATACACTTGCACTGTCACTCCCTTGAGGTATGATCACACAACAGCGACGAGTGCTCTCTAAACGAGACAACTTCGACCTCCAGATAACTAATCAACGGTGCATCCAACATAGACCTTCTTGCTCTCCAAAGTTGTCAGAGAGACAGCTCCTAATACAACAAGTACCCGCTCGCCAAGTAAGTAGATAAGGGTCGGCACAGGAGCTCCATGTTGCGATACTCAACCTCTAATTGGCATCACTCACTCAAGCCTCATCGAGAAGTCCTACTCCAACTCGCCCACCAGCCTCAGATCATAGGAATCCCCATCGCCAATCTTCGATGTGTGTGAGCGCTTGCATATGCAAAGTATGCCTTATGGCAATTGCTACTAACTAATCACTTATTTCTCCACTATCCCTTATAGGTTCACCGTCTCGTCTTCATCTCCTCGTAGCAATCAACAGCCGCAACCCAGATCCATCATGTCATCTCCATCGACAGTACAGGAAGTTGCAGACAGCCAGGAGCTCACCAGCGACGGCAAGCGCTGTCTTTCGCAACTGGATCGTCCAGCAAAATTTCGACGTGTCACAGCCGAGACGGACTACGTTCCTGCTTCAATTGAAGATGCGCTCCTCAGGCTGAAGACGAACAGACTTCTCGAATACAACCAACTTGTCTACATCTTCCCAATGGCCAAGCCCAACCTACAAGCACCAGACAACAGCGCGCTTCCTCTTATGGACAAGGTCAGGGAGTTCTTAGCAGGCAACGGTCAGGTGATGCTGATTATGGGCGATTCGGGAGCCGGAAAGTCGACATTCAATCGACATCTGGAAAACAAACTGTGGACGCACTACGAGGTTGGGGGTCCCATCCCGCTCTTCATCAACCTCCCAGCCCTCAAACAACCCGATGAGGATCTTGTTGCGAAGCAATTGAGGACCATCGACTTTTCAGAGGAACAAATCTGGGACCTCAAACAGCACCGCCAGCTCCTGTTGATCTGCGATGGTTATGATGAGAGCCAGCTCATCTCCAACTTGCACACCACCAACCTCTTCAATCGACCTGGTCAGTGGGACGTCAAGTTACTCATCACCTGCCGCACCCAGTACCTCGGTCCTGACTATCGTGATCGCTTTGCGCCTAAGGCCACCGGTCAGTATCACTGCACTGCCAGCAATCTCTTTCAAGAAGCCGTCATCGCCCCCTTCTCCAAGGAACAGATCGAGCTGTATGTCGAAAAGTTCGTCCCACTCATACCGCGGACTTGGGTCAAGAAGGACTACATGGACAAGTTGACAACTATTCCCAACCTCATGGAACTGGTCAGGAACCCCTTTCTGTTGACCCTTGCTCTGGAAGCACTCCCATCCGTCGTCAAGAACAATACCACTCTCTCAAATCTCCGCGTCACCCGTGTTGAGCTCTACGACACATTTGTCGATCACTGGCTGAAGGTTAACAAGCGCCGCCTACAGGACCAGACGCTGAAGGATAAACACAAGGCATTTGAAGATCTCCTCGCGGACGGATTTGTTCAGAGTGGCATTGTCTTTCAGAAAGATCTGGCAGAGGCGATTTTTCAGGAACAGGAGGGCCGACCTATCGTCGAATATTCCAACAGGCGGGACAGATCGTCGTGGAAAGCGCGCTTCTTTGATTCTGAACCTGAGAGATCCCTGCTCAGAGATTCCAGTTTGCTGAGTCGCACCGGCAACCAATACCGCTTCATCCATCGATCTGTCTTGGAGTATTTCTTCTCCTGTTTCATATGGGACGCCTCCAGGGATGATGATGAGTTTGCTCCGCATGTTTATTCAGAAGCTACTGGGGTATCTCTTCCTGTCACCGATCATCCACTGTCTAAGAGGAGTCTTGTCCCGGAGCTATCGGTCATCCAGTTTCTCGCCGAGCGTGTCCAAATGCAGCCAATCTTCAAGCAATACCTTCTCGCGCTCGTTGAGCTTTCCAAGTCGAATCCTCAGGCTATCATGGCTGCAGCCAATGCCATGACTATCCTTGTCAGAGCCGGTGTCCGATTCCATGGAGCTGACCTTCGAGGCATCCGCATCCCAGGAGCCGACCTCACAGGTGGACAATTCGACTCTGCGCAGTTTCAGGATTCCGACCTAACAGGAATCACCTTCACCAAGGCTTGGATCCGACAGGCGGACTTCACTAGAGCACGGATGAACGAGACACGGTTTGGAGAGTTGCCGAGTTTGCGGGAAGTGAGTGAGGTACTGTCATGTGCATTTTCCCCAGATGGAAGGTCTTTTGCAACGGGTTTGAAAAATGGCAACATTAGTATCTACGACACAACCACCTGGATAAGGATTCGCGTATTTCAAGGTCATGAAATGGGCACTCAGAGCCTTGCCTATTCAAAAACCGGCTTTCCACTTCTCTCCGGCGGTTCCTTCGGTACGGTGCGACTGTGGGACGGTGAGACAGACACGATTGATCATGTTCTGAAGGGACATTCCTGGGGGGTGATAGCTGTTGCGTTTTCACCCTCAGGCATGCAGTTCGCCTCAGCCGGCGCGGACAAGTTAGTGCGCCTATGGGACACCCGAACAAGAACCGTCACCTTTGTCATTAACCATTTTGACGATGTCACAGGGATCGCCTATTCGCCAGACGGGAACAGCATTGCATCCTGCTGCTATGGACATGTCCAGGTATCCGATACTCAGACGGGCTTACTGGTGCTGAGTTTTGGAACGAGCGACGTGGGTTACTGCTGCCTTGGGTATTCCCCTAACGGACAGTTGATCGTCACGGGCGATACCGCCGGCGAGCTACAACTCTGGGAGGCGACCACCATGATGCCGAGGATCAAATGGAGAGGACACTCTGGATCAGTGAGAAGCGTCGAGTTTTCGCCGAAGGGGCAATGGATTGTGTCTGGCGGTGACGACAAAACGGTCAAGGTGTGGAGTGGATATGCAGCCACACTTGTCTCTACATTCACAGGTCACACCGAAGGCATCACCAGTGTTGCATTTTCCCTAGACGGCTCACTCATTGCTTCAGGAAGCAAGGATCGAACTGTACGGCTCTTGGAGGTGAACTCGGCTGGGTTTGGTCTCGACGTAGATGGCGCATTCGACTCCAAGCCAAGTGTAGCCTATTCCCCTGATGGACGGCTTCTCATCTCTGGCAGTCGCGCTGGAGTGATACAGCAACACGACGCGGAGAGTGGCGAGATTGGTCTTGTTATTCGCCGCCAAGAGTTCCGAGCCAATTCTGTCGCCTATTCATCGGACGGTCGTCAGATTGCCATGGGTGGCTCAGAAGGCGATGTCACATTGTGGAGCGCTCACACCGGCGCCCATGAGAACACTCTCCTCGGCCATACTATGGATGTGAGAGTAGTTGCGTTCTCACCATGCGGCCAATGGATTGCTTCTAGTGATGACCGGACGGTGCGACTTTGGGATGCTCGATCAGGCACGTCTATTCAGGTCATCTCTGGTAACCGCGTCTCTTTCGTTCGATCTTTGTCGTTTTCGTCCAGCGGTACTGATATTGCATTTGGAGGCAGCTCTGGAACGGTCCAAGTCTGGGATGTGACGACTGGGAAGTGCAAGATGGAAATGGGTGGAGGCAGCTTTGGGCACTGCTTTATGAGGTATATACCAAGAAGTCTTCGCGCTGTTTCCTGTGACGGTAGAAAAGGTGTTCGTTTGTGGGATGAGAAGGGCCGATATTACCGATTCATTTTGCAGCACAGTCGCATTTTCATTCAACACTTTGCATTTTCGAGTTGCGGTCAATGGATAGCAAGTGTTCAAGATAAGACGGTTCACCTGTGGAGAAGCCCTCTGGAGAATAGACCACAGGACTGGGAGTATGTGCTGGCCGTCGAGGGTTGCTTAGGGAAGATTAAGGAGATTGTCTGGAGGCCTAACAAGTTGGAATTTGCCACCGCCGATGTGGGTGGATCCACTCGTGTGTGGAGGATTGTGGAGAGGTTCGACAAAGTGGTGGTCCAGCTGTTGTGGGGTGCTGGAGGAAGTGGCCTTGTTGCCTCTGGGTCGCTCCTTAATGATGCCATTGGTCTTGGCACATTCAACCGGAACCTGCTGAGGTAGCCTGTTGTCGACTACGGCTTCTTCTCTTCATCGTACGACGAAAGCTTAAGAAGATTCCAGATCGGAGACTATCTCGAAAAGCTCCAACGTTTCTAGCGATAGTTCGTTTTCGTTGACCAGTTCTCGTGGTCGTTCTCCATTGTTAGTTCCGACGGAACTTGGCAGTAATTATTATTCCGCGCACGACGAACAATAGAATAAATATGAGGAGGAGAAGAGTTCAATTTTTTTTACACCAGCGGTGTGACCTGATCTTTCTTCACCCACAAGAGCGACACTGTCAATTCTTGGAGACTGAGGCAAACCTTCGTAGGCGGTATAGAGTCCAATGTTTTATTAGACTTCCAACTTTTTTAAGATACTGTCTTAGGTACACCAAAGACCAACAGATCCAGTTGTGCCAAGCTTGGCATCAATGGGTATCCCAGGCCCTAATTATTTCAATGCAAGGAAAAACAACAACGATGAAATGTCAGCGACTACAAGAAACACAACTAGCACAATTGAATAGGTTGTCTTATACTTTTACTCACCATGCACTCCTCAAGGACCTCGTACACAATACCCGTGTTCAATTGAACTAGCTCCGCTGATAACGTCGTACTTGATGCAGATCCCGCCTTACTCTTGGTGGTAGCAGCTGTGGTCACTCCTGGTCTCCCTCCAGATCCTGCTACTCCCAAAGTTCCCTGCCAGCTGGGAACCAAATACCGCTCCAAAGCCGTGATCAGCTGTCCAAGAAACTCAATCGTCCCATGATAGGAAGTATGTAAACCCGCAGCTGTCGAATACGCTAATTCCAGAACCGGTCTCTGCCTCTGAATCTCCTGCGAGTCCAATAACGAGCTGCCGCCTGGGCTACCAGGAACACTGTCACCGCGAGACAATGATGGTTGACGTCATCCAGGGAGTGAAAAGGGTATCCGAGTAACAGTCGCAGAAGCGGTAGAGGGGGTTGGTGGTAAGGGACAACAAGCGACGAGGACGAGGTCGTGGATTGTTTGGTAGATGAAGCAGCAGTCAGTTGAGAAGAGGGGTATCGCGACTGGTTGGAGGTCTCCTGTGATAGCTTCTATTCCTGGTGAGTGTGTTGATGATAGTGATGATGATCGTGAGTGTCCGAGGCGTGGAGAATCGGCGCCGTTACCAGCTCTCCCTGGCCTTCACCGACATCCATCTCTTCCCGCTGCTTCACATGACCATGAGCCTCTAGGCCTGAATGCTTCTGAGGGTGGTTGTGGGGTGGGAAAACAAAAGCAGCAGTGGCTACCTTTGCTGCGGTTGCCTTTCTTCTTTTATTTGAACAAGGGAACCACACAGAGGGGATTCTTTTTCTTCATCCGATATCAGATTTCAGCGGTGCCTGACTAGATTGATCGCTAGCTGGTCTGTGCTCGCAGTCATCATTTGGGTCGACTATCGTCCCAGTGATAAAGGGTGTAGCAATGGCAGTAGCTGTCTGTAACTGACCATGGTAGGATCATATATCCTTCAGAGCGCATGCGTCTTTGTGCATGCTCCATGGTCACGTTGAACCAAAAATAATTGGCGAAGGTGTAAGTCAAGGCCGTGGTTCTATTTCTCTCTTTTTCTTCTCTCCTCTCTCTCGGCTCATTCCATCTCTCCTGCCATCACCATCGCCCGCCTCTCCCTCGCGTCATCTCACCGCCCCATTTCCTTCTTCTTCCTCGACATTCACCAAAGCACTACCCCTCCCACCTCCTGCACTCCTCTCAGCAGGTCTACCAGAACCATAGCACACACACACACACAAACCAAAACAACAACTAGCCAAAAACACAACTAAACGACACAACTACCAAAAAACCCAATACACTTGCACTGTCACTCCCTTGAGGTATGATCACACAACAGCGACGAGTGCTCTCTAAACGAGACAACTTCGACCTCCAGATAACTAATCAACGGTGCATCCAACATAGACCTTCTTGCTCTCCAAAGTTGTCAGAGAGACAGCTCCTAATACAACAAGTACCCGCTCGCCAAGTAAGTAGATAAGGGTCGGCACAGGAGCTCCATGTTGCGATACTCAACCTCTAATTGGCATCACTCACTCAAGCCTCATCGAGAAGTCCTACTCCAACTCGCCCACCAGCCTCAGATCATAGGAATCCCCATCGCCAATCTTCGATGTGTGTGAGCGCTTGCATATGCAAAGTATGCCTTATGGCAATTGCTACTAACTAATCGCTTATTTCTCCACCATCCCTTATAGGTTCACCGTCTCGTCTTCATCTCCTCGTAGCAATCAACAGCCGCAACCCAGATCCATCATGTCATCTCCATCGACAGTACAGGAAGTTGCAGACAGCCAGGAGCTCACCAGCGACGGCAAGCGCTGTCTTTCGCAACTGGATCGTCCAGCAAAATTTGGACGTGCCGCAGCCGAGACGGACGACGTCCCTGCTACAATTGAAGTTGCACTCCTCAGGTTGAAGACAAACAGACTTATCGAATACAACCAACCTGTCTATATTGCGCCGATGGCCAAGCCCGACCTACAAGCACCAGACAACACGCTGTTCTCTCTCATGGACAAGGTCGAAGGCTTTCTGGCGGACGATAGCCAAGTAATGCTGGTGCTGGGTGATTCAGGGGCCGGAAAATCGACATTCAATCGACACCTAGAGCACGCACTCTGGCAAGACTATGAGCCTGGAGGACGTATCCCACTCTTCATCAATTTGCCAGCCCTCGACCGACCGGACAGGGAGATGGTTGTAGAGCATTTGAAGTCGGCGAACTTTTCAGAGGAACAAATCTGGGACCTCAAACAGCACCGCCAGCTCCTGTTGATCTGCGATGGCTATGATGAGAGCCAGCTCACCTCCAACTTGCACACCACCAACCTCTTCAATCGACCTGGTCAGTGGAACGCCAAGCTGCTCATCACCTGCCGCACTCAGTACCTCAGTCCCGACTATCGTGATCGCTTTGCGCCTGAGGCGACCGGTCAGTATCACCGCACTGCCTACAATCTCTTTCAAGAAGCCGTCATCGCCCCCTTCTCCAAGAAACAGATCGAGTTGTATGTTGAACAGTTTGTCTTACTCAAACCTCGGACTTGGGTCAAGAAGGGCTACATGGACACGTTGACAACTATTCCCAACTTGATGGACCTAGTGAGGAATCCCTTTCTATTGACTCTTGCTCTGGAATCACTCCCATCCGTCGTCAAGAACAATACCACTCTCTCGAATCTCCGCGTCACCCGTGTTGAGCTCTACGACAGATTTGTCGATCATTGGTTGGAGGTCAACAAGCGCCGCCTGCAAAAACAGACGCTCAGGGACGATAAACATGTGGCCCTGGAAGATCTTCTTGCGGACAAGTTTGTCCATAATGGAATTATCTTTCAGAAGGAATTGGCGGAGGCAATCTTTCAGGAACAGGAGGGCCGACCTATCGTCGAATATTCCAACAGGCGGGACAAGTCGTCGTGGAAAGCGCGCTTTTTTGATTCTGAACCTGAGAGATCCCTGCTCAGAGACGCCAGTTTGCTGAGTCGCACCGGCAACCAGTATCGCTTCATCCATCGATCTGTCTTGGAGTATTTCTTCTCTTGTTACGTCTGGGACGCCTCCAGGGAAGATGATGAGTTTGTTCCGCATGTTTATTCAGAAGCTACTGGTGTATCTCTTCCTGTTACCGATCATCCACTGTCTAAGAGGAGTCTTGTCCCGGAGCAGTCGGTCATCCAGTTTCTCGCCGAGCGTGTCCAGATGCGGCCCATCTTTAAGCAATACCTTCTCGCACTCGTTGAGCTTTCCAAGTTGGACCCTCAGGCCACCATAGCCGCAGCCAACGCCATCACAATCCTGGTGAGAGCTGGGAGACATTTTAATGGAGCTGACCTTCGAGGCATTCGCATCCCAGGAGCCAATCTCACAGGTGGGCAATTCGACTCGACCCAGTTGCAGGATTCCGACCTGGCGGGGGTTATATTCACCAAGGCTTGGATCCGACAGGCGGACTTCACTGGAGCACGGATGGACGAGACACGATTTGGGGAGCTGCCGAATTTGCAGGAAGCTAGTGAGGTACTGTCATGTGCATTTTCCCCAGATGGAAAGTCTTTTGCGACGGGTCTGGATAACAGCAACATTAGTATCTACGACACGACTACTTGGACAAGGATTCGCGTATTTCAAGGTCATAAAATGGGCACTGGGAGCCTCGCCTACTCAACCACCGGCCTTCAACTTCTCTCCGGCGGTTACTGCGGTACGGTGCGACTGTGGGACGGTGAGACAGACGTGACTGATCGTATTCTGAAGGGACATTCCCAGAAAGTGAGAGCTGTTGCGTTTTCACCCTCAGGCATGCAGTTCGCCTCAGCCGGCGCGGACAAGTCAGTGCGCCTATGGGACACCCAAACAGGAACCGTCACCTTTGTCATAATACATTTAGGCGATGTCACAGGGATCGCGTATTCACCAGACGGGAACAACATAACATCCTGCTGCCTGGATGGACAAGTCCAAGTATTCGACACACGGACGGGCTTACTGGTGCTGAGTTCTGGAACGAGCGATGTGGGTTACTACTGCCTTGCGTATTCCCCTAACGGACAGTTGATCGTCTCGGGCGACATCTTCGGCTACCTACAACTCTGGGAGGCGACCACCATGATGCCGAGGAACAATTGGAGAGGTCATTCTAGATCGGTGAGAAACGTCGAGTTTTCGCCGAACGGCCAATGGATTGTGTCTGGCGGTGACGACAACACGGTCAAGGTGTGGGATGGATATGCAGCCACACTTGTCTCTGTATTCACAGGTCACACCAGCTCCATCACCAGTGTTGCATTTTCCCCGGACTGCTCACTCATTGCTTCAGGAAGCAAGGATCGAACTGTACGGCTCTGGGAAATGAACTCGGCTGGGTTTGGTTTCGACGTAGATGGCGCCTTCGACTCCAAGCGAAGCGTAGCCTATTCTCCTGATGGACGGCTTCTCATCTCTGGCAGTCGCGCTGGAGTGATACAGCAACACGACGCGGAGAGTGGCGAGATTGGTCTTGTTATTCGCCGTCATGAGTTCGAAGCCAACTCTGTCGCTTATTCATCGGACAGTCGTCAGATTTCCTTGGGTGACTCAGGAGGCCATGTCACGTTGTGGAGCGCTCACACCGGCGCCCATGAGAATATTCTCCTCGGCCATACTATGGATGTGAGTGCAGTTGTGTTCTCACCATGCGGCCAATGGATTGCTTCTAGTGATGACCGGACGGTGCGACTTTGGGATGCTCGATCAGGCACGTCTATTCAGGTCTTCTCCAGTGACCGCGTCTCTCCCGTTCGATCTTTGTCGTTTTCGTCCAGCGGTGCTGAGATTGCATTTGGAGGCGACTTTGGAAGGGTGCAAGTCTGGGATGTGACGACCGGGAAGTTCAAGATGGACAAGATGGACACGATAGGAGATACCTTTCGGCGCTGCTTTGTGAGGTATTTACCGAGGAGTCTTCAGGTTGTTTCCTGTTACGGTAGTGAAGGTGCTCATTTGTGGGATGAAGAGGGCCGACATTCCCGAATCATTTTGCAGCACGGTCGTATTACCATCCAACACTTTGCATTCTCGAGTTGCGGTCAATGGATAGCAAGTGTTGAAGGTGACACGGTTCACCTATGGAGGAGCCCTCTGGATGAGAGACCACAGGACTGGGAGTATGTGCTGGCCGTCGAAGGTTTCACAGGGGTGATTGGGGAGATTGTCTGGAGGCCTAACAAGTTGGAATTTGCCACCGCCGATGTGGGTGGATCCACTCGTGTGTGGAGGATTGTGGAGAGGTTCGACAAAGTGGTGGTCCAGCTGGTGTGGGGTACTGGAGGAAGTGGTCTTGTTGCCTCGGGATCGCTCCTTAATGATGCCATTGGTCTTAACACATTCAACCGGAACCTGCTGGAGCAGCCCGTTGTCGACGACAGATACCTCTCTTCATCGGACGACGAAGGTTTAAGAAGGTTCCAGATCGGAGACTATCTCGAAAAGCTCCAACGTTTCTAGCGATAATCTTCGTTTTCGTTGACCAGTTCTCGTGGTCGCTCTCCCTTGCGACTATTAATTCTCGGACGACGACGAGCTATAGAATAAAGAGGACCGAGATAAACTGATCTTTCTACACCCACTAGTGTAACACTGACAATTCTTGGTGGCTGAGGCAAACCTTTGTAGGCGGTATAGAGTCCAATGTTTTATTAGACTTCCGACTTTTCTATGATGCTGCCTTAGGTACACCAAAGACCAACAGATCCAGCTGTGCCAAGCTTGGCATCAATGGGTATCCCAGACCCTAATTATTTCAATGCATAAAAAACAACGATGATTGAATGTCAGTGACTACAAGGAACACAGCTAACATAATTGAATCATTGCCTTTTACTTTTACTCACCATGCACTCCTCGAGGATCTCGTACACAATGCCCGTGTTCAATTGAACTAGCTCCGCTGATAACGTCGTACTTGATGCAGATCCCGCCTTACTCTTGGTGGTAGCAGCTGTGGTCACTCTTGGTCTCCCTCCAGATCCTGCTACTCCCAAAGTTCCCTGCCAGCTGGGAACCAAATACCGCTCCAAAGCCGTGATCAGCTGTCCAAGAAACTCAATCGTCCCATGATAGGAAGTATGTAAACCCGCAGCTGTCGAATACGCTAATTCCAGAACCGGTCTCTGCCTCTGAATCTCCTGCGAGTCCAATAACGAGCTGCCGCCTGGGCTACCAGGAACACTGTCACCGCGAGACAATGATGGTTGACGTCGTCCAGGGAGTGAAAAAGGTATCCGAGTAACAGTCGCAGAAGCGGTAGAGGGGGTTGGTGGTAAGGGACAACAAGCGACGAGGACGAGGTCGTGGATTGTTTGGTAGATGAAGCAGCAGTCAGTTGAGAAGAGGGGTATCGCGACTGGTTGGAGGTCTCCTGTGATAGCTTCTATTCCTGGCGAGTGTGTTAATGGTGGTGATGATGATAATGAGGGTCCGAGGTGTGGAGAATCGGCGCGGATACCAGCCATTCCTGACCCGGACCGCCCTCCTCCTCCTCCTCCTCCACCATTGCCGCTTGTTCCAGTTGTGCCTCGACCCTTTGTTCCTCCTGAGGACGAGTGCGGACTTGAAGATGGTGGTGGTGGAGACCTTGATGCACTCGGTGAGCGTGAGCCTTGTTGGTTGTGCGCGTGCAGAACGGTTGAGGTCGTCCAGCGGGGTTCATTCTGAAAGAGATCTAGGAACTTTGCCCATACTGCCTGGATGTCTGTCATTCCTCCCCCGTTCTCCTGTAAAGCACCAATTGGCAAGACTAATTATCCAGGGATCAGAAAGCTCATCATATTAGGGCGATGAAGTGTGGGTTGACTGGAGTGGCAATATAGGCCCAGAGCTGCTGCTGCTGCTGCTGACTTGTGTTGCAACGTGTGTGCTTACATGAGCCTTACATGACTTTGAGATGAGCAGGTCCTGGGTGCGAATGGATCCGATGCAAAAGTGTCGTAGACGCATACTCGCTCCTGATTCCTTCTCGAAGTATCCTGTAGTTGAAGTTGTTGTAAACGTTGAGGTAAAGGGTTGTCTGTCCGTTCCTGCGTGTCGAGAGAGAGAGAAGAGAGTGAGTTGTTCGCGTGAAAGGGTGTTACTTTCCTCAGTGCCCACCTGCGCGTCCTTCTCTCCAACATTCAAAAAGCAGTCAAAAAACGTGTCCACCCGCCGTTCTGAAGTGTGAGAACGAATGAGAGCACAAAACTCTACTCACTCGCCATTCGTCGCCCTTCATCTTCCCTCTCTTCTCCTTCTTCATCCATAAACAGGACAACCTTCATCATCCCTCAATTAGCAAGGACATAAGCAAGGAACTACAGAAACAGCAACAATAGCAAGGAATTTACCCAACCATAAGAGATGCCTGTAAGACCATCATCCCCTTTTTTTCTACCAGGAGCCGTGAGCAGCTCACCACGCACACCAAGGACAAAGGAGACCAGACTGAACACGCACATAAAAGAAGGAAGACGGACAAGATCTTTGGGCTGCTGCCAAGCAGTCATTGCGTAGAGGGCTAGCTATCGCTGATAAGGATCGCAAAAATGCAAGGACGTACATATGCACCATTGGACCACTGTTGTTTCATATAGCGGCGATGGCGTTAATTGACAACAGCCGCAGACGTTGTACTTTCGCTAGAAAACAACATCAGGAAGGAAAAAAACAAATTTTCCTCTAGGGAAGCCTCATACGCAACCTCCCCGCCAACTACAACCTTGACCTGACCCAACTCTATCCATCACTTTCTTTACTCTTTTCACTCCTGTCGAAAAAGATCAACTACGTGTTACTGGTCAGCAGACAGGGCAAGACCCGGCTGGCGAAATGGTTCACGACCCTAAGCCCCAAGGAAAAGTCAAAGATCGTCAAGGATGTCACACAACTCGTTCTTGCACGGCGGACGAAAATGTGCAACTTTCTCGAGTACAAAGGTAACCTTTGGATTCCACGTGGCGCTTGCGTGCGACTTTACTATTATTTTTGAAGCCTTTTAATGACAATGGTTATACGTTTTCAATTGACTTGTTTTTTTGTTGTTGCTGGTTCATAGACACCAAGGTCATCTATCGAAGGTACTCATCGAGCGACGTGGACTTTCGACAGGAAGATAATTGAAGCGGGAAATGACATACCACTTATCGCCAATGCTGACCCTAACCCTCATACATTGGTTGTTCTTCATAGATATGCGAGCTTGTACTTTATCACAGGAGTGGACCCAGAGGACAATGAATTGCTCACATTGGAGATTATTCATCGCTTCGTCGAAGTCCTGGACCGGTATTTTGGAAATGTAAGGGACAATTTCTTTGACATATGCTGTAATTTTCCCAAAGCGAGCTCTCACCAACTCATCAAATTCAACATCTTTTTCACTTTCACACAAAATGACCCTACTAGGTATCGGAGCTGGATTTGATTTTCAACTTTGAACGGGCGTACTACATACTGGACGAACTGCTGCTTGCCGGCGAGATGCAAGAGTCGAGCAAGGTCGCCGTCCTCAAGGCTATTCACGACCACGATGCCATAGAAATTGAAGAGGCTAACGAAGAAAAGAACAAATAACAAAAATAAAAGCATGCAAAAATATACTGAAGGCTCACGGGTTATGAACAAATATGGACGGAGGCATGGACCAGATCTGTGGGCTGTTGTGAAATCCTCCTTTCTTGGTATTCGCGTATTAGGCGGTGCAGAGGGAAGATTGGTTAGACAGGTGGGCGTGGCTAAAAGCCGATAAGAATACTAAGGTGTTTCTTTTTATTTGTCTTTAGCGGTACATGCAGATAACCTCCATTGTCTATTCACATCAGGCTGAGGCACTCGCAACCGTCGTCGTCGTCGTCGTCAACGGGCTCAATTGAGCCTTTCTTTGATGTCAGACCTTAATTAGCGCTACCGCCATGTTTTTGCGATTCTATGTCCACTCTATTCCTAGAACGCGGCGTGTCATTGTTGTTTGCAAGTTGCTGTAGATTTTCTGAGGAAGGATAAAAATTAGCCTGCCTACAACAGGTTAGAAGGTCACCCTTTTTTTTTTTTCTTGATCCTGCAGCCCACAAAAGAAATTCCCGAGGAGTGAGAAAGGGAGAAGGGAGAGGGTAGAAGGTCTTGGCACTGTTAGGGGACTTGCCTGGTTTTAGTCGCTATTTTTTGTGGCTGAAGTCTTGTCATAGGCGGCGGTGCGGCAGCCAGGCAGCGGGAAGGGAGATGGCAGGGCAACAGAGGGAGGAAGAGAAGGAATGTTAACTTGAGGAAGACAATATAGCCTTGCAAAAGGTATATAAAGAGCGTGCTCCCCTCTGTTCAAGACGGCAACATCTACGAACACCACCTTTCCCGACAACCAACAACCAAAAGGCAACCAACAAAGCAACCAACAATCGAAAATAAGGCCCAAAATGCAGATCAAACTTCTACTCCCCACAGTCCTCATCAGTTTGACCGCCGCGACACTGTGCTCGGCAGCCGCAATCGACCGTGACCCTCTTGCTGCAACACGGCGACTCAAGCCCGTCGTGGGTAATGTCACAACTTCAGATGGAACTGTCCTTTCCTACCGATTCTTCAATCATACCCAGCCTGCCTATGCCAATGCCACCCCTGTCATCTTTGTAAAGTGTCCAGTTCATTGTTTTTAATTGCGTTGACTTGATGGTCTGAAGTACTTGGCACTTTTCTTAACCCTGGCATTCTTTCTTTTTGCGTTTGCGCATTGTCCTTCATTTTAGGTTGGCGGAACGTAAGTTGTCTCTCTGAGTCTCATAGTCAAAGTGCCAGTGTCTCTGTTTGTGAGCAGTTCAGGTTCTCCGCACCCTCACCCCATGTTGCTCACACGTTCTCCCTCTTTTTCTTCAATCGAACGAATAGTGGACAAGTGCAGACTGACTGGGACACCGTCATCCCCCACTTTACCAAGAAACACCCAGGTATGCGCCTCCTACCCACATGCCCTCTATCTCTCTCTCTTAACTGGTCCAACCCACCACTCCCTCGCATAGTCAAACAAACTTCTCACGCTATCTCCCTCCCACCTTTCCTATCCTCCTTGACACCCATGTAGTCCTGGCGTTCGATAACAGAGGAATTGGCTTGTCAACTGTCACGAACGACTCGCTGGTCACCCGGCAGAACATGGGCGACGATATCCATGAGCTCACCAAGCACTTTGGATGGACCCACATCAATCTCGTCGGCATCTCCATGGGCGCCATCGTCTCCAACACCTTGTAAGTTCTTTTTTTTTTCTTTTCTTCCCTCTCACTTCCTCTTGCGCCGCTATTTTGCATAAACACGTCTAAAGCATCGCCGATTCACTGTGCCAGCATTAACTCCTTTTCATTTATCTTCCCCCCATTTGTCTCTATTGACCAAAAATTAAAGCATGGCAAGCAATTTCACAGATGTCCAAGTGGACCACCTAGTCCTAATCGCAGGAGCATACAAAGACAGCTCAGCCAGTTCTCTAATCCAAGAAGTCGGTCGCTGGCTCGACGCCTTCTCTACCATCCCTCCCCCTTCTGGAGAGTGGAAAGCCTTCATCCACAAACTCATGCTCACTTGCCTCACACCGGGCTTTATCCACACCCACCCCTCCCAGATCCGCCAATTCCTGCGACAAATGGATGAAGGAAGGGGAAGGACGTATGAAAAGTTTATAGTCCAGGCAGGGGCGATGGGGAAGTATGACATGTCGGAGGCGTTGAAGGGGTATGAGGGGAGGGGGGTGAAGACAATGGTGTTGCATGGGAGGTTGGATGTGGCGATACCGGTGGAGGTTGGGAGGGCTATGAGTGGATTGATTGGTGGAGGGGTGAGGTATAAGGAGTACCCTGATGGGGGACATGTATTGTATGAGACTAATCCTGAGAGTATTGATACTATTACTGACTTTCTCGATGGTGAGGAGTAAGCAAGAAAGGGGAGATAGTGGACCGATGTAAACGTTAGAAAGTAAGACGTGCTGAAATGAAATAACGAAAAGGTGCCTTTTCAACTGGACAAGCGAAAAAAAAGTATATATTTGTGTGGGTACATATTCTATGGTACACGGAAATGGAGCTAGTGTCTGTGCAAATGGTTTTGAAAAGTGGGCGTTACGATTGGAGTGTGCACATGCATGAGTAAATGCATGGGGATTGGAAGGATATGCAAGGAAGTGGGGGAAGTGATAGGCAGGGATGGAGCAAGAAAAAAAAAACTTCCGTTCGTTCAATCGTCGTCAGAGTTGAGTCCAAGGTCAGGGCAATTGACAGAGTAAACCTCCCCGGTCTCGACCACATACGCCGACAGCTTGCGTCCATAGACACAACCAGTATCCAACCCAATCGACCACTTCTTGACATTCAACGACCGACCAGCATCATGACCATAGGTCAGCAAGAAATCGGGCTCTCCTTGCTTGACCCGCTTGGAATGGAAGTCGTTAAACAATTGCGCCCATCCCTCACCCTTCTTCTTCTTACGCGAGGGGCTCCCATCCTTGAGGATGTTGCGGACATTAACCAACACCCAGGGCAGCTGCTTGCTCATGTTGTCGCTCGGGTCAATTCCGGCGTGGACGACATGGATAGGGATCTTCTTGACAGAGAGTTCCTTGGGGACGGTCAGGATGAGAGGGCAGGAGAGGAGGTACTGGTACTGCTCCTTGGACATCTTCTTGGCAATAATGTGGTGCTCCGAGTTCTCAACCAGATCAGAAGGGATGCCCTTCTTCTTGCTGTCAAGGAATCCCTTCCACCGGAGAACCTTGTCGTCATGGTTGCCCCTCACACATCGGGCCTGGATCTGTCTAGCCTTATCGACCACCTCCAAGGACTGAGGACCCTTGGCAACCAGATCACCCGCAAGGATGACCTCGTCCAGTTTGGCATCGAATTTGACCTGCTTCAGAAACCCATTCAGACCGACCAGAGATCCATGGACGTCTCCGATAATCATGGTCCGACGGGCCTTCTTGCCAGGTTGGAGACTATTGGCTGCGGGGGCATAGGGCTTCTCGTAGGTGTAGTGGGCGTAGGGGTCCGAGGGGAGGGATTTGGGAGGGGTGCTGGGTTGTTTGGCCTTGTTGATCACCACCGCTCCAGCCTCAGGTCCATCCTCTTCCTCTTCCTCTTCTTCTGGATCGAACTCGTCATCGTCGGGTTGTTGCTCTTGGTCGTCGTCGTCGTCGTCAAACTCGACTGCCTTGAAACTTGCCGCTGGCTGTCTGTCGGCAAAGAATCCGGGCTGAGGGAGTTCAAGCGATGCAGAGGCAGAGGTTGAAACAGCAATGTCGGCGCCACGTTTGGCGAGGTGTTGGGAGGGAGCGCCGTCGATACCAGAGATGGTGAGTGTCGAGAATGTGACGAGAAGGACAAGGCCCAGTTTCCGGGCGTGATCGAGGGATAAGATCAGCATCTTTGGTTGTAATGATAGGTAGGTGTGGTTAGTTGTGGTTGGATGTGGGTGCTGTGCTGTGGTAGGTGTGGTTGCAGTGGTTGCAGAACGTGAAAGGGATGAGGATGCAAAAAAGAAAAGAAAAGAAAAAAAGGGAAGGAACGGAAAGAGGAGAAAGGTACGGGAAGAAGTAGAAAGGATGAGTGATTTAGGAGGGATCGTTCTAATTCGGACAGTAACGACGAAGCAGATATAAAGGGAACTAGAAGTAGAAAGGAACTATACAAGAGTAATGGATTAGAAGTGAACACGACCAGCGGGCTCAAACTAGTGGATGGGTGGCAGAAAGAGGGAGCGAACAGGGGAGGGAGTAACGAATCGGGAGGAGGAGGATGTGGAAGAAGTAAGAAGTAAGAAGAGAAGAAGAGAAGAAAGAAGAAAAGAGAGAAGAGAAGAAGGAGGATTCCCTTCTCGAAGACAAATAGGAAACCTTCCTCAAAAAAGGTGACTAACCAGCTAGCTACAGCATTACACAATTGGTCCACACAGAGCTGTAATGACGGAAAGGGCACACGACCACTTAGAGTCGTTGTCATTGTTGCCTGGATAACAGAGGGCATGTATACAATGAACAAATGGAGCGACGAAACGGTAGGGAATCGCCGTCGGGTTGTTTGAGAATTAATTATCGCAGCTGAACCATAATTTTTGTCAAATTGCAATCAAACAGGAACACCTTTTTTTCTCAATCGCCATTGGTGTCTTTATTGTCCTCAGGTATGGATGCGATCGAATCAAGGTCAAACTAGGGATACATAAGCAACACAAAAGGGACATGTAATTGTTGTTGTTGCTGCTGCTGCTGTTGTTGTTGTTGTTGTTGTTGTTGTTGTTGTTGCTGCTGTAGTGTTATCACAACTATGACCAGCGGTTACCAGGCAATTGAGAAAGAACGAAGATCCGGAAGATAACCGACTTGACGGATTACCATACAATAAGAGTATATCCTGTCAGGAACCAATGCTAGGCGACGTATGCACACCATTCATAGTCTGGACGTTCTCCTACACCAAGCGAAGCGATGCCATATACAATATTTTCCATCTCCCCACCCTTCCTACTGAGTTCAGGGACAGGGCGTGATTGGTCTTGTCGCTGCATCATTTTCGTGGCGCTCCTTTCTCTTCCCCTTATCCCTTTCCTTCCATTCAAATGACCGTCACACTGCACCTCATCGAGAGTTCTTCGAAATTCTGTCGTAATGAAGCGCCCGCTGACATCATCACTCTCAATTAGACCACCTCTCACCTGAAACAACAAGGAACCCTGTCTTCTTATTAACCAAGGACGACAACGACACTAGAACAGGATAACAACAACAACGACGACAACAAGCCAGGAGCATCATCAAACAAGGGGATTCCATCACTCACCCATTCCAACACTCACCACACAACATGCACAAAACCATGGGACCCACTGCCCTCAGGAGACTGATGACCGAATACCGCGAACTCACCCTCCACGCTCCTGAGGGTATCACCGCCGGTAAATACTCATCCTACGCCCCTTCATGACACGTCTCAGGAGTAGAAGGGCTAACAAAGGGCCTGTCATATCACAGCAACACCCTATACTAATCGTCACATTCGTATTTGGCCATTTGTCTTGTTCTAGGCCCTACGACAGAGGAGAACTTTTTCGAATGGGAAGCCCTCATCGAGTACGCTACTCTTTCGCTTATCACATCAACAGCATCTGGAAAATGACCTAGAAAAGTGGACAGGAAGAACTAACACTTGCCTGACAACGATCATGACTCAATAGGGGACCTCAGGATACGCCATACGAGGGAGGCATCTTCCCCGCCACATTGACCTTCCCCAAGGATTACCCCCTCTCGCCTCCCATTATGAAGTTCACCTGCGAGATGTTCCACCCTAACAGTACGTTTCTTCATTTCAGGAGGACTACGGCTCTGGAGATAATGTCATTGTAACTCACCTCTTCGATGTTTTCTTTACTTCATTTGCAAATGCGAAACAGTCTACCAAGATGGCACGGTCTGTATTTCGATCCTTCACGCTCCAGGAGATGACCCTAACATGTACGAGTCCAGCTCGGAGCGCTGGAGTCCTGTCCAGAGTGTCGAAAAAATTCTCCTCTCAGTCTTGAGCATGCTGGCCGAGCCCAATGATGAGAGTGGCGCCAACATCGAAGCATGCGTAAGTGCTCCTTATAGGACTGGATTAGATCAATCTAATTTACTACCTCTGTTGTATGTATGATAATCAATGCTAACGCTTGTCTCCGCTATTTTTCTGTGACATCGTGGTTATAGAAAGTTTGGCGTGCAGACAGGAAGCACTTTGACGAAATTGTGCGGAGCACTGTCAGGAAAACTCTGGGCTTGTAAAAACCTCCGCATCAAAACAACCCACCCCAGGACACGACTTAACGGAGGATCAGGACTCTTTCTTCCAATAATAAATGGCCGAGTGTTTTCACAGCAAGCCACTATGCCGCTTTCTTGCATGTGGGAACTAGTCTATGCGAGGTGGTCATACTCTACCTGTTGTGGAGTACGAATCCCACCCTTTGAGCGACAAGAGAGTGTAAGATGGGTTCAGATGACACACACATATATATAGCAGATGAATTCTGCTTTTACTGGGTGGAGAAAGGCCTACGAATCGACGGCGCATGCTTCTGCCGCAACTCCAATTGGACCAAATCGAACAAAGAAGAAAAAAGGACGAAACAAAAACCGAACTCCAATACGCTCGGCGGCAGGCACGGAAGAAAGGTTTGTTTTGATGAGCGTGTCACCGATAACAAAGACAACAGTGCGATCCCTTCCCCCTTGTCCTCCTTGTCAACACTGTGTGTTTGCTTTTGAGTTTTGTAGTACTGTGCCCCAATTACTGCTCCGTTTCCCTGTAAGAGTGATAGAGGAATATGATATGTGCTCGTCAAAATGTTCTGGGGGAAAGAAATGGAAGCGGCCTTGATGTTGAAAGCATGGAGGATAGGGGGTGGAGATTCTTCATGATCCTGAGTGTGAGCCAACTCCTTGATATCTTTCCTTTTCGTCCTTGCTTCTTTCTTTCTCTTCCTTCTCTTGTTTTCCTCCCAGCTCCCAACTTTCATATTTTTCGTTGTCAACACCCCCTCTCGCCCTTTCAACATCCCCACAGAGGACTTTTACACTATCGGACGACGCAGCACACCCCGCCTCAACCTTCTACCAAAACACACAGAAACACACGAAATGGACACACCTAGGGAATCAAAGTCGTCGAAGCGGATCAAGGCCGAGTACAGTGAGCTCAAACTCCGCCCTCACAACGGCATCCACGCCGGTAAGTTGCCAAGGTGTTTTTGAGCACGATTTCCTCTCTGGCGGAACGCTCTGGCATGTTGTTGGCCTGAGCCCGGCGCTAACGAAAGTAAGAATCCTGACGTTTTTTTCTTTGATAGGTCCGACTGATGAGAGAAATGTTTATGAGTGGAGCGTCAACATCAAGTAAGGCCGGCTCTTTTTCTTCTGTTTTTCTAATGCTACATTGGCTGCTGAAGAGCTCGGCGAACTCTTCCTTCTTCAGTTTGCATACTTGAATAACAGCCGTGCGAACGACTAAAAGATGGCGGTCGCCCGCTTTGTCCACTCTCCAACATGTCGATTTCTTTTCCTCCATAGTGCTCTCATTCATACTTTTCATCTCGCTCACTCTTCATGTTTTTTTTACATTGGATAGTGGACCTCCCGGAACGGCATATGAAGGTGCAGCGCTGCCAGGGATCTTGACCTTCCCCATGGAATATCCACTCCTCCCACCCAAGGTCAGACTTGTCGGCCAGGTCTTTCACCCCAATGGTAACGTACAGTAATTAGGATCATAGTGATAAATGAACTCTAGCGGAGAGGGGCGGAAGAAAGGAAGGGGAGTGGTACAGTTACAGTTCATGCAAAGCCCTACACCGAAAAAAAAATGGAGCTGATGACAAGAAAACGAACAGCGCAAAACACGAGACTAGCATACATCTACTAACCACATCTCCCTTTGTCCGCTATTTTTCTCGCTTTCTATACTTGCTCGTTGTCGCGACTTGTCAACCACTTGAATGAACACTTACTCTATGTTCACAGTCGCGCCGGATGGAACAGTCGAGATCCCAATTCTGCATGTGACGGGCGACGACCCCAGCCGCCACGACTCGGCACAGGAGAGGTGGAGCCCTGTCCAGAGTGTTGAGAAGATCCTGCTCGCGATCCGTGGGATGTTTGTTCATCCCTTTGAGGAGAACATTGTCAACCCACAAGCTGATGTATGTGTCTTTTACGTTTTTTGTTTGTTTTGTTTGTATTTGGAGTGCATTTGTACTTTCGAATTGTTGCCCTAATTTGTCAGCCATGCTTCAATGCCATGGCTATTTCTTTCTTTTCTAATGACTGTTTTCGTTTGGTTGTTTGCCTTACCTGTAGGAATTGTTGAAGGCGGACAAAGACAAGTTTGAGGAGACGGTCAAGCGGTCGGTCAGCATGGTTGCTGCATTGTAAATAGGTCCCCTCATGCCAGCGATGGAGACCAATACCCTCACAACTCTTCGTAGTGACCTTTCATATCTTTCAAGGAAAATAAACCCAAGGCTACCACAAAGCAAGCGTCCAACAATGAGACAAACAAGGTTGGTGATGGTTCAGCGCCTTTGTATTCATAAAGTCATTTGTGTCTTGCATTCAGGTTGTGGGACAAGCAAAGAAGGGTCGCCCGGGTATCCATCCTCGGGTCAACCGAGGAGGCATTTATGCATGCCAAACAGGTACATGGAGACTGCTAGGGTAAAATTGCCTGCATCGCTTTTCGCTGTTGACCATGGTCCATCATGTCATGCGGACTCTTCTGTGGCTGTTAACCTTAGTTAGCGCCCATCGCTGCGGGGGTCAGGGAGAGTAAAAGATGAGTGATCCCCTCCCTGTGCCACCATGGGCCTCTCAACATTCGTCACTTTTTTGAGTGTTTGGTTTAAAAGGAAGAAACGCGCCCCTAGCGCTTTTCCGTTTCTTCTCTTTCTTCTTTCTCTCCCTACTCTTCAACAAACAACCAACCGCAATATCTACAACAAAGCACCACCACCCAACACCCGCCCAACAAGGAAGACAAGAATAAATGGATACCACCCCAGCCTACCAGAAGCTAGTCGCCGAGTTCCGTGAACTGTCCCAACACGCTCCCCAGGGTGTCGCTGCCGGTAAAAGCCAAGAGCATAGTCGAGCGCAGGAGGGTTCGCCATGAAGAACGGTATCAAGTCGAGAAGGGAGGAAGGTCTCATTACTAACTTTTGTCTTTGTCTTGACTTTGTGAATGTAGGACCCATTAGCGAGGACAACTACTTTGAATGGGAGGCCGTCATCGAGTAAAGAGAACATTCCCACCTCCCCCTGCACTCACCACACCAATTCCGCTACCATACCCCTTCACCTTGCGACCCTGCGACCCTACGCGAAACCACGAAAAAAGCCGGCAACACCCCCTTCCTTACATGCCCCTTCTTTTCCCACCCCTGCTTATGGCTCACGGTGCTTGGTGAATAGAAACCCGCAAGCAGAAAAAAAAAATACTCACACGCCCAATTGATCCTCTACCTCCACCTTTTCTGCGCGTTGCTTTTGGAAATTTGCATTTGCGAATAATGATAGGGGACCAGAGGGTACGCCATACGAGGGAGGCATCTTCCCAGCTGTCCTGAGCTTCCCCCAGAACTACCCTGATGCCCCACCCTCCGTCAAGTTCAGCGGCCAGATGTTCCATCCCAACAGTAAGTCTTTATGAACATGGGACAGGTGCGCGAAAGATGGCTGATTCTATTGTTTTTGGGAGTTAGACGAGGAGGAAGCAAAACGTACGAAGGACGCACTTGCCTTATGCCCAGTGATAAAGAGGAGGAGCAAAGCTGAAGCACAAGGACAGAGAAGCATTTGATGAAGAAAAAAAAGTATTAAATGCAAGATAACAAAACTTGTCAAACAAGCAGCCTTTCTAACATTGATGTAATCTCCACCTTCGAATGATAGTCGACCAGGAAGGCAAGATGCAGATCCCGTTGTTGCAGGCAGGAAAGGACGCATGGTCGTCGACTGATGGTGTCGAGAAAGTCCTGAAAGAGGTTTCCTACATCTTAACCCACCCCAACCTCGCCATCGCCGTTAACAAAGATGCATCCGTACGTTCTTATTCTCTCGTTGTATTGTATTTTCTGTTGTTTTAGTGTCAGTGAGATCATACTTACTCAGAGGAGTGAAATGAACTAACCATTATTCTGCACGTTCTTTGTTTTTGTTTTCTTTTGTTGTTAGAATGTTTGGTCGACAGACAGAGAACAGTTCGATGCAGTGGTTCGCACCACCGTCAGGAACAACTTAGAGACATAGAACTCAACAAGCACTAGCCACACTAATTTGTATATACCGCAGAAAAAGAAGTAGAGTACACACTCCTGTCCCTCTCTCCCACTCTCTCGTCCAACAAAATAAAATGGACATTCTCCCGCACATTAGTTTGATCCCGTTCAACTGTTTAAGGTTTTTTTTGTCTTTAGGGTGTCGACTTGGGACAATGTTGTCACCTTGACGAGGACAATTTTGTCATTACGGTTCATATTTGATTCACAGAAGTCTTTGAAGTGTGAAAGATGCTTTTCAGCGATTTTATTCGACAAAAAGCGAGCAGGACACACATAGTAAATGAGTAACGAAAAGATTGAAGAGTAGAGAAAAGAAGAGAAGTAAAAGAAAAAAAACGAGGAGGGAAAAAAAAAGATGTACACACTTCCTTATCGCACGCATTATCGTGTCGGATCGCAATTGACAACCAGGAAAAATAAGAAGAGGCTTTTTTAACACCCTCATCCTTACTTCCCCATCGTTCACATTCGACCATCAGGTTCAAAGGGTATTTCTCACCGAGATCTTCAGGCAGCGCCTGTGTTAAAAAAAATAACACAAAAAAAAGAAGCTTACTTTGCAGTCTGTCTTTTGTAAGAACCATACTCTCCCGCAACCCATTTTTCATCCAACTCACAAAAGTGAGAAGGATAATGAGTGAGTTGCGACGGCAGGAAAAGACAAGATAAAGAAAATAATATGGATACTTCTTTTTGAAACGTTGGAAGATCAAGGACCCCTGGTGTTGTTCTTAGGCTTTTTCCCCCTCCTCAGACAAATAAATCTCGACCATGAAAACAGAAACAGAAAACAAAATAGAAAAGAAAAGGAGAAAAGAAACGACGAAGGCGCATTCATCGTGGTGTCGGACAGACGGACGGAAAGTCAAGGGAGGAAAGAGACGAGGGAAGATGTCGCTTATTTGGTCAAGACGTTGTCGAGGCCGAGGGACTTCAAGGCGCAGTGGGCAGCCTTCTGGCCCGAGAGCATCATCGCACCGAAAGTGGGACCCTATGTATTTTGCAAGTGGGCAGTGGGAGAGGAAGAAGCAATTGGAACAGGAGAGGAGGGTGGAGGAAATACCGGAGAGGCATCCCTCAACCAACCATCGTTAGTGATGCAATATTTTTTACCATGGTGAAGCGACCTTGTAGGTGAAATGCTTGGAAGAACAAAGGACGAAGGCAGGAGGATACTCGACGTCTCCGTTGACGCTCGTGGGAGAGGGTGTTCATACCATACGGGGGACACCGTCGAGCTCGGCGACTTCCATGCCGGTGATGACCTAAAGTAGCAGGAGTGTACATTCAATGTATTAGTAACCAAGGAGAAACAAGCATGCTGCATTGCAGAGTGTGCGAAATGAAAAGGGATAGTTACCATTCCGGGGACAACTTCACGGGTGTTGGCGACGATGCCATCTTCGGCAGCGTTCATGTCAAGGGCAATCATACCAGGAACGTTCTTGATCAATCCAATCTTCTGAAGACGCTTGACACCGGAGGCACCCATGGGACCATCATGACCAGTCGACGAGACAACAACCTTGGCCTCAATGACATTAGGGTCCATGCAGGACTGAGTATCGTGATGCAAGGTAACCAAGGTCCAGTTGGTGACGACACCAGCAACACGGCCGTTCTTGACAATGAGGTCCTCGGCGGCGAGGGCGTTGAAGAGCTTAACGTTGGGGCGCATGAGGAGCTTGGAGAGGATGGTGGAGGTGAAGAGGGCGGCGTGCTTGACGACGACATAGTTCTCGTTGCAGTCATCGAATGGGACGCCGACCTCGGCAAGGAAGTGCTGGCCGGGCTTGCGGACAATCATGGCCGAGAAGAGCTGTCCGCCCAACCAGGCACCTCCTCCGGGGGAGACGCTCTGCTCAATGACGGTGACCTGGATATCAGGGTTCTTGCTCAGCTCCCACGCGCAGCTCAGTCCCTGTATAGGAAGGGTAAAGAAAAAGTAAAGAGGAAAAGTGTGAGAACCTAGAACGCGAAGGTGTTGCTTGCAGCGAGTCCAATAAACAGGGTAAAAAAACTTACAGCAGATCCGGCACCGATGACGACGACGTCGGTCTCAGCATGGTCAAGCATATCAGTCATGTAGCGACGGGTCATCTCGCGAGAGACATCGGCCTCCTTGATGGGGTTGAAGTGGAGATCGTTGAGATCGTACTTGGGCTCGCCAATCAAGTTGATGGCACCGTTACCCTGGGCAGTTGAGGTGGTGGTGGTCGATGAAGCGACGTGGTTTCCGTTAGTGGCAGCCATTTGGTTTTGGTGGGGGGATTGATAAGGGGTTGGGTTGGGTTGGATAGGGCTAGGTGGAGTGTTCGAGGAACTGTGTGTGAAGGGTAAGGAAGAAGGAAGGGGAAAAGAAAAGAGAGAAAGAGAATGATAACGAACGACATTTTATACCCATCGCGACTGTGAGCAAGAAAAGAGGACGCATGTTCGATCCGATAAAATATTCTCACGTTCTGCTGCTTGCTGCAACACAAACATAATGGATCACATCCACAACGAACGGAAAAACAAAAAAGAGTCATCTTTGCATTAGGGAGGAAGGGACGATAGCACTTCGGAAAGGAAATAGAGAACTGTGCTCTGTTCTCATTGAGTTGGACTGTCGCCGCTTTCTTTTTTTTTTTTCATTTGATCCGGGATCGCTCATCTGTATTCATGCACTCGACAAAAAAGGAGGGAGTCATATCCGACGCCTGCTCTCTCTCTCATCGCTTTTACACCCCTTCGTTCATGTTATCATCACTTCCGGTCCTGGATCTCCTTCGGTGCTAGTCACGGTGCGATCTGCTTTTCCCTCCCCAAGGCGGGCAGCATCGACTACTCTACGCTGCGCGATGCGAGCTCAATGATACGTATTCGAAAGATAATTCTCAGGGAGTGAAAACAAGTGTGTCAGCACTTTAATCGATTTTTGGTTTTCTTTTCCTTTCACACATGGCAGAGAGATGAAAAAGACGATCAATGCGTGTGAGCAGACACGCTCTACGCGTCCTTCACCGTGATTTTCACACCTCCCTTCCAACTCTGCAAGCTTGCCATCTCTTTTTTTCGACGGCGATGGTGTCGTTGTTTCAGTGCCCTTTGGTCTCTTTTGGCGTCGTTCAATTGCGATATGCAAGTTCTTGGGGAAAGACCAAGGCCCTAATTGATGGGGGAGGGAAGAGGCGGGTCTGATCTGTCTCTATCACAATTCCAATCCCCGACACAACAGACAGAGGAGAAAAAGCGCGCATCAGTCAAGCAGCAATTGACAAACGGTCACCAGCCCGTGAACACAGAAAGACCAGAGGGGCAGTCGTTCTTCTTTTCCAAACATCTTTTTCTGTACCCCAAACACCCCGAACATGGCCGAGGCCCTTCCAAAAAAAAAAAAAAAAAAAAAAAAAAAAATGCGGGCTTGGAAAAATAAATCAATGGTACGCTGATCATGCGATCGTATCCCATACGGTGATAAATTTCAAATGGACTGCTTCTCCAGAGCGATCAACAAACAAACAAAAAGTGCTCAAAGCATCGCTTCTTCTTGCTTCTTTCTTTCTTCTTTACCCTCTTCACTCCCTACTTTCCCACCACTGCCATTCCCTTTCCCTTCTTCCACTGTCAATGCCCCGATAAATCGTAAGTACATCCACCCTCAATCTTATGGATACACATTCCATCCCTCCTTTTTTTATATCCCACCCCACCTCCCCCTTTCAATTCCGCGCACGATGAAACACAGCTGGCACCAGTCAAAGGCGTTAACCAGTGATGACAAAAACAACAGAACTGTCAATACGCGAGAGTTCCTGACGCGACCCTTCACAAACACCTATTCATTTCTTTGGATATTTGTTTTTTATCAAGTTGTTCTCCGAGTTTGTTTGGCGTATCTCTTTGATCGTCAACTTCTCGACACCGCGTATAACCTCTTTGAGGAAGAAAGTCTTTGAGCTGGCTCCTAACCGCTTTTTGTATTTTGTTTCTATCTCTTTTTTCTCAGGTTGCTGTAGGTTCCTCTCGGTTAATCAAGTGTCTTTGTATATGTCGTGTTTGAATGGATATGAATATGAATAAAAAAAGTTTTTCACAAAAAGTACCAGACTCGTTTGTTGACTGTTATGTTATGGCGTGTGCAGGTTGAATACTGTCCTCGAACGTCTCGATCAGTTTTAATGGTTGGTCTTTGCCCGTTTGCAGGGAAGACAGGATTATATCCTATCAATCAAGGAAATAAATATTATGAACTTCGCGCCGCTGATCCCTCTCCTTTCGTTCCTGAAAGGACTTCAGCGCCTCTTCGCCCTTCTCGTCATCACTGCCTTCGCAACTGCTCGCGCATCTGTCGCCAAATGTTGGATTGATCACCTCCCTCGTTTCTCTTTTACTTCTTACCATTTTTTTACTTCACCACCTGTAAAAACAATTCTAGAATCGAAAAAAAAAAAAAAAAAAAAAAAAAAAAACTTCACCTGTTATCCTTGTTTACTGCTTTTCATCTCCCCTCTTTTTGTTCGTATTTTCATTACAAAATAGTTTATTAACAATCTCTGGACGTGGCCAGACCGTCACTCCTCACCACATTCATGCATGGCACAGGTTGTCCACTTCGCTCCTGCCGGCCTTGAAAGTTAGAGAACACATAGTTCTGTTGTGTTTGTGTCAACGGAATACATGAGGCTTCAAATTTAGAATAAACCATGGCACAAGGTGAGAAGATCCCTGTCCATCTGCTTCTTCGCCATATTTGTCATTCTCTCTTTCTTGCTTTCTCTCTTCCTTCTTACTGTCTTCTCTCCTTCACCATCTTCCCCCTTCTCTTCATTTCTCCCTACATCGGTTCTCACTGTTGCACCCCTACACACATTCGCCCTCTCCCTCTTTCCCTTTTCTATCGCCTCTTTGTTTGCCATCACCAAATCTACCATGAATTCCACCGAACCTTTGCCAGACAATCCTATGCCAGACGCTCACTGCACAAGCCAATACAACGTCAGAGTCTTGGATGTCGTCGGTGTCACCATTGCCTGGTTGACTGTATTCAGGTGGATTTTAGTTGTCCTCTTTGCGGACGACATCAACCTCCTCTGCTGTCTACCAAATCCAAAACGACTCGGGTCAGGGAAGTTCAAGTCGTTCTTCCTCATGCTTTTCTCCTTTGGGTCCTTGATCTACACCATTGTCCAAGCAGCCAAGTGCGGAGAAAAACTCGTCGCTGCCCTGATGGTGTTTGCCGGCTTGTACGACATGATCTTTACCCTGGCCAAGGACAGCCTCCATTTCATGTTCCTCGGCATCTGTTGCATGTTTCCGCTCCCGGACGTCGCCCTAATCTCTGCCAGTGCAGTTGCCATCACATATGGTGGAATCCTTGGCATTGCCGCACTGGTCGCCTTTGTTATGTTCTCTGTCCCGAAATATAACACGCCGTATCACGACCACAATTCAACCTACATTGCTGGACCACTCGTCATCAAGTACACCGTCATATACCCTATGCTATTAGCATGCTTCATCACCATCATCGTCAAAGATCACAACCAATGGATTCCACGACCTCAAATGAAACTGGAGCAGTACTTACTGGTCGCCAAGATCATATCGGGCACGGGTGCGGTGGACGTTTTCGCGGCCGTGTTCGCGGTTGTGTTAAAACGCGTTCGGATGTGGGTTTTTGACTCTTATGACGACGACGAGAACTCCGATGACCTTCCGGACCTGGAGACGGGCATCTTTTGGTGGGGCCTCAAGACGTCCAGTGTTCAAGAGATCAATCGTCCGGGATTTCATGTCTATAATTCTTGGTCGCAAGTTGAAAATGCACCTCGGACTTTTACCGAGTCCTTGCCGCTGTCTGAACTCGAACGCAAGTTATATGGCGATGAACCGCAAGATAACGAGAGCTGATAGAATGTAAAAAAAAAAAACACCCTCCCCTCTGCGAGAACTGTTCAGTTCAACATCGAAAGTTCTTTTTCCTCTTTTTTTTTCTTACTTTCTCTTTGGTGCCTTTTCATGTAATACCATGAAGGGAGGGGGTTGGTCTATTTTTTTTCTTGGAAAACAAAACAGAAGTGGTGGAGTAATTCTGGTGAGTCTGACCTTTGGGTCCACTCGCCATTGACCCGATGGAGAGGGTGAAGATGGCAAAGTTAGGATGTTTTGTGAGTCATTCCACCATGCACACGAATTAAGCATCGGTAAACCTTCTTTTTCGACAGATCAAAACAAAACCAAGCCAACCCGTCGCACCTGTAACAGATCGCCATTGGTCGCTTCGCTTTTTAAGCATTTGAACGAAGACGGGGCATAGAAGTAGCAGCAGCTGTTTTATTTTTGGATGCTCTTTGTTTACCATTCGGAACGCGATCAGTTGACACCTTGTCCTACTTCTTGCCTTGTACAGTACCACATCAATGTTGTCTATGGGCTGCTTTGCCATTACCATAGCCTGTCCTCGGTGAAGATCTGCAGAAGGGACATTGTGCATGGCTGTTCAATGGCATCCCAAAAATGTGTAAATGTGTTTTCAGGGACGGAAAACGAGAGGAAGTAAAATACGAGGGCGAGACTTCGTTGCGGACAAGATATGCCTTCATCATATGCTTAATCTTGCCATCAGTATCATCCTCTGTCTGTCTTTCTCATTCTCTTCTCATTATCCCCATTTCATCACACTTTCTCTCACTTTCTCCTCCATTTTCTTTCTTCTCTTTTCACTCGCATCCCTCATAGTCTCTACCGATTGCACCCTGTTTTTTACATTCACTCACTCCTTCGGTTCCTCCCTAGTTTCCTCTCCCTTTCTCTTCACCCTATCTTTCTCTCTCGCCTTACCCAACATGGGTTCCACCACCTCAATGCCAGCGCTGCCAGAGGATCACTGTGCAAGCCAATATAACGTCGGAACCCTAGACGCCATCGCCGTAACCATTGTCTGGCTCACAGTCTTCCGATGGATCCTCCTCGTCGCACTAGCAGACGACACTAACATCCTCTTCTGTCGACCAAACCCAAAACGGCGCGGATCATCAAAACAAATGGCAATCCTCCACCACGCCCTCTTCATCGCATCCCCCATCTACACTATCGTCCAAGCCGCCAACTGTCGAGACCATCTCATGAAAGTTATCATCACCACCATGGTGTTCCTGTTCATGTATGAGCAAATCTTTAGCTTGGCCAAGGACCTTCTCAGATTTGATCCCCAGGGGCAAATTTGTGGGATCACGTTTCCGGATATCATTGCCGTCGCTGCCGGGGCGGTTGCGATTACCGAAGGTGGATCGTGGCGGGTGTTTGGGATTGTGATCGTGGTCTTGTTCTGTTTGTTGTTATTTGGCAACAGCTACAGTTTGGAAGGGGCGTTGTATGTGCTGAGTGGACCGTCCGCTATCAAGTTGATGGTTCTCTACCCTGTCTTCTTGGCGATCTTTGTCACAGCCCTCGTCAAAGACCACGGTCAATGGATCCCAAGGCCCTCGACGGTGGTGGAGTACGTTATGCTCGTCACCAGATGCATCGCTGGATTTGGTGGTGTCGATATTTTGGGAGCCATTTGTAGCAAGATTTATCGCTACATCGTCCCAGAAGTTGAGGAATGTCCTGATGTCGAGCCTGGGATCAATTGGCGTAGCGTTAGGGTTGATCCTGAGCTTTTTTAGTGACGGCGATGGCAAGGGGTAAATGGTATTGAAACCTTAGTGAGTCGTTGGGAAAGGGCTTCTTCTCGCTGTAGTTAAGCAAAACCGCCTTTACTCAGATAGTTATTGTTCTTTTCACAACACGACAAGTAGTGAAGTGGTTTTTTTTACACGAAACATGGGGAGGTTTTCTTGATGTGTCCCGGTACGAAACACGAACATAAACACAAACACAATAGGGGAGAACGTGAATACCAATACAAAAATGGCGCGTTGTAAAGGTGGACGCTTCTGTGGTGATAAGAGAGGGTGTTGTTCCATCGGAAGAGAGAAGCGCTGAGATTGCTGGACTTTCAATGGACCTTTAGTCAAGAAGTCGATTTAAGAGTCCATTGCAAAGACACTTTACGCAATGATGCAATTACGCGCAATGGAAATAGAAACATTAAGGTACTTCGCCACCCTCTCTCCTTGACATTCTCATTCTCTTCTTCTTTCTCTTCCTCTCCTTCTCTCACGCTCTCTTCTTGTCCTCCTCTACTCTCACGCGCACTTCTCTCGTTCACCCGCGTTATCGCTCGCCCCCTACAATTTCTTCTTGTCGCCCCTCCCTCTTTCTGAATACTGATCACCACCTCAATTAAAACCACCTACCCACCATGGATTCCACTCCCCCCCCCCCCCCGCCAGACCCTCACTACATACTCCAATATACAGTCGGAACTCTTCTCGCCGTTGGCGTAGCAATCGTCTGGTTCACCTTCCTCCGCTGGATAACCCTCATCGTCTTTGGTGACGACCTCAACATCCTCCTCGGACTCCAAGACCGCAAACGTCGCGGAAAGGGCTCCCCAGCATTTTGGATCCACCTCATCCTCTTGTTCGCATCCCTCATCTACACCATCGTCCAGACTGCCAACTGTTGAGACAAGAATATGAGGCTCCATATCATAATGATGGTGTTTTTGATCATTTATGAGCAGATCTTTTGTTTGGCTAAGAATGGGTTGACTTTTGAGTTCTTGGGTCATTGTTGTGGGATTACATCCTCGGATATCATGTTGGTCGCTGCGGGGGCTGTTGCGATCGCTGAGGGTGGTCAGTGGCGGGCGTTGGGGGATTACTGCTGTTGTTCAGTTTGACTTGCTTTCGAACAGCATCTTTAGCCGGCAGGTATCGGAGGGAGACGAAGTGTACCTCATCGAAGCTGTGGTGACCAAGTTCACTACCATCTAGCCGGCCATCCTCGCAGCATTCTTCACTATGCTCGTCAGCGACCACGGTGAATGGATCCCGAAACCAGAGTTCGCGGTGGAGTACATTATGCTGGTCACCAGGGGCACAGCCAGGTTCGGTGGTGTTGATGTTTTGGCCGCGATTGTCAGTTCGATTTACCGACTGATTGTCAAGGATGCCAAGATGTGTCCGGGTGTGAAACCTGCTTTCAACTGGTACAGCATTCGATTGGGTGGGATCTTTGGCCAAGGCGAGGGCGAGATAGAATTTGACATGTCGTAGTTTCCTCCCTTACAAACTTTTTCTCTCCCTTCTCCGCCACAGTCTTGCATTGGTATAGTAAACTACCTTCACCTTATGAAAGTCCTTATCTTTGAATATTTTTATGATGTTGTTTGAGAAACATTAGAGGTCAACAGATCCAGTTAACCACCAGGTAGGCGTCGACCATTGAAAGTTGCCGCGCACAACATATCATACACAAACATTTTGGATGATATGTTTCTTACCATGCACTCTTCCGGCAGGACCTTGGACAGCGCTATTCATCGCGTTGAATGCTTGTAGTTTTGAACTATTTGGCAAACGAAAAGGCGACAACTTGTTTGTTGTAGCTGTTCTGCTTGACGTGACACAATTGCACGAAGGATATGCGATAAATTTCATACCAGGAACTGGCGAAGAGAGTGAAGAGAGAGGAACGACCTACTCACTTTTGAACAGCCGTTATCAGATTTCAGCGGTGCCTAATGGATCTTTGTCTGTCCCGCTGATAGGATGCTATTTGATCATCACTACCCTGACCCCTGCCTCTCCGCCTGGCCTGTGCTCACAGTCATCCTCAGAGTCGACTAAATCGTCCCAGCGATATAACATTCAGAGTGCATGCATATCCTCTAAATGATCCTACCATAGTCAAGTACCTCCTCGCCGTTGGCACATTTGCACCTTTGCCCTTGGTCAGTTGACCAAATAGAATTGGCGAAGGTTTATGTCAAGTGCATGAATTTTTTCTTTTCTCTCATCTCTCTCAACTCATTTCATCTCTTCCGCCATTATCTCCTCCTCCCTGCCATCATCTCGCCGCTCCATCCCCTTCTTCTTCCTCGACATCCTCTAACTCGTTACCTCTTCCTGTAATCCTCTCAGCAGTGCTACCAGGACTAGAGCGCGCACCCACCAGACCAAACAGCGAACTACCCCCAAAACAACAAAGACACAACAAGAGCAACGTGGAAAAATACCAGACTTCCTTGAAGTATAACTCGCTGCTGCTTTTTTTTTGGATAAACAACAGGACTGAATGTTTACCCAATCCAGCTAAAGAGACGGTTCTCAGATACAACAAACACCTCTTTGCCAAGTAAGTAATAAGACTATCTAAATGAGGGCCGGTACAAGAGCTCCACCTTGCGTGTTTCGACCCTTTACTGATCCGCCTCGGAACTAGACTGCCTGTCACGCATTCAAGCCCCATCTACAAGCCCTACTCCGATCCACCGTCTAGCCCTAGACCAAAGGAATTCCCACAACCAGTCTTCGGTACGTGCGAGCGAGCACCTAAAGGCGCAAAGAGGGTCTTATGATAGTCATTCCTGACAAATAGCATATCTTCGTATTATCACTAGTAGGTTCATCATGTCGTCCCAACCTCCTCAAGGCAACCAACCGCTACAACCCGAAGCCATTATACCGTCTCCTTCTGCACCACAGGAATCAGCACTCAACCATGTAGAGCAGGACGCTTCAGACAACCAGAAGCTAACGGCAGCACAGGAAGTTACAGACAGCCAGGAGCTCACCAGCGACGGCAAGTACTGGCCTTTGCAACTGTACCGTCGAGTAAAATTTGGACGTATCGCAGCCGAGACGAACGACATTCCTGCTTCAATTGAAGATGCACTCCTCAGGCTGAAGAACAGACTTCTCGAATACAACCAACCTGTCTACATTGCACCGATGGCCAAGCCTAACCTACAAGCACCAGACAACAGATTGCTTCCTCTCATGGATATGGTCGAGGGCTTTCTGGCGGACGATAGCCAAGTAATGCTGGTGCTGGGTGATTCAGGGGCCGGAAAATCGACATTCAATCAACACCTGGAGCACGTACTCTGGCAAGGCTATAAGCCTGGAGGACGTATCCCACTCTTCATCAATTTGCCAGCCCTCGACCGACCGGACAAGGAGATGGTTGTAGAGCATTTGAAATCGGTGAACTTTTCAGAGGAACAAATCTGGGACCTCAAACAGCACCGCCAGCTCCTGTTGATCTGCGATGGCTATGATGAGAGCCAGCTCACCTCCAACTTGCACACTACCAACCTCTTCAATCGACCTGGTCAGTGGAACGTCAAGTTGTTCATCACCTGCCGCACTCAGTACCTCGGTCCTGACTATCGCGATCGCTTTGCGCCTAAGGCGACCAGTCAGTATCACCGCACTGCAAGCAATCTCTTTCAAGAAGCCGTCATCGCCCCCTTCTCCAAGGAACAGATCGAGCTGTACGTCGAACAGTTCGTCCCACTCATACCGCGAACTTGGGTCAAGAAGGATTACATGGACAAGCTGGCAACCATCCCCAACCTCATGGACCTAGTGAGGAACCCCTTTCTGCTGACTCTTGCTCTGGAAGCACTCCCATCCGTCGTCAAGAACAATACCACTCTCTCGAATCTCCGCGTCACCCGTGCTGAGCTCTACGACACATTTGTTGATCACTGGCTGAAGGTCAACAAGCGCCGCCTACAGGACCAGACGCTGAAGGACAAACGCCAGGCATTTGAGGATCTTCTCGAGGACGGGTTTGTGCATAATGGGATTGTCTTTCAGAAGGAGTTGGCGTGGGCGATCTTTCAGCAACAGGAGGGCCGACCTGTCGTCGAATATTCCAACATGCGAGACAAGTCGCCGTGGAAAGCCAACTTCTTTGGTCCTAAAATTGAGAGATCCCTGCTCAGAGATGCCAGTTTACTGAGTCGCACTGGCAACCAGTATCGCTTCATCCACCGATCTGTCTTGGAGTATTTCTTCTCTTGTTTCGTATGGGATACCTCGAAGGATGGTAACGAGTTTGCTCCGCATGTTTATTCAGAAGCTACTGGTGTATCTCTTCCTGTTACCGATCATCCACTGTCCAAGAGGAGTCTTGTCCCGGAGCCATCGGTCATCCAGTTTCTCGCCGAGCGCGTCCAAATGCAGCCCATCTTCAAGAAATACCTTCTCGCACTCGTTGAGCTTTCCAAATCGGATTCTCAGGCTAGCATGGCCGCAGCCAACGCCATCACGATCCTGGTGAGAGCTGGGAGGCACTTCAATGGAGCTGACCTTCGAGGCATCCGCATCCCAGGAGCCAATCTCACAGGTGGGCAATTCGACTCGGCGCAGTTGCAGGATTCCGACCTGGCGGGGGTTATATTCACCAAGGCTTGGATCCGACAGGCGGACTTCACTAGAGCACGGGTGGACGAGACACGGTTTGGGGAGCTGCCGAATTTGCAGGGAGCTAGTTGGGTACAGTCATGTGCATTTTCCTCAGACGGAAGGTTTTTTGCAACGGGTTTGAGAAACGGCAACATTAGTATCTACGACACAACCACCTGGACAAGGATTCGGCTACTTCATGGCCATGAAACGACCGTTCTGAGTCTCGCGTATTCAACAACCGGCCTTCAACTTCTCTCCGGCTGGTCTGATGGTACGGTGCGACTGTGGGACTGTAAGAGCGACGCGACTGATCGTGTTCTGAAGGAACATTCCGAGGAGGTGACAGCTGTTGCGTTTTCACCCTCAGGCATACAATTCGCCTCAGCCAGCGCGGACAAGTCAGTGCGCCTATGGGACACCCAAACAGGAACAGTCGCCTTTGTCATACAAGATTTTGGCGATGTCTCAGGGATCGCCTATTCACCAGATGGGAACAACATTGCATCCTGCTTCATGTATGGACAAGTCCGATTATTCGACACGCGGACGGGCTTACAGGTGCTGAGTTCTGGAACGAGCGGCAAGAATCGCTGCCTTGCGTATTCCCCTAACGGACAATCCGTCGTCTCAGGCGACATCTTCGGCGATCTACAACTCTGGGAGGCGACCACCATGATGCCGAGGATCAAATGGAGAGGACATTCTGGAAGAGTGACAAGCGTCGAGTTTTCGCCGAACGGGCAATGGATTGTGTCTGTCAGTGACGATAAAACGGTCAAGATGTGGGATGGATATGCAGCCACACTTGTCTCTATATTCACAGGTCACACCAGCTGCATCACCAGTGTTGCATTTTCCCCAGACGGCTCACTCATTGCTTCAGGAAGCATGGATCGAACTGTACGGCTCTGGGAGGTGAACTCGGTTGGGTTTGGTCTCGACGTAGATGGTGCCTTCGACTCCAAGCCAAGTGTAGCCTATTCTCCTGATGGACGGTTTCTCATCTCTGGCAGTCGCGCTGGAGTGGTACAGCAACATGACGCGGAGAGTGGCGAGATTGGTCTTGTTATTCGTCGCCAAGAGTTCCGAGTCAATTCTGTCGCCTATTCATCAGACGGTCGTCAAATTGCCATGGGTGGCTCAGGAGGCGATATCACATTGTGGAGCACTCATACCGGCGCCCTTGAGAATACTCTTCGAGGCCATACTAGGGATGTGAAAGTAGTTGCATTCTCACCATGCGGTCAATGGATTGCTTCCTGTGATAAGCTGACGGTACGACTTTGGGATGCTCGATCAGGCACGTTTATACAGGTCATCTCTGGTGACCGCCTCCATTTCATTCGAACTTTGTCGTTTTCGTCCAGCGGTACTGAGATTGCGTTTAGAGACTACTCTGGAATGGTGGAAGTCTGGAATGTGACGACCGGGAAGTCCAGGATGGAAGAGGGTGGACTTAACTTGTGGTTCTGCTTTGTGAGGTATTTACCGAGCAGTCTTCAGGTTGTTTCCTGTGAAGGTGGAAAAGGTGCTGATTTGTGGGATGAAGATGGCCGACATTCCCGTGTCATTTTGCAGCACAGTGGTATTACCATCCAACACTTTGCATTCTCGAGTTGCGGTCAATGGATAGCAAGTGTTGAAGGCAACACGGTTCACCTGTGGAGAAGCCCCCTGGAGGAGAGACCACAGGACTGGAAGTATGTGCTGGCCGTCGAGGGTTGCTTAGGGGTGATTGTTGAGATTGTCTGGAGGCCTGGCAAGTTGGAATTTGCCACCGCCGATGTGGGTGGATCCACTCGTTTGTGGAGGGTTGTAGAGAGGTTCGACAAAGTGGTGGTCCAGCTGGTGTGGGGTTTTGGAGGAGGAGGTAGTCTTGTTGCCTCAGGATCGCTCCTTGACGATGCCATTGGTCTTAACGCGATCAACCGGAGCCTGCTGGAGCAGCGGCGCTGTTTTCTCCAAGAACCAATAGTGACGAGTTTCTATCGCGATACAGTTTGGAATGATATCCGTGATGGCTCTTTCCTGTCAAATAACAGAGTAGCAAAGACAAAAATATCAGAGAAATGATTACGTGCTTGTTCTCATGTTTCGCGTTTGTACCTGCAAAAAAAGGAGTGTCTTCGTTGATGAGATACCTTTCCTTGTTTCGCAAAACGGTCCTGCAGACAGTGCTGATGATAGTGAGAGTGCAGTGAAGACCCAAGGAGCGGTTTTCAGCGCCTTTACCAGCTGTCCCTGACCTCGACTGACATCCATCTCCTCCCGCTACTTCAGATAACCTAAGCCTTTCTGCCTTAGTTCTTCTGAGGATGATTGTGGGGTGAGAAAACAAACGCGGCAGTGGCGACCTTGCTGCGGTTACTTTTCTTCTTTTTGTTGTGGTTGAATGTAGAAGGCTCTACCTATTCTCAATTTTCTTTCCGTCTTTGCTTTTTTCTTTCTTCTGTCCTTAGCCTTGTACACCTTCCTATCCTTCACCCATACTTTTTTTTGTACTACGTGTCCCTTGAACTGTCGTTCCTGTTCCTGCTGAAAATAAAGTGCTTGCCAACCACAGTTTAGCATATATAGTGCAACTGTACAAAGGCCAGCAGTGGTACCAACAAGGTACAGTACACCTTTCTGCGTAAAAGGCGTTAATTGAAGGTTGTCAATTGGGTTTGCTCAGTGCATCGCTCCATGCTCTACATTTTTGCTTAATTCACTGCAGTGTCTCGATAGGTACTTCTGAACGCGGATATGTGACGCCTATCATCCTCTTGTCGTACAAATCCTGGCCCTGCATTGAGAGAGACCCCGCGCAATTTGGCACTGGGTGGCTACTGAACGTTTCTTCTATTCACAAGGCAGGATGATGATACCAGACGGCGTTAGTGGTGGAGACTGAGAAGGGGGGGAGGAGGAAGGGAAGACCTTGGAGTCGAGTTGTTTTTCTTTGGGAGACAAGAAAAAATATTGCTTAATAGATTAATGTGGAACGAAGAAGCAACAGGCGACTCAAGCGCCTTTTCGTTCTACCCGATTAAAGACAAACAAACAAGACTACGAGCACCCCGTAATCGATCGCAATCTATCGTTTGTTCCAGTAAGCTTTGCTTCCTGACGATGTGGCGCACTCAAGGACGTCACTTATCCATCGATCCATACACCACTAGGCCTTTTGTAAGCAAGGCAAAAGAGCTCTAGATGAAAAACAAGAGAGAACCGAAATATGAATAATCAAAGTGCTCAAAGCCTTAAAAATGGATAGTGGATCTGTGAGGTGGGAAGATATGTTAAATATTAGGGTGGGAAGGCAATCGAGCGAGAGAATAGGGCTAAACCACCATGAAACGTTCGATTGTTCAGCAAGGGCGCAATTAGAAATTAAATTTCATTAGTTGGTGTGAGATGAGCAAATGGAGAAAAAAGATAATGCCAGCGACTGCAACGAATGGAGGGAAGGAAGGTCATTCAGCAGCAGGACAGGGATATCATGTCAAAACAAAAAGGAGGACGAGAGAGATGCTCTTAATGCGAAGGCAGTGAGAGGATGCGGGGGAACTGGGAGAAAAAGAAAAAGGGGGGCGGAAGAGAGAAGTGGATGGGATTGGCTCGGGAAAACAGACAAGGGGAGAAGGGGTCGAGGCCATTTGCATTGATGGAGAGGGTATCAGAGCGGAGAAAAAAATAATAAAATCGAGATGCTCTCTTCCCATGCTCCCATTTCCTCCCCCTATGAACAGTTTGCTGGAGAGTGTTACTTTTGACAGCCTGGACATTTTGACAGGTTTGGTTTTGACATACTTTTTCGAAGAGAAAAACAAGGGGAGCCAGGTTGGAGCGGGACACATTCTCGCAAGGGTCGAGGAAAAGGAAGGGAAGGGAGAAGGTACTCCTTTTTTTCTCTCTCTTCTGAATCCAATTCCACTACCAATGCGAAGCTACTACAGGTACTTGTGTCTAAGTGCATTTGTCTGCCAGAGTCAGGGACGACAAACAAACAAACAAGACAAAAGAGAGATGAAGAAAAGTACTGCAAGTCGCTTTTGGATCTCCGTCTTGAGGACAATGTGGCAATAGCAGTGACCGAGGGAACCAGGAATCGACTGTTGAGTGGTGTCTGTGGCACTGGTGATGGCATTGTTTGTTCAGGGGCAGCAGAGAAGGGATCCAGTTGATGCCGTCCGTTGGGTTTCAGACGAAAGATCACTCCAATAGACAATAATTGCAAGTGATCAAACCAAAGACGAGCAAAACTTTATCACCTCTCACCCCCGTCCTTCCTTTTCTTCTTTTCCTTCCTCTTCTCACATCAACTCCCCAACTCCTCCCATTTCATCTCATCCTCACTCTCACCCCCACTCTCCACTCTTCCTCATCCTCCCACTCAACGGCCACCTTTCTCGCTCTCTCCTCTCCTCTCTTTTCTTTGTGGCCTATAAATACCTCTCCTCTCCTTTCGCCTGTGTGCCACTGTTGTAAGTGCAGATAAGAATCAAGTCATCATCACCACCCTTTTGCCCTTCGTCCTCGTTGTTGTTCTCATAGTTGTTTCCTCTTGTGTTATTGCAAAGGGCACTGCACTCCTATGAATGACTGAGTGGATGGGCAAAGTGTGCTTGTGGTGCCACTACCTCCACTACTAACACAACCGCTGAGCCAACTGCTACTCTGGTCACACTCAAAGAGAACATAACAACTGACAAGTTCACACCTCGTTACACCCTTCAACTAGACCAACCACGTACCTCCTCACTCATTCAGGAACAACAACCCTCCTTCACTTCAACTCCACATAACAAGATGACTTCACAGGATCAGGATCATCTGTTGCTGTTCGATGGTGTCGATGACTGGGACGAATTCGAAAAGAAGGTCGATGCTTCCCTCGCCAAGGACAACAACAACGACAACAAGTCTGACACAACACAACTATCAGAACAACATACCCCAGGAAAGATCACCCTTCCGGTCATCGGGATGACCTGCATGTCCTGTGTCAACGCAATCACCTCTGTCCTCTCGTCTTCACCGGGTGTCGTCGATATCAAGGTCTCGCTCAAGCAGGAAGAGGCTGTGGTCGAGTACGACCCTTCGACTATTCAACCGGGTCAGATCAAGGAGGCCATTGAGGACTGTGGATTCGATGTGCCCTTTGATACCCAACCCCTCGACCTTCTCGATGCTGCTGCTGTTGGGACATTGTCGGCTGCTTCGACGATTGTCTCGTCAGGAACACCACCACCGCAACCCTCATCAGCAGGACTCCTCAGTGCCGCCCAACAACAGCAATACATGAACTCGCCCAAGTCACCAATACCCACCGCTCACAACAACGATACCCTCAAGAGCAAGCAACACCCCTTGTCATCCTCGCACGCAACGCTCTCCAAGGCTCTTAAGGGCAGACCCGTCAAGTCGGCCCAGCTGACGATCCAGGGCATGACCTGTGCCTCCTGTGTGGCGTCCATCGAAAAGTCACTCAAAACCGCCCCCGGTCTAGTTTCCATCAAGGTCGCCCTGCTGGCAGAGCGAGCCACGATTGAATACATTGAGGGCGAGACCACCCCGCGCGAGATTGCCGACCTGATTGACGACATTGGATTCGAAGCCTCGCCGATCGTAGAAAAGCGCAAGGACCAGGTCGACCTCCAGGTCTTTGGAATGACCTGCGCCAGTTGTGTCAACTCGATCGAAGGTGAGCTTCGAAAGACCCCAGGAATCATCTCGGCCAACGTCTCTCTCACCCTCCAGGCAGCCAAGGTCGAGTTCGACAACACTCTCCTGGGCGTCCGTGATATCGTCGAGAAGATTGAGGACATGGGATTCGATGCTTTGCTTTCAGGAAAGTCCCAGACCGCCCAGATTGAGTCGCTTGGCAGGAAGAAGGAGGTTGCCGAGTGGAGGAGTGCCCTGATCTTCAGTTTTATGTTTGCGTTCCCCGTATTTGTAATCTCGATGATCCTGCCCATGTTTGAATGGGGTAGGTCGATCTACAACATCCCACTCTTCTTCGGAACTGTCTTCGGCGATGTCCTGGCCTTCTTCTTGACCATCCCTGTCCAGTTTGGTATCGGTATGCGGTTCATCATCAGCGCTTACAAGTCCTTGAAGCACGGAGTCGCCACCATGGACGTCCTTATCTCGCTCGGCACTCTCTCGGCTTTCACCTTTTCGACTTTCTCGCTCCTCTACTCGATGTTTGACCCTCAGCACCACCAGGCCTCGGTCTTTTTCGACACCTCCAGCATGTTGATCACGTTTGTCACTTTTGGACGGTACCTCGAGAACATGGCCAAGGGCGAGACCTCGGCGGCGCTGTCCAAGCTGATGTGCCTCACCCCTTCGACTTGCACCATCTACGTGGTCGACCCCAAGACTGGCGAGCGCACGTCTGAGAAGAAGATCCCCTCGGAGCTGGTACAGAAAGGCGACATCATCAAGATTGTCCCCGGAGACAAAATTCCCACCGACGGAGTTGTTGTTAGCGGACAGTCGACCGTCGACGAGAGCATGGTTACGGGAGAAGTCGAGCCCATCAACAAGACTGCAGGATCTCAGGTCATTGGAGGCACCGTCAACGGACTGGGAACTTTCGATATGGAAGCTGTCCGTGTCGGATCCGAGACTGCTCTGGCCCAGATTGTTCAACTGGTCGAGGATGCTCAGACATCCAAGGCGCCTATCCAGGCGTACGCCGACAAGATTGCAGGCTACTTCGTCCCCACGGTCATCTTGATGGCGATGCTGACGTTTGTGGTCTGGATGGTGATCTCGCACACGATGGTCGAGGAGAAGTTGCCAATGATGTTTACGCACGAGCCGTCCAAGTTTGTCGCCTGTCTCAAGCTCTGTATTTCGGTCATTGTTGTCGCCTGCCCCTGTGCCCTCGGTCTTTCCACTCCTACTGCAGTCATGGTCGGTACGGGTGTCGGTGCCCAGCATGGTATTCTGATCAAGAGCGGTAACGCCCTCGAGGCCGCCCACAAGATCACCAAGGTCGTCTTTGACAAGACTGGAACTTTGACGATTGGAAAGTTGGTTGTTGCAAGCTGGAACTTGTACAAGCCTAGCAGCAGTCCCAATGTCCCTGAATCTCCTACCTCGCCTGGATCTCCTACCTTGCTGCATGGAATCGATAACGCATCATCCTTCAACCATACAATGAGCGACCAAGACTTTTTCAGGATCGTTGGAGCCGCCGAGTCCGCTTCGGAGCACCCCCTCGGTCGCGCAATCGGAGAATTTGCCAAAGACTTGCTTAAGGTCGCCAAGCTAGACGCGGTTGTGTCTGAGTTTACGTCTGCGACAGGACAGGGTATCGAGTGTACAGTGGCTCATGCTTCGGATAAGTACCGGGTGTTGGTTGGAAATAAGTCCTGGTTGAACGAGCACAAGATCCGTCTCCCCTCTTCTTTGGCCAACGACCAGATGACCCAGGAGCGTGCTGGTCGCACCACCGTTCTTGTTGCCATGAACGGATCCTTTGTCGGCTTTATTGCTCTCGCAGACACGATCAAACCCGAGGCCGCGGCCACGGTCGCCAAGCTGCAGCAGATGGGCATCCAGGTCGCGATGGTCACTGGAGACCAACCCCTCGTCGCCCAGGTGATCGCTTCCGAGTGCGGTATCCACGAAGTCCACGCCGGCATCTCTCCCAATGGCAAGACCAAAATCGTGACCAAGATGCAAGAACAAGGCCACAGTGTCGCCATGATTGGAGACGGCATCAACGATTCCCCTGCCCTCGCCCAATCCGACCTTGGCATTGCTCTGGTGTCCGGTACGGATATTGCGATGGAGGCTGCAGATATGGTCCTCATGCGCGGGGACCTTACAGACGTCGTCGCAGCCGTCGACCTCTGTCGCACCATCTTCCGTCGAATCCGGTACAACTTTGCTTGGGCCTGTGTCTACAATCTGCTGGGAGTCCCCTTCGCAATGGGAATCTTCTTGCCCTGGGGCCTTCACCTCCATCCAATGATGGCTGGGTTGTTGATGGCCTTCTCGTCCGTCAGTGTGGTTGCGTCCAGTCTTTTGCTCAAGCTGTGGAAGAAGCCCGAGATTGACGGTCGCTCCTCCTCATCCTACGGTTGCAGTAATGGTGTCTTTGGGTTGTTGTTTGGACTCGGAGGATTGGCCCAGGACCTTTGGGGCAGGATTGTGGCGAACGAGAATGGCCGGAGGAGAGGGTCTTCTTCTGGCGTGGGTGGGTACACTCGTGTCGGCTTATCAGATGAGGAGGCCGAGATGGATCGCTTCGTTTAAGATATAGAACAACAACTACACACATACACACCAAAACCACCCATTGTATCATACCACCATTATTTATCCAAACTATTAAAAACAACAATGTTCCCTTTCCTTGAATGTCTTTCATTCCTTTAATGACTGATTAGTTGGTTTCTTGCGATCTGTTGTTGTTTTTTTTTGCTCGATTCTCTTCTACGCGTTCGTTCTGCCTTGTCTGATTTTATACCATGTCCCCCCCATTTCGCTGACAAGATGTGGCTATCCAATATCGTGTCTATTGAAGCCGCGTCGCAATGGTATGATGCACATTTCCGAGCGAACAAAAAAAAGCACTCCTATTCCCGACGGTCTTGAACTGCACACTCGTGTCATCCCCATTCTTTTTTTAAGCCTTGTTTTCTTTTCTTTCATGCTTTGTCTGTAGTATTGTTGTTTTAATGATAAACCAAGCAGATCTAAAAAAGGCCCAATGCGAGGTTTGGTTTGGGGTTGTTTGGTTGGGAAGGGGACTTTATGGAGAGGATTTGATGATAGGTGTGAAGGTAGGTAGGTGAGGCGCAAAGTATTTACTCGTCGGTGGCGTACTTGGCGGAGATGTCCTTCCACTGGCGCTATGTTATCGAGATCAAATAAGAGGAAAAGAAGTAGGTAGGGGTGAGTTAGATGTGTAATTTCGCGTGGTATCAAAGAGGTATTGGGGAGAACGTGTGAAGATAAAAATGATGGAAAGAGAAGTGTGAAGAAGGCAAGCAATTGATGCGGGCCAATTGAGCCATTGAAGCGTATAAGGGAGAGAAGCTGGGGTGGAGGAGGGGTTGGTGAGGTGGAACTAAGGAGGAACTGCGATATCATGAAGCCGTTGGTGGGTGCCGTGTTTTTGATATAGATCGGCAGAAGAGTATTGAGAACGCTTCGATCAATTGAGCGTGTGTCCGTCGTGCCTATTTGTCCTGGCCTCCCATATGAAAACCGTCCGCGTTCCTGAAGGACTGATCGGTCACCTAAGTCTGGCCGTTTATATGCGAGTTGCTCCCGCAAAAGGTCGGTGGGTTGGCGTATTGCATATGTCGTGTTGTCGAGAGTGTCCGATCCGGCAAACAGTTTGGCTGATGCCGTAGTGCTAGTTGCTTGTCCTCCCAGTTCCTGAATCCTCCGTGAGTAGAATGAATCCGAATTTTCCGTGTCTCCTTCCGTTGCAGTTCTGATATAGTTGTTGAAGAGCTCGTATGAACAATAAAAGAGAGAAAGAAGGAAGGAAGACGAAGTAGACGAAGAAGAAGAAGAGAAGAGGAAGAGCGGATAGGCGAAGGAAAGACGTACACCCTTGTTGATGTTATCCCAGATGCGGTCGGAGACAGAGTCAAAGACCATCTCGGCGGCAAAGGCAGAGACGAAGATGGTGGTCAAGAAGATCGAGTTGCGCTTGACGATGGTGTTGTAACCAGCGCGGGCGAACTTGTTGGCGAGGGTGCCGTTGTTGGACTTGACGGGCATGGTGGGTTGATGTGAGGGTGGTGGGGAGAGGAGAGAATGGAGAGAAGGGGAGGTGATGCCGAGATGTGAAAAGGTATCGGAAATTCGAGTTTTTTGCACAGGGTTAGACTGGACTGAGGGCGTGCACACGGCGGGAGAAGGCAGTAGCAAGCAGCGCGACAATCACCGAAAAGGCATCTTTCCGAAATTGTTTTTCTCATTTGTATCATCACCGGATGGGAGAGAATCGTGCGGCTTAACACTACTAGTGCTAGTGTACACTGACCAATCACATCACAGATTGCGGAATAAGAATTTTTTCGCTTGAACAGTGCAGTGCGTGCAAGAGAGTGAGTCGAGAGGTTGAAGAAGGAGAAGGATGCGAGGGTCGGCTTGGATCTTCCTCTTATTCTTGCCTTAAAGATCCCCCCAAAAGGAAGCATCACCTTTACAAAAAAACATACTTATCAAAATGGAGACCCCCCAGATCACCCTCGAGACTTACGTCCCCCGCAAGTGGTAATACCCTTTGTCTCTTTCTCGCCACTCTCAGCGATATTTTCGGGGCTCAGGACATCCAAGGGCGCTTTCTCCTCGAAGGAAAGCAGGATTCAACGAAATAGGGATGAGTGTGAATCCCATGTAGAAACCATCATCAATCATCCTCGGAAAACAACGACCACAAGGAGGAGGATCACAATACCATGGCGGAACTTTGATCCTGCTCTTTTCAAATCCTTCGCAATTTGACATTCACGCCAGTCAGAAGGCGCACATTCAGAACCCTTGGAACTGGATTCTCGCGCAAATATCCTTCTTTTTTTACGGGACTCTCGACAGACCTTATGCCAGACTTGACCAGGATAGACATATGCCCCTTCATGAACGCGTTTTGCGACAAGGGAACTGCGTGACTTGACCCAAGGGCGTTCTACGACCCTGTAGACTAGTCCTATGGCTGCACAATAAGGCCTGGCCACTCGCCCTGGACCTTACTAGACGACCACCTTCAATTGCTTCATGTACTCACAACCCTTCCTCTTTCTCTATCAACTATCAATTAGCTCCGCCACTAACCGCCTCATTGGCGCCAAGGACCACGCTTCCGTCCAGATCAACATCGGAGGTGTTGACGAGAACGGCCGCTACAACGGCTCCTTCACCACCTACGCCCTCTCTGGCTACGTTCGTGCCCAGTCTGAGGCCGATGACTCGATCAACCGCCTCGCCACCAAGGACGGTCGTACGTTTCTCTTTATGTCTCCTGTTCCTCATGCTGCTTCTTAATTGGTCTCTATGATAATGATAGCATGACAATCTAACGTGTTACTCCTCTCTTATTTCTTTATCTCTTTTTTCTTCTAGTCTTGTCCATGGTCTGGAACTACCAGAAGTAAATTGTCTACTTCCCTGACAACCTTGCGCCCACCTTGCCCCCTTATCCCTTGCCCCTAAGGGCTAAGCTCCAAGTGTGAATAATCTCTCTCTTTTTGATTTTGTTGTTTTCTTTGAAGAAAAAACAAACGAAACAACACCTTTTTTCGTTACTTTTTTGCATCCTTTTCACCCCTTTGGTCATTCTCTTGGGACTATTGTGATTATCAGAAACGAGGAAAGATGTGTTGTTTTTTTTGCGTTTTCATGATGAAGCATGACAATAAAAAGAAAAGTCAGTCTTACCAGAGACTCCAAAAACCCCCTACAAAAATAACCCTCCACCTCCTTTGGTTGTTGTTGGTTAAATGTGCCTTTCTTTGACAATGCGGAACGCCAGGTTACTTTACACTTCTCTTCTCACCTTCGCGATTCTATCAACAATGCATGCGCCCACCAACCATACAAGGATCAGGTAGGATAGAAGTAGGGCCAAAGAACCGAGCTTTTGCCGACATATGATGGGCTGCGGTCGGTGATTGGGGTGTCATCGTAGACGAAGATTGGGTTTTGGCTTCCCAAGCAATAATATTGCGCAATAAGAATAAAAAAAAGGTCTGCCCTTGCATCAGGGAAATAAGGCAAGGCCAGATCAAGACCGATTCTGCATAATCGAGGGTATCCACTCTCGAGCCCCAAAGGTTGAGGATTCTCCTCCGAGGGTACTGGTGTTTGGGGTCGTCTGCCTGTTGCTATCCTTGAACGGCATTTGTTGTTGGATGTGAAGGAGTGTTGTGTTGGATCAAGCATCCGATGAGTGAGACTTGGTCAAGAGACATATTTTTCCACCTCTGTCGTTTCATTTGGACCTCGACCGAAGGATGGAGAACAACGAGGCAAATCTTTGTCGTTCATGGAATAAATACGAAACGAAGCGATCTCCTTGCACCCCCGCCTACTCTTCCTTTTTTTTCTATTCTCCTCTCTATCTTTAACAGACACAACACCATGTCAGCGACGAAAATGGACGCAGGGTGCTTTAAGGCCGCATTGCTGATTGTCAACGTAACCCTTCGCGACAGGATCAACCACACCGCACAGATATCTCTCGCCAACGGTAACCATATCGAAGAAAGAAAATAGCAACGACAAACAACGCATCGCCCATCATCTTTCCTTTTCGATACTCATCAGTCGTTTCTGCCTTTTCTTTCTTATCTCTTTGTACTAGATATCCTTTGTGTTGCTACTGGGCTGAGGTGAAGCTCAATCCTTGCGGCAAGCACAAATACAAACAAACAGTCAGCGCAAAAAAAAAGAGTCGATTGTTAACCTCGCATTTGCTTGCTTTTATCTATGGTTGATTCGTAGATCAGCGGCGTTAATCGAACAACTTTATCTCACGCCAAACGATGTCGAACGCATCCAGTCCATATTCCATCACGTAAGAACACACACATCCCTATTAGACAACTCAACCTTCCTGCTTGCTACCCTCTGTCTTCTCCTAAACTTACAACTCTGAACCAACTCATTTTCTCTTTACCCTTCTTCAGGGGATAAGATTCAACCACCTGGACTTGCTAAGCATCGGATCCGATCATATCTTCATCATCCATCGACAACTCCTCCTCCAAGACATCCACGAATACCTCTCTGAATCCGAACAGGGGCTCCACCATGTCTTTATTAACGTCGACTACCTCCTCCCCCAACCCGAGATCGTAAGGCCTCTGTATTCATTATATTTACTATTGCAAAACGGACTCTCCACCGTTATCTCACTTTTAATAACAGCCCCTCCCCCCACCTGTTAACAACCTTTATTATGCCTAGTTACCAGGAAGAAGGTATGAACCGTTGGACAACTACCTGAAGAAGCACCTAATTCCAGATCTGGAGATGAGGATCCGATGCTGGGACCAAGCCGAGCTGCGTTTCTTGCCCCTCCCAGTTCCAGATCACACCAACGACGGTGATACGGCCACGACAACAGCAACAGTCGACACCACACCAGCTACCTCAGAGCTGACACCATGCACCGCGACAACAGCGACGGATGATGATACAGGACTAGGACTGTCGATGGTCACATTATCGGGATGGTTGCTGGGCTACCCTGTCAACTATGTCCTTCCGACGACCGCAAGTATGAAGGCTCGCAAACGTGCAGCCAGGGCTCTCAAGTTGCAGGAACGTGCCTTGTTACGGCAACAGAGACTTGCTGCCAAACTCCTCCGCCACCACGAACAACAGCAACAATACCCCCAGCAGCAGCAGGAGCAGGGTATGGGCGAGGATCAAGTGTTACTAACAGCAACAGTCAGGCACGACAGCACGGATTGCGGTACCTGTGTCGACGACGGGAACATGAGCGACGATGAGGGCGGTCAGCGAGGACAATCGCCCATCGAGGAAGAGTATGAGGACGAAGAAGAAGAGGATAGCAGCCACAATAGCCTCGCAAACAGACTGTTGGTTCTGACACAGGTCAATCTGACAGCAAACGAGGACATCCACGGATTAAACGACTGTTGTCTCTTCTCCTTCAGCTACCCGTCGGTCATCCTGGACCGACGCTCGCTCGCAACCATGGGGACCAAGATTCCTTCGCCAGGTGGTCAGCTACCCACTGCACCAGCGTCTCCTCTCAGGCTCACCGGTATTAACACCAATCCCAAAGCAGATCAAGTGATGAACCCCTTTGAGAGCGGTCTTCTAAACAGCAACAGCAACATTGCACAGTCAAACCCAACAACCATACCAGGAGCTCTCCCTCCCACCCTAGCAGTGGTCCCCTCCATCGTCCCGACACAACAATCTATGTATCTAACCCCACCGTCTACGAATCAACATCACACAAAAAGCCAACACCGCCGACAGTCCAGCAGCAGACACCCCTTCGATACCGCACCCGACAGCGGCGGCAGCGACGACCCTTCCTCTTCGCCCTACAATCACCGCCCTCAAAGTAATACCGCCTATGCACGAGATCGAAATCGCAGCCGAAGTCATAGTCGAAGCCGAAGCCGAAGCCAAAGTCGACATCGAAACTCTTCTCTAGCCCCTTCTCCCTCGGACATTGACCAATACCACTTTCATCGTCCCGAGGAACCTCTCTACCACCACCACCACCACCACCAACATCAGCATCACCTCCTTCATCACCAGCATCACAGGGAGGAATTAGGCAAGAAGAAGGAAGAAGAAGAAAACCGTGGGCCATTACCGCTGGGTCATCCGGAAATATGTGTGGCGGGGCGGTCATTGTTACAGGTGCTGCATTCACGGTTTTTGCGACAGAATGTCTGGAAGACTTGGGAGGTTGGTCAACAGACCGTTACCCTTCCTGTTGTTGCTCTGTGATATATAAAAAAAAAAAAAAAAAGAGCAAGTACGTACGAGCGCAAGTAGAAGAAAGAGAGTAAATAAAGTATGTGGTTTTCTCACTGCATATGATGGGGAGGGATGTATCGGTTTGCTAGCTACAATTTGTTGTTGTGCTTATGCGACAAGGAGGGGGAGGTGTTTGGTGTTTGCGGATGTTGTTGGTGATGGTGTCTGATACTTGTTTGGTTGGTTTAGTATGCTTTTCCTTTTGGTAGTGTATGTGTGTATTGCTTTGCTTTGAGCAGGGTCCTTGCATTGTTGTTGTCCTTGTTGCCTTTTGCTTCCCTTATTTACTTTGCTGTCGTTGTTCGTTGTTCGTTTCGTTATTGAGGCCCTCCTATAGGGCTGGGAAAAAAAAAGAGGGCCAACAGCCAACAGTACCACAGTACCAGATGGATGGCGGAATTTGCTTACACTTTTTGCTCTCACACATGCACCCACGCACACACGCACCCCACGCACACACACACACACAACCTATCAGTCCCCCCCTTGGTTTTGTCGTCTTCCTCTCTCATCATGCAGAGCAGAAACAACGCCATGCTTTATCCTCTGTAATATGAACTTCATATGCTATAGATAGCTGAGCCAAACAAGGGGAGGAACTCGTGGTCAACTTCCTTTGTAAATTGAAATAAAGGCAAAATCGGCTCTCACCACATAGGACTTGTGTTGGGCGGGGTCCGCCCAGTGCAGAAAAAAAAAAAGTGGGTGGGTTTATTTTGGCGCGGGAGAGGGGGAAGCAGGGCCTTGTGCCTTTTTTTTTCCCCAGTCCAAAAAAAAAAAAAGGCAGGACGAGAACGACAGAACCCATATAAAAATAAAAAATAAAAACCAGAGAAAAGGGAATGCAACGAGGAATAGTGAGGATGATCAATAACAAAGATCAAGGACAGGCTAGATCAGATGTCGAGCTCTCTTGAATCGGCGCGAAAGATCAACATGATGATCCTTCCTCCTCCTTCTCACTCACCATCCCTACAAGGTTCGTCATCATCCATTGATTTCAAAGCAACCCATAAAAAAAAAGTCAAACAGGGAGAGACAGCATAATGACTTTCTCGTAGGCATATAGCAAGAATAGTACATACTGTTACTCATAACAATGAACTTATACCCATACTATTGTCATAGGTAGTCATTCCACAAGGTCAAGTAGTAGAGCTAATTTGCAGTTTTAATAATTGTACATGGGGGGTTGTTTGGTTTGGTGTTTGGTGTTGCTTCAAGCCGAAAGGTAAAAAAAGTAGAAACGAAAGGAACAAGAACTTGGTAATAGCGACAGATGCTGAATAGAAGAACAATGGGTGGTTTGAAGACTCCACATGTACTGAAAGGAACGTCCGTGAGAACAGAAAAGAGTGGCCTGGTCATATCCCCTCAACTCCTCGTCATCCTTCCATCCGTCCATCATCGAGATCCTCGTTCTCCTTCCTCTCCTTCGCTTCCTTCCTTCCTTCACTCCCTCCTCGAAAACAACAACCGGTGAGTCGACTAGGACTGGGACCTGGACATCTTGAGAACAAAGACGTTTACTTGACGTTCTTGGGGTTCTCGGCGGCGGTCTTCCAGCGGGCGGCGACCTCCTTGAAGGCCTCCTTGTGGTTGAGGGCAGGCTTCTCAGTCTTGACCTTGGCGAGCTCGGTCTTCATGAACTTGTTGTAGGCGGACAACTTCTTGGCACCACCGGTGGCGGACTTCTTGGTAGACTTTTCCTTGGGCATGTTTGTGTGTGTTTTGGGGGTGGGAGGGAGTTGAGTGTTTGGGGTGAAGAAGAAAAAGAGGAAAAGGGAAAAGAGAAAAAAGAAAAAAGAGGAAAGGAAAAAAAGATTAAGAAGTTAGTGAATGCATCGGTCTTTATTCTGTTGACCTGATGAGTGAGCACAGTATGAGGCGTGTGTGTGGGCCAACCAACCAACCAACCAGACCAGACCAACCAACGGAAAGGGGTAGTCAGACGGGACCGGTTCACAAATTGCGACGCGTCGTTTCGTTTGTTGTTGTTGTTGTTGATGTTGATGATGCTCACAGTGTGTACTGTACTTGTTGTACGACGCAGGGCCACGGGGTTCAGGTATCCCCTCTCACCAAAAAAAATGTGTTTTCGAAAATAAACGAAAATTGAAAATTGGCCAAAAAAAAGGCGAAACGCGCCCTCGAAAAAAACGAAAATGATTGTTTTCGTTGGGGAGTGGAAATAAAAAACAACAAACCGGACGCGTCTTCTGATCCTCCATCGTTCGTTCTCTCAGGTTGATGCTTGCATCGTTGGGGTGTTGATTAACCCCTTTCCCTACTCACCTTTGACCTCATCATCACACCTCCGTCGTTTGGGTAACCATGGTTCAAGTGACCACAGTGATGTGATTGTTTACACCGGGCTAGAGCGGGGGTGGCTCTGCGCCGTGTGATAGGCAGAGCTATTGGTTGGATTGACTCTCACCATCTCTCTCTTACACATGTAGGAAGCCCCTCCTCACCTTCCCCTTCCGTCGAGTGCCTCTGTGACGTCACCCTAATAAAAAAAAATTCACAAAACGCGAAAAAGAAGCTTCTTGTTTTTCATCGCTCAAAAAAACTAAACACGCGGTCAACTTTCTTACACTCTCGTTTACCTTTCTCACCTCTCTTTTCTTCCTCTCCTCTGTATTCCGTTCCCACACTTGCACCCACTCCTCTTTCTTTCTTTTGAAATAGGATATGGTGTGAGATTAGCTGTTTGCTCTTTCTTTCTGCTCGCCCTGGTATTGTGAGTGTGTCCTGCGCGCTTGTGTCATCACTACCCCTTTTTTTTCTTTCGCCGCTTTCAACAAACAGGAAATACAGTGCATTGGTGTCTCATTCAAGAAACGGCTTCCTTCTCTCTCTGTCCACTTTCTACAATGCAAATAAACGAAATTCAAAAAAAAAAGACGATCGATGCCAAAGAACACACTCACATTCAAACAGAAAAAAAAGGTGATACGCATTGGATGTCTCCTTCGAGAAGCATTTATCTTCCTCTCCTCCTTCTCTCTCTCTCTCGTGTTCAACCCTGATATCTGTGCCACATCAAACTACAACAACAACAACAACAACAAAATAACAAGGTCAAGGTCAACGAAGAACGAATACACGCATACGCCAACACCGCGAGAAATGTCTTTTCCTTCATTCTCTCCTTTTCCTTCCCTTCTTTTTTTTCTCTTTTTGTTCTCTCCCCCCCCTTCTCATCTCACCTCATCTACCTCCACTGTCATATCTGCGATACATCAAACATTATAAAACACAAGTCAGCAAACACAGACACAGATGAAACATTCCACACACACTGGACAAATGAGAAATCGAGAACAATGGAATAAAACAAAAATAAAATCACTCAGAAAGTGAACTTTATTCGAAACACTCGAACACACACACGCACACAGATAAAAAAAAAGTACAAGGATGGCATAAACCCTCAATGATGTTTTTAAGGCGCAGGTTTAGGAGAAACTATTATCAAGGAGAAAGGGGAAAAAAGTGAAGAGAGTAGGGCAAGCATTTCTCGCTGTTGAAGGTCGTTGTTTCAATCAAGTAGTGACAAAAGAAAAGCGAAAATAATGGCTAGGGCACATGAACAATCATAGAGATCTGAGAAGAAGTCTTCAATAGAAAATACTAAAATACTATCTAACAAGACGAAAAAAAGAAGGAGAAGGAGACGTGACAGGAAGGGGGCGAGGAGGAGGAGGGGGCGCAGGTGAGTGGCGGATTGTTTCTTGAACCTTCCTAGTTCTACTCCACCGATCGATCCAACAGAAAAGACCTTGAAACTCCACCTCTAATTGGCGCTATACTATATCGATAAAGAAAATCTTCCGATGATACTCTCTTGCATGTGGAAAATAAAAAAAAAAACTAAAGTTGTAAAATTGCTGAGGTCGGTCCCTGATCCACCGAAGAAAAGCTCGGGATGCTAAAACAAAAAAAATGATCCTGACCCAACCTCTCGGCGTTCGATCCACCAATAGTCCTGCTCCGGGTCGCCCGTATGCCCCAGGCCTACTCCCTCCGGCCGGTGCAAGTCGATGGACAGCTTTTCCGGATTGTCCATCGAAATAATGTTCCAAGCACGACGAAGTGATGGTGGGTGATGAAGGCCTCCGGTGGCAAGGGCGGTAAAGAGGTGAGAAGGCGTCAATATACAAATACAATAAAAGAAACAAAAAAAAGAACCTCCAATGACTCGTCCGCAGTCGGACCTGCGGATGAGGAATGGGCAATAGTTCCAGCCGTTCGCGACAAAAAACAGGGAAAGAAAAAAAAAAAAAAAAAAAAGGGCAAAAAAACTTGAAAAGGAGGCCTTGTTGACACTTCTCAAGACTAGTAGAAAAGGAAAAAAAAAAGTCGCACGGCGATTGTTCCTGAGAAGTGAGAAAATATAAAAAATGAAAATTAGCTTGGCGGTGTGTTGCGTTTTACGCAAACCTCGAGGAGCGAGGAAGATCACCTAAATAAATAAGGTTGGTAATATTGTTTTTTCAGGGGTAAAGGAACTGATCAGTGATTTCTTCTTCTCTCGCTGTCTCTGTCTTTGTCTCTGTCTTTGTTTCTGTCTCTGTCTCTTCTGTTCTTTTTTTTGCACGCCGCGATGTCGCCGTTACCTCTGGCTCTTCTGGTGTTTTGAGTTTGCAATTTTCATGAGCACTTCCACACCCTATGTTGATCTCCTCTTCGTACCCATGTAACAAGGTGGAAAGGATGGTCTAACAACCCCCATGTCACATATACTGTTTTGTTCCCACTTTGTTTTTTTTCAACAAAACTCAACAGAACGGATATGCGGGCCGCAATGAATGAAAAAAATAAATGATTCACAACCGCTCAATGCCCATGGATAGACCAATGCATTCCCATATCATATCATCAAAATGCATATCCCTTAGCGATGGCTGAATAGAAGAAAGGAGTCGATGCACAAACATCAGGAACGCGAAACAAACAAAAGGATGGGCAGCGTTCGTCGTAGAGGAGATTGGCAGGAAAAGAGAGAGGAAGGGGATTGCTTGATGACAAGGTGTAGATACGGCGACGAAGAGGTTGGATGGCTCAATGACTACCTGGAAGAAGAGTGTCGAGGGTGCAAAAAGGAGATCGGGAATGACGACAGGGGCATTTAAGCTTTGTTCACTCTCCAACGGGGGAAAGTACCAAATCAGAGGAAAGGGACATGCAAGTGGATACAAAAAAAAAAAAAAAAAAAAACCACCGAACAGCAAAGAGCGGCAGACTGACCAACCGGGCGGGAAGGATAACGGAGTGCTGGTGTGAGTAAGTATTGGAAGGGAAAGAGGGCAAGGGATGTACGTAACCGCACTAAGGATGTTTGAACCAGACTCTTGGCACACGCTCTTCCTTCGTCATCGCCAACCGTGAGATCGCGCATTGAAGAAGGGGAAAGGAAGGGTGGAGAAGGAGAAAGCTCATCGCTTGGGGAGTAATGGAACTTACTTGATCAACATCAAAAAACGACATCTCAATGATCTCTGTCTTCCGCGTTCCAGGACATCGCCGACGTTCCATGAAATAGAAAAATAAACTGCCCGCGCCACGACACGACAAGATCCATGCATTCCGCTCGGAGCGACGAGGTGGAGATCGTGGTAGTTGCGGAGGAGGAGCAGGAAGGAGGAAGGGCAGGACATGGAAAAAAGAAAAAAGATAAAAAAACGAACAACATAGAGAACGTGGATGCTGCTATCTCGTTGGGGAGGACAGGTGTTGTTGGTATTTGAGGCCAACATGCCACGCGTGCGCGCCTTTGGGTAGTTGGATAGTGGACGAGGGGAAGGAGGTGTTGATAGAAAGGAAGAAGACGAGGAGGGGGTTTTGCATGGAAATAGAGGAGGGGGGGAAGAGTAGTTTCGTGAAGGTGGGGCGACCTCTCTCCCTCTTCTCACGACCCTATGCTCTCGTCGCCCTAGGGACGGGAGGAGACTGACGAAGATGGAGGACAGAGCAGAGAAGGGAGAAGTGAGATTTTGGAGAGGGAAGAAGAGGACTGATGAAAGGAAGAGAAGAGAGGGGAAAAAAAAATATGGGGCATGGTGTCCTCTTTTTTATAGGCTCTTATATTCGACGAGAAAGGGTCAAATATAAAAAAATTCAGAATACGTAGACCAACGACCCCCGGAAAGTGGGAATACTATAGCCTTGATAGGATTAGTCCTAGAACCAAAAGTCCTTTTGGTGCCAAGGGTGTCCAGGAAAGGAAGAATGCCAAGAGGCCGACTCAACGAGAGTCAATGACAAGGGGCGGAGTAAATGATAGGATGGGATGGAGAGAGATAACGCACCAATTATATGGCATCGACAACGGCCAATTTATCTACTCTATTTATCTATTTCATTTGACGCCAAAAAAACGAGACCGTACTTTGACTAGATGTAGTCTAATACTGGTGTCGCACCCTTTTGACTTGATCTCTGGTGCAATACCACAATAACAGGACTCTCATTTATCGTAAGCATTGACGTTTAGTTCAAGAAATTTCTTTTTTTTGAACGTGTCGTCAACGACGACACGTTCACCCAACTCAATGTACACGTGACATCTTCCCGACACAAGGTCATCCTTGTCCTCTTGTGCTCGACTTTTTCTTTCTCACAACACTCGCCATCCCAGGACAGGACACGTCGCAATCCAAAGACGCACCAAAAACAAACGCCAAGACAACCAGTCACCCCTTCGTCTTTTCTCATCCCAACACAAGAAACCTCTGGATTAGCAATCAACAACTCTCCTTCCCTCCGCCTACCTCTTTCATTCCTTCCTTCCCTCCTTCCTTCCTTCCTTCACGCTTACTCTTCACGGCACTCACCCACAGCACCCTACACCAACACCCCGACGACATACGATGCTCGGGCTCGTGTTTCTGCTTCTAAGCTGCGTGGTCGCAGTCCAGACCAAGCCCAAACAAGAAACCTTTGTCCCCTTCTTGACCACCCAACGCAAAAATATAGTCTCCTCAGGATCCTCCTCTCCAGCAACAACTTCTTCGTCTTCAGCGAATAATGTCTCGGGATGGTTCACACGGAATATCTTGCAACCCCTGACAGGTGGACCTCGTATCCCTGAACACACTATCACGGACTATTTCTTTTTCCAGATGGCAACTCTGAACGATGGCTCGGGATCGTACATTGGATTGTTCAGTCAGTGGTTTGTCCTATCGGAACTGCGGGAAGTCTCTGAGAAGGATGGACCGACTATTGGTAGAAGCAGTGGTGGTAGAACAAGAAGTGAAAATGTGTATGAGGGACAAGCAGAGGCACATAAGCAGAACGCCATCCAGGCCAAAGGCAAGCGTGATTGTAAGTTCACTTTCGCCCATTGAAGATATTTTTACGCTTGATATTGCCCTTGTCCACGTCTTGGATCTGTGATCTCATCTGACAACTTTTTGTATTTTTTTTTGCGTCATTGGTAGACCATGGCGCAGCGAGGGCGTATGTCGAGGCGGCCAAGTCGTACGAGAAGAGTGGCTCAGACTTCAATATGATGGAAGCTGCAGGAGCATATGAAGATGCCTTCAAAGCCTACAACATGGTTCAGCAGACAGGTACCCAAGGCTTTTCTCACTCGTCCATTGCACAGCCTAAATTGAACAATGACAAGTCACGTTGTCTATTTTCGACTTTGTAACCCAACCTTGCATTATGTTATTTAGGACCTGGAATTCAGTGTCTAGAGAATGCTGCAAGATTGTTCAGGAAGAATGAGCGTGGAGGATCGAGGGCAGCCAAGATCTACACTCAACTTGGGGACCTTGTAAAGACTCAGGATACCAAAAAGGCTGTAGAGATGTACCGTGAATCCGCAGAGCTGTACAAGAGCGAAGGGGATGGGTAACGTCATTTTTTTTTGTTAAGCCTATATGAGCTCACATATCTAAATGATTCCACTTTTATATCTTGCTTGTTCTAACTATTTCCACCTCTTCATCGTTGAACTTATGCTTCTTTAGACGTGCATTGCATGCGACGATCAAGCTGACAGAATTGCTGTGCGTGTTGCAACAGTTCCAACAGGCCTACAACCACTACAACGACACCATCATCCCCGAAACTATGTCTCAAGAGATCCTTCAGTACACGGCCCGGGACCATATCGTGAACGCTATCCTGGCACACCTGGGTGCTACAAATTCAGACTGGATTATGCTGGCGAGTGATCTGACTAGGTTTGAGGAGTTGTGCCCGGATTTCCGTGGTTCGGCAGGATGCAAGGCGTTACAGGCGCTGGCGGACGCAGAGTGGGAACGCGACCCTCAGGCGTTCCAGGGGGCCTGCCAGGCTATGAATCGGTTGAGGACTGGCGGGATGCCGGATTGGCAGGTGGGGCTTTTGTTGGCCGAGAAGAAGAAGTTGGAGGGTGGAGACCTGTTGTAAAATAAAAATACTGTTTCGCTGTATTTGATGAATGAAGAGTAGGGCAAGGAACATAATATATCATTGGTTGAAATGACTCCCCGGGTTTATCCATTATTCTTTTCACCTCATCCCCTTGGCTCTCTTTCTCTAATTTCACTCCCTCGCTGTCATTCTTCATTCAGGGACTAAAACTTTAGTAGGTTTAAACACAGGCCCGAAGGATAACGCAATCGTCATTTCTCCATATTTTTTGTCTGTGAGGTGGACAGAGAACGCCTATTTTGGAAGAGGATACAAACACACACAGAGTCTACAAACAAACAAATGGTACCGGGTGAGTTGTCAGTATGATGGCATCGTTTGTTTTCTTTTACTTGCAAAGTGCAGATGTGCGCCTCAAAGGGTCATTATGTTGATTGTTTTCTGTCCACCGGGGAGGGAGGGAGGGAGGAAGAAACGAAAGGAGGGAGGGAAGGAAGGAAGGCACATAAACAGGAACTGAATGATGGCTAGTGCCACGGACGGTGCACAGTGACGGCAGGTGCTTGTCATTAAAGTCAACTATAATGTCGGAAGATCTTTCGGTGCTCCCCCCCACTCTCTGATCGTTGGAAGAACCATTCGCTCCCTTTTAATATGTTCTCACGCAGACGGAACATCCCTCTAGGTGTGCAAGAAAAAGGGTGAATGGAATGGCATTCGTTCCTGAGGAGTGGTGTGTTGTGTGTTTGTTTATCTCCGAGGTGTCGTTTGTTTATTGTTGTGCTTTGTTGCGAGGTTTGGCGAAGAGTATCTGTGATGATGAGGACATGATGGGTACGATAGGATGAGGTGAGAAAGTAGATGAGCGCATATTCGCTGGGTTATTTTTGGGCTGAATGGCGATGCTGTTATCGTTGTTGTTAGATGGTCCCACAAGCACGGGCGACTTGAGCTTCTGCACCTCGTTTCTTACTTTTCTTTGGCAGTGTTAAGAAGGGAGGCGAATGCTTGGACGCGAGATTTCCTGAGCGTATCTAGGTAGTGATCAAAATGGACGCATTTGATTAGTAGGAGTGAGACAAGAGGATGGTGGCCCCCCCACAAATCCACCAGTACGTGTGTGCGGCTTGAGTGCGAAGTATGAGTGTCCGACCTGGGGTTTCGTTCTGTGGCTACGAAAGGAAAGGAAGTGTCCATGTATACAATCGTCGTGTGTGTACCTTTCAAGTCCGAGAGACACTCTATTCCTCTATTCGGTCATTCAATCCAAAACGGAAAAAGAAAGAGGGGCCAGTGCACCATTTTGAAATGTGGTCAGTCCAATCATACAACAGTGTCCACATGCCATCATCGCACGGAGGGGGAGCGCTATTCTTTTGTCCACTTATTCGTCCTCGCTCTTTATCTTCTTCCCTCCTCACCTTTATCACAACACACGCACACATACACACTCATAAACATACACCCGATCATCGCAAGATACCATCGTTTTTAAAGGAAGTTTACCCATTTGTAGCACTCGGACACTCAGGGTATGTCATCACTCTTTTTTTCCGTTGTTAAAAGAAATCCACTTATTTCTTCTCCTTCGACCCTTCTTCAATTCTTACATCTCAAGCTTCCTTCTTTCTCACACACCCTTTTCTCCCCTCTCACTCTTTTACCCCACCTTACTCCATTTTACCCTACCGCAAGCAACAACAGAACACTCACACACAGCGATAACAACAACAACAGCAACCAGAGCCCACTACTGCGATCTCGAACAAGCATCCCAGGAGAGGAACGCATCATTGACATTGTAAGCACGGCCTCCTAATTTTTCAAAACCTCCTCATAGGCAGCATGCATCCTATGCATCGATGGGAGCATTCCCTTTCCCGCCCTCTTTTTCTGTGAAAAGATGCCAGAACTCCCACGAATTGACAGTGTGTGTGTGCGTTGTTGCGTTGTTGTTTGTTATTAGTTTTCTCTGAGTGCGCATGTTTTAGTGATGGATGTCATTGGTTGCGGGTGAATTGTCCTGCCGCGTCTCTTCTTATTCGCTTGCACTCTTCATCAGCTCAAACATGTATGCGCGGTTAAGCACAAAGGAATAACTCATCCTCTCACTCTTGTCCTTTACTTTCTTTTTTCTCTACCCCCCTCTACAACAGAAGAACGTCGTTATACCAAAGAGCCATAGACAGCTAGACAAGACGACGACGAACATGGCTGACAAGACTGGGATTGTCGACACAAACGATAACCAGCAGGGTCACCCTGGTAAGCTATCGCTTCAACGTCTACATCTCATGGACGATATCAATGCCGGGGATTCACCACCCAAATGTTACGAAGGGACCAGCTTCTCTCTTTCTCTATATCTTTGTGCAAGTGTCGTTCATGCAACCACTTCCACTCCTCCCCCCCCCCATCCGTGAGCGTAGTAACGTGAGCATGAAAAACTCGATGATGTTGGATAAAGAACTGTACTGACTAAACCCTTCCTCTCCTCTCCTACCTTTTCCCCTGCTTTTCGGGTTACTCTCCTCTTTGTTTGTTGCGCTCACTCACAACCCCGTTCTCCTTTTTGGCTTATACTCCCTGCTACTGATACTTGGCCCTGCCCCCTTTTCTTGTGGACCTATTTATGTGTACTGGCTACCCTTTTTATTTATCGCCACTGCCCGGTACGATTTTGTCTGTGGATAACTCTTGTTATTGCACTACTTCAGCCCACGGCCAACCCACTCAATCGCCCACTGCGACTTCAACAACAGCCGCGTCGACAACAGCCGCGGCGCCTCCTCCGACCGAAGAGATCAAAGGCGGCGTCAGTGGTGGCGGTCTCCCTTCGCCTCAACAGCAGTATCAGCACGGAAGCTATTCCAATGGCAATTCCAATGGCAAGACAAAGGGGAAGGACTTGCAGGTGGAAGAGACTGAGCACCACGAACACAAGGACGAGATTTCACCCGAGCTCGAGGCCTTTTTGCACACAGACCCGATGCACGGACTAGACGATGAAGAAGTCCAGAAAAGGCTGGAGAACTTTGGACCCAACTCGTTCAAAGAGAGCAAGAAAAACCCGATCCTCAAGTTCCTAGGATACTTTACGGGTGCGATTGCATACCTCATTGAGGTTGCATGTATCATCTCTGCCGTTGTCGGGGTAAATATGCGCGTTGTCGTGTTTTAGTTTCCATTGCACTGGGCGATTTGTTTGTTTGTTTGTTTGTTTGTTTATTTGTTTGTTTGTTTTTTTGTGTTTGTTGTTTATCATGGATAGAGTTGGGAATTGAATTCATGCATAGCTCTTGTATGACCGTTGGAACCAACAACAACACCAACCAATTGCCACTGTGTAACCACGTTTTTTTTTGTGTTCTGGGCGCGCCTTTTTTTTCTCATGATAGGATTGGCTGGACTTTGGTATTATCCTTGCCCTGTTACTCGTCAACGCCTGTATCGGATTCATCGAGGAGGCCAAGGCGGAATCAGCCCTCGACGCCCTCCGACAGACGCTCGCGCTCAAGACACGTTGCTGGCGTAATGGCCATCTAGTCGAGCTCGACACCAGTGCCCTCGTCCCTGGAGATGTGATTGTCCTGCGCCTTGGTGACATTATCCCTGCCGACGGTCGACTCCTGGGCATTGGCGTTACGGGTGAGGCGACTGAGGGCGATCTCTTGATTGACCAGTCTGCCCTCACGGGCGAGTCCCTCCCTGTGGGCAAGAAGAAGGGTGATGTTGTCTACTCGTCTTCGATTGTCAAGCAGGGTCAGCAGATGGCTGTTGTGACCAAGACTGGTATCAACACCTTCATCGGGCGTGCTGCCAACCTTATCTCGATCACCGCCGAGGAGGGTCACTTCCAGAAGATCATCAACCGGATCGGCAACTTTTTGATCCTCATTACCGTCGTCCTTGTGGGTATCATCCTCATCTACCAGCTGGTTCATTTCCATGGTACAGATGAGGGCAAGTTCTTAACCGTCCTCGGTAAAGTCCTCGTCCTCACTGTCGCCGCCATCCCTGTCGGTCTTCCTACCGTCATGTCCGTCACCATGGCCATCGGTGCCAAACAGCTCGCCGCCAAGCAGGTCATTGTCAAGCGTCTGACAGCTGTCGAAGAGATGGCCTCCGTCTCGGTCCTGTGCTCTGACAAGACTGGTACCCTGACCCTTAACGAGCTGACATTCGACGAGCCCTACCTTGCCAACAACTATTCTGCCGAAGATATCCTCCTTTACTCGTACCTTGCTGCTGAGCCCGGTGCCAACGATCCTATCGAGCTCGCTGTCCGTACTGCTGCCGAGGAACAATTGCCGCTCCTCCAGAACCGTACCCACAAGCATGATGTCCCTGGATTCAAGGTGACTTCTTTCTTGCCCTTCAACCCTGCGACCAAACTGACCCAGGCTACGATCAACAACAAAGAGTCTGGCGAGACGTTCAAGGTTGCCAAGGGTGCACCACAGGTCATTATCAAGCTCGTAGGAGGAGATGATGATGCTGTCCGTGCTGTCAATGCGATGGCCAAGCGTGGTCTTCGTGCCCTCGGTGTTGCTCGCACCCACGGCGAATCGATGGATGAGTTTGAGCTCATTGGTATGATCGCGTTGATTGACCCCCCGCGCCCTGACTCTGCAGATACCATTGCTCGGTGCAAGCATATGGGGGTCGATGTCAAGATGGTCACCGGAGACCAGCTGATCATTGCCAAGGAAGTGGCGCATCGTCTCGGCCTCACCCGTGTCATCCTCGATGCCAATCACCTGGTCGATCCCAACAAGTCTGACGAGGAGGTCACCGAGCACTGTATCCGAGCCGATGGGTTCGCTCAGGTCATCCCCGAGCACAAGTACCGTGTCGTCGAGTTGCTCCAGAAGCGTGGCATCATTGTCGGAATGACGGGCGATGGAGTCAACGATGCCCCCGCGCTCAAGAAGGCCAATGTCGGAATTGCGGTCCATGGATGCACAGATGCGGCTCGATCCGCCGCGGATATTGTGTTGCTTGCCCCGGGACTGTCGACGATTGTGGATGGTTTGATGACCTCGAGAGCGATCTTCCAGAGGATGCGGTCGTATGCATTGTACAGAATCACGTCGACGATCCATTTCTTGATGTTCTTCTTTGTCGTCGTCATGGCCTTTGACTGGAGCCTTCCTGCCCATTTGCTTATCTTGATCTGCATCCTCAACGATCTCGCGACCCTTGTTATTGCCGTCGACAATGCCCAGGTACCTTTCTTGTTTATTGTCGCACGAAAGGGGATTTTTATGCCATCAAACACTTAATGACCGTTGCACTAACACTTTGGTTTTCCTCGGAATGTAACAATAGCTGTCACCACACCCAGACAAGTGGAGAATTGGACAACTGATCTTCATGTCCTTCACCCTCGCCATCTTCCTCTGCGCCCTTTCCTTTGCCCATTTCTTCATCTTCTGGAAAGTTTTCGGCTACGAACCCGTAACAACCCCCGGCGACGGACCCGAACACCGTCTCGAATCCGTCATGTACCTTCACATCTCCTCCGCACCTCATTTCGTCATTTTCTCGACCCGTCTCACAGGCTACTTCTGGGTCAACCTGCCCTCGCCCTTGTTTGCGACGGTGATTATCGGCACGCAGATTATTGCGCTCTTGATGGTTGTCTTTGGAGGGTTGACGCCTAAGATCCCATTCTCGCAGGCGATTGTGATCCTCCTGATCTCGTTCGCCTATTTCATTTTCTTGGATGCGATCAAGGTCCAGATGTTCAAGATGTGGTCGTTCGAATTGACGGCACAGTTTGTGAGAACTCCCGCGAGGAGGAAGAAGCTCGCAGAGCGGAGGGCTCGGAAGAAGCAGCAGGAGGCTGTATGGAAGGATATTGACAAGATCCGTGAGATTGTGTTGAAGTTGAAGTGTCTCGAGGCTTTGAATGAGCAACCCCGAGAGGAAGGGCAGACGGCGGAGTATCCTCAGGAACAAAAGGGAGAGAAGGCGGAGATTGGCGAGATGGAGGAGATTAGGGCTCTTGCGAATCAAGGTGGTGCTGGTGGGAGTGGAAGTGGGACCATCGCAGATGTGAACGAGAAGGACGAGTATGTTAAGGGGGAGGACAATTTGCGTAACGCGTGAGGATTTCTCTTTGCTTAGTTATCTCTTTTCTCTTTTCTCTTTTCCCATTTTCTTCTTTGGACATATATTATTTTCCATTCTCCAATCGTAATCTACCTTTTAGTTAACTACCTTTTCTGCTTGTTCTTTTGTTTATTAAAAAATGTACGATCCTTTCGCGACCAACGACGAACGCGTTTATGTGTGAAGATGGATACGATAGGACGAAGAGGAAGAAGGGGCGCAAGCGCGCTCAGGGAGCGAGAGCTTTGCCATTTGCCACCAATGAACCGTGCATCAATATTTTGATCTGCCCCTCATTGATCACGAATATAGATGCCAAGTTAACTGGGTTTCGCGCGCGTTTTTTCTTTTCTTTTGAGGTCTCTTTCGCTTTGGAGGTGCATGCATGCATGCATGCATGAATGAATGAATGAACCTGTGGCTTGTCTGACAGTTGTGTCTGTTTGTCGGCATATCTGATTCTGTCCTGTCTGAGGATCATACCATGGCATTCGGCCTATCCCTTGAAAAGTAGAGTGAGGGGAGGAAGAAAGAGAGGATGGTATGGCATGGAGGGAGGGCAGGTAAACCCCCGGCTGGTAATTCGAAGTGTAGTGACAAGAAAAATGCTCCATGCGATCCTTCTCCTTGCGGGCGGACAGAAAATTTTCAAAGGGGAGAGTAAAGGAGGAAGGAAGGGGGGAGGGGACAATGTGAGTTCGGTAGGTAGAGTTGACGTTAAGCACATAGACGGCCACGGGCCTGGATGCCGACGAGAGAAAGACGAACATTCGCGATAGCGCAAAGGTGGGAAGAGGAGGCGCGGACACGGTGTGGAAGACGTGCTAAAGACAACGCTTTTCCTATTCTCCCCCTTGCAGAAAACAAATTGGCCTGTTGAAGGGATAAAGATGGTAGGGCACGGACATGTCGAGGGGGAATGGAGAGGACAACGATCCCTCCTTCATGCATGGCTGCTTCGATAGACGGACTGTTGTCGTTGTAAATGAAGTATGCGTGCCATGTCCCCTTTTACCTTTTGCTTGAGAGTATTTTTCAACACCTGAAGAACCGCCAAGAAGCATCTACTGTACACGAGAAAGAGGCAGGGAAGATTGGACAGGTAGGCCCCGAAACCCTCGCTCTTCCTATCCGGCGACAGTGATAACCTCTCTCTACCTCCTTCCACTTCTTTCACTTTCCCCTCGACTTCACTCCCTCCCTCTCATCATTCTCCTGACATCCGTCTCTCGTTTTTTAGTAGTGATCCGTGTTATTGTATCGTCCAACGCTGTCCGTCTTTCTTCGACCAGAGCGGCGAGATCCTTGAGGGTTGTGGATGACCGACGGAGGACGTATTTTCTGTTTTCATTCGTGGCCATGTCTACAAGTCTTTGTTCTTGTTCATCCTCACTCTTCTTTGTCTCTTTCACCCGTTCTCTCTTTTCCACACTGCGGAACCCAAAAATAAATCAACAACACACAGACAGGGCGGTGTCAGATTTCAGGTCCCGTCAGGAACCCACACCGAGTTCTTCATTCAAGCTTAACTAGCGGCTAACCAGGTAAGCCCTTTCAGGCTCATTAATGACCATCGCCACTTTATTTCTTCTTTCCTTTAACTTCTCGTCTTCTTCTCCCTTTCCTCAGCTTATCATTACTCCTAACCCCTCCTCTTTCTACTCCTTCATCACCCCTGCACGATCCACTATCTGGAACTGTTTGAAAGTGTGTGAAATAAGGGAGAGGGACATATACATACACTACATCTGTACATACCGACATGGTGTCTCATTCTTGTCTGTCGTTCTTCAGTCAATTGAAAGAGAGAGAGGATGATACAGATAACAGCCAACAGTTTCAAGGAATGAACCCTTCTTTTCTTTCTTGTCTCCTTCCTAATCTCGCTGCCTTATTCCTTCCTTCTTTCATTTCCATTCCTTCTCACCTCCTCCACACCTTCTTTTCAATTCTCTTCTTCCTTCCTTCCTTCTTTAATTTTGTTGTCATCCTCCGACACGTTTTTTCCTTCTTTTCATTCACTTTTCTCTACTTCGTCATCTCCTTCGCTCTCAGATAATAAACCCTCAGGGAAAACACCAACAAATTCTCACATTCATAGCCTGTCTTGTGAAGACCTTAATCTAAAACAAAACAACAGCATAGTAAGCAAAGAAGCCAAAGCCCAACGCCCATCTTTCTTTCCTTTCCTTCACAGACACAGACACAGACACAGACACAGACACAGACACAGACACAGACACAGACACAGACACAGACACAGACACAGACACAGACACAGACACAGACACAGACACAGACACAGACACAGACACAGACACAGACACAGACGCGCGCACTGTTCACCGCTCACTTAGTAGTAGCCTGATCACAGACAGTCGCGCTCTCTCGCTCTTTTTTTTTCCCTGTTTCTTGTCCGCCCTCCTCCTCCCACACACCTGTAATTTTCTTTGCATTACACTGACATTGAACACTTCGCCTGCCTTCTACTCCAATCACCTCGCTTCCTCTCCGCTCCCTTTTCTCTCTCACTTTAAACACCACCACAAACACTCCTCACTCCTTCAACCCATCGCGCTATACTCATTTGCCTTCGCCCATCCAACACACACATTGTATGTCCATGGTCCAAGGCCCATAATACATGCGCCTCTCCTGCACATCCCATTCTCAACCATTTTTGTATATTATACTTCGGCCTTTTTCAACAGTTGGCAATGCACCACACCGGATCCCCTCTTTGCTTCTGTTTCTTGCCTGCACGCGCACCCTCCCTCTTTCTGTCCCTCTCTCCTTCCATCTGTCTCAATGTAACACATGCAACTTTGCCCTGTCTCCTTATAATTTTTGTTCTCTCTCTGTCTTCCTTCTGCCTCTTTTGGTTCATCCCTTAGTGTGTGTCCCTTAAATGCGTACCAGTCTGTGTGCTTCTTGTTCTTTTATTCTTTGTTTGTAGGACGATGGGGCCAGATCCTGGTTACGGAGTTATCCTGGGGGGAAGAAAGGAAAGTGACCGACCGTGTACGATTTGGAGGAAAGGGGGGAGTGGGAAGTGAGACCTTGCTAAATGCCGGACCAAAACTTTTTTTTTTTGCTACAAGACACGAATCTATGGGCGTTTCCTTCCATCTCCTATACCTCGGTGCGATGGATGTGTTGGACGTTAGTCCATGTATAACAGGAGTTGGGAGGAAGGGGGGGTGGGGGGTATAGTCATTCTACGGTGATAACAAGAGAGGGCAGAGTACCATTAGGATGATACAGCATAGGCTATTATTTTTGTTCATGGGTAATCTGGATTGGAGAAGGTTCAAGCGGTGTTGTTGTATGTGGGTTATTGTATGTTTATCTATTTATACACATGTCATAGGTGTGGGCACAAAATGTCTCGCTCAACGCATTGTGTTTCTGTAGGACGACGACAAACGATGTCTTTTATCTCTTTTGGTTTAAAAATATCCTTTGTCATGTCCGAGGTTTTTTTTATGTGCCTTGTGGGACAACAAACATGGGAGGACAAGGAAGGAAAAAGTGGCATGTGGTGATGGGTGGACAGGGAGAACAAAGGAAAAGGGTTTGTGTTCGCCATTGTCAACTTGATCACTCCTCCAGTCCTCATTGAACACTGATGATTGATAAAGGGTATCTAAAAGCGGAGCCAAAGGAATCAAAGGTGTTCAGGGCGCATGGCACGAGTGATGAGTGATGAGTGATCAAATTGTGGCGTGGAATTGGGCAACGTTTTATTTATACCCAGAAGATATGCCCAATGGGTAAAATGACATGCAGCAACTACAACAATAACAAAACATTCAAATAACAACAAGGTCTCTGGGGGGGAAGGCAAAAAACTTATTTTTGTGCATTGTGTGTTGATGTCTTTGTCTGAGTGCCGTGTCGGTTGATCTGCATGGACCGCATTGAATGGATAGGGTGACCAGATAGACCGACGGGGAGAGACAGAGAGAAGGAGAGAGGGAGGGATGGGGTGCCGATAGGAAAAAAGGCGTCGTTCTGTTTTCATGTGTCGTCGATATTTCCATTGCACTTCTTCATGTTCTGGTTCCCCTTCTTTTAAAAGTCCTTTGTTTGATTCACTTTCGTTCTTTTTGTTTCTTTTCACCTTCTCTTTCTTCTCCTTTATCCGCTTCTTTTCTCTTATCCTTCCCTCTCCTTTACTCTCTCACTCGCCTGTCCTTGCATCTCTCATACCCCCTCATTCTCATACATTTACATTCATTCATTCTTTTCATTCATTCATTCATTCATTCATTCATTCATTCATTAACGTCCCCTCCTTACTTCTGATCACACCTCTGTTTGTACCTGATCACTCATTTATATTATTGGGTATGTCTCTCAGGCCACAACAACACCCACACCCTTTCCTCACCCGACTACACTCTTTTTTTTTTATTTATTCCGTTTCTTCCTTCAGAGCCCAATTCAATGACTATCACTTTCATTTCTTTCCTTGTCACAAACAAAGAAAGAAAGTGGGAGGCAAAGGGTGATCTGATTCGTACATTCGCACTCTGCATAGCTGTCGTTGCGATGACCGCTTTCAGGGGAATAGAGAGTGGGGCCATCATTCATCATTACCTGCCAAAAAAGACAATAGAGTGTTCTTTTCACAAGTGGACGAATAGGAGGGCTACCTATTGCACACACCAGCTTCCTCCACCCAATACAACAACGACAACAAAGGCCATGCCCTTCGAACACAGCAACAACCACTTCTACTGTTGCTCCACAACAAGGACAAACAACATATAAAACACATCATCACCCTTCGTACCCCTCTCACTCCCTCATATCCAGTCCTTGCTAGAAAAGAACATGCAACTAATATATCGCTTCTCTGTTCTATATCTTCGCCTCTTTGTACTCTTTTTTTGGTGCAATTGCATCGCCATCCCTTGCCATACCTTCCTCCTCATAATAGATCCTCCTCAGTCTTTCTGTGCCTCTCTCGGTCCTACCTATTCTTCGTTGTTTACTTCTTGACACAGCCGTACGCCCACCACTCAATCCTTCGTTTCGCCAGTGCCTGGGGATTTGCAAACAAAAAGAAAAAGGAGCGTCTTCACTAACTGGAAAATCTAATACCCCATATTCTCCCGTTTCCTATCATTTTCCACCTGTCTCCCACCTTCTCCACAACCACGCTCCTTTCATTCTTCCGTGAACAATAGTAATCTTCCTTCCTTCGCATCGATAAAATAACAACAACGAGCAGAGGCGACACAAACAACACCATATACTTTCTGCCGCTAAAGAACTCGCCCCTTTCACCTCACCCCCTTCGTCCCTAAACGATGGATCCTCAACAACAACAGCAGGATCTGTCGAGGTTGCCCCACCCAACGGAGGACAACCTCACCGCCATCCTTTCAAATCGGTTCCAGCAAGGCCAGTACTACACCCGGATCGCCTCCTCGGTGGTTGTCCAGGTCAACCCTTACTTTCCCGGCAGAATTGAACTCTCCGAGACGAATCTCCAGGACCAGGTCTTGACCTACAAGGATGGCGCACGCTTGAACTCTACTAACAACAACAACACATCATCACAGAGCAGCGAAGCAGCGACGAGGATAGCGGCGTCTCCACAGGCGATTGAGTTGGCCACGAGCGCCTACCTGCATATGCGGAGAACTGGTCAGGATCAGTCCATTATCACCAGGTACGAAAAACATGCAACAACCAAGCCTTTCTTCTTTTCACGCCCCATCTTTTCTATTCCCCTTTCCCACTTGCCAAATGGTCACGACACCATACTTTTTTTTCTTTTTTTGCAACCCCTCGTGTGTTTGCCCCATTGTGATCGATACTGTTCTTCATCATGGATAAATCAACCAGCTGTTTTGTCTCTGTCTCCATCCCCCCTGGCACTTCCTTCTGTTACCTTTCACTTCATCTCCTTTTCATCATCATCCCAGGGCAAGAGATTGTTGTTGTTCTTTGTGTGTTCCATGGTCCGACCGAGCGGTTTGTTTGGTCCCATCCCACCAATCAATAGCAATGAAAAAGAGGAAAAAGGAAATAAGAGAGCGGAGGCATTGGTGGGGATGAAGTTATATGAAACGCGGTTGTGGTTTGAAGTCCATCAGTCAATCATGGTGCTCCCCATGTTCTTAAGGTTTAAATTGATTTCAGGAACATTCAGCCGAAACGGGGTCCACTCGAGGAGAGAGCAAGAGGAAAAAGATGAGGTACTCCTCGCAACAGTGCATCATGGGTGTGGTGTGGTGCGGGTACCCTGCTCTGTTACATTGGGCTATTTTTCCGCATGGCCCTTCTTTTGTTTTAATTTACCATATGAAAAAGATCAATTGATGTCCATGCACTCACTATTTTTTCCTATCTCGCTTTCGTAATAGTGGTCAGAGTGGAAGTGGAAAGACAGAGGGCGCCCGGCAGGTTATCCGCCAGTTGCTGGCGCTGAGCAGCGCACCCAAGAAGGAGGCCAGGGTCCAGAACCAGATCACCTCGGCTGGTCTCATCATGGAGGCCTTTGGCCACGCCAAGACCAGCCTCAACGACAACGCCTCCCGTCTTGGTCGATTCACAGAACTCCAGTTCAACGAGCGTGGTCGCCTGGTCGGAGCAAAGATGCTGGATTATTTCCTGGAGAAGAAGAGGATCAGTCGCTCGGCATTGACCCCGGACGAGCGCAACTTTCACATCTTTTACCAACTCTTGGCTGGCGCTACTGTCGAGGAAAAGACTCACCTCCGCTTGAACGAGGGCATGGCCTTCCACTACCTCTCCCCGGCTTCGCTCAACAGGAACAGGACCCTCTCGGGCATGGATGATGCACTGGAGTTTGGAAAGCTCAAGAACGCACTCAAGGTTCTTGGGTTCCAAAAGAAGCAAGTCGCTCAGATCTTCCAGCTCTTGGCAGCAGTCTTGCACCTCGGCAACCTCACGTTCGAGGAAGACACCAGTCATGCCAACGACGCTTGTGTGGTCCGGAATGTCGACAACTTGATCTTTGTGGCCGATATCCTTGGAGTTGATCCCAACGCACTCCAGAACACCCTTACCTACAAGACCAAGCTGATCAAGAAGGAGTTGTGCTCGGTCTTTTTGGATGTCCAGGGTGCCGAGGCCCAGAGGGACGAATTGTCCCAGGCGCTTTACTCGCTTCTCTTTTCATGGATGGTCGAGTTCTTTAACGTCAAGCTCTGCGACGAGACGCCCGCCAACTTTATCGGAGTGGTCGACATGTTTGGATTCCAGCAGTTCACCGTCAACGGTCTGGATCAGTTCTGTGTCAACTATGCCAACGAGCGTCTTCACCAGTTCTTCCTGAACCGTGTCTTTGAGGCTGATCAGGCTGACTTTGAGCTCGAGGGCATCTCTGAATCGATCCCCAGGATTAACTTTTTCGACAATTCGGCCTGCCTTCAGATGCTTGGACAGGAGAGCAACGACAGCAACGACGAGGAGGGTCTGATTGGCATCATGTCTAGCCAGTCGAGACACTTGAGTCGCAAGACCGATGCGACTATGCTCGAGGCCTTCTCAAAGCAGTATTCGCGCCATGATTCCTTGACGGTTACTCGCAACATGAACGTCTTCCCCTCGTTCACTGTCCAGCATTACTTGGCTCCTGTGACCTACAGAGTCGAGGGATGGTTGGAGCAGAACGTCGACAACCTGAGCTCTGACTTTGTGACGCTTTTCCGTGGCGGTCCCGGTGTGTCGCCCAGCATGAACCCCTTTGTCCAAGGTCTGTTCACCGACAAGGCCTTGACTACCGAATCCCACCCTCGCAACAACAACACCATCGTTGCCGCTCAGGTACAATTTCAATTTCTTTTTTTATATTTGTTTAGTGATCCATGGACTCAAAAGTATTTTGTAACTCACATATTGTTTCTACTCCACTTTCATTCCTCACAGCAATCGATCAAGCCTAAGCGTGCTCCTTCGATGCGTCGCCCCAAGAAGGTCGACGGTGATACCAACAAGGAAAAGAGCGAGATCGCCTCTGCTACACCCACACCCACCGCCGGCAAGGTCGTCTCCATGGCCGCCCAGATCCAATCTGCCACCCAGGAGTTGTGCGATTCTCTCGAGGAGACCACCCCCTGGTTCTTGGTCTGCTTGAAATCGAACGAGACCAACATGCCCAACCACGTCGACGCCATTACCGTCAAGGCTCAGGTCCGCTCGCTCTGCCTCGCCCAGATCTCCCAAAGACTTGCGATCGAGTACACCATTAGCTGCACACACCAGGAGTTCTTGGACCGCTACACTCCCCTCTTTGTCAACCTACTCGAGGACTGTGCTGCCGCAGCCACTACCAAGACTCGCATGGATCTCGTCTATGCTGACGAGAAGTGGACCGTTCAGGACGCCAACGTGGGCAAGTACCGCGTCTACGTTTCGGAGAGAGCCTGGAGAGAGCTCGAGTACCGTCTCAAGAGCGAAACCGACAAGAAGGGCAAAAAGGACGGAGTGGAGCAGTCTGCCTCGGCAGTCGTCGGTGCCATGGGTTTTGAGCAGGCTGTCCCCATGCTCCCCTATGGCAACGGACTCGAGACACCCAACAGCTTCCGCGGCGAGATTCTCAACATGTCGGAGGACGACCAGTCGATCAACTCCAACACTGCGATGGCAGCCCCTCTTCTCTTGCAACAGCAGCACTTGCAGCAGCACCAGGAATTGCTCCATCACCAGCAAATGATGCACCAACAGCAACAGAACCCCTATTTGCACCACCAGCAACAACAGCACTTTAACGGTCTCCACCCTGCTCAAGCCTCCTTTATGGTCAACGAGCGTCTCGAGAACCGTTCTTTCTACTCTGGCGACGACAACCAGTCCGAGTACGACCCTTACATGCGTGGAGTTCTTCCTGGAGGCAATGGTGCTGGCGGTAACCGTTTCGAGAACGAGTCCGTCTATGGAGGATCCGAGATCTATCGCCCCAACACAGGCATGTTCAACGATGCCGAGAAGCGCGGAATGATGAGACACATGGACGGATCTTCCCCCGAAGAGGAGCGCGACGATGCTTTGGGCAAGGGTCAAGATGTCACCAAGGAGAAGGGAGCCGAGGATGAGGATGAGGAGGAGAAGATTCCCATCACCAGAGCCCGTCGCAACTGGGTCTTCTTGACCTACTTCCTCACCTGGTGGATCCCCAGCTTCTGTCTGAACAAGTGTGGAAAGATGGTCCGACCCGATATCCGTATGGCTTGGCGCGAGAAGGTCGCTCTGTGCATCCTGATCGGTTTCCTCTCGTTGATTATGGTCTTTTATATTGCTGTCCTTGGAGAGCTCATGTGCCCCCACCAATACGTCTACTCGATGGGAGAGCTCTCGACCCACGGTGACAAGTCAGGATCGCCTTTCACCATGATTCGTGGAGAGATCTTTGACATGGAAAACTTTATGACCCAGCACAACCCCAACATTGTCTCCAGGACCCAGCTTCTCCAGTATGCCGGTAGAGATGCCACACCCGCTTTCCCTGTCCAGATCAGCGCTCTCTGTGATGGTCTCGATGGCTACGGTTCAGGATCAGTCGATCCCAGGATTCAGATGCCCAGCCAGGGCCCTGTCGACACCAACGCTGTCTACCACGACTTCCGAGCTTCCCGTAACGATTCTCGTCCTGATTGGTACTATGAGAAGATGGTCTTTATGCGCCAATGGCGTGTTGGTTTCTTGGCCTACACTCCCAAGGATATCAAGAACCAGGCTGCCGATGACAGCACGAAGACGCGCTGGGCTATCATTGATGGCAACATCTACGACTTGACTGCGTACATCCAGGCTGGTAACCAGGGTCAGTTTGCCGCCACGCCTGGTGGCGCTCTTCCTGCAGGAGGCAACGCTGCCTTCATGGATCAGTCGGTTGTCCAACTGTTTGCGACCAGCGCCGGAGAAGATGTCACGACAATGTTCAACGCCTTGCCTTTGGAGGCCAGCAAGAAGACCGCGATGATGATCTGTCTCCGCAACCTGTTCTTTGTGGGTCGTGTTGATATCCGCACAGGATTCCGATGCCAGTTTGCCAACTATATGTTGTTGGTCCCCTCGATCTTGATTGTCTGCACCATCGGATTCAAGTTCTTGGCGGCCTTGCAGTTGGGATCGAGACGCGAGCCCGAGGAGCACGACAAGTTTATTATTCTCCAGGTTCCTTGTTATACCGAGGGCGAGGAATCGCTTCGCAAGACCCTGGACTCTTTGGCTGCGCTCCGTTACGACGACAAGCGCAAACTGTTGTTCGTCATTGCGGACGGAATGATTATCGGTTCAGGAAACGATCGCCCTACGCCCCGTATTGTCCTCGATATCCTTGGAGTGGACCCCAACGTCGACCCCGAACCCCTCTCCTTCTTGAGTTTGGGTGAGGGCCACAAGCAGCACAACATGGGCAAGGTCTACTCTGGTCTCTACGAGCACAACGGTCACGTCGTCCCCTACATTGTCGTCGCCAAGGTCGGAACTCCCACCGAGCGCCAGCGTCCCGGAAACCGTGGAAAGCGTGATTCCCAGATGATCTTGATGCGCTTCCTGAACAAGGTCCATTTCAACTCGGCAATGACACCTCTTGAACTGGAGATGTACCACCAGATCAAGAACGTTATCGGAGTCAACCCATCCTTCTACGAGTACACGCTCATGGTCGATTCCGATACCGAGGTCCTGCCCGACTCGCTCAACCGCATGGTCTCTGTCTTCTTGCACGATACCAAGGTTATGGGTCTCTGTGGTGAGACCCAGATTGCGAACGAGAAGGACTCCTGGGTGACGATGATGCAGGTCTACGAGTACTTTATCTCCCATCACTTGGCCAAGGCCTTCGAGTCTCTCTTTGGATCCGTCACCTGTCTGCCCGGTTGTTTCTGTATGTACCGTATCCGCACGCCCACCAAGTCGACCCCACTCTTGATCTCCAACAGCATCATTGACGAATACTCTGAGAACCGAGTTGATACTCTCCACAAGAAGAACTTGCTGCATCTCGGAGAGGACCGATACCTGACGACACTCATGTTGAAGCATTTCCCCAACTACAAGATGACCTTCACGCCCGATGCCCAGTGCCGGACCAACGTTCCCGATCAGTGGAAGGTCTTGTTATCCCAACGTCGTCGCTGGATCAACTCTACGGTCCACAACCTGATGGAGTTGGTCTTCTTGCCCCAGCTCTGCGGATTCTGCTGTTTCTCGATGCGGTTCATTGTCATGATTGATCTCTTTGCCACGCTCATCATGCCCGTCACCGTTGTCTATATCGGATACCTCATCTACACCATTGCCTCGCACAATTCTGCTGTCCCCAAGTTGGCCTTGATCATGATGGGAGCTGTCTACGGTCTTCAGGCGGTGATTTTCATCCTCAGGAGGAAGTGGGAGCACATTGGATGGATGATTGTTTACATCCTGGCCATCCCAATGTTCTCGTTCTACCTACCCCTGTACTCGTTCTGGCACTTTGACGACTTCTCGTGGGGTAACACCCGTCTGGTGGTTGGAGAGAAGGGTCGTAAAAAGGCCGTCTCTGCAGATCAGTTGGAAGGCAAGCCCTTTGACCCCAAGTCGATTCCTCAAAAGAAATGGTCCGATTACGAGCAAGAGCTCTGGGAGGTTGGATCCACCCATTCGCTCGAGTCCAAGGCGTCGAGATACCCCGGCGGTCAGCAGTTCCCCTACGGCAACAACGGCGGCGGCGGCCTCCACATGAATTCACATGGATCTAGAGCAGGATCTGTCTACGGTGGCGGTGCGAGTAATGACCTGGCGGCGATGAACATGGGTATGCCCATGGCTGTCGGCGGTGGGCCCTTCATGGGTATGGCTGCTAGTGCCGGAAACTCTCGTCCCCAGTCGCCCGCCATGGGCATGGGCATGAACCCACCCCAGATCCCTGGAACCCCTACACGGTCGTACTCACCTGCACCTCAGTATGCCTACCAGCAACAACAGCAGCAGCAGCAGCAGCCGGTGATGAGCCAGCAGGGGATGAGGAGCTCTTGGGGCGCTGGATCGGTCTCGGGAGGAGGTATTGCCAGCTCGCCGGGGCACCAGAGGATGAGCATTCAGTCTAATGCGCCGCCATTGTCGCAGTACCAGATGCAGTTGTTGCAGCAGCAGCAGCAGCAGCAACAACAACAACAGCAGCAGGGACCACGGTATTGAGGAGTGCAGGGAGTGAAGGAGGTGGTGTTTTTAATCGAGTCGGTGTTAATTTAGAGTTGCTATTTCTTTTGTATCTATTTTTTTTCATTCCATTTATCTGTTGTTAGTAAAGCATTTTTTATCATACCAAAGCATGTCGCGTTTTGTTTCTTACAGAGCTGAGAAAATGGGTCAATAGGGTAGGAACAGCAGCGTTACACTGGTCGCAACTCAACATGGTATCGGCCTCTCGTTTGCTTTGCCTCTGATGTTTTCATTCATCGTCACCCAACGTCAAAACATAAGGCTGGAATGAATCGTTGGGAGCCCCCCTCCTCCCCCACAAATAGCAGCAAGATCATCGGCGTCCGAAATTGAGGAGGTTCCGCTACACCCGCCCGCCGCCCCTCGCCGCCTTCGTCGCCATTTGGCATCGTTCAATAACCCAAAAGAAGAACCACCTAAGGCTTCACGTTGCATACGTAATTTCCTGTTGGCTAAACCAAGACCGATCGTTATCCGTCAAGATGGCTCCCTGGGGCAGCGAAGACGGTGTATCCAGAACTCCACACCATCTGAACTGATGATTCCTATTTACCCACTATTACTCTCCATTGGTGGGGTGGATCCATCGTGACAGGCGGTTGTGAATTCCAAAGTGTTGGGGGGGGGGGGGTCTCCAGACAATGGTTTCGACACTTCCGTTTGAAGCTTTTCGATGTTCGACACACATGTTGGCTCCTTGTGGAGGGCTGGCGACAAAAGACGAAAACGAAGAGGACGACGACGATCGGCAAACGAAGGCTGATGACGATGAACTTGGCCAAAAATCCGACATTCCAATAGGCCGAAGGATGATATTTACAAAGAGGTTGAGTTGAAGATTCCCATTTTAGAAAGATGTCAATGATCCCCCACCCTTGCCCTTCCGAGTCCCATAAAATGAATACCATGTCAAGGAAGAAGAAGGTGATTGGGCAGCGAGATGATACAAGGGGAAAAGCGGGGCAATGGCAGGAGATATGGGATGAACCCGAGAGTGAAGAGAGAAGAAAAGAGAGAAATAGAACCACGCCCTTGACTTACACCCTCGCCAATTATTTTGGTTCAACGTGACCATGGGGCGTGCACAGAGAGCAATGGCAAGGAAGTACCTGTTTGTACCTGACCAATGGTAGGATCAATAAAGAGTGTACACACATGCACTCTGAAAGATATTTCACGAGCACAGGGCAGCTAGTGCTGATATTGATTGATTCAAATCAACATTCAAAAAACAGAAGCCAACTGCAGCAAGGTCGCCACTGTCGCCCTTTTTTTTCCGACCCACAATCATCCTCAGAAGCACTCAGGCCTAAAGGCTCTGGGTCATCTAAAGTAGCGGGATGAGATGGATGTCAGTCGAGGCCAGGGATATCTGGTAACGGCGCCGAAAACCGCTCCTTGGATCTTCACTGCACTCTCTCTATCATCAGTACTGTCTGCAGGACAGTCTCGCGAAACGAATAAAGTGATATTATTAACGACGATATTTTCTTTCTTGTAGATACAAACGCGAAAAATGAGACCAAGTACGTTATCATTTCTCTGATTTGTATTGTCTTCACTACTCATTGATATTTAACACGAAAGAGCCATCACGGGCATCATTCGAAACCGTATCGCGATATAAGCTCGTCACTATATGTTCCCGGAGAGAACAGCGCCGCGCTGCTCCAGCAGGTTCCGGCTGATCGTGTTAAGACCAATGACATCGTCAAGGACCGATCCCGAGGCAGCAAGACCACCTCCTCCCCCAGCACCCCACACCAGCTGGACCACCACTTTGTCGAACCTCTCTACAACCCTCCATACAAGAGTGGATCCATGGATATCGGCAGTCGCAAATTCCAACTTGTTAGGCCTCCAGACAATCTCCCCAATCCTCCCTGAGCAACCCTTGACGGCCAGCACATACTCCCAGTCCTGTGGTCTCACCTCCAGAGGGCTTCTCCACAGGTGAACCGTCTCATCTTCAACACTTGCTATCCATTGACCGCAACTCGAGAATGCAAATGTTTGGATGACAATACGACTGTGCTGCAAAATGACTCGGTAGCCTCCGCCTTCTTCGTCCCACAAACGAGCACCATTTACACCTTCACAGGAAACAGCCTGAAGACTCTTTGGTAAAAACCTCACAAAAAATGCCTCCTCCCTTTCCATCTTGCACTTCCCCGTCGTCACATCCCAGACTTGCATCGTTCTAATGTAGTCTCCAAATGCAATCTCTGCACCGCTGGACGAAAACGACAAAGATCGAGCGAAAAAGGTACCGCCATCGGCGAAGATCAGAATAGACGTGCCTGATCGTGCATCCCAAAGTCGCACCGTCTGGTCTTCACCACTAGTAGCAATCCATTGGCCGCATGGTGAGAACGCAACTACTATCACATCCCTAGTGTGGCCGCGAAGAGTGTTCTCAAGGACGCCAGTGTGAGCGCTCCATAACGTGACATCGCCTCCTGAGCCACCCATGGCAATCTGACGACCGTCCGATGAATAGGCGACAGAATTGGCTCGAAACTCTTGGCGGCGAATAACAAGACCAATCTCGCCACTCTCCGCATCATGTTGCTGTATGGCTCCAGTGCGACTGCCCGAAATGAGAAACTGCCCATTAGGAGAATAGGCTACCCTTGGCTTGGAGTTGAAAGCACCATCTACGTCGAGACCAAATCTAGTCGAGTTCACCTCCCAGAGCCGTACAGTCTGATCCCAGCTTCCTGAAGCAATGAGTGAGCTGTCTGGGGAAAATGCAACACTGGTGATCCAGCTGGTGTGACCTATGAATACAGAAACAAGTGTGGCTACATCTCCACTCCACACCTTGACCGTTTTGTCCTCACTGACAGACACAATCCATTGCCCGTTCGGCGAAAACTCAACGCTATCCACCATTTCAGAATGTCCTCTCCATTTGATCCTAGGCATCACGGTGGTCGCCTCCCAAAGTTGTAGATCGCCGAAGATGTCGCCTGAGACGATCGATTGTCCATTAGGGGAATACGTAAGGCAGCGACTCTTGCCGCTCGTTCCAGAACTCAGCACCTGTAAGCCCGTCTGAGTGTCGAATACTCGGACTTGTCCATCCAGGCAGCAGGATGCAATGTTGTTCCCGTCTGGTGAATACGCGATCCCTGTGACATCGCCAAAATCTTCTATGACAAAGGTGATGGTTCCTGTTCGGGTGTCCCATAGACGCACTGACCTGTCCGTGCTGGCTGAGGCGAACTGCATCCCTGAGGGTGAAAACGCAACAGCTGTCACCTCCTCGGAATGTCCATTCAGAACACGATCAGTCGCGTCGCCCTCACCGTCCCATAGTCGCACCGTACCATCAGAACTGCCGGAGAGAAGTGGAAAGCCGGTTGTTGAATAGGTGAGGCTCAGAACCGCCGCATCATGACCATGAAGTAGCCGAATCCTTGTCCAGGTAGTTGTGTCGTAGATACTAATGTTGCCGTCTAGCAGACCCATTGCAAAAGACCTTCCATCTGGGGAAAATGCACATGACTGTACCCAACTCGCTTCCTTCAAACTCGGCAGCTCTCCAAACCGTGTCTCGTCCATCCGTGCTCTGCTAAAGTCCGCCTGTCGGATCCAAGCCTTGGTGAATGTGATTCCTGTTAGGTCGGAATCCTGAAACTGCGCCGAGTCGAATTGCCCACCTGTGAGATTGGCTCCTGGGATGCGGATGCCTCGAAGGTCAGCTCCATTGAAGTGTTTCCCAGCTCTCACCAGGATCGTGATGGCGTTGGATGCAGCCATGCTAGCCTGAGGATCCGACTTCGAAAGCTCAATGAGTGCGAGAAGGTACTGCTTAAAGATGGGCTGCATTTGGACACGTTCGGCGAGAAACAGGATGACCGATGGCTCCAGGACAAGACTCCTCTTGGACAGTGGATGGTCGGTAACAGGAAGAGATACCCTAGTGGCTTCTGAATAAACATGCGGAGCAAACTCGTAATCATCCCTGGAGGTGTCCCAAACGAAACAAGAGAAGAAATACTCCAAGACAGATCGATGGATGAAGCGGTACTGGTTGCCGGTGCGACTCAACAAACTGGCATCTCTGAGCAGGGATCTTTCAGCTTTAGGACCAAAGAAGCTAGCTTTCCACGACGACTTGTCTCGCATGTTGGAATATTCGACGACAGGTCGGCCCTCCTGTTGCTGAAAGATCGCCCACGCCAACTCCTTCTGAAAGACAATCCCATTATGCACAAATCCGTCCTCGAGAAGATCCTCAAATGCCTGGCGTTTGTCCTTCAGCGTCTGGTCCTGTAGGCGGCGCTTGTTGACCTCCAACCAGTGATCAACAAATGTATCGTAGAGCTCAATACGGGTGACGCGGAGATTCAAGAGAGTGGCATTGTTCTTGATGACGGATGGGAGTGCTTCGAGAGCAAGAGTCAATAGAAAGGGGTTTCTCACCAGGTCCATCAAGTTGGGAATAGTTGTCAACTTGTCCATGTAGTCCTTCTTGACCCAAGTCCGAGGTATGAGTGGGACAAACTGTTCGACGTACAGCTCGATCTGTTCCTTGGAGAAGGGGGTGATGACGTCTTCCTGAAAGAGATTGCTGGCAGTGCGGTGATACTGACCGGTCTCCTTAGGCGCAAAGCGATCGCGATAGTCAGGACCAAGGTACTGGGTGCGGCAAGTGATGAGCAACTTGACGTTCCACTGACCAGGTCGATTGAAGAGGTTGGTGGTGTGTAGGTTGGTGGTGTGTAGGTTGGTGGTGAGCTGGCTTTCATCATAGCCATCGCAGATCAACAGGAGCTGGCGGTGCTGTTTGAGGTCCCAGATTTGTTCCTCCGAAAAGTCGATGGTCCTCAATTGTTTTGCAACAAGATCCTCATCGGGTTGTTTGAGGGATGGGAGGTTGATGAAGAGCGGGATGCGATCCCCAGCCTCGTAGTTTGTCCATAGTTGGTACTCCAGATATCGATTGAACGTCGACTTTCCAGCTCCCGAATCACCCATAATCAGCATGACCTGACCGTTGCCTGCTAAGAACTCCCTGACCTTGTCCATAAGAGGAAGCGCGCTGTTGTCTGGCGCTTGTAGGTTAGGCTTGGCTATCGGTGCAATGTAGACAGGTTGGTTGTATTCGAGAAGTCTGTTTGTCCTCAGCCTGAGGAGTGCATCTTCAATTGAAACTGGATCGTCGTCCGTCTCGGCTGCGATACGTCCAAATTTTACTGGACGATCCGGTTGCGAAAGATAGCGCTTGCCGTTGCTGGTGAGCTCCTGGCTGTCTGCAACTTCCTGTACTGTCGATGGAGATGACATGATGGATCTGGGTTGCGGCTGTTGATTGCTACGAGGAGATGACGACGACATGGTGAACCTATAAGAGATAATGGAGAAATAAGCGATTAGTCAGTGGCAATTGCCATAAGGTATACTTTGCATATGCAGGCGCTCACACACATCGAAAATTGGCGATGGGTATTCCTATGGTCTGAGACTCGTGGGCGAGTTGGAGTAGAGCTTCTCGATGAGGTTTGAGCGAGTGATGCCAATTAGAGGTTGAATATCGCTACATGGAACTCCTGTGCCGACCCTTGTATACTTACTTAGCGAGTAGGTGCTTGTTGTATTTGGAGCTGTCTCTCTGACGACTTTAGTAGGCAAGTAGGTCTATATTGGATGCACCGCTGATTAGTTATCTGGAGGTCGAAGTTGTCTCGTCTAGAGAGCACTCGTCGCTTCTGTACGTTCATACCTCAAGGGAGTGAGAGTGCAAGTATATTGTTTTTTTTTGGTAGTTGTGTCGTTTAGCTGTGTGTTTGGATAGTTGTTGTTTTGGTTGGCGGGTGTGTTCTATGGTTCTGGTAGACCTGCTGTGAGGAGTGCAGGAGGTGAGAGAGGTAGTGGTTTGGTGGATGTCGAGGAAGAAAGAAGGACATGGGGCGGCGAGATGATGCAAGGGAAGGGCGGGGAATGGCAAGAAGAACGGATGAGCCAAGATGTCCCCATGTGCACGGATGATATGAGCTCTGACAGAAAAAGAACAAATCGGTCCAGACCTTGTGCTTGAAGGGTGCGCAAAGATGCGGCGCTTTGTGACTAAGTCAAGTCAGCCCTCCAGCCTTTCTGAATCATTTCAAGTACCGTTTCACTCAAAGTTATCTATCACATTGATCAAATATGTCGTCTCCAAGGAAAATATCGCAGGATTACGATTGTCGGCATTAAAAGGGTCGCAATGTACGTTGCAGTCCTTGGTTACAAGGACCTTTGCCCGTCAATGATCCTGTTGTGTTATTCATCCTGTTACGGCGATGGCTAAGGTTCAGGCGTGAACGTGTAGTTGCTGCCAGGCTTATCAAATAAAAAAAAGATGAAAAGCATGCCCTTCCTTTAGGTTGAGGACATTCGCCTCCGTATGTTGTTCAATGTCTATGCTGTTTATTTTGGACGAAAAAAAAGTACAAGTGAGAAGGAAAAAGAAAGATAGAAAAAATGTGTGTATAGTTGGTGTGTGGAGTTTTGGGTAAGGAAGATTGCAGTTGTTGGTTGGCGAGTTCAAGTAGGCGAGGCTGTCGAAGTGAGGTAGATGAAAAAGAGTGTATGGGCGATGTTGGTGCCTGGAGTCAAATGGGTGTGAGCATTCTTGAAAGGAGACAGCGGACAGTGATCCTGAACGAGAAAGGCTAAAGACGGTGGGTCCTTGAAGACCCAAGAACGCGTTTATCCGGATCTTGCCTTATTCCAAAAACGACAGGGTCCAGCAGGACTCGTCCCTGAAGGCCCAATTGATGTAGTCCCTGATAAACAACAGTCCCTTGCAGCCTCCATAGGTCCCTGTTCCTGCTCCCGCTCCCGCGCACGTTCCCTTATTCCTTGTCTCTTCCGACATCCTTGATCCTGTCTCATTTTTAACGCCCAATCCCCTCCCTCTTTAACCAACAACGGCGGCGCCTTATCAGCCCATCATCCACCTCCTGCTGACATGCCTGGCTCCGACTGGTTTACTTCTTCTTCTTGCCCTTTCCACCAGACGACGTTGAAGCCTGAGCGACCTGCTTGGCCGTCAAGGCCTTACGGTCAACATCTCCACCATCAGCGAAGTCCAGATCATCGCCAAAGCCCTCCATATCTCCGAACTTCTTGGCGAACTTTGACAATTGTCCTGAATCATCGCCCGAGATATTTCCGCGCATCTCGGGGTTCCAGAGAGGGTGGTTCCTGGTATCACGGGTAAGACGGATCTGGGCGCGAGGGGAAGGCGTGCGGAGGGTGAAGGTGGCTCCGTTGGAGAGGACAATGGTCTGATCGAACAGCTCAGGCGATCGGAGCTTGTCTGATGCTGTTGCTGTTGTGGTCGTGGCGGAGGACTTGTGGCGGAGGATCATAAATGTAGTTGTGGGGCGGACGGCGAGGGTAGCGGAGGCTCTCGAGAGGGGAGCCATTGACCGTGTGAGGAAGGCCATGGTTGATGTGAGCTGTGAGATGTGGAGGGAGGAAAGGGAGGAAGGGTAAGTAGGGTTGGACGGGTTGGCTTCGGCATTCAAGACGAGCCCAAGGAGATCTCCTAGGCAGAGTCAACAAGCAGTCACCTCTGTTTTGATCGCATCTGTCACCTGATGGATTTAAGGGCATTCTATTTGACAAAACAAGGCTGGGCTGTTGGGCCTCGCCTTGACGTCTTGTGTTCAGTGATCGGCCACCTTTTGGAGTTGTGGACAAAGGGCGCCAAACAACGCCACAGCCATGGCCACCTTTGACGCCGCCGCGGAAGAACTTCAGGAATAGACTGTAGGGGCCTATGGCAGACGAGGGAGTACTCTCTCCACCTTGCTGCACTTTAAACGATCGCAATTATGTTCATGAGACAGCTATTTAACATGGGCGCATGAAGCTGGACACTTTATCTATCTTTGTAAACGAGGCCGTTGCGAGTAGGAGATACAATCGTTCAACTATCCTTTTTTCGCACTCACGAACCGCTCTTCCTAATTTCGTTGTCAAATGTACGCCAATTGCAGTTTTGGGACATTGAGGACGGAAAGTGCTCTCATCATTATCCTGCTCTCAGTCCTCCTTCTTCATCCCTCGTTTTGATCAAGGGACCTCTTCCTCTCGTCGTCCACCCTGTCTACCCTCTTGTATCCACCTTCTCCTGTCCACCCGCCCACTAACCGTGCCATTCATCATATCCGCGCTATTGGAACGATAGCCTAGTGCCATCGTTTGCTCGTCTTCAGCCTAAAGTCTTGAGTGAAAGAACAACTCAAAGATGCTGCAAGAGATGAGGTGTGAGCTGATTGGTCGGAGTAAGATTATTGTTAAATTGCGAGACAAATTGCTTTTTTTTTTGTTCCTGACCCTACAAGACACAACAAAAAGACGCAGGGTACACCTTTGTTGTGTGGAAGAATGGAAGAAAGGGCAGAGGTAAACAAACTCATCGTGATATGGTACTTAAAGCTACATGGTGCAGAGAGTTGGCTGCATTTCTCTTAGTTTCATTTTGTTGGTGTTGTGTTTTGTGTCTCGCAAAAAACGAGGGTATTCTGCCTTGAATGGTGCAACGCATTAGAGGGGTGGTATTTGAAGACAGAGGGGAGAAGACAAAGAGTTGTGCTTCCGATCAAGTTTGAAAAGGCATGCAAGATGAAAGCAAGAAGAAGAGGAGTAGATGGATGCGGTGTTAGATATTAAAAAGGGCGGCAACGCAAGGCAAAGCAAGGCAAGTAGGATCAAACCATTGCCAGTTAAAATAAAGCAGTCGTAAGCTGAAGGAAGCGGAGGAGGCAGGAGTATTCTCGATCATGGCATGGTCTAAACATCTAAACATCTAAACAAAGAGAGACGCAGAGGACAGTGCCCTGGATGGTACGAAAATAATTAATTTTAACATCGTTGTTTGTTGTTGTTGCTGACCTATGCCGATTGACAAGGTACAGGGCAGGGGGCGAGGCAACACATTTGTGAACCATGGGTCCATTCATAATTATGGGCGAACAAGACCTTTATGATTCCAGACTACAATAGAAAAAAGAAATGAGAGAGCGAGAGACAGAGAGAGAGAGAGGGCGCACACTGACCGTTGGGTAATTAAGCGTCGCTGTTATTAGCCTTATTTTTCGGACCATATTAGTGTACGGAACTACCTCAATGGACTGGGCGTTCGTCTCTTTTTCTTTTTTCTCAGTCTCTTTTTGTATTTCACACTCCCGCCGTCTTTTCTTCTTCTTCTCTTTTCTTCTTCTTCTTCTTCACTCCAATCCTTCCCTCCCCTTCCTTTCCCCTCCCGCCCTTCCCTTTCTCTCCTTCACCCTTTGGTTCATTCCCCCTTCCATCATCCCTCGGTCCTAGAGGTCTACATAGCATACCCACACATACACAAGACACGTCTTCTTGCCCCTCCTTCCTCTTCTCTCTCCCTCGCTCTCTCATCACCACGTCCTTTCCTTCCCTTACATCCGTCATCCCTGTCACTCCATCTCTCACTGTCCTTCTCTCATCACCTATAACACCAACAAAAAAAGGTAACGCACACGCGCTTGCTTTATGCATAAACAACAGCAACGTCAACAGCAGCAATAGCTGCCTTCCCCTTTTCTAGCTACTTGTTTCATTCTATAGCCCCTCTCCTTTGACAATCTTTAAACTACGAGACGCTGATTGATTCATATCCCCTTCCATTTCTGTCTCATAGAATAACAACCACACATACAGACACTCAACATGTCCCGATACAACAACAACACCCAATACCCACCGCAGGGAGGCCAACAGCAGCAGCAGCCATACTATGCCGGACCCCCTCAGCGTGCACCCACTAACCCCCGGTCACCCGTCTCCCCCGGAGGACACAACGCAGGATACCCCCCACAGCAGCCCGTCGGCTACGGTGGACCCCCAAGTGGAGGATACAACCACAATGTCGGCCACCAGGGCTACGAGATCGACGATAGCGACGGCGCAGGACTCATGAACAACCAGGGCCGTGCCGGTGGCCCCCCACCCCACCGCCAGAACACCTTGAACCATAACCTTGACAGAAACGGATACCCTCAGGGACCTGGACCCTTGCCCCGCTCAGTCTCCAAGCTCGATCGTTCAGCCACCATGAACCGCCGAGTAAGTCTCTCCATTCTTTATATTGTTGTTTAGATGACTTCAACCGCGACATATGTTCATGTGTTTTATTGTTGGTTATCAATCAAGGGAGGAGCACAAGGAAGACGGAGAAGAAAAACGCATACATACACATCGTTTGCATGCTTTATTGCTTTTGTTTGTATTTGAGAGCGCACCTTGGAGGCACAGGAAAAACTATAAGCGCTCATACACGACAACATGCGTACAACAGCCCAGTTGGATTTATGTGTGGGAGTTACAGATACAAATATACACGCAAAAACAGCTTTTGTGTTAAGAAAGGGCTCTCACCTGGGTTTATCTATTCTTGGGCGTCGCTCTTTCTTTTCTCCCATCCCACCTCGTGCTCGCACTTCACTCTTTTAAGCGAGAAAGTGTAAACCTCCACAGCAAAGCAATCACTAACAATAGCTCTCTATCCTTGATGGACCCTGCTCATATTTCTATTTTTCCTCCCCTAATAGTCCGTCTGCCACGTTCCTTTGACAGATGGAAACTTGGTCATGGACTGCCCGGTTCCACAGCAACTGCTTCAGAACGTCCACTTCAAGGGCGAGCGCGAGTTCGAGTACATGCGTTACACCGCCGCCACCTGCGACCCCAACGACTTTTTCAAGGAGCGCTACACCCTCCGACCCACCATCTACCGCCGTCAGACCGAGCTATTCATCGTCATGACCATGTACAACGAGGACGACGATCTCTTTATCAAGACAATGGGCTCCGTCATGAAGAACATTGCTCATCTCTGCACCCGCGCAAAGTCAAAGACCTGGGGCAAGGATGGCTGGAAGAAGGTCGTTGTCTGTGTTGTTGCTGATGGTCGCAAGAAGTGCCACCCCCGTGTCCTCAAGGTTCTCGCCGCCATGGGTGCTTATCAGGAGGGTATCGCCAAGGACACTGTCGCCGGCAAGCCCGTCACCGCCCATATCTACGAATACACCACCCAGGTCATGGTCGATGAAGAGCTCAAGATGCGTGGTGCCGACCGTGGCATTGTTCCCGTCCAGATCCTTTTCTGTCTCAAGGAGCAGAACAAGAAGAAGCTGAACTCTCACCGCTGGTTCTTCAACGCCTTTGCACCCCAGCTCAACCCCAACGTCTGTATCCTGCTCGATGTCGGAACCAAGCCCTCGGGAACGAGTATCTACCATCTCTGGAAAGCCTTTGACCGCGACTCGTCGATCGGAGGAGCCTGTGGAGAGATTTGTGCGGATCTGGGACCCAACTGCGCCAACTTGCTCAACCCCTTGGTCGCCTCGCAGAACTTTGAGTACAAGATGTCCAACATTCTCGACAAGCCTCTCGAGTCCGTCTTTGGTTACATTTCCGTCTTGCCAGGAGCCTTCTCAGCCTACCGTTACAAGGCTCTCAAGGATTCCTCGCCCGGTGTCGGACCTCTATCGTCGTACTTCAAGGGAGAGACCCTTCACACCTCGGGAGATGCCGGTATTTTCGAGTCCAACATGTACTTGGCCGAGGATCGTATTCTGTGCTTCGAGTTGGTCGCCAAGAAGAACGAGGCCTGGTTGCTTCGTTACGTCAAGTCGGCCAAGGCCTCTACTGATGTCCCCGATTCGATCGGAGAGTTCATCTCCCAGCGTCGTCGTTGGTTGAACGGATCCTTTTTTGCCGCTTTCTACTCGCTTGCCCATTTCACCCGCGTCCTCACTTCGGGCCAGGGTTTCTTCCGCAAGATCTTCTTGATGGTCGAGTTCCTCTACAACGCCATCAACTTGGTCTTCAACTGGTTCTCGCTCGCCAACTTCTATCTCACCTTCTACTTCTTGACCGTCGCCGCCGCCAACAACGCCAACAAGGACTTCCAGCCCTTCGGAGACTGGGGAAAGATGACCTTCAGTGTTCTTCGTCAAGTCTACCTCGCCGCCATTATCACCGTCTTTATATGCTCCCTCGGAAACCGTCCTCAAGGATCCCGCTTCATTTTCATTCTTGCCATCATCTTGTTTGCCGTTATCATGGGAGTTATGCTCTACTTGGCTGCCGCGACTGTTGTTGCTGTGGTGTTACCCGAGCTGCACAAGGCAAACGCGATCCAACATATGCTCGACTTGCTCAAGGTTCAAGGTCCTTTCCGCGACTCTGTCATCTCGCTCGCCTCGACTTACGGATTGTACATCGTCTCGTCTCTCCTCCACTTTGAGCCCTGGCACATGTTCACCTCCTTCATCCCCTACCTGTTCCTCTTGCCCGCCTACATCAACATCCTGATGGTCTACGCCTTCTGTAACACCCACGATGTGTCCTGGGGAACCAAGGGAGACAACAAGACTGCTGAGCTCGGAGGCGCCACCAAGGTCACCAAGGACGGTCAAGACGTCCTCAAGCTCGAGAAGCCCACCAACAAGGAAGATATCGACGCCGTCTACCAATTGAACATGCAGGAGCTCTCTGTCCGCCCGGACGCGATCAAGGAGAAGCGTGATGCCAAGACCAAACAGGAAGATTACTACAAGATGTTCCGTACCAACTTGGTCCTCACCTGGATGTTCACCAATGCGATCTTGATTATTGCCATGACCAGCAGTTTCACGCTCGGATCCGACGAAGCCCAAAATGACAAGCAACCTACCAAGGAAGATATGTTCAACCCTTACCTGTCGATGATTTTCTGGAGTGTCGCTGCCCTCAGTGCTTTCCGCTTCACTGGATCTGTCATGTACCTCATTCTCCGTGCCCTCTTTGGTTAAGTTTTTTTTTTTCATTTCTATCATTGTTGTTACCCAATCCTTATCATTCGCCACACCCCCATCCATTGCACAAGGTCGTCATTCCCTTGCTCATTATTTATACATAGTTTTAGCCTGTTCATAGAAACAAATCAAATATATCATTTTCAAACAGAAACACAAACCTTTGCAACTCGTGGTGATGTGGTGTGACGAAGAAATGGCCTTACTCTTTTTTTCCTTTGTGGGACATCGTTCGTGGCCAAAACGCGTCCCTGGAAGAGATCTATCGACAGCTTAGACAGAGGTAGAGCTAAAAACGCGAAACTTGATTACGACGCGACGCCAGCAGGAAAAAAAATATATCGAGAACAGATCAATCATTTCTGGTCCATCCCTGAACCTTTTTCTTCAGTTATTCTCTAGGTTCACATTGCGACGGCCCTTGGCCTAGCTCAACCAGAAGAAAGTCAAAAGGAGGAGAGGGAGATCCTCTCTAACCCAAGGAGGGGACAAATTGATTGTTTCCTTTCCTCCCCTTCGACTAAGACCAAATCCTGTGGGGGATTCGTTCATCGTGAATGATACAGCCCCCCCCCCCCCCCAAAAAAAAAAAAAAAAAAAAAAAAAAAAAAAAGAGCGGTTCCAAACACAGGTTTTTTAATCCGCACCCACTTTACACCACTAACGCGCATCGTCTATCCTCATATCTCATTTGTTCGTTCTGGGTCTGGGCTTTTTTTTCTCACCTTTTTCATGAAGCGACACATCAACCTTGACACCCCATCCCCCTCCCCCCTTACTTGCAATCTACCACACTCTGCTGATGCAAGCTAGAGCTTTCTTTTTAGTGATGAAATTAAGAAAGGGGGGAGAAGGGATCATGGAGACAAGCGATACAACAAACAAAAATCAATAAGCGTCGGAAAAACGCGATTTCACTGCTTGCTCTTTTTTAAAACAAGCCAGCCTGGCTCACTTTGTTCTTGTTTTGGGAAGTAAAATGGGTGAGTTCCCTCCATTCATCAAACGCACACACATAAAAGAATAAACAAGCGGGAAAAAAAATAAGGGCAGGGTGGGAAAAAAAAAGGGGATTAGTATTTTGTTTGTTTGCCATGCACTTACTCTCACACACGTCTAACTACACTATCCAGTCTACAAGTCAACCCTCTCTGTCCCCTTAAATTTTCATTCAAATGGGTTTATCCAAAAGACAGAACAAAGGCACAAAACCTTTCAATTATGGTCATATTTTCTTCCCTGTTCTACTTTACAAAGAAAAAAAGGAGAGGAAGGGTGTCGTTCATGTTTGACTGGTATCTAGTCGCGTCCGTCGCGGTCTGGTTCCCCTGGCTGCGCGTTTGCGGTCTTGAAACCTTGATTTTGTCATTTTGTTTCTGGTGTTGTATTTCTGGATTCGATCGCGTTGGGATGTTTTTTTTTTTTCTTGCCACGTCGTATTTAGCTTTTTGTGTTGCCTCTGTTTGAGATCAGGGTCTAACGGCCAGAGCAGAGAAACCAGACTCTTTATTTTTTCACACTCTCAGTTCTCACACCCCACCCTTCCCTCCTTTCTGCTAGGCCTATCCCTTGTTGACTACGAACACTACCGATACGGACGAACGGTGGATCGGAAAGGTGGTCTAAGAAGCGAGTGCTTTGTCTGGAAAAAAACAACCACAAGATTGTCACATTAGGCATCCCTATGTGGAGATAGTTTAGCGCACTGTTAGAGAAAAGACAAAAAAAAAGGGTGCTAGTTGTGTCCTATTTGATCCCTTCATCCTTGTTTTTTTGCGCGCGAGTGCGAAAAGATATCACCGATGTTGTGTATGCGTGTGTGTGCGCGTGCGCCATGCGGTGAGAGTGTACTGCGAGTGCGATAAACCAATCACATTCATTCGCCGAAATGGACGCGCACCAGTTGTGTAGGACTCAAGCAAAAGAATAGAAAAACATGACGCAAACAAGACGCAAGAACCATTTGGCGAGCCCTCTTTTTTTTTTCTTCAAAGAGCAACACCCTCCCCCTCTTTCCTTGTTTGCTTGCAGTACCCTTTGTCCAAGATCGAATTTTAAGCTGTCAATATCATGAGTCCCTCCTTTCTTTAGATCCGCGGTTAAAAAACAAAATGAATGTAAAAAACCAAAACACCATAGAAACTTGTTGAGTACAAATTCACTCTCCTCCCTTCCTCTTCCTCTTCCTCTTCTCTCCTCTCCTCTCCCTTGCCCTTTCTGTTACCATCCATCCCCTTGATACTTACGATGGGGACATTCGACGACTGCGCTATGACGCATATGAAGGGGACCTTTCTATTCACCATGTTTCCATTGCCTTTTCGAAAGAAGGGTGTCTTTCACGACGAGTCAGGGTCAGTTGTTACCCATGAAATTAATTGCATGTATGTATGTACGTATGTAAGTGTCAACAATGCCTTGCATGACTATTTCCTGCGTGTCCTTGAAATGACCATACACACACAAACAAACACCTTGCGTGAAAGAGACGAAGACCACAAGGAATTTCCCCAAGGTGCCAAAAAAGACATCTACTTTTTTTCCCCCTCTCCTTTACTATTTCAAGAACTAGGCACCAAAAGCGGGAGAGATTGTAAGTCATCATGACTTCACTTTTCCTCCTTCATGTCCCTTGCTTCTTGAGAGGAGAGGGAGGAGGGGGACTGAAAACAAACAAGAACAAGGGTTAAGGAATGAGGGGGACAAAAGAGTTGTTGTTGTCGTTGCTAAGCAACAATAGTCGTTTCCAGACATTTGTCTGCCTGTTCGTTGTATAGTGACTTTGACAATGTTGTAAAAAGGAAAAGGGAGAGTAGGGAAGAGGCAAGAAGAGAAGAGCGAGGAAGGAAAAGAAGAAAAGACAGAGAACCAAAACAAGAAATCAGCGAAATGGCGAAATGGGAGAGTGTGAAGAAGTCATATTGGGGTGGAGTATCCTGTCACCAGTCAGCAAGTTTATTTGTTCGCTTCGTTTTTGTTTCTTCGTGTTATATCCAACAAACGTAGAAAGAGTAACAAAGAGGGTTCTTCTGCATTGAGACCTATGTAACAAGGAGCAAAAGGTATGAAGAGCTCCTCCTTCCTCTTTTTTCAAAAACAAATAGCATTTTCCTTGACCCAACTGACCACAAGCAGGTACGCCTTCTTGACCTTTTCTTTTTGTGTCTCCCTTTACATTTCTGTCATTCCTCCCCTTTTATGCTTACATGCACCCCCATCGTATAACAACTCCAAAAACGAGGCCCCCGCTGACTTTGCCTGCCTTGTAAGGCCCGACCCATCTCTTTAGTGCTTTGGTTCTGTACCCCTCTTCTGCTTCGGAGAAGTCTTCTATAATCAACAACACAACAGCAGGCACGATGTAAAGGAGAGGCGATAAAGTGACAATCCAATTTCACAGCTTGAGACGAAACACTCTTCCTGTCGACTTGCATTCTCCGCCACCATCTTCCTCGTTCGTTGTCCTTATGAGAGTGAAAAGTAGTTTGATACGCAAGCATGTACCCTTGCATCTCTCTCTTTCTCTCCTCTCTTCTTGTCCCATCGCCGCGTCTGCGTTATTTCAGCACCAAAGAAAGCAAGACGCGTAACGCGCATCTGTTGTTTATTGTCTCACGTTTTTTCTCACACAACACGAATGCACTGACACCATTTGCATTTGCCTTGTCATTTTTTGCACCCAATGTTGGATCGGGTTTGCCCGATCGTCTTATTCTATTTTTCTTTTGTTGTCCTTACGCATACTAACGTGCCCTTTCTTCCCTTCCTCGTAATTTATCCATTCAGGGTTGTATATATTTTTTTTTCGTTAACCATTGGCCTCTCGCTTTTATCCATCCTTCATTCCACATTCATGATCACCCTATTATCTTTTTATTAGCAAACCCTCGCCACACTGCTCGCTGAACATTTAACTTCTTGCCTTCTTGCTCATCATCAACAACACCGGGTGTCCAAAGCGTTCTCTTAGCTTTGTTCTTCAACAGCAACACCACCACCAACAGCAGCACTAACAACAGAATCAAAAGAGAATATCATTTCGTATTCTTTTTGTGTGGCCACCCCTTTTTCCCTTTCGCTCCTATTTCTCTCACTCTCTCTCGTTAACTTATTCTGTACCCTCTCCCCTCTCCTCTCTTCCTCTCTCCCCTTAACTTTCTTTTTGTTTTTACTCCATTGCTCGTTTCACCATCCCAGGATCGCCCACCTTGCCGTTCTACGCTTCATTCGACATCATCTCCATGACACCGGTCTTTTTTTTTTTTTTTTTTATGGTTTATTGGATTATCCACCACCTCAAAAACTTATTGCCAGTGTAATTGATTCAAACAGTCGCTCTCTCCTTCCCATATAAGCTTTTCTTCCCTGCATAACAAAGCAAGGCGACAAATCCCCTCTTCCCGACACCAATAACAACAACAACTGCAAAAAAAAAAAGTATGCCAAGTCATTAACGAATATCATCGCGAAAACACGTTCTGTCGATCTTGACCCCAAAGAACACAAGCAATACAATATGACTACCGAGGACACAAACCACTCACATAGTGCCTAGCAACAACTAAAAAATCCTCGTCGGACGTATAACTACCTTTCACACACATCCATCCCCTCTCCTTCGCCTTCATCCCAATCCCCATCGTCGTCCTCGACTCCTTTCTTCCAAACTTCCCGTCCGTCCTCGACCTCAACACCATCATCAGCACTGCATTCAACATTTACCCGCCGAACTCCAGGACCTTCGCCCATTTCGCCAGATTCCGTCCCTTCGACTATTTCTACTTTCGATTTTTCACTTCCATCCTCCTCTTTGTCCGACTCCACACCCTACTTTCCATCATCAACACCATCATCCTCTACTACCACAGCACTTACACCTCCTTCTTCTTTCACTCCACGTCAATTGTTATTCCAACATCCAGAACAAGTCCATCCTCTATCCCTACTCAAGAAACCTACCATGATCTCAACCGCAACAGCCTCACACCCCCCAAGTC